CTGTACTCCACTGACACTCTTATTACTGTAAGGAGTATTTTCTCGTGACATGAATAATTAACAAATATCATTTGACTAAAGATGAGATATTACGAATGGTAAACAAAACAATGAAAATCCGATTTTAACAAATCGGACAGCCTTTCGGAACAGAAGTTTTTTAAACAAGATACTTTGTTTACTTGTTATCAAGCACAATTCTTTAAGCTTATGAATATTAACTGATTAGTTAATATTCCATTCTTATAACGGATTGTTATATTATGAATGCTAACGAGGGATCCAATTATGACAATACTAGCGTCTAGCGTCTATACAAGTAGTGCAACATAGTCAAATTAACGCATACAATTCTACGGTCGTAGATATTATTTTCACTCGATCTTTATTCTCATAAAGCGTGAGAATTACTTACGTGACACGTACACGTTTTTGGTTTAAGTTTATATTCATTGTAATATATATAAAGGTCTGAATCGACACACGTTTTTCTGAAATTAGTTTGAAACCGTAAAAACAATCTTATTATTTCTAAAAGATTTCCAACTTCACGATAAGAGATATGAGCGTATAGTGTTGAAATCGGTAATTTCTTCCAATCCCTAAAAAGGATGTTACAAATAGTGGTTGAGTTAACCTGTAGAATTTTTTTTCATTATCAAACATACAGTGCTATTTATAAATATATGAATAAAAATGTTTACTTAGTCATTTTACAATTATTGCTTCTTATAATTAACGTCATAATGCCGTTACCTAAGAAAAGCTCTTGTAGCTCAGTGGTAGAGCGCTTGCCTAGTAAGCAAGAGGCCCAGTGTTCGAGTCACTGCTGGAGCATCATTTGATGAGAATCAACATGCTTTTTAACATTTTTGCTCTGAAAACCTAGATAAACACAATTAGTTTGTATAATCTTGAACATATAGACGATAATATTGATAAGCGTAAAAGTGTTTTAAGTTCGCAGTGAAAAATTAGAACCATTCTGAAAGCGGTTTACCAAGGAAGGACAATAGCTCATGACGGTTGAATAGAATTAAAGGAGAGCTTTAAAAGCAACAAAAATATTATAAAACATATACACGGCGGATAGCTGAACCTTCCACTTAGATGTACTGCGCATAATCATGCTAAAGTCGATTATAGGAGCATACATGACTGTAAGCGTAAGTTAAATAGTGCGTCAAATCAATGGAGACCAACAGAAAAATACAATTTGCAAAAATACCATTAATTATAATCAATTAAATGAATATATGCATACTTTTTTAATTAAGCCAACCAGAAAATACCCATAGGGAAGATAAAAGAAGAATAATAAAAATAGGAGCAAGACCTCTAAGTACTACTTTTATTTATGTTTCATTTCCTGCTAAAGTACCGAGACTCGAATAATTTATTTTCCAAGCCAATAGTCACTTACCAGCCGACATATTAAGCTTCGACTATATTCATTAAAAAATGACTATCTTTCAAAAACAACAGAGTCAAGCAGTCCAATGTATTGTTGATATCATCAAAAGTTGATACGCACTATAAAAAATAGGGTAGACAATAACATACTTTTTCATATTAAGGTACTCACTCGGTCTGGCTTACACTAAATTAGGAATAAAAACTTCAATTCTTACAAACTTCGAGTAACATTTAACACAAAAGAGTAGAATGATGACGATAGCAGAGTACTGGTGAGCGAAAATGTACTTGGTTATAAAATAGGCAAAGCCGATCAGAAAACCAGGATAATCGCTAAATAACATACGAAGAAACTTCCTAGGGATAAATAATTGATAGTTCTATAGAGCTTATCAGCACCGTAATATTAAAAAACAATGCGAAGTATAGGACATAGAAATAGCTTTAAAGGATTTTTCTATATACAACTAAATTAAATTCAGTAACTAAGATAATGAACAGAAAGATATTAGGTAAAACTTGAATAAACTAGTCGAATAATTGAAGTATTGAAGTAAAGGTGACCAGCAATGGTCTGTGGCTTTGCATTTTGGACAAAAAAAAGCTAATAAGTGCAAATAATGGAAACTTAATGCCTGTCATAGGATGAACTGTTTCAATAACAGCTAGGTTTTCACTTTTTCCATTAGAAAACGACCATTTATCTTAATACATTCATGTATAAATGGTCTAATTCAACGTGTGTAAATATTTAAGGTGGCGAATTGTTGCTTCGATTAAGCGGAAACCTGCACGTGCAGATCTAAAAGAGAAACTTTAAAAACCTAATGCTATAGGAATTAACATAGTGACACTTAAAATTGGGCAACTGTGAGATTGAACACAATGGACTAAAAGAGGAAACAAAAAAAAATACGGTTCAATAAATAACTACTTACAAAACTGTGGAGGTGAGTTATGAAAAATAAAACAGAGAAAATGTAAATGAGATAGGATACAACTAGTTCGGGAAAAGTTCACAAAATCACCAAATGATGAACTGAAGATGAAATTTATGTCAATGATTTTTCTTTAATAAGAGCTGTTAATTATAACTGTAAACAATATAAATTGTCATTTATAATCCAGAGATTCCTACCGGAGGAATAATGCTAAAGACAGATACACATTAATATTCTTCATACGTGAAAAAGGTCAATCGTGCAAATAGAAACACTATTAATAATAAAGATACTATGATTGGATATCATCTAATAAATTTGAGTAAAAATTCCTTCTCATTCAAATAAACACTTTCTCGGAGCTTAACACGGATTAACTTGTATGACTGATATTCCAGAACAACGAAATAAAGGATATAGGTGAATTTTCTGGATTTGGGATAAAAATCTTAATTGGAATTCAGACACATCAGCTTCTAAGTAAAACAGAGGTCAAGCTATTAAGAAAAGTTAAGCTAATTCGCCTAGTACAGTACAAAAGAGTTAAGAAGCTTTATTATATCCAAGGGATATTTATTACCATTCTGTAACTATCTGTTCTTTTTGTGGTATGATGAATGGTGCACTCACAAATTTCAAGATTTCTTCCTTGACTAATTTTGCACTCATCTTTCATGTATGAAAATTTTTAACTTCGTTGCTCTTTGTCTTTGGTAAATAATCTAGTAATGCATTTTGTCAACTCTATTTTTACCATTTTCTAAGTTTTCGAGTATTGGAACGTTTTAAGTTTCCTCATTGAGTATTAAGGATAAAATTATTCTTGGATTCAAAAATTCAATAATAGGAGAATGCCTTCAAGCTGTATAATAAGTTAGCAGGCGTATCTGATATTAAAACAGTTTTTGATACGACAGAAATGGGAAGCCTAAATTTTAGCAGCCTTAGTATGAAGATTTGACACAGGCATTTAGGAAAATATAATGTCCAAATTGATGTCCACATACCATGTATGGTATTAAACTTTTTATGAGGTATTCTTGTTAATGTGGAATAATGAAGAGAAAAGAACAAGCCTAGATGTTATTAAAGAAAAAGAAAAATCTTCTTGTTTTTATCTCATTTTTCTAAAAGGTAGTAGGACGCCTTTATTTCCCATATTAAATTTCCTTATGAAATAACTCTTAACTTTTCAAGCTTGTAATCTGAATTATTCTTGGCACGTACTTGAGTTTAGTTTTGAAATTGAAGTAAAACTTTGTTCTGTCGTAGTGTACTTTTTATCACTGATAGAAGTAACTGCTCAATAATTAGATCGTTCAACATCGAGTGGTGACTAAAGCAACAGTTATGGTGGTAACAAATCAGTAGGACGACAATGAAAAATAAATCAATACCGACGATTGTATGTAATTCTTGTTTGAACACAACTGTATATTATTTTGGCAAGCGAGTTCATATTAAGATATAGTGATGAATCATAGTAACCAATAAGATAATCGCAGTAAGGGTATAAATAGTATGTTATGATTCACTTATAATATAATTTGTCTTGCCTTAGTACGGTAATGCACTGGATTATTGCGTAGAACGCTATAGGTTATAGTAATAGACTTCCTCCTTATAACGTTAATCATAGTAAAGAGGTATACCTCATTGTCTGGGCGAAATTCAATTTTTGATTTTTTTGTAGAGAATAGTTTTTTTTACTTTTTTGTAGGGAGAGTATTTTCTTAAATCGTAAAAGTGAAGACAGATCTATGCTTTCTATTTCGTGGACTCAGGAATTTTTTAGAGGACAAGTTCCTACTTGCCTTGCCTTGTGTTGGTCTTTGGTACTTTTGGTTTCAATCGTTTGCTTATGTTGAAGGGTTCTGCAATTTAGAATTATAGCTCAATGTTAAATTAGCAATTACCTGTTCACTTTTTTGGTAATTGATGTGGTACATCGTTTTTTCATATCAATTTACAATGTACATACAATCGTACAATTACTGTCATAATAATTTTGATATTGATGAAAATGACCAATTATCATTTGTTCAGTTATTGTAGAAGCTTAGTATCACAAAGGTAATCAATAATCACTTTCATATTTAAACTGAATCAGTACAAGTAGTAAATACTTTTAGTCGTAAAGAAAGTTGTGTATATATTATAGATCTTCAGCTGATATAAGCAAATTTTTTATTTTAGAAATAATAAACTACAAAATCAGTAATTATTGTCTCACCCGCTCATGAAAAGAGTAGTTACAATTTAATTATGTATTTGTGTACGGCATATGGCAGGGTAAACATTTCTTTTAGATATACGAGTTTGTAAATTTGACGAAGTGCAGACACTCTGATATTAATGATAAATTCATTCTTTTAGGTTTTCTTATGGGTAAACAACTAAACTGCGTACCATCGTGTTAATATAGGATATTCTTTTTTTAGAACAAATCAAAAGTATAATATTCCTAAACCAACTTCTATATACTTTTTTAGAATTTTGTCGATTATATCTAACACTTAAGAAAACATATTGTAAACAAATTGGGCATAATCGTAAGCAGACAATTGCTTAAAAGAAACATGTTTACTAATGAAAGGAAAAACGGAGTAAACTAAAGCAATATTGTGAAGCATTAGAAGACTCCGTAAAAGTAAATAATGAAATGAATATTTGAAGCCGTTATGTTAACCTACGTTAAATAATTCCGAGTTTCAAAAAACTTAATTGACACTTTAATTATGAGTAGGGTAGGGTTTGACTTGTAAAATTTTCATATATATATGCAATGGAAACCAATTCTTCAGACCCGGAGACAATTTCTGCAAAGATATCTTGCTTTGCTTAAACTGATTTTGTTCCGATAAATAATAATTATGAAATATCTCGCTGCCTACTTACTTCTTACTGTTGGTGGAAAGCAATCGCCATCAGCTAGCGACGTTGAAACTGTCTTGTCCACTGTGGGCATTGAAGCTGAGAAAGAACGTGTTGAATGTTTGCTCAAGGAACTTGAAGGCAAAAACTTGGAAGAGTTGATTGCTGCTGGTAACGAGAAGCTCGCTACTGTTCCTTCTGGAGGTGGTGCTGCTGCTGCTGCTCCTGCTGCTGGCGCACCCGGTGCTTCCGCCACAGAAGAAGCCAAGCCAGAGGCTCCTGCTGAGGAAGAATCCGACGAGGATGTAAGTATAGCTTGGTATATTAAAAATACTAACATTAATAGATGGGCTTCGGTCTCTTTGATTAGGCAGTTCTTTCAAATAAATAAATGCTTTTGTTTAGCTGTACTTTCAAGAGAATGAACATATGTAAAAGTGTAAATAAGTATATATTATATTTGTAGTGAAAATTCGGTTTACTTTGGGTTCATAATGCAATCTTAAAGTCTCTGATGTTAGGAGAGAGGAGGAGCATTAAAGAATAACTTCAACTCAAATGCCAGGTGTTTGTAATATCCTTTTAGTTAACATTTCTTAGTTATCAGTTTCAATTTCAAAAGTAGCATTCATTTGTATTCAGTGATTCAGACTTTGTAACACCGATGAAGCATAGTCAGAAGCTGATATCTCTTGGCTTGTTAATTTTTTTCTCAGTAAACTAAGTGCATCCTGATGCTGTTTTAGTTTTAAGGAGATGCGGCTTTCGAGTTTTTCACTCGAAAAGTCCTCCAGTTTCGTTCGGAGGATGTCTAGTTCCTTTTCATATTCTTCATAATCAAGTTGCATTTGACTTTCTTGCGTTTTCAAAAGCTTTCTGGTTTCGTCCAATTCTAATCTCATTCGGTTGATCTCATCCCAGAGCCTTTTATTGTAAGAATGATGTTTCTGTATATCCATCATCTGCTGCCGTAGACCATCGGAGACTTCATTGTTCCAAAAAAAAGAGTCAATGAGATCTCTATCAGCTTCCGCTGGGAAATCCATTTTAAAAAAACCAAAAAACTGAAATTTATGCATTCAAGGTTTTCTAGCAGCACGTCAATAGGTACCTCTCAGTTTAAATAAACGAATATTTCTCATGAATTAAAGGTCTAGAGACTTCAATTGTTTGTGTAGTCCTAAAACGTTGAAGAATATCTCTTAATTATGACTTATGTGTTTAATGGTGGTCATGAATTGTGAGCCTAGCAACTGTATAATTGAGTTGTTTGCTCTAGTCATGTAACATTTAGGACTTACTCTTTGTATATCTTGAGTATCAGTCAAAATTAGATTAAAACAAGTATAAATGATTGACTGATTTTGAATGGATTATTAATAAAGTGAGAATGAAATAGCTCGAGGCTAAGGATCAAGATGTGAATCGCATCCTGAAAACAAGCGCTATCTCGGAGTCTCTTATCATACGCATAAAGAAATATTGACTTTATATTGCTAGGATGTTTGTTTCAAGTTGGTTGTTTTCTACTTGAAACTAATTAAAAACAGGAGATTAGTAAACGTCTAGCATGGTACAGCCAACGCTCTCTGCAAGTGTCGGATATGGCATAGTCGTTGGTCTCGGATTGGGTTTCACTGTATTGATGATATCTGTTTCATGGGTTCTTAAAAAATACAACAGAGAAAACCAAACATCTGAACACTTTAACACTGCTTCACATAGTGTTAAAACTGGTTTAGTCGCTAGTGCTGTTGTGAGTAGCTGGACGTGGGCATCAACATTACTCACAAGTGCTCAAAAAACTTACCAATACGGTGTTTCAGGAGCATTCTGGTATGCTTCTGGTGCTTGTGTTCAAATATTGTTATTCACAGTTTTGGCAATTGAGTTAAAGAGGAAAGCACCCAATGCTCATACTTTCCTGGAAGTTGTTCGAGTCCGATGTGGTCCCGTAGCACACAGTGTTTTTATTTTTTTCGCTTATGTTACCAACATCCTTGTAATGGCTATGCTGTTATGCGGTGGATCGGCCACAATTGCTTCCGTGACTGGAATGAATACTGTGGCTGCGTGCTTTCTACTTCCAGTAGGAGTCATAATATATACTATTTTTGGAGGAATTAAGGCTACTTTCCTTACAGATTATATTCATACGATTATTATTTTGGTGATTTTGATCATGTTTAGTTTGACAGCGTATTCAGCTGGTGATAAAATTGGTTCACCAGGTAAACTTTACGATATGTTAAAAGCCGCAGGGAATTCTCATCCTGTGGAAGGAAATGCCGAAGGAAGTTACCTCACTATGAGAAGTCGAGAAGGAGCTATTTTCTTCATAATTAACCTTGCTGGTAATTTTGGTACCGTGTTTGTAGATAACGGGTATTGGCAAAAAGCTATCGCGGCAAACCCTGCTTCTGCACTGCCTGGCTATATTTTAGGGGGTCTTTCCTGGTTTGCAATTCCTTGGTTAGCTGCTACTACAACTGGTCTTGTATGCATTGCACTTGAAGGTATGCCTTATTTCCCTACATACCCAAATCGTATGAGTGATTTAGAAGTCAGTCAAGGACTAGCTTTACCCTATGCAGCCATTGCTTTAATGGGTAAAACAGGTGCTAACGCTACTGTACTGCTTATATTTATGGCCGTAACATCTGCAGCTTCAGCAGAATTAATCGCTGTTTCATCTATTTTTACTTATGATATATACAAACAATATATAAGACGCAACGCCAGCAACAAAGAATTACTGTATACTGGGCATGTCGCATTAATAACATTTGGATTTACAATGTCGGCTTTTGCAACTGGATTATACTATGGAAAAGTATCAATGGGTTATTTGTACCTGTTGATGGGAGTATTAGTATGTCCTGCAGTCATCCCTGCAACGTGCGTTATGCTATCTACACGAGCTTCTAAACTAGCAATTACTCTTTCGCCCGTATTAGGCCTTATTTCCAGTGTTGTTTGTTGGCTTGTGGTCGCAAGTGCGCAAGGTTCAGGTAAATTAACGATTGATACGACAGGAGCGAATAATCCTATGCTAGCGGGTAATGTTGTCGGACTTTTGAGTCCCGTGGTATATTTAATTGTTTTGTCCTTCTTAAAGCCCGAAAAGTATAATTTTAAGGAACTACTAGATAAGTTTGAGATGCACTATGATTCCGAAGAAGAAAAGATTCTGCAAAAGAAAAAACTTAACCGTGCAAGTATAATATCAAAGATTGCTGCAACCGCCGTTGCCGGAGTGTTCATCATTCTGTGGCCTTGGCCGATGTATGGGTCAAAGTATATATTTTCAAAGCGGTTCTTTACTGGATGGGTTGTGGTAGGATTGATTTGGATTTTTTTTACGGTGTTTTCAGTTGGAATATTCCCCTTATGGGAAGGACGAAACGATATTTATCACATTGTGAAAAGAATGATCGTGTCAGCGTTTGGAGCCAAAATTATTGAAAGTGAAGATATTGGAGAAGTTGCTGGCATCGATATTAAAGGGGAGGAAAAAAAAGAGAAAGAGAAGTCGTTTATTGATATTTAACTTTGAAATTGTAAAAACAAGTTGATAGGAACTATTGAAAGAAATGTTGAAGATATGAATTTATGTTTATATTAAAAATTTTCCTTATAATTTCTTATATTTTTGTGAACATGAGTTGTTTGATTCAGAAATGATGTTTACAAATAGTCGTGCTATTAGAATGAAATAGATTCAAACAGAGGTTGTTGAGTATTCGAGTATATTCGTACTTTTGAGTATTATAATAGAGAGTATGAGTAACCTCGGGGCAAATAGCGCGTGGTAGCGTAGTGAGTAGGGAGTATGGAAAATTCTATAAACGTAGACCTTCACTTAATCTCTACACACCACAACAATTAAGTGGCATATAGAAAAATGACGGAAGTTCTGACTTCCAATGTCCTGGAAAGCAATGAAAACATAGTACAAGTAAGTAGTATTTAGTTTGAATGATTTCTAACTTGCGTCTTAGTATTATACACAAAAAATCCAAAATGCAGAATTGAATATTCTTAACAAAACTCAAAATCTTCGACGATTAGAAGCCCAAAGAAATGGATTGAACGCTAGAGTTCGTCTTCTGAGAGAAGAAATTCAGCTTCTTCAAGAGCCTGGAAGTTATGTTGGAGAAGTGATTAAAACGATGGGTAAAAACAAGGTGCTTGTAAAGGTGAATCCTGAAGGAAAATATGTCGTTGATGTTAGTCCTGATGTCGATATCAAAGAAATCAAGCCTAATATCCGTGTTGCCTTAAGAAACGACTCATACCAGTTGATTAAAATCCTTCCTAATAAAGTGGATCCTTTGATTTCTTTGATGATGGTTGAGAAAATCCCAGACTCCACTTACGAAATGGTTGGTGGTTTAGAAACACAAATCAAAGAAATAAAGGAAGTGATTGAGTTACCTGTGAAACATCCAGAGGTAAGTGAGCAGAGTGGGACGATTTGAAAGCTAATATGGTAGTTGTTTGAGAGCTTGGGTATTCCACAACCTAAAGGTATTTTATTGTATGGACCTCCAGGTACAGGAAAGACTTTACTTGCTAGAGCCGTAGCACATCATACTGATTGCAAGTTTATTCGTGTGAGTGGTTCCGAATTAGTACAGAAGTACATTGGTGAAGGTAGTCGTATGGTTCGTGAACTTTTCGTTATGGCTAGGGAGCATGCTCCGTCTATTATTTTTATGGATGAAATTGACTCCATTGGCTCGTCACGGTCTGATACTGGAGGCGGTAGCGGTGACAGTGAAGTTCAAAGAACGATGCTTGAACTGTTAAACCAGCTTGATGGTTTTGAAGGGACAAAGAATATTAAAGTAATTATGGCTACGAATCGTATTGATATTCTAGATCCAGCTCTGTTGAGACCTGGACGTATTGATCGTAAAATTGAATTCCCTCCTCCATCTACTGAAGCTCGTGCTGAGATTTTGAGAATTCATTCTCGTTCTATGAACTTGACTCGAGGAATTGACCTGAAGAGTATTGCAGAGAAGATGACTGGAGGCAGTGGTGCCGAGTTGAAAGGTGTTTGTACAGAAGCTGGTATGTTTGCTTTACGTGAACGCCGTGTGCATGTTACTCAAGAAGATTTCGAACTTGCTGTCGTAAAGGTTCTGAACAAGGGCGAATCTGGAGAAATGAGTTTACAAAAATTATTCAAGTAATTTGTAGTCGAATTTATGAATGAATATTATGATTCTTATATCTTGAATAGATGACAGAATGTAGTAATGTAATGGTTAATATGGACCTTTAAGAAGAGAAATAATTATTCTTTATTATTTTAAAAGAAAGGATTTGTATAAGGTAAATTAAGGTGATAAAGACTTCCATTTCTGGTATGGGAAGTAGGTAGTTGAGTGTACATATTCGAAAGGAAATTAAGAATGTAGTGGCTTAATTTTGTAATTATTTTTGTGGTTATTAAGATTACGGAATTAATATTATATGAAGGAAATATTTTTAGATTTATATACATAGTTATTATAAATGAAAAGATTTTAGTCGGTGATTTAGTCCTGAAAACTCATAAATAAAGAATATCCAGGGTGGAGTCGACTATTTTTCTTCCAAGCATGTAGTAAACCGTTATTCGTTTTATATAAGCGAAATAACAGTAGGCAAAACTTGGTTTTGTATAGAACATAGAAGGTAGTTAGTGTCATTTATAGCCTTGAAATAAAAAGCAGTCCTATTTGGGTGTAGGTAAAGAAGTGTAACGAACTCCGTTATGTAGAGTTAAAACACGTTTAGGCCTAGGAGTTTATGAATAGAGGTTTATTTTTAATAAATGTCAAGTCGAATACCATTTTCATATTTGTTTTGAAGGGTTGATATGTACAAGGATCAAGATGTAATATATAGAAGGCATAGTAAATAATTTGCGAATGAAACTACATGATAAATTATTAATAGTGGTGTTTAGTTTCTCAATGTTTTGGGTAATGCCATAAGTACCAAGCTGCAATTGTTTGGTAGGGAGCGCAAGGAGCAGTAAGTTGTTCGATGTCTTGAACTGTAGGTTTACTATCGAGACCAAAAATGTGTGAAATTTGTGATCGTAGAGTAGCATCATCGGCTGGCATAACGTCTAAGCGTCCTAGAGTGAATATCATGTACATTTCAATTGTCCACCTTTTGACACTTTTATGTTTGCTTAGTGTATCAAAGAGGTCTTGGTTAGACATATGGGCTATTGTATCATTCGATGGTAGAGTTTTTTTAATAGCGGCATCGGCAATGTTGTGAACGGCTTCAGCTTTTAGTTTTGAGAAACCGCAAGAGTGTAGTTTTTCGACGTCAGTGTCTACGATTTGCTGTGGAGTTGGAAATGTGGTTTGATTGTATAGTTCACATAATCTGTGAATTATAGCTTCTGTAGCTGCAGAGGAGAGTTTCTGCGATGTGATGGCGCGAATGAGACCTTCGTATGGTTGTCTGTCGGGATGAGGTTGTAGTGTACAGGGACCGACGGTGGATACAATTTTATCCCAGGTAGAATTAATTTTGCTTATGTGATGTTCGGCTTGTTTGTAGGTTTGCGGCATACTTGATAAGAACAGTAGAGTGTGAGTTTGGGGTAATGTAGGCAGGTTGGAAGGAGTTGAACATGTTTGTCATCATTACACACATGGAGTATAAGGAATGAGTTTGGAGATTGTGGTGAGGATAGTTAAGAATGTATTTCTATTGCATCAAATACGAAAGTAGGCGTGATAGAGGAATTTGATTATATGTAATTTAATGTTGTGTGAGACGTGTAAAAGTATTGTAATTGGTGAGGGTAGTGAAAGTGTTTAGACTAATTATAGTTTCGTTTGATGTGGGTGATCGGAGAAGTGGGGGATTGGGTAAGTAGAAGGGGAGTACGAGGCGAGTAAGGAGGTATAGTGAAGAGGAGGTTAGTATATGAAGGAAGTAGCGAGACTTAATATGGATTAAAGGATAGTGTAGAGAGGGAGAAAGGGTAGGGTGTAGTAGAAAGGAGTATGACTGGATTGAGGGTGGGAGGTGAGAGAGAAATGTGTGAATGGTAGAAGTAAGATAGAAGGTAGGTGTGAGTGGAAGAGTTGGATGTAAGGAGGAGGGTGATGTGCAGTGGGAAAAAATAGCAGGATACGGATGGGCAGTTGAAGTCAGGAAGGGGAAATGCAAGAGAAGAGGTGTTTGAATGAGATGAGTTAGAAATGTGCAAAAAAATATTATTGGGAAAGTCATAGTGTTGGTAGTAAAGAATAAAGGAAGTGGATGATGGTGGTTTGTGAGTGTGGGACGAGATGGGGTGTAAACAAGTAGTATGGAGAAAACAAGGTAGAGTAGTGAGCGAGGAGAGGGTGGGAGGTAACATGGAGGAGGGAGTGCGTAGCGCAGCGGAGCAGAAGTTCGTTAGAGGGAGAGGGTGCGGAAAGTAAGAACAAAGAAAAGGGAAAGAGAGGGGAAGAAGTAGAACAGAGCGATAGACAAATAAATACATAGGAAACGAACGACATAAAACAATAGAGAAAGCCTATACATTTGTTTTACCGAAAAAAATTTTTGGAGTATATCAACAGAAAGAAAAAGACAGCATGTTTTAATAGAATTGGGGCACTGGATCGCATGTATTTTGACATGTAAGAACCATATCGCACTTACACCCGGCATGACCTGACTTCAAAACGTCTCATGCAATGTCACCTCAATTCTCATTCGCTAATTAAAGATTTAGGGGATGAAATATAATTTTATTAGATAATAGCTATCCTCTGTTGCACAACTCGGTATAGGCACGTTCGTCTACCAGGTCTATTAGGTCTACTTGGATTACTGGGTACTCATGAAAATTAATGACCGTCAATAAATTAAATGTTATTATAGCTATTACTTTAAATAATTCTTAGATTTCCTAGTTCTTGGCTGATATTTGTAGTTTGGATATAGTTTTTCGTGTTCGGTTTTATAACATTCTGACATCTTAAAGTATTTCATCTTGACTTCCTTAGATTCCTCCTTCCAAAAGCTGACCAACCAATTTAGAAACTTCAGCATTCGGTCATTCCAGGATTGGTTTCGGATAGTAAAGATTGCTTTTCTTTACGGTAGAGAATGAAAGCATTTGGTGGTCGCGGCGCTCTTGGAGGCATGTTCTGCTTTCGTATGTTTTTCATTATGTACCCTGGAACTCTGCAGTTTTCTAATTTATAAGATGACAATTGTGGTGTCTGTGCTAAACCATAGCTATCAAAAAAGACAGGTCTGAGACATGGGAACAAGTAATGGAGTGTAGCCCTCTGGAACAAAATATGCAGCTCCTCTCCCATCTTCAATAGATTTTAAAGCATCTTTCGTTAAATATTTCTTTAATTTCCATTCCGGATCAGAGATACCGCTGGACATTTGTGGTAAAGTAGAATTCATTTGCATTCTTATGATTGAAAAGAAGGTAGCGTTCAGACAGCACCTATAAATATGCTAGAACAAAGAAACCTAACTGGGCAGCTCACTAAATTACCTAAAAAAAACATGAATTCTTATCTTAAAAAGAACCAAAAACATGGAAACGTCGGAATTACTAGAAATTTTATAAAATTTGTGACGCTATACAACTAAAACTTTCTTCATTAACCCTAGCAAATAAAACCAAGATAAACTTGAGGAAAAAGAAGCAAAAACACAACAACTATAAACTACATATAAGCACGGTTCAGTAAATTTGGAAGGCGTTTCTGGCTATTAGGTTGGATGCTGTGCATACAGAAAAATTATGTTATTCCAGTCCCTACAATCTAAACTATAAAAGACTTCTAATTGTATATTTATCAAGTTCTATGAATTGTTATCCGACTTTATTTGGTCCATCTACTTGATGACAAGTTGACTGTCATAGCAGCATACTGTCAGTTCAGATTTTATCCCATTTGTCATAATCAATTGAATGCACTATTTATATCTCTTTATATCTTTTTATATATCTTTTTCTACCTTTTGAGCTTCTTTCTAATTCTTGAATTTTTTGAAGTCTTTTACATAGGTTGGAATATTATGTATCCTCTTTCACGTTGTTTAGCTTTGATTTACGCGTCATTTCAAAAAGAAAACCAAAAGTAAAGCAATAATAATCATCTACCCATGCACCATGAATATTTCCAACGCGTTTTTTTACTCCCTTTTCACTTTCATCTACCTATGCCCTTAATCTCTTCAACTTCCTGATCGGTTCCATCTACTAACGTACCCCACATAGTCTAACACCCCACTCATCGTGGGTATGGCACTAACTTTAGAAACGCCAGAGAGCTTCGCTTTTTTCTTTAGCATGATCTGTACTGATACTTTAAACTGCCAAATACCACCCATCACTACATCTCTCTCTCATCGTTCTACGCATCTTCTACATACTCTTCCCCTCCCTCTCTAGTTCTTTACTACACTCCGCTACTCCACCCTCTGTCTGTGTCTACAAACTTCAACTACCATCATTTCACATACTCCTATTCATTTATCATGGATACGGAAGCCAATGCTGAAATTTTGAAAGACCCTAAAATAGAAACCATCCTACACAGTGAACTCGGCCTCTCAATCCTCAATGACCGCATAAAGTCCCATTTAAACATTTCTAAAGAACTGGCCAATTTTCTAAAAAAGAGATCAGTTCTTGAAGAACAATCCGCAAAGGATCTTCAAAAAATCGCTAAGTCGTTTCTTGAAACTTTTCAAGACAAAAACCCTCCATCAACTTCTTTTCCGGCTGCTCTTATAAAATCTCTTCAGATTCACGAACAACTAGCCTCCAACTCCTTCACTCAGCAAAAAGCTCTTTCAACATGTTCGGATGAGGTACTGGACTTTTACAAAAATTGTGATCGTAAACGAAAATCAATTAAAGAATATGCCAAACGACAAGAAAATACGTACTTAGAAGCTGTTATTCAAATGGACAAATCGAAGGCCCGTTTCAAAAGCGCTGAACACGACTATAATCATACACTTGACCAAAAGAACGCCAGCGACAATCAAAAGAAAGTTGGTTTCTTCAAACCCAAATCGAATGCACAACTATCGAAACTTGAAGAAGAGGCTCGATCAAAGGCTGAATCTGCAGAGTCAGACATGAAGTCAAAAATTCAAAATGCTCAAACTGCTCAACAAGAGCTCCTGCTTATCCACCGTCCCAATTATATAAAACAGTTTTTCAGTTTGCAACGAGAAATAGAGGCTGCTTTAAACTGTAATTACCTTCGTTATTCAAAATTATGCGAAACTCACACTGTGATGAACGGTCTCTTAATTCGTCCGCAAACACCATCCACGAAAAGCTCTGGCTTTGAAAACGCCCTTGACAACTTCAACTCGAATGCTGACTTCCGCCAATACGTCCTTGATACTGCTGTTCGCCGAAAGAATAACCAAAACCCTTCAGACGCATCAAAAACGAAAATCGTCCAACCGCCAAGCTCTTATGGTCCCGCTAACCAATCCTCTACACCACCCTCTATTAACATTTCTATTCCCTCTAATCCGACCCACATTTCCTCCCAATCCACTTCCAACTTTAATCGTCCGATGACTTCTCACCATCTTCAATCCGCTAACCGCCCAAAATCGGATAAACAAGAAACACTACCATCCACTGCGAACGCACTGAAACCATCTACACCTATTTCTCCGATCTCTTCAAAAACCTCCCCCTCACCCACGAAATCAGAAACCCACCATACCAACGTTGATCAACAAAGTGCTACGGTTCACGAATCCTCGAATACCAACGTTACTCAATTACCGCCCTTAACTAAGTCACCATCACAGACTTCTGCTTCAACGAAACCTCCTTCTCCTGATATCCTTTCGTCTCATCATGCTAATGCTACTCAAAAGGACTCACCTCCTAAAATACTGGACACATCCATTCTCTTTGGTGCTCATCTTGAAGCCATTCTTCTACGCGAACATTCCAATGTCCCTAACATTGTTGTTCAATGTACCTCTCAAATCGAAACTTTCGGTCTTAATCTCCAAGGTATCTACCGCATTCCCAGTTCGGCTGCAAAGGTTTCAGCCCTTCGTCATCAGTTCACAGTTGAACCACTCACGAAACTAAATTCCCCTAAGGATTACGGAAATGACATTCACTCTCTCGCAGATCTCCTCAAATCCTTTTTCCGTGAACTATCTGAACCTCTCATTCCAAATCAACATTACAACGACTTTATAGAAGCCGGGAATGTTGACGACGAAGCTCGTCGGAGAGACGCTGTGCATCGTGCGATTAATGACTTGCCTGATGCCAACTACTCAACCATTAGACATATTACAATTCATTTGGCAAAAATCAAAGAAAACAGCGATGTCAACAAAATGTCTACCAACAATCTGGCTATAATTTGGGGTCCAACCTTACTAAAACAAGCTACCATCCCAGAAATAAGCAGTTTCTCTCGTACTATTGAGATCCTCATAGACTACTGTTTCACTATCTTTGACTATGACTAACAAGTTAACAAAAACTTAATATTTTGGTAAATCCGCTTCCTTTTTTAATTCTTTACTCACCATATTCACTTTATTCTTTTAAAGAAGTAATTACGATTTCCTCTCTATTACTTTAAATATATTATTTTTCTTTTTCATCAAAACAAATCTTACTTTTTCTTTTTTTACATTGCAATTTCCTCTTGTACTAGTCCATGAATTTAGCTCATTGATACTTTTCTGTTTCTCAAATTTTCTTCAACCCAACCTTTACATAATTCCCTTCTAACAACCTCAACTGCACTAAAGGATGAAGTATACGGAAACTAATGCGGACGATTTAAATGATGAATTAGAATACCAAGTTGATACTTCTTCAAATGAGTCGGAGAATGAAGACCAAGCCGACATTTCTTCACATGAAAATGACACTACTCGTGAATCCTCCTCTACATCCTCTGAAACAAAAAGGAATAAGCGTAAACGTCAACGTGAAAAATTAAAAGAAAAGAAAAAGAAAAAATTTGGTTCATCTGACCAGCAAAGTGGTTCTCTTATACACTCTCCGGACATTCTCTCAGACATTGTCAATAATCAGATTCGGTTGAATTTTAAGGATTTGTCTGCTGTCGAACTGCAAGATAGATTTATCAAAGGTAACTTGTCCTACTCAAAAATATTTTACTAACAAATTAACAAGCTTCCTACATTCAAGATACCCTTGACTTTTCCAAAGAAAGAAAGACTGAGAACTATACAGACTTTTTACTCCATGCATTCGAAAATCCGAATCAAGAAAATGTGTTCAAAAAAGTTGACGCAAACGGTAGTCCTACTACTTTAATCTTCTGTCTTTCTGCTTTACGAGCTCTTGATATCGTCAAGGCTCTTCGAAAACTACAAACAAATGAATTCAAAATTGCAAAACTTTTTGGAAAGCATATCAAACTCGACGAACACAATGATTACTGCAAAAAAAACAAAATCGGCATCGCAGTTGGAACCCCTCAACGTATACTACAATTGACAAACGGTATGTACCTAAACCTTTTAACTTATTCCTAACTAACATTGAACTAGGAAGCCTAAACCTTCAGAACTTAAAATTTGTTGTACTCGACTATACATTTACAGACAAAAAATCATACAACATTATCACAAACAATGATTGTAAAAAACCAGTTATGGAATTTCTCACGCATCCCGTACTACTTCAACGTTTAACCGACAAACAGACAAAAATATGTTTTTACTAGTTATTTTTTCTCTTTTATTTTTATGGGTTTTTGGTTTATTATATAGACTGTTTAATATACAGGCATCAAATAGCATAAAGAGATCCTTTTCTCACTTTGAATTTATATATATACATAGGTTTTTTTGTTGGTAATTCTTGTGTATTTTTTAGCATTGGTAAAAACATTTTTATATTTACGCCTCCTATAACTAGGAGCCTGTTAACAAACAATACGTAACTCTAACCAACACACCTCTTGCTCAACTGCTAAATAAATGAATTTTTGAGCTTATACGAGACCTACATAAGCCCTTAATCCTTTCACGAATATTTATTTGTTCTGCATCTTTTCTAATTGGCATATTTATAACAAACGTCTCCTAATATAACCAAACTTGCTTTCATTTTGGCTGTTTCCTTACAGCGTTAGTTACTACAATTATGTTTCTTTCATTCATTCTTATTTATTTATTAGGTGGATTTACTTTCTTGCCTTTGTTGATCGTCTTGTACCTATTCAGGCCGTTTCAACCTAAAAAGAACTTTGACGAAAACAATATTTCTACAAAGGCTTATGCAAAATCTATTTCTGATTCTCCTGAAAAGGTCTTAATTCAAGATTGGATTAGGTTGTCTCCAACATTCCTTAATGGTAACAGTGGCTCGGTCAAAATTCATGAAATTGAAGAGTCTCCTGACGGAAAAGTAGAGTCTCATGCCCTTCTTTCGGATCTAAAGATTGTAAATGAAGATGGTAAAACGACTCGATACTGTTTAAAGAACCCGAAAGACGTTTATTTTGTAAAACTGATCGATGGTCAACTTTTACTACACGACCCACTAAACACTCATTGTTTACTGCGTACACTAGATCTAGAGGACTATCATATAAAAATATTTCCTTCTGAAGTTTCCGAGAATGAAGCATTTAGCAATCGAAACGCGGTTTTACTAAAGCCTACTTCAGATAAGCAGCATCCTCAGTCAAGCCCAATAAGTTTAGAATGTCAAAACTTGTATCTCTATGCAAGAAGTCCGTCGAAAAAGGAAGATTGGTATTTCAAACTTCTCTCCTTCTCGAAAACTTGCCCCCCTCTTAGACCAACTGACGGTCCTGCTAGTTTTGACTATTACTCTGTCAAAAACAACCTCGATAATCTTTCTTCTCCTGATCTAACCTGGCTAAACGCATTCATTGGAAGGATCTATTTAGGAATACATAAATCTGAAGGTTTCAAAAATACCGTCAAGCACAAACTATCCCGCAAACTGTCGAAAATAAGTACGCCGGAAATGATGTCTGACATTCAGGTTACCAACGTTGATGTTGGTGAATCCATTCCTATTGTAGACAACTTAGAGCTTGTCTCGATTTCAGAAGCAGGAGAGCTCAATGTATCCGCAGACATACTATACCAGGGTGACTGTAGTTTCAAAGCTGAGACGGCTGCGAAGCTAAAGCTTGGATCAAAAATTCCTTCTAAAAAAGTAACATTCTCATTGGTTATTCGTCTAAGGCATTTGTCTGGAAGAGTCCGTCTTCTAATCAAACCACCTCCGTCAAACAGAATTTGGTACGGTTTTTATGAGGATCCTAAAATTGAACTCCATGTAGAACCTATGGTATTGCAGAAGCAACTTAGTAACAGTTACTTACTGAACTATTTACGAAATAAATTATTGGATCTGATATTTGACACCATGGTTCTTCCTCATATGAATGATATTGCCTTTTTCTCTGATGACCCTTGCCCTATAAAGGGAGGTTTATACAACTCCAAAGATTCATATGTTAATATAACAGGAAAAACAGAAGACACCAAAAATAACAAGAAAAAAGTTGAATCTCCTGAGCCACAAATAGATGAAGCAGACCGCAACTCCATCAAATCTCACGAATCTGACGTTAAAGATTTTGACTTGGCTAAATCTTTAAGTAAAGATCTCAGTGATAGCTCCGATAACTGTGAATCAGATGATGAGTCAAAAAGCACTCAATCACAAACGTCTATACCTATCACTAATAATTTTACCTATGCAATGAGGGATGATAAATCTATAAAGTCAATCCCTGCTGAAAGAAAAAGCATAATGTCCCGAAAAACAAGACCAAAGTTTTGGAATGATTCTTCTCAATCTACTATATCCGATGCCACTAAAAAGTATGGAGTTGCCGCAAAAAAGTCTTTTTTTCAAGGAATATCAGAAGCGAAGTCATTGGTGAAGAAACTTCAAGCTAACTATACGAATTCTTCTGATGATGAGGATGATAATTTATTAAAATCAAACTTGCAAGAACCTCAAACGAAAAAACCTGCACTTAACAATACTTCATTAGAGGAGGAAAAGTTAACAGGAAATGTAAATGAAAAAGAAAGCCTTAGCGTCTCCCAAAATGAAGAAAAAAAAGAATTACTACCAAAGAATCATTTGTCTAATGAATACTTTCCTTGTAAAAATGGGAGTTCACAATTTGTGGACCAATTACAGATGCCTGATTCCAGCGGCAAATCAATGGAAGAACCAAAAGAACAGTTTGAAGGACAAAAGAACTCTACCCACATCCCACATGAATCAATAAATGGTGAACAGCTACCGGCGAAAGAGTTAGAACTAAACACCATCAGAACTACGTCTGTTGATTGTAAACATAAGCTACCTCGTCGACCTCTTCCTAATGATGTTTTCAATGAGAATAGTAAATAATTTATGAGTCCATATTAAATAATAACTGATATACTACAGAGAAGACATAGTATGTATGCCAAACGGAACTACCAACATATAGTTGATTAGATGCTAAAACTTTCACAGACAGTAAAACATTTATACATAGGCAGACGCCACTCATTACATTTATCCTTAGCTAAAAAAAAAACTAGTAAAGAGGGACGTATCACCAAAATAAAAGACATTTAAAAACCGTGGATCTTTATGTTCTTTTTTTGCATGCCAAGTTGTTGAGTCAAAAACTGCATAACATTGACACGTTGATCACCTTGAAGCTGAATAACTTCACCCAAATCGTCGTCTTTAACGATAGTGCCGTTACAAGCAAAGTCCTTCTTTAAAACACGCAAGATACGCTTCAAGTCAAATTCACGAGGAAGACCTTGGACAGTAGTTAATGTTTTACGACCATTTCTCTGCTGGATACGAATATGAATGTTATTCAGAGGCTGAGCTTCATCATCACCAGTGTCAGCAAAAGGATCTAAAATAAGTTAGAATTCTTGTCATGTATACATTATTTCAATTAAAGCATCGATTCAAGGACCAGCAACACAGAAATAAGGAAAACAGAATGAACGTAAACGTATCCAAACAAATCACAAGCCGTTCTACAAACGATACGACAGTTACGACACGCTTTATACATATGCTCGTTCTTCTTGCTAATCCTCTCAAAAGCTTTCCTCTTTAAAGCTTTTCAACTTACCAATTGTATTGAAGTTTTGAATAGCAGACATAAAACGTAAACGCAGTTCCTGATTGAAAAAAGAATAAAAGTTCTTTTTCTTTACCAAATAGGTTAAGGTGTTTGTTAGAAGTTCTGTATGCAGGCGACGTCCTACTTATAAAGAAAAAAAAAAGTGTTAATAAAATTAATAAAATATGATTAAATTTATTCGTTTTCTTATTGGTTTTGCCAACATCAGCGATGGCAAATTTCTTTTTTTTTACCACCTCGTTAACTAGCTCAGAGTACTATAGCGAGTCGCCTTATTTTTTAAAGCGATTCTGCATTGAACCCATCTAGGTGGGGGCAGTTTTTTTGTCGCCTCCAGGGCTGCAATAAAAATAAACAAATAACGTTACAAGAGTATGAAAAATGGCTTTATAAGTCAATTGTTTTTAGTCATGCCTTTAAATATATAAAAAAAGATTATAGGAATGCATCTGAATAAATAAGACATGTTTTCATCAATACTTGCTGTTCATTGTGTGTGTTGAGAGGTTTCTTCATGTACAATATAGCTTACTGTGAACTCTGAGTGTTCATTTTTTGAATCAGTTTTAAGGATCCTTAGACACAAATTAAAATGGTTCTTCCATTCCAAGCAATTCATTTTGAAGTACTCGTTTCAGTGTTTATGAAAAAAATGTTTGTTTACAAGATCATTTTTACGAACGACTTTTTTTTTTGGCATTCAAACAGATGAGTAGCTAAATATCCGTATTGCTTTTAATATTCTTTTAATATTCTTTTTATTTTTTGATATTTTGTTTCGCTTGTTTTCTTTGTACAACACAGTTATTTCGATACATCATCATCAAAAACATACGAACAAACGATTTTTGTATTTTTTAACTTTGGCTCCTGGAAATAATAAACAAAGCGACATTTCTTTTCTTTATTATTTCCAATTTATCTTATTATATTTCTATTGTGTCTTTTTGTCTTTTTTTAACCCAATTTTTTTCCTTTTTTTCTTGTTTCCCTTACTCATTTCTGGTTTTTTTAAACGAGACTAAAGGTTATAACTTAATCTGAAATTCCAACATGTTACCAAATAAAAAGTCAACATGCGCTAAATACATAAACCCTCGCACCTAAAATGTTGCCAAACGTGACACATCAAAGAAGGTTAGCCTAATAGTGTACGCAGAATACTACTCATCCACCACCTCTCACTACTACCATTTATCCGCGAATTTTGCTTTTTCTGCAATAAAGAAAAAGAAAAAAGCGAACCTTTTCTAACTTTCTTTGACTCTATGTTATAAAACCTTTTAAAGGTAATTGTCAGCCAAACTCCCCCAGGAGTTTCTAATATTTGTATTCAGTGGTATTATATTCCGGTTCATTCATATTGGTATTATCTTTTTCTTTCTTTATACTTTAATTAGTATTTCGTTCTTTATAAGACTCTTTTGAATTTCGTTTTGGCTTAACTTTTTAGCTTGCGCTTTCTTTTTTTCTCGCAAGTTTCTTTCTTTACTTAATCTTTTGTCATTCGTTTTGGTATTCTCGACGCATACTCTATCTTTCTTTCTTTCTTTCTTTCTTTTCTATTTAGTAGCTCTACTTTCTTCGGCTTGTTTTTCTTTCCTTTTTTTCTGTTAAAAAATGTCGGATGTGGATAATCGACTTTCGAGTAGTATCAGCAAAATTCAGAGTAGCCCTTTGTCCGTTGACACAAGGCTAGACAGCGAAGGATTGGATGGCTCTCGTAGAAGTGGTTATCATGGTCTCTCACCTCTAGATGCCTTGGCTCGAAAACATCGTGATTTAACTCGTCAACTAAATTTGCACAACTATGCAAATTCTCCAATATCTAAATCAGAGGATTGTCTTGTTTTGCCCAAAGACAAACCTACTCGAATTCATGTGCATCGAACAGGTTCTCCTCTTACGCCTTCCGAATCAAATTCCTCCACAACGATGCATGGCCCTAGTGTATATGATGAAGATCATTACTGTGTTGCTCAACAACTAAGCAGCGTTTTCGGCACCCCTGATATTGATGATGATGACGATTTTGATTATTCCGAAAAATTGTATGCAGAATCCCGTCTTTCTTCAAATTCTGAGGAGTATAGTTCTGTCGCCAATCATTTTGACGATGATGAATACTTTAAATCGCTCGAACCGCCGAATGCTCCCTATCGTCACCAACTTGATTTCCTAAAACCAAACGATCTGACCTTGCCATCTGTTCCTTCTCAAGAAGAGTTAAATCCCACGTCTCCTTCTGGGAATCGCCCTCCTGTTATCCGCGCTTCCACTGCCCCGACTTCGTATGGAACTACTTCTTCGGCTGTAAGATCTTTAGAAGGTACCTTGACCGTTTCTCATTCTAGTGATGCGTTAAACGTCCAGCAGGCCAGTGCAGAGTTTTACAATACTAATAACATGTCGAACTCTTCTAACGTGGGTGATTTTTCTGCTATAATGAAAGACCAACACAAGGATGCAACTACCCCTAACCAATCTTCATCATCGCTTGATTCCCCTTTAGGTGGCACAAGTCATCCTGGAAAAGTACATAAAACTATACATCTAACAAAGTCTGCCCCGAAGCACCAAACAGTCTCTATTTTCAGAACACAGTCTCCGTTTCTGAAGAAAGCAGATAAGGAAAGGGCCAACCTCAACAAGACAATGGTTTCTATTAATAAATCAGTTAATATTTATCAAATTTTTGCCGAAAGCAATCAATCCAAGGTTGATTCGAGTAATTCTTTCAGACTTCTTCCTCTTTCTATCCGATTACAATTCCCAATCCTTCGACATTTGGAATTCTCTTTGCAAGCTTTGACAACGAGTGCAATCCAATATATAGATGAGAACCATGTTGATATCCCTTATACCGCGCTGAAAACCGACCTTAGCCCCTTTCAGAATAATTTATTTGATTATGAAAACTTAACTAAAGAAGACCACCTGAATCAGGCGATTCGATTTCACCTTTCTAACGATTTTAACAGAGGCTTCCTACACTCCAGCTTCGCAGCTAGGCATGATGACCACACAGCCTCCTTTATTTATGGACTATACCTTCGACATGGCTTAGCTTGTTCTCCTAAAACACATGTTTCTTTCCTTTTTCTTCTCAAGACAGCTACTTTCCTTCTGCGTGATCTGTCTATCTCTTTTCAGGATGCAACCGTCTCTGCTAACAAATCAAATCCATCAGAAACAGAATCAAAGCAGTATACCCGAGATCGATTATTACTTGCCCTGGTATTGTATGAGCTGGCTGTATGCTTTATGCATGGCTGGGGTATCACTAGGGATCGGCCATTGGGTATACATCTCATAAAACTAAGCGGAGCTTGGGGAGATGTAGATGCTCAATTTGAGGCAGGAATTCAGCTATCTTTGGGAACAGTTGCCGACAAAGATTCTCAAATGGCTGCAAACTATTTCCTATCAGCTGAATCACAAGGGTTATCTCCTCCACAAAAATGCAAATGGATTTATAAATCAAAGTACAACTTGCCACTTAATTACAATGTACCAGCTGCAAAAGAGGTGACTCTTGTTGCTAGCATATTGGAAAACATTGAAGCGAATGCAATAAAACTGAATGGAAAGAACAAGGCAAAATTTCGAAACTTTATATCTGCAGTTCGTTATCTTTAGGAATTGTATTTATAGACTTTTAGGAGTTAAAACTTTATGTTTAATGTTTGGTTTTTTTTTCTTTATGTTTTATGTTCTTTGGTTTTCTAGGTTAATAATCAGTATCACTGGAAAGATTAAGAATTGTACAATACACAAATAAGAAACTTCTATTTATAACGTATGTATATTCAGAACTATCAAAATGCTCGTATTAATACAACCACACGATAATTCCGACTCTGTTTAAGAAGTACTGTATATTTATTACGACAAATTATGAAGAGACGTTGAAGACACAATGAGGGATTCGTAAAGCATCAACGAAATTCTGAAACATAACAACATTATCAACTAAATCATACACTGGTATTAATAAGCTTCAAAGGACATGATAAAAGCAAGAAGAAACATTGAAAACTAATGGCAAAGACCGACACTTTGAAGACTATCACAGTGCGAGCGACGATAGCCCAAGGCAGCACCGATGGCAATGGCAGCAATTACATAAGCATTGTAAGTCATAGCAACGAGCATTAAGAAGTAAGAGAATATGAGTTGAATAGCATATAAGGTACAGAGACGGAATGGACGACTAACCTTTCCTGATCTCTTTGCAGGTGTGATGAGTCCATTTGTTTGTTCATTATAGGCCTTTTGAAAACAACATTCTTCGATAGAATTATAGCTTCGTAGCTTTTCAAACGCGTACCCCAGAAAGACAATTACCAGCAGAGAAATCCCAAATTGCAAACCGGAACTAATATGCCATTGTTTGAAGACTATACAAAGATTATTATAATCGGTATTAAATGTCATCTTCATAGAACAGTGCTTTATAATTGAATTTCCATTGTCGTGACCATGATCCATGATTTTAATTAAATTTCAACTCGATTGGAGAAAAGATTGTTATTATTGAATAAATACAATGATTTACTTGAAACAGATAAAGTACGTTGTTTGTAAATTCTAACAGGTGCTACCTAAATATACGACTGCGAGATTTTTGCTACTGCAGGTAGGTAAGTGTTCTACCCATCATGTCATAGAAATAGACTGTTGTTTAGCCGATGAATTTGTTCGATTTGAAAGTTTTGAATAATACAAAAAGATTAAGTATTCATGTCTTGTAATTATGAGGAAAAAGGGAATTTTCGTTTGGTTCATTATTTCAACTGAAGGAAATTTCAGTAAGTATTTTTTGTTGAGCCCTTGTTATAAGGTGTAAAAACGTACATCAAGTCATCGTATAAGACAAAGATAATGATTTTAGGGGTAAAGAATATACATAAAGCAAGGCAATCGTGGAACGACAGAGTTTTACATGCTAATTCTTGTCGACACATTCATAGTAAAAGGTAGCAGACCGATTGGAAAGCTGAGGAGGTTTAGAAGTCTTCCCAACAGGATCCAGTCGCGAACGAATCGTAGATAAAACCGTTTTTTTCTGTTCAGGAGACACCGGAGGGGTGTTTCGTTTATTTTGAACGTGAATCTCCACCATGAGACCATTCTGGAGGAATTTTTCAGCCCCTTTTAATTTCCGTTCTAAATCGTTTTTATCAATTCTCCATGACAAAAGTACGTATCGAAGACGAGTTTTGCTCTCATGCTTCGCCTTCCGTACTTTGATTTCTTGAGAGGTTTTTTCACCTCTCATTTTAGCCAGCAGGTCATATGGAGCATAAACGCAAATTGGATGCTCTACTTTTTCCGAAGGGTTTGCAACTTTTAGTACAGCATGATCCCCCATTTCCCTAGCCTTTGAGATTGCTTGATGAAGATTACATAACGAAAGTTTGTTTTTACGTTCTTCTTCCATCCGCATAAACACAAAGTCAGATGCAATGCTTTCATCAATTCTTCCCTGGAATAGCACTTTCAAGGACTCACTGAGCTTGGTACCTAAAACGAACGAAGAATGAAAACATCGCATAGGATTGACACGAGGCCAAGTATTTTGAGATCCTATAAACGATGGACGAGAGGCAATAGCAAACCTAAACAGCAGATTTCGATACATAGTCATGACTTTACTATGTACTATGCGTCTTATGTACAATCAAAATAAAACCGGTGATTTTTCGCTTTTGAGTACGAAACTACGAAATGACGAAAGCCAAGAAAAGTTCTATTTCGTACAACGATAGAATTTTAAAAAAACCTCAAGAGAGAGAAGAGATCATTCACATACTTTTCCTACCAACGTCAACTTTTATAAACTGCTAACAACTTTGCAACGATACGTTAATAAACAAAAAATTGAAATTGAAATTTCTATGGATTGTATTTGTAATAAAATGGCGGACTCCTGTTGAAGAATCAACAGATCTTTAGCTGTGTCTACATGGTCACTGTCTTATGATATTTCGTTCAATACGTGAGAGGAAATCTGGCTCTTCAAAAACTTGCAGAAGGATGCGCAAACGATAAAATTTCATAAGTTTAATTTGGACATAAAGGAACAATAAAGGCTATATTCAATTCTGAGTGGAAAATCAAGAGTAGTCGCTAAGAAGAACACAAAAGAATGTGCAACTTCAGATACCCGTCTACGAGAAAATTTACTAACCTTGTAGCAGAATGACAGCTATTGGATACTTCATGAACGTTCATCTATTCTCCAAAATATCCTTCCTTTAAACAAAATATCTATCATCGGCTGGGTTTAGCGCTCTCTTCTCTGCGCACCTCATTTAGCCCACCACGAAGTGTGCGAGTAATGAAATTTCCGCTCAATTTAAGCTCAAATGTTGGGGTTTTACCTTCATATAATCATGGATTAAAGTCATGTTTAAGGACAAAGACAAAGAAGCTTTTCTCTACAAATGTGCTTGAAGAGTATCCTATTCGATCACACAAGTTGCAGAATGGAGTCACCTTCGTTACAGATCCACGGCCAGGACATTTTGCGGGCCTTGGTGTCTACGTAAACGGAGGATCTCGCTATGAAACTAAAGAACTGACAGGAATCAGTCATTTTATGGACCGCCTTGCGTTTCAAGGAACAAAGTATACATCAGTAGAAGACATGAAAACAAAACTTGAAATTCTTGGTGGTAATTATATGTGCGCAACTAGTCGCGAGTCGATGATCTACCAAACAGCTGTATTTAATGAGGATTTTAAGAAAATGGCAAAACTTCTTTCAGAAACGGTCCTTTATCCTGAGATTTCGGAAGAAGATCTTATGCATTATCGTGACAGTATTAATTATGAAAATACAGAGCTCTGGACCAAGCCAGACGCTCTTTTGGGTGAATTGGCTCATGTAACTGCTTTCAAAAACAACACTCTTGGAAATTCCTTGCTTTGCCCACCGGAAAAGGCATCTTCCGTAACAGCAGACAGCATCCAACGGTATCTGGAACATTTCTATCATCCTAAAAATATGACACTTGCTTATTCCGGTATCTCTGAAAACGTCGCTAGAGACGTAACGGAGGAATTTTATGGTCATCTACCAAAATCAAACCAGCCTTCTCTATTAAAGGAACCTTCCCACTATACTGGAGGAAGTATGTCAATCAACAAAAAAGAAGCACCTGTGGTTCCATACCAGCAGGAATTCTCCCATGTGTTGATAGCCATGGAGGGGTTATCTGTAACTGACCCCGATATATACGCATTGGCTTGTCTTCAATTCTTATTAGGAGGCGGAGGATCCTTCAGTGCTGGAGGTCCTGGAAAGGGTATGTATTCCCGCTTATATTTGGACGTTCTGAATCAATATCCCTGGGTGGAAACATGCATGGCTTTCAATCATAGTTATACCGATAGTGGTCTTTTTGGAATCTTTATCACGATTTTGGATGACGCTTCTCATTTGGCTGCTCCCATAATAATTCGAGAACTCTGTAGCATTGCCATGTCCATAAGCAAAGAAGAAGCAGAGCGAGCTAAAAACCAGCTTCGCAGTTCCTTGCTTATGAACTTGGAAAGCAGAATGATTTCCCTTGAAGATTTAGGACGTCAAGTCCAGACTCAGAATGGAGTCTATATTTCTCCCAAAGAAATGTGTGAAAGGATAGAAAGTTTGACTCCAGCCGACTTGACCAGAGTTGCTCGAAGAGTATTGACCGGTAATGTAAACAATCCTGGAAAAGGAACTGGAAAGCCCACTATCTTGACTCATGGAAACGAAGACCAAATTGGTGATATTTTTGCACTTTGTAAGAAAGCAGGACTTGGCAAATAAAAAATTCTGTCTAAATTCCTCACTGAACAATAGATTCTTGTTTTTTGACCGTTTCTTGTTTATTTCTGCTATTTGAAATTGAACCATAGATTAAGGTAAATAGTCTTTGAGAAAATGGTTTTAGTAGAAGAATAATTATGCTGAATACGTCTATAAAAATTGATTCAAACATGCTTACGTTGTCGTCTTCTAACCTAATTGGAAAGGTCGCTAGAAAACCTTTCATAACATGCTATAGCTATATTCATTTGGTACTTAATAAATGTAAAGGTTTTATGTTTCTTCATTCAAAGGCTATTCCCCATTATTTATGTTTTTGTCCATACTGAAAGACACAAATTTCGCTTTTCGCTAACACTCGTTATTACAATAACACAGCAGAGTGATGCTTCTGGTTTGTCTATAGGTAAAAGTTACAACAATATGCTACTGACCTACCATTAATTGAAATTGAGTGTTTTCGATCAATTCTTTAATTAATACGACTCTCGTTTGTGGAGAAATTGTACAGTAATTTATTAGACATGTCTGTTGCTGATTTTTATGGCTCTAAAGTTGAGGTATACCTCAATAATGACGATGTTACACAAGGTGTAATAGCAAATTTTGATGCTGCAAATGCGATGCTTCAACTGAGACTTCCGGATAATAGTACCAAAAACATAGTTACTTCGAACATAAAAAACCTAAAAATTCTACCAAACGTCCCAGGATCACCCTCAACATCGTCAAAAAAGAGTAACACAAAGCCGACTTCGAGCACCAATTCAGGAAACACACCTTCCAAATCAAAGTCAAAGAACGATTCTTCTAAAAATCAATGGGCTATGGATTGTGATGGCGAGTTCGACTTCGCAGCGAATTTGGAGAAATTTGATAAAAAGCAAATATTCGCAGAATTTCGGGTATGTCAAATGAAGAGAGAATGCATTGGATTATGAACGAAAAAAGATAACTTGTTGTATTGAATGCAGGATCTCCAGAAACTCTTGAGACCCTTATTAACATAGACTTTGTTTTAGGAGAAAGACAAGAAAGACCCTACAAAGTTACTCGTGGCGCATAATAAAAGCCATCATCCTAAAAATTATCATCCCAACGAGAATGTTTTGGATAATAACGAAAAAGACAGTTCCTCAGACTCAAAAAACCCAAGCCCATCCTTTATCAAGGATTTTAGAAACAATATTGATGCTTCCTTGGCCTCCATGATGATCAATGAAACTACCATTAAAGGGTCGAACTCCAAATTTGGACCTTACTCTGAAAGACCAAAGAAAAAGGACCGTAGTGGTCAGTTAGCTCCCACAACTCTACATACAGTGTCCGGTGAAAAATTAATTACAGTTCAACCTGATTTACTCGCCCAAGCTGTAGCACTAGCTATTGCGAAAACGAGTACAGATATCGTCATTGAAAATGCTGCTCAGATCCTTTCTCAGTTTATATACTCTGTCTTGGGTGGACATAAGCGATTCACTACTTCCAACCATAACTCTCAACCTTTAGTGTGTATCATTGTAGGTCAACATGATCATGCGTCAGCGGCTGTTGCAGCTGGACGAAGACTCTGTGCAATCGGTGTTAAAGTGGTTCTTCGTTTATTAACACCTTATAATGTTGATAACAAACAATTACTTATGTTTTTAGCTGCTGGTGGACACATGCCAACTGAAAATTTCGATCAATTTATTGATAACTTTTCTTCTCCGATTGAGCTTATTGTCGACACGGTCAGCGGTTTCCACTCCGCTATTGATAAAAAAACAACTTCTTTAATTAATTGGATAAATAAGCAGAATGTTTTGGTGCTATCCGTTGATATACCTTCCGGTTACACCTGTGAACAATCAGATGCGGTTGTTGAGCCAAAGTGGACTTTAGCTTTAGGGGCTTTAAGTACGACATTGGCAAAAGCAGCATTCATTGATCAGGTTGCGGGTGTTTCCGTGTTTGTTGGGAATCTTGGAACAGGTGTACATACTTGGGATGAATTGGGGGTTGCCGACTCTCAAGTTAACGGTCAGTATCTTGCACAAATTACTTGTAATGGAACTGAGTAAAAGATATATATTAAAAAAACTATTAAATTGTTTTGAAACAGAATTACCAAAAAAATGGCTATGATCGAGTTCGTCGAATGAGGTCGTGTTGGAAGTTATTTACATATGTTTCGAATGGGCGCCGAAATTTATTAGCGAAACCGCAAATTATACCTTCCTGTGTAGGTTGTTGAAAACGTGAAAGTATATTCTGTATTTCACTGAAATCTGCAGTTCCGTGTTGTAAATCAGTCAGTACATCCTCAATATCTTCAATTCCTGGACGGCAAACAGGACAAATATGACAAGTATCACTGGAGTAGAATTTATAAAAATTGAGGAGGCTATCAACGACGTGATCTTGATTATTCAGCACAATAAGTGATCCATTTCCAAGACTACAGCCAAGTTCTTCCAAAGTCTGGTAGTCCATAGTTGCTTGTTGACATTGCTCCTTATTTAAAATCCCTGAAGCTGGGCCTCCAGCATACACGCCAGCTAATGAGTCCCATCCCCCTTTTACGCCTCCTGCGTGTCTTTCAATGAGTTCTTTCAGGCGAATAGATAATATTTCTTCCGTTATACCTGGATTATTCACATCTCCAGAGATGCAAAACAATCTGGTTTCATGACTGTTGACAATTTCCTTATTTAATGATTCTCTTTTCAGAATTTTAGATAGATTAGCCGCTGTCTCCACATTTAGCATAAGCGTTGGTAATCCAAATAAACCTTTTGTGCTTATGGGTTGAGGTAATTGCATTGCGATAGGAAAATGTCCTTCAAGCGATTCTAATAAAGCAGAATCTTCTCCGGTGATATAAGTACCTGCACCCGGGTGAACAAGAATATCCAGTTTTGTATTGGTTCCAAGAATATTTCTTCCTAAAATTTTGCTTCCGTAAGATTGTACAACTGCTTTCTGTAAGTTAACCATTTCTTCGTAGTAATCTTTTCGAGTATATACGTAGCAAAGGGTCGAGTCTATGGCATGAGAAGCAATTAATGCTCCTTCAATAATCTTCAATGGTTCGTAAAGAAGTAGCATCCTATCTTTAAAAGTACCAGGTTCGTTTTCAGCTGCATTGATGACAACAACGCTTGTCTTCCGTTTTTTTTCGCTACTGCTGCCTTTGGCTAGTTCATCTCTTACTTCTAACAATTTCTGAAAAGTAGGTATTCCTGAGCTTTTTCCTCTAAGACCCGATCTTTCTATGGTTTTAATCTATATATTACATATTTGAGATTAGCAACCAGACACCATTAAGAATCGTGAGTTTGGTTCCTAGAGTAAAGGTACATACAATGTCAATGGGATCTTTTTTCAAAACACTTGAAATCTCTGACCTCGTTCGTTCATCTAAGGCATCTTTTACCGGGCGTCTCTCCTTTTTGTATATATTTGGAAACAGACGCTCTTCTTGGCTACAGTATGACAATCTTTTTGCAAAGTAATTATGAACATAACGTAGAGAATCCTTAAATTGATGTCTTAGAAATAAAATCATAGCATTCGTTTGCAATATAAATAAGTCCTGAACTCTATGGTTAGATACCACTAGTAAGGTGCTTAGTCTAATGAAGCAACACATTTGTAAAATGAAGTAATACTAAGTGAATGAAATGTAAATTTACACATATTGTTTTTAGAAATCTTTTATTAAGAGCAATTGGTTATTCTATGAAAGTAAATGGGAGATTAGGCATTGACAAAATGAAGTAAACAAGGAGTTATGTGTTCAGTCCTTGCATTATGCAAGTTAAATTTAGAAGAATTCGTGTTGAAGATGCAGTAAAAGAGTCAAATTGAAGCTTGACTATTTATCCAGCTATTTTCTTTGTGGCTTTTGGTTTTGGGAATACATAGATATGCTTTAAGCAGCCCGTATATGTAGGAACAGAGCGACCAGTATCATGAAATCCAAGCTTAATAGCGACCTTTTTGCTGGCTTCATTTCCATGCATAGGATCTACCACAATTTTTCTGGCGCCTTGCTGAAAGGCAAATTCCATGGCTTTTGAAACGCATTCCGTTGCGACACCAAGGCCCCAGTAATCAGGGCTCACTTCAAAGAATAGATGTGCTGTTTCTGATGAAAGTGTCTTTTTTGAAATTCCAACATTTCCTATATACTTTCGTTTTGGGAATTGTGGAGATATTTCTAATGGGTAAATGCCAAAAACCCAACGTTTTCGTCTAGCTGGAAGGGTCCGAGCATCTGTAATGTAATGTTGAAACATAAACCTGCAATATTCCAGAGTAGTAATTTGTCCGTATAGTTGTGTACGATAGACTTTTGGATCGGATTTTATTTTTGTAATCTCGTCGAAGTCATCCTCTTCAACAGGAGACTTTAGCAAAAACCGACTGGTTTTCAGTTGAGTTACTCGCATTCGATGTAACTAGGACAGCTGCTATAGATAGAAACAGAAAGTGTTCAGATTAAACAACCTGCTTCTCCAAATAAATCAGAAAACGAAAGCCAAAGGAAAAAAAGTTTGGGTAGATTTAGGATTTATTTTTCTCAAAATCTTCTTTCAAATGTCTAACAACAGAATTTGCAGTTGCAATTCTTCAACATTCGTATGCAGACAGCCAATTTTTTTTTTTTTTTTTTTTTTTTTTTGACAATATATCAAGAGTCTTAACAAAGTTAAAGAAAATGAATAGGATTCAAGAATCTAAAAATCGTGTAATAATTGCTTTAATTAAAAATAGAAACGACTATCCACAACTGAACGAATTTGGGTAATTTCTGAAATTGGCATGTCTACAATATGTCGATTCTTCAACATGATTCATTTTTTAAGACAATGATACAAATAATTTTGCTTTAATATTATGCTAATTAGTGCTTAAAAGATGTTCTACATGCCGAATCCCAACACTCGCAACAGTGCATATATACTTACAGTAAGATCTTTTTCGTAACCAGCATGACTTGCACGCTTAACAATAGTAGCTGCTTACAAACTGAATTACTTTCTTTATAAACCATCATAATGGAAAAATAAAATTAGTATGTCTTGTCTTTATTTCATTAAAGTAGCGTAACTTCAAAAAGGAGGATCAGAAACTTCTTAATAATTCAAAAGAAAATCATTTGGCTCATGTAACTGGTATCAAAATCTTCTGAAAAAAGAAGAAAAAAAAGACAGGTAAACATATAGTTGAATTGTGAATATTCATAGCTGACATAACGGGAAAGTAGCAACTTCTGTATGCTAGACTCATTTACCAAAATAAATTATGGGCAATACTTGAATGTACCTTTTAATAAAGCTTCAATGGTATATTGCAGGAGATTCAATGGCTGAAAGCTAAACTTATTTACGTAGTGTTTAGCAGTTAGACTGAGGGAACTCTAAAAACACGTCCATGGCACTTATAGAAAAGGCTGGCTTAGTGGCTGCCATAGTAGGAGGCCGACGGGTAGGTCCACGTGCACGGGTTTTGCGTGCATCAGGAAGGGAAGCTGAGGGAGTAGTAGAACGTTCAGCATCCTTCTCAGTGATATCATTTTTGTTTTCACTAGCTCCAGTTACTTCAGAAGTTTCGGAATCAGAACGGGTTGGAGTCTTCGGTTTGGGGGCATAGGCTCGCATCAAAGGGCCCTTTTGGAGACGGGATTCCAATGCTGCGACGAAACCAGCCCGAGATCCGGTAAACTTGTTGGGACGTGCGTTAGGACGAGGAGAAGCTTCGTTTGCGGCAGGAGTTTCAACACCATCCGAAGAAGGGACCGACTCAATCTTCTCTTCCAAAGGAGTAGCGTCCGGTGTATTCGTCTCTAATTTACTCTCCGCTTCATGCTTCTCTTCGATAGCATCACGAGTCGAGGAATCAACGATATCTGATTGTATAAAATTCTCCTTTTTCGGCTGTTCCTTCTTTGTTTCCTCCTGAGCATCCCAGTGACCATTGAAAGAACCAGCGATGCTCAGTTCCCGGGAAACACTGGGAGTATTGGAGGTAGTGGTAGAAGGAGATTGAAGTTGAAAGGTTGCCTTCTTAGACTCGGCATTGGATGGTTTCCTCTTGTCCGAAGAAGTGTGGTGAGCATTTTCGTTTGGTATGGTCAAATTACTGACGACGTCAAAAGGCATGCCAGCCGTACCTTCACCATCTTTAGTATAGAATCCCTGTTGAGGCTCAAGGGAGCTGTTCTCGTCAATTGTAGTCGAAGGATCAATATCTGGCATTGGTTCGCTCTTACCAGCCGTCAAGCCACATAAGTTATCAGATTCAGTGAGGTTACTATGAGAGCGCTGGCGATCCTCTGCTAAAGGTTTGGAAGTATAAGGAAGAGGAGAAGTACCTTCTGCAGCACGTTCCACGTCATCCAACACTTCGTTATATTCATTTTCCCAAGGCTCAGGAGGGGCACAATCGCTGTGGTTGCCGTTCTCATCAACATGTTTAGAGGGTGAGCGAGAGAGCTCATCCAAAGATATATTTTTGGGCAACTTGCGAGATCCAGAGTTAACGAACTTCTCATCAGGTGCATAAGGGAGGCCACGATCAGTTTGTTCGGGATCAATGATCGGCACAGAACCAGTATCTGGGTTTAGCGGAACACAAATTTCAGGTGTTTCACGCTCCCAATGGGCCTTTTGTTCCATGGCAGGTAAAGAAAGGGTAGAAGCAATCCTGGGTTCGCTATTGGCATGACGAAGGGCCGCAGATAACCCAGAGGATGAGGCAGAAGTGCGTAAACGACGAATGCCATCCGCATTGGGAGCTACGTCGTCTAATCTTGAGGTACCAAAATTTCGACCATTTTCAGTAAGATGGTTTTGGTGAGCAGCCTGGAGGTCCACGAAGCTAGGTGTATGAGATAAGGATGGCTTTTCATTACTACCACCATGATTCATAATTCCTTCGACAGCCATAATATCGTCTTCGTTTACCAGAGCTCGAGGCACGTTTTTATGAGACTGTTGATTCGAACCTTGTCTTTCAAGAGGAATCGGACGTCCATCTGGTCCCAAAAACAATTCATTTGGAATATTAGATGTAGAAGCTGCTAAAGAAGAAGGAACCTGCTTCTCAGAAGATTGGGGTTGTACGGATTCTGACATTGTTTGTTGATTTTCTTATGTAGGCAGAAGTCGTTCAGCAAAAGAAGTAGAGAATTTACTCAAAAAAAAGAAATTTTTTCCAATTTAATATTTACTTTTATTCGAAAAGCGATAAAACCATCAACGTTTCCAGTAATTGGAGATGGTTGCAGCAACTGAGTGTTTGTTGTAAGAATCATCCTTACTGCACATAACCTTCGTTTATACAATATCGACCAGGCATGCCATATGGAGGTATCAAAGAAGTCTTTAATAAGTTGATAATGAGAAAACATAAATAAACACAGTATCAATGAAACAGAGTTTGAACGAGGGAAACAAGCACATAAAGACTTGCTACGAAACGATATGCAAAAAGAAAAGCCCTTCTGCAAAAGAATTTCAACATTGGAATGAATTTCCTATACAAATGCGATCACACCTATAGGCATCATCTTGTTTCAATCATATGGAATACTATATCACTCTTCAGCTGGCTTTTCATCCATAACATACTACTGAAACAGCAATTATTACTTATAACTACTCTTGAATTACATTCATTAAACCCACGACTACTACGAGCCACACAAAAGAAAAATTTGGCTTAAATTCCAAGCATCAATTTTTGAACCTTTTTCTAGGTAAGAAGCATTTTAAAGCTCTTAACGTTGGTAAGACCAGACACCTTCAACGAGACCGTCTTGAGAGGTGAGACGGTTGATGCAGTCATCAGATTCACCCTTGGAACGAACAAAGCCGGAGATGGCGTAGGTGGTCTTCTCGCCAGGGATTTGGCGACCTTCAGCGTCAACAGCGCAAACGTTAAGTTGAACGGAAGCGTGATCCTTAGCTTGGATGATACGGTTAGTGGCAGAGCTATTTAAACGTTAGTATCTAATCATCTCAATTATAATTTTCTTTCTAAATTATTTCATACCACTTGCGGGGGACGTAAAGGTCAACCAATTGTCCAGCGTCGTTTTCCATGTTTGAAAAAGTTGGGTTGACCTTTACTCTCCTAGTATTTTGATATCGTTTAGCTCGACAGTCACAGCCCTACCCTATTCACTTCCTTGAGGTCTCACACTGTGACATACATAAATGCTCCCAATATTTCATTACGTGCTCGTATCAGTTCGTTATTTTTTGGAAATTGCAAAAGAGCTCCAAAGACCCATAGGAAACGTGTCTATTTACTGGATAACAGTACAGGTCCCGTTAACGCGTTTATACTTTATTTGTTTTTATTTATTCGATTTGTTTTGACAGGTTTTGTTGGATTCATAAGCGCTCCTCACAGAAACAGCTAAGAGATGTCCAAATTCTTACTCGATCGATGTTTACGAGAATTATCTCCATTGACAGTTCTTAAGGATGATATCCAACAAACGGCTAAGCCTCTCCTTCATTTTATGATCCAGTCAGCTGCTTCAAGGTACGAAAGACCAAGTTTTCCCAAGGTATAAGATTGCTAACAATCGCTTTGCGACAGAAATATCAAAGTGCTATTTGTTTCTTATGAGACTTTAGAAGCTAACTGCCCTTCCGAAATCAATCAATTCATCTATGCCACTAGTTGGAATAAAATGAAGAGTTTAAAAGAGTTGTATGACGAGATTGTACAATGGTGGAAACCAGAAGATCAGCATTTAATTGTCATTGATGCCATCAATCCAATCTTAAACAACTCTGTTTCTAGTTTTTCCATGTTTTTTGGGTCCATTTTGGCTTTGGGATCTACTGCATTTCTTACGGCCTACCACAAGGACGTGTCTTTGGAGAATTATCCATCTTACCTCCCCGCTTGTGAAACATTTTTAGACTATACTAGCACATGCACTGTTTCCTTTACTGGAATGCAACATCTCATGGTGGAACACGATGCTAGAATGCGAAGTCAACCGAATCCTTTGACGGAAGAATTACAAGATTGCAGCATTGTTAATCTGTTAGGCTCTAATTGTGAAAATGGTATTGTTTGTTACGTCGATTTTCGAAAGAAAAGTGGACGGGTTATTAAAGAAACATGTACTTTAAAAAATGGGGCTCTCGAAGTTTTTACACCATTTGTTGGCGCTCAGAAGGAAGCAGAATTGGAAGCTCCCGCGGATCTTGATGTTCCTTTTAATCTTACTTTATCAGAAAAAGAACGGAATGAAAGAGAAGAGGTCTTTCTTCCTCATTTTGGTGCCCAAGATATTAGAAAATCTGCAGAACCTGGATTTGTAGATGGAGGAGCTATTATTTACCATGCGGATAAGGCAGACGATTTCGATGAGGAAGAAGATGCTGATGAAGATTTATTAATTTAACTTAATTTGGCTTTATCGGGATAAGCCAGGATCTCAACAGCTTCAGAATTTATGTACATTAGATTGTAAAATAACATGCATGGTTTTCTGTTTCAATCTGACTGCCACCATTTGGTTCGAGCCTTCAAAAGTGCGATACAAAACTACAATTCAAGTATTAACCGAAAACAATGTTTTAAATTATGTCTATAGTTTGCTGAACATATAAGCTCCTGGTAAAACCAAATTTTATACAAGCTGCTTATCGTTGTACGCTACGCTATCTTAAGCAAGGTTGAAGCTAGCATCAGGGAAGTGTTCAAACTTCTCATCAAGGTTACCACGCTTGTTCAAAAACTTGGCGTAGCAGCCGTCAGGGATGACTTCACCGCGGCTACGCTTCTCAATGAATTCAGAACGGTTGTATTGAGAGAAGCCCCACTTCTTGGAAACAATAATCTTTTGTTGTCCAGGGAACTTGTATTGGCAACGGCGGAGGGCTTCAATAGCAGTGCTACGGTTGGAGTCCTTGGTACGGATAGAGATCAAGATTTGGCCAATTCTGACACGGGCAACCAAAGCGTTGGGCTTACCGAAAGCATGACGCATACCTTGTTGCAATCTATCGGCACCGGCACATGAAAGCATCTTGTTGATACGAACAACGTGGTAAGGGTGGGCACGGACACGAAGGTGGAAGGCGTCCTTACCAGCCATCTTCACCAAGTACTTGTTGGAACTAATACGAGCGGCTTCAAGAGCTTCGGAAGTAATTTGTTCCAACTCGTTGGATACCAAGTGAATACAGAGGGGGAACTCGTCAACACCGGCACGCTTACGACCCAAGTCAAAGATTCTGATCTTGGGATCAGGAACGGCACGGTTGTAACGAGATTTGGGGTAAGGCTTGTTCTTAATGTAACGGTAGCAACGAGCGGGTCTACGTGCCATTTTGTTGAAATTAGTTTCAAAAGTGGTTGGTGGACGAACACTGTTTTTAAATACGAAATGTGTGTTCGTAAAGCACCAAAAAGCAGTCACGGCTTAGTGATCAATGGGGGCAACAATCATTGCTTACAAAAACGAATGAATTTACCGATACGTTGCAGTGTCTTATTTTTTAACGAGTCGTAACACGATAATGCGATTAGTTTACGTTTGCATTTTTTTGGTTAAGGGGTTTTGAAAGGATTATCGTAAACAAAAACAAATATAGTATTAAAAATTCAGTCTAAAATGCCTTGTTTTTTAGAGGATTTGATGCTTCTTAATTAAGGATATAAAGAGAAATTCTTTTTTATTTTAATTATTATGTTTCGTAAAAACCAAAGTATTGTCGGAATTGGACAGCCCACAATATTGGTATACAAGTTAAGACGTAAGCAATTCTTTTACCAATTGTATCCAGCCATTTTTGATTCAATAATGAAAAATTATCTTTTCAATTGGATGTTTCAAAAGGGTATTACAAGAGCAACACTGAAATGATGGATTTGCGATGGAAATGTAGATATTATCGAATGTGTTACCATGAAATACAAGTAAGAAAACATATGCCAGTTTTATAACAAGAATTATTTTGCAAAAAGAAAAATTTATTATTATTCCTTACTTCGATAATATGTGGGCAGTTTGGACTTTAGCGCAATGAAAACTTACCTCAAAGGTAAGAAATCAAATCGCAATAGACAACAGCTTAAGCGCATGCGGATAAAATTGAAAGATTTAATCCACAGCTATAGTGGTTATATTGATAATGTCTATATTATTAAAAGGGATTCAATCCGTAGAAATATTCTTTTCTTAGTCATTATCATTTTATTACTGTACTAAGTTATACATTCCCTTACTAACATATACATAGTTTTACTTAATGTTATAATTGTCTACGGCCATACCTAGGCGAAAACACCAGTTCCCGTCCGATCACTGCAGTTAAGCGTCTGAGGGCCTCGTTAGTACTATGGTTGGAGACAACATGGGAATCCGGGGTGCTGTAGGCTCCTTTCTTCTCTTTTTGTTTTATTTTATGCGCTGATTTCTAATTCTTTTTTTGCTTTACGCCATATACTTTTTGTTGGTCTTACCACATGCTCTGTTCATAGATGTTTCATGATGACTGAATTCAGCGACACATTGAACCTTTTCCATACAATATACTAAAGATCATTTTTGAAAGGTAAAACAGTGAAAGAAACATCTCAGGCAATCCTGGGTTTACGTTTGAGATTGGTTGGATTGGATTAGAGTAGGAAATATGGATTCTAAAACAATTGAGAATTCTTCAAAAGAATCATCATCGAAAATACTCAGTTCCCATAATGAAGCTAGCTTTGACTTTTTGCAGTCAGGTACAAGTACAGAATATGAATTACGAAGCGTGATTTTCAAGTGTTTGAAAAGGGTCGGAGAATCTCATCAAAGTGATCCTACAATTTCGCAAGATTATCAAAACTTATATAGGGAATGCGTACAAGATTATCTTCATTTGAAGAAGCATCCAGCACTAGCTTCGATCCTGAGGAGGAGAACCCTGGAAGACAATGTGAAAGACCTTGAACAAAAACTAGAGTCATCCAAGAAAGTAAAATATCTGTTGGATGAGGAATATCATCAAGTAAGACAGTATCGAGTGGACATGGAAACATTGAATACAGAGTTGTCAGAACGGCTGAAACAGCAAGACACGATTAGCAGAAAAGGAAAAAAAAGTTTTCTAAACAAAAAGCTTATTCAAGAGAAAGAGGATGTTTCACGGTCCTCTATGGAACTCTTTACGTTCCTTAACGAATTTCTTGACAAACATTACAAGGAAATTCTAGAAGGGCCAGGGCCTATTGGAAAATTGAGTGCTAATGAACGAAAGCAGCGAGCAACTATTGATAAGTTTGCCAATTCCAATCAGCTCGAGGAAATGGAAGAGTTGAAACGTGTTTTAGAAGTAAGTTTTATCATAACCTCCTTCTTCTTCTTCTTTTTTTTTATTCCACCGCAGTCTATTAACCATATACGTTAGGAATTAATGAACCAAGCTGTCTCTTCTAATCCTTCCTTTACAAGAGTGACAAATGAAAGGATCCTAAACTTTCTACTTCGGTCTTCGCTATGTACCTTTGATCCGCGTGATCCTTCTTTACTGAAATTCATACCTTTTGCCGATGAATTCTAGTCGAAAGACACACACTATCTTCCCTTCTGTTCTCTCTCCCTGTTTCCGGAATTGTTAATTCTCATTTCTACTTGTAACTATGTTTGTTTCTTTCATAATACATGAGGCACCTACAGTTATAGAAATACTTTCTCTTTCATATATTTAAATTAAATCTCATCCCTAACAAATAGAAAGATACCTACATTTGGAGTTTCTTGGTATTTTATGAGAAGCGTAGATGAAAACTCTTTCAAGTGTTTTTTCAATAACTTTACATTATGAAGATAATAGTAGATTTTCCCAAAATTTGCCTGGTAGCAATCGTAATAAATTCTATTTACCACGGGTAGTCACCTAGCTTTCACATACCAAACACCCAAGGACAGCGCATACAACTAAGAGTAGTGAATTTAAAGGTGCACTGCCAGAATTTTTGTCAATTTAGAAACTTTTTTTAAAGAAAAGACCTATTGGAATGAGTTATTCAACTTATCCCTTCGTGGATGATGTTTATGCTTATTACAATCAAACGGTAACTTTTTTGGGAAAATTACTAGATATTTTACCGGGGTCTTACATTTTAAAGACCTACATCCAATCTTCTTATCAAAACGATCCTTTGAGAACATTCATTGAGTTTCTTTTGCTTGTCTTTGCTGCTTATTACGTCCTGAGAAAACCAAAGACTTCACCTGATAATAATTATGTAGAGCTCACTGAAAAAGAGGTAAATGAACTAGTTAACGATTGGAAACCTGAACCCCTTGTTTCTTCTTTGAATTCAATGGAAAAATTGGAACTGGATTCTCTTACTACCCTCCAATCCACCCACTTGTCTACGAAACTTATGGATGGTCGTCCTATTATCAACTTTAGCTCTTTCAACTTCCTTGCTTTGGCTGAAAACAAATACATTAACGATGCTGCTGTTGATACAGTACGTGAAAGCGGTTTAGGAGCTTGTGGACCACCCAATTTTTATGGCTTTCAAGATAAACATCTCCGTCTTGAAAAAGATATTGCCTCTTTCATTGGTGTCGAAGCAGCTATCGTGTATGCTCAGTCGTTTCAGACTATTTCATCGGTCATTCCCGCTTTCTCCAAGCGTGGTGACATATTGGTTGTAGATGAAGCTTGTAACTTTGCCATTCAAAAGGGAATTCAAATCTCTCGCTCAACTATTCGTTACTTCAAACACAATGATATGAAAGATTTGGAGCGTATACTTAAAGAACTTCAAGATGATTTTGAGCGTCATAATCGTCCATTGACCCGTCGATTTATCATCACAGAAGGCATATCTGAAAATCTTGGAGATATGGTTGATCTTTCGAAAGTTGTTGCTTTGAAAAAGAAGTATAAGTTTCGCTTAATACTTGATGAATCTTGGTCTTTCGGAACTTGCGGTCGTACCGGTAAAGGATTAACCGAGCATTTTTCTGTATCTACTAATGATGTTGAAATGATTATCGGTTCTTTGAACACAAGCTTGGCTGGTGGTGGTGGATTTTGTGCCGGATCTACCCTTATGGTCGAACATCAACGTCTTTCTGGTATGGCTTTCATTTTTAGTGCAGCTCTCCCTGCTGCCTTGGCGACTGCTTCCTACGAAGCCATTGCTATTCTCAATCGTGATGGCGGATCAATGTTAAATGATTTACGAAGTAAATGCGCTCTCTTTCATGCCGCGCTTACCAGAAACGAGTTTTTTGATACTACTAGTGACCTTGAATCTCCTGTGATTTTCCTCCATTTGACAAAGAAGTCTATTCCTTATGATAAGCAAGTCTATATTTTGCAAGACATAGTGGATTATTGTAAGGATCAAGGCTTTTTAATTTCTCGTGCTAAGCGCGTTGAGAAGTTGGAGCGCTTGAAGCTTCAACCCTCGTTGCGCATTTGCATTTCTACTGGTCACACTAATGAGGAAATTGAGAAACTTTCTTCATTACTTAAGAAAAGCACAGACTCTATGCTGAGAAAGCACATTGAGTCCGAAGATTAAATTCATTGCTTTTTTTTATGATTTTCTGGCTTCGTATTATATTGATTCGCATTTTATATATAACATTGCAGAAAAAACTATGAATGTCAATGACCTTGATAGATTACATTTAATATCCATATCCAGTAACTTATATACTTAATATACCTTATATAGTGACACTTTCTTTTCAGTCTTCGTGTGTCTTCTAGCGGAATCAGTTAATAAAATTTTACTTAGTGACATTTCATGAAAGTTATTCAATAATTCAATGATATCAATTCATTTGAGCTAGCAAAATAATTTCTTGATAAACGAGATTTAAGTAAACAAAAGATAAATTCGTAAAACTTTAGATTCTTGTAAGTTATTTGATTAGGGCATGAAACATAGAGCGTTTTCAGTGAAAAATCATCAAAGACGTTTACTTTGTTCCAAGATCTTCGTCTTCAATGAACAAAGCACAAGTAGGTTTGGGCGTGGGTATAGTAAACAGAAGATGTAAGTTCATGGTTTTTGGTTCTCTTTCGTAGACCTGGACTAAATCTTCATCCTGCATTGCAACTGCAAGCAAAGAAGCATCTTTGTTGAACATGAAATGTCTTGGGCATCGTCCTTGTAGCATTATATGCGAGTCGGTACCCTCAAGGACACGACCAGTATGAGGATCCAGAGATGCCGTCCAAAGAGTATCAGTAGCATGATTTCCAAGATATCGGTTCGAAGCCACAAGAAAAGGACCATCATATACTACTGCAATCTCAGCAGCACTGGGGGGCTGCGGGAATTGAGGATCTTGATCTAAAGTCACATTTTTCGGAAGGATGGACACATCTTGAATGCATTGAAATGTTTTAGTATCAAACACGCAGATACGGTTTGAAAGTTCACAAATAACGTATAAAATAGGAAGTGTTCTGTGGATAACTGCGTGTCTAGGGCCGTATCCCGAAGGAACTTTCAGAACTGCTATGGGATCTTTCGAGGTAGTTTCGGCGTTAAAAACGGCGACCCGATCAAGACCTAAATCCACCGAGAAAACATAGTGCTCGTGTTTCATAACCTGGTGGGGATGTGACTTTCTTTGGCGCTCTGGATGTACGGACTTTCCTTCATGGTACCAGACATGGGGCTTCTCGTGACCTGGAGCAGATACATCTTCATTTTTTATGAGCTTCTTACTGATAGAAGCGCTTCCGTAGTTTGCTGTAAGCACAGTACCATTCTCTAAAACACATAGACTGGTAGGGCTATGACCTTCGACAGAAAACTCGTCAACTTTAGTAAACTTATCGGAATCCCACTCAAATACGCTGACAAATCCATTCTCAACTTCATTGGCAATGTAAAGACGCTTGTTTGTATTTTCCCATTCAATCCATGTTGGGCTAGAAACTCCACTTAATCGTTCTGAGACTTCTTTCTTTAGCAAATCGTAAACGAGGACGGGAGCCTCCGCAACGGTTCCAATCACAAGTTTCATTTGGGTTTCTTTTCTCTATATGGTCTTTCCTAATTACGGGTAGAAGCTCAATTGAAACAACTTATCAATTACTCTTAAAATGAAAGAGAAACTTATAAAAAAACAATTTAATGTCCTATTTTTTGTTATTTTCGTAACCGTGATATGTCGTAAACCTTTGAGATGCTCGGTAAAGGAAAGTTTACTGAGAACTGGTTTGCGGAACTCAAAGTACAAATACGTTTATTTTATACAGCAAGCTTAGTACGTGGAATACAGCCAGCATTGAAGAGATTTTCATGAATACTGCAAATGTAAATTAAATGGGATTACACAACCCTTTCAATGAGCTAGGTTTCTATACAGTAAGATGTATTTATCACAAATAAAAAGTGTTTCGATTATGCATGAGCTGGCTACGCTATCTGTTCGAAATAGACTTGAGTTTTAAGTGTTTTATTATGGCCTCTGAACAACGAACAATTAAAATCCATAGAATAAATCTTACACAGTCAAGTATAGAATGAAATTCAATATTTGATAATAAGGATTGGCATTTTAAGTTCGTCGTGACATAAATTGTAAAAAGAAAGAAGATAGCACACGCTTTTCACACTTAGGAAACCCAAGTTATATGCTTAAGTACTTCCATAAACAAAGGAGCTTGTAGACTCTCTCTTGAGCTAAAAGAAAGAGAAGAAACTGAAAGAAAAGGGGGGAGGAGAATATTAGTCAAATAAGGAAGATATCCAGAAACGAACATGTAGCAAAGTCGGGAAATTCAAAAAAAGTAAAACAGAAATATTCTCTCTATTTCTTTTTATTTTCAAAAGCAGGCAGATTAAAAAAGAAAGCTACAGAAGAGAAAATCGAGCTTTAGACTTGGTTGACCCTAAAGACTCAAGGACTGTAAAACCACGATTTGACTTACTTGCTGATAGGGCGTTGGTATACAATCTTTCTGTTCTTAACAGGCAACCACTTGAATCTCTTGTACCACATACTGAGAGCTGTCAAAATGGTCAAAACGGTCATAACTTGGAATCCCATCTTCTTGCGGGTATCCAAATCAGGTTCGTTGGCCCAGTGAAGGAAGTTGACGACATCCTTGGCAGCTTGGGCAGTAGTAGCGGGAGTTCCATCCTCGAATTCAACAGCATCATCGAATAAGGGGCGAGCCATAGCGATTTGGGTACCAGGGAAAAAGGGATTGAAGTTCATGCCGTCAGGAACCTCAGCACCAACTGGAGGATCCACATAACCGGTCAAAAGAGAATAAATGTAATCAGGACCGCCATGACGACCACGGACTACCAAAGAAAGGTCAGGAGGAGCAGCACCGTTGTTAGTGGCACGAGCAGCCTCAATATTAGGATAGGGAGCAGGCAGGAAGTCAGAAAGTTTACCAGGACGCTTGAACATTTTACCTTCATCATCCGGACCATCCTCATACTCGTATTCACTGGCCATCTGCTTAACTTCATCAGCGGTATGGGTAACACCTACCAAGTGGCGCCAGGCGATGTAATCAAGTGCATGGCAAGCAGAACAAACCTCACGGTAAACTTGGAAACCACGGCGCAAACTAGCATGATCAAATCCCTTCAACATCTTGTCTTGGGGCCACTCATGTTTGATGAAATGCAATCCTTCTTCTTTTGGTGAAGCTGCCGAAAGTTTAGGTCCGTACACGTTGTAATACAAGGCAACCATGCCAACGGAAAGCAAGGTACTACTGACAACGGCGATATTCGTGCGTCTGCTGCTAGTCTGTTCAGCCTGCTGAGTGAATGTCTGTATTTATTAGTCATTTATCCCACTAAACCGCATCGGGACCCCATCCCATCACTTTAGACATGCTGACCCGAAGACGGCTCAAAAAAAACGTACTCTAACGCCGGACCGAGCGAGTTTTAGCATATCGCTTTTCTTTTTAAATAAATGAAACATTATAATTGTTCTTTCTCTTTAATAAGAAAAAACTACACTTTGAAACAATTCCCTGTTAGTTTATTGGGTGAGTGGAGGTAGGTGTGGTTGGCAAGTTAAGAATACCGATTCCCGGTTTTGTGTAGACCAACAAGAGCAGGAATTAAAAATTTAGTGATTGGAAAATAAAAGCAAGTTGGTCTTTTTTTAAAAAGAAAAAATATTTATAAAGGTATCAAAAACCGTTTTTGATTTTTATTTTTGTAACATTTCTTTCATACTTTTTGGAGGCCATATAGGCTTTCTTATGCAATGCACTTAGCATTAAATAAAATCAGAATTGATAAGAGAGTAATTTTCTATGTTTAAAAAGTAAAATATTTCATGTAGGGGTTAGAAAGACTTAAAAGCTGATGGATGATCTGTATGGAGATATATGGACTTCATTTGTACTACAAAGGTTACGAATAAAACTACTCTTGTGTCTCTTTTAAGTACTTTTATTGTGATAAAATTTCAACGTAGGAAGGAGTTTCGGTGACTATTAGACAATTAAGTAAATATTGGAATAAATACATAAGAGAAGAGACGAGTATTAAGTTAAGTATGTAGTGAGTCTCAGAGATTAAGACAACAGAATAGAATAAGAGAAAACATCTAATATATGTATAGAGTTTCATACGGCCGAAAGTAAAAGAATAAAGGAATCGATTTTTGACCCCAGTTTCAATAACAATGACTAGCATTACACAACAAAAGGACAGGGAAAAACAAAGTGAAAGTTGAAAATAAAAAGCAGGTGTTATACATAATAAGAGAAAGCATCTCAACATATTAAAGAGGTGAAAGAGAAGGGGAGATAGTAATGGAAAAAAGTGTTTTAAAGGAGAGCTTAAACCGATTTTGTCGAATTATTAACGCTCTGGTCCATCAAGTCCTCAATGGCTTTCAAATTGCTGAAATTTACAGACGAAAACGAAGACACAAAAGGTGTCAAGCTTTTCGTTACAGTAGCAAAGAAAGTTGCTTGTGATTTTGAAAAAGCCACGATGCACTCGTCGGCTGCACGACGCGTCAACGATAGAAGAGTTGGAAGCTCTTCTAGTAAACAATTGCTAAGCAATGGAAATAATTCCAAATCAGCTTCTATTGCCAAACCAGAGTGCCGCCTTTTAGAAAACGCTGTAGCAAGTCGAATCCAAACATCGGCAATATACAAAGGGTTTCGACAATAGTGAATGGCTTTTGACATTGGTTTCAGTACATCTTTTTGGCATTGCTCAACAAGACATAGAATAGCACCTTTTGCAATACTCTGTAGTTCTAAGGAAACTGGAACCCACTTTCTCATAGAAGGTGTTTCTTTGCAAAAGTGTACGTAGGAATCGACAAAAGTGTGCATATGGGTGTAGTGCATTCGAGAATGCTTAATCCACTCGCATATTGACGTGCGAAGAGCGACCAGCTGGCTGTAGGAAGAAAACAAATTTTCGATCAACGAAACGATATTTTCATGCTCAGGTACGTAGAAAATATTTATCGAGGTTTTAAGCTAATAAGTTTTAGCTAACAAAAGTCAACAACATCAAAAAACTTACCTTGGAAATTTTTTTGGAAATAGTATCTGTAGAGAGCAACAATATTTCTTGGGTATCAGTTACAGCATTTAAAGCGTCAACTACTACATCGCGTCGACGCTTCATTTCATTCGCCCTTTGGCTGGCTAATTCTGACTGATGACACGCCTCTCCAAGTAACACATAATCTTGAATCATTCCTAGACTGGCTGATTTATATAGCTGATTGAGCAGCAGAGGATATTTTAGGAAGCGTTGCATGGGTTTTACCAGAAAGCTGTCTAAATTCCAAGATTTGCTTTCAATTTTGGCCATGCTATCACATTCTTGTAAATAATCAGACAAAGAAGGACTACAAGACCATTTTTCAACGATCTTAACGATATCATCTTGATCAAGACAGTATCTACTGTATACAGAAGAAAGCTTGGGAAGCCAATTAAGGAATATCCTAGCGACAGATGGCTTTATTCGCATAGAAGCTTGGACCTCTTCGGCGACGTTAGCAATTTCTTCGTCAAATGCTTTTCTAATTTCGCTTTCAAATAACGTCGCCTGCTGGCATAATTCTGAAAACACCTGAAACACCTTTTTCCATTCGCTTTTTTTAACATGTCCATTTAATCGTTCAGCGTAGTACCGCCTTGCAACATGCAAATCACGAACATAGGCTGTTTCTGAATCGCGGAATTCCAAAAGAACAGCAAGAACTATCTTCTGTTTGTCTTTAGAACGTAAAATAGGTTCTGTCTTGACACTGATTCCTGCCAACGACTGAGTCTCGCTATCTTGCTGCCCAAAACCATATGAATCTCGTCGAGTTGCAAATGTCTCGTCCAAGCTACAAGAGAAACTGGTAACTGGTAAAGTATCCGACATGATTCGCTTCCCACGACTCTGAAACATCTTTGGGAGGCTCATGGTAAATACAGCTATACCAAAATATTAAATATAGTTTCAATTCTGTGAGAGTTGAGGAAACAAGTTACAATGCATTAGACACGTAAATTTTTCGGATTAAACGATTGTTTTTCTAAAAAAAAAAGTTAATGCTTTCTATTTTCTATGAAATGGACGCAGCGTATAAAGAAGACGAGGATATTGAGTATTTGGAGTGAATTTCTTCGTATAGGTAAAAATTGGGTGACAAAGAAGCGTGACAATGAAGTTCGTTGCCTTGACAGTATAATTTCAATTATTAGTATTATTAGTATGAATTTAGGAATAGTAAATAAAACAAGAAAAATAGAAAGAAACTATATCCCGTTTGACGAAACGTCAGTAGAACATCCTAAGGGTCAGTATTGTGCAAAGCTAGAATATGCTCCTTGTTGTCGTAGAGAGTGAAACTGATGAAAAAAAAATCCTTTTTGTTTCAACCAATTACTAAATCACAAAAAAGGCATTAATGCTTAGAACAAACGCGCCATGAAATATATATCGTCTGGTCTATTTTTTGAAAAAAAAAGGGACACCCTTTACAAAATAGAGCCCTTATAGAGATGAAAGAAGCAAAGAAACAATATATATTTTTATAAAACAAAAACAGAAAAACCCCATTTTTACGAATTCTAGATATTTCTACCCAACTATGTTTATTTACTAATGAGATGCAAGGATGAATAACATATACGAAATAACAAAAAGTATTTCTCTTGTTGCATCAGCCGGGAGTCGAACCCGGAGCGAATGCTTGGGGAGCATTCATGTTACCGCTACACCACTAATGCTAATCGTTAATATTAACTGAGTTTAATAATATATAGAGAGAATACGAAACCCTTGATTAGAAACTCTCGTGCAAATGAAATTGCATGAACACATAACAAATGATGATGGTTGGCAAAATGCGTAGAATGGTTCAGGATTCAAATTATATATGCAAACGATGGACGATAGTCGAATATCCTTTGCACAAAAGCATAAGCTACAAGAAAATTAAAAGATTCACGAACGTTTCTGTTCCCTAATACTTTGTATGAGGGAATGCTAGTACCCATTGTCAAGCATAGCAAACAACCAATCTTGAATGCCTGTTTTCTATGTCCTGACATTTCCACATGGATCATGTAATTTTAAACGCAATACTAAAATCTACATCCTTGTTTATATAACCACCGAATCTATATTAAAAATTAAACGACGAAATAATTACAAATAGAAATCTGAAAATGCAAAACCTTGAAGTGTTGGTATCCAAAAAAAAATTATTTTACCGACGAGAACGTTTAATGTTTCTCGAGTTATTTCTGACTTGTTTTGAAGTCATCTTCTTTTCCTTTTCTCCATCTTCAACAATCCATTGAGTATCCAATTCTTTGTTTTTGCCTTTATAGCCCCATTTGGGAACCCATTCTCCCGAAGCCTCATCAAAGACCAATTTTCCTTCGCGTTTCTTGGGTGCAATACCCTTTATACGAGCAAAGCGTTGCCATTTTGTTTCTGGCTTAGGCTTGGGCAAATGCTTCGCTCTAGGAAGAGGAGTGGTAGATTCAGGCAAAGCAAGTAAAATGCCGTCTTGAGTTCGTTCTTTAGGTAAGGCCAACATTTTGTTTACAAGCAACTGAGTATTATCACGAGCCATCGAAGATAGATATTCTTCTTTTTCCTGGCTTTTTTGAGAGCTTAATTTCGTCTCGTCTAACGGGGTCACATCAAAGGCAGACATGTTGCCCAAATCATATTCTAAAGGGATTGCTTTCTCAACGCTCGTAGACATTTTCCTTTTAAAACTTTTTCTAATCCCAGATTCTCTTATAGACCGTTCCAAAACCTAAAAATTCCTAACTATCCACCAAACCTTCAAAAAATTTCACCTTAAATAGACTGAATTGATGGCTCAAAAAGAAAAATCTGATCTTTCAAAGAAAACTATCTTTATGCGTATAACAAAGAGTTTTCTTTTCGATAAACCTCCTTTGTCGTAGTTGTCGTAGGAAGGAATTGATACACTTTTCAATACAAGGCATTCTTTCTTCTTTATGCCTTCTAACCCTACCCTATTGTAATTAACGACTTCCCTGTACATCGTTAACCGGATATCTTGGGGTCAGATTAAAGAGTCTATTACCGCGAGATGCCCATTTCAAGGTAAAAGATACAAAAAACGACGTATAAAATGCTTCCAAAATTGAGAAGCACGGCGAATTCGCTCAACATTCGAGCAGGATTGTTAGGAAGGTCGAAATTTACCTGGAAATACCGAGTTCGCAATTATACATACAAAGTTGAACGAACAAATTCCAACTGCTCCCGCGGAATCCATCGATTTTCTACTTTTTCTCCCTTAAACAACAAAATAAATAACCCACAACATCAAAGAAATTCTGGTAACCTTCGCAGCAATGGAAAAAAAGGATCGCAATCAATAGAATCGAAAGACAGCGATAATATGAATAAGAAGTCTTCTCTCCGTGGCCAGGAATCGTCCAATGGTAGCATTGTCCTAGACGAGCTAATTAACCAGGATAACCAGCAAGTTAAAGAAAAACCATCTCAAGCGATTCACAAAACCTTGGATTGGTCTCCCAAAGCGGAAGGGAAAATGTATGAGATTCCTAATTCACTTTTAGGAAAGTTGGAAACGCTTGGTGCTCTGGAAAAGCAAAAGAAAAGCTTTTCATTTTTTTCCAACCCCGTCCTGTTACACCGAAAAGTAACCACTAAGCTTTATAATATTTTACAACGTTCCAAAAATGTCAGTTCAGCAAGCGGCCGGTACGTACTGGATGGTTCAGCTGGTTCTGGAAGAAGCATTTCCCTTCTTCAGGCTGAGATATTTGCTTTCTCTCATCCAAACTACGTTGTGCTGGGATTGCATAATTGCGAACGCTGGGTCGATTCCTCTAGTCCTTACAGTTATGACGCGTCTTTGCAATCTTGGGTACAACCAGAGCTAATAAAAGAATTTCTGACATCTGTCATGAATGTTAATTCCAAAGCATTGGGAACCTTGACCACATCAAAAAGCTACGAACTCGTTCCTGGGAAGTCTATTCCAGCTGGCACGGATTTGCATACTCTTCTACGCAAGATAACTAGCAAGTCGGAGCTTTCAGTGAGATTTTGTCAATCGTTTCTACAAGAACTTGATGCTGCTACCAAACAACCTAATTCATCGGTAAACGTTCTTTTCGTCATAGATAATCTGTCTGTTTTATCCGTTCCTACCAAATACAAAAATACAGAAAACCATAATCTCTTGCCGTGTGATTTCTATTTTATAAATATCCTCTACCAATATTTATCTGGAAGCTTATCCTTCCACCGTGGAACGATATTTGCAGCAACTTCTAGCCAGCCCCGTATCCAAACCCCATCGCTAGACGTTGCTCTTGGCAAGGCCAAACTTGACCCTTATATCCCAATCAACAAGGCGATCTACGATTCTACCAAATCCTTGCAGGTCATTCCCATGGAACCTTATTCGGTTGATGAATCCCTTTCTGTCATGGAGCATCTCGTTACCTCCAACGTCTGCCTTGAGTCTGTTGAATCCCATCGCCAGAATCATGTTTTAAGTGGAGGCAATCCTCGACTTTTTTTTGATACTTGCACTCGTCTAACATAATCTATGTTTTCTTATTGAAAGTGGATAATATTACTAATTTTTATTGTCAGAAGTTTTTCTACATAAATTGTTCCTCCCCTGTATTTCGTTTTCTATTTCTCATGTCTTTGCTTAACATGGGTAAGTTCCTGCAGCCGCCCTTTTTCCCCTTTATTCACTCTCCAACACTCTTTCAAAATTTTGTGGTCATTCCGCCTATTATTTTCGGTACAAATAATACATATTATATTTTAATGAAACAGAAGTTAAAGAATGACTTCTCAGTTGATTATGAAATTCTGAGTTGTAAAAGGTCTTCAAAATAAAATATCATAAAATACTTCAATCCATCTGCACGGTGAATTTAACGTTTCTTATTGGTATGACATTTGCTACTACCATAGCTCTACATATTATATGGTGATTGACGATTTTTCATTCAAAAAAGACGATATTGTAGTATTTTTAGAACGACATTTTACGAATTTCTTTACTTTGAAACAATATGTGGATTATATAACTCTCAAATCTCCATGGAACTCTTTATCCAGCAATTTAGATCTGCTTCCATCACACGGAATTGAAGAGTTCATAGAGTTTCTTCAATCGACATTAGTTGGATTCTATGACTTTTCTTTTCCTAAGTTTGGTTCTTATACTCCTCAGTGTTCTCAGTCAGAGGTATAGATATTCCAAAGGTCTATAATATCTAGACCGACTAACATTAATAGTTGGTTTTACATGTTACACAACATATGTTTCAAAATGAATCGAAATACAATAATAATCTTTTGACGAAAGGATTTAGTACGGTATGAGCATATTGGCTTCAGTTCCATTTCTCGTTTGACTTGATCACTGGAAAGCCACAATATTCGAGTTTGAAGCAATTTCATTAACTGATTGATAGAATCATGAAAGTTTTCAAGCCACCCATGTTAATGGCGAGAGATTGGACTTAGTTTCCACGTTTCCAAATGGTTCAATACATACCTTAACGTCAAAGAATTGGAAAGTATTGCTTCAAACGTAAGTAATATATGTCTAGTTTCTTAATTCAATTGTAACCATTCTAGAATTGGTTGTGATGCGATGTACCACTTATTGTACAGGGGAAGCATATTTTCATGTTTGCCAAACCATAACTATTTACAAGTAACTGGAGTTCCAATATATGCATTCAAAAATAAACTCAACTATTCTGAAAAGAAAAGGAAACATGATAGTTCGAATCATCAAAATGGCAGTCATAAGAAAATCCGTATCGAGAATCCCTGGAACAAAATAACTATAAAAAGATTTCGAATATTTTATAAGTTTTTCAACAAACATTTGAAAAAAGGTTGAATTAAGCTCTTGTGAGTGATTGCTAATCATGTAGATCGATTTTTTAATTGCGGTCAGATAACTGAAGAAACAACGGTTTGTTGGTTGCAATGGATGTTTCCTCATCAATTTGGGCTCCCTAGTGTGTTTACGGAGGAAAACTTTGAAAATAAGGCTTCGTCTCTTTCGTTTGAAAAGCTTGATATTCCAAAACGTTTGTTGAAAGCAGCTCCTTTGATCCGTAACATTGCTAAAAGCCTTCGGCAGGTATCATTGTTACATATCTTCAATTTCTATTGCCCAAAGAATGCTGTAGGGTGCCTCACGTAGTTTTCTATCTGCTAACGAAACTAGAATACACACCTGCCGAAATCAGAAAACTCAAAAGTGGTTGCTTACTCTTTAAAAGTAAACCAAGTTTATGCTTTTTTGAGGTCAGTTATCTTAAAAGTTTTTCCAAAAGCTGTTTGGGGTACTACTCATGTTTTCAATTTAGTTATGCAAAGTAAGGGAAAAAAGTATAAGTACTTTATTAACTTTAGAACTAAAAACTTTTCTGCAGTTAACAAGGTTTGAAACGATTACGCTTCATTTTTTAATGCAGAAAATCCCAGTAAGTGCTAAGGATTATACAATATGCTAAACTTCTTAGATCACTAGCATTTCTTGGATACGTTTAGGAGAGAATGACTCAAAAAAGCTATGCCTTAGTGATTATGAAAAGAGAAAGCAGATCTTCTCTGAGTTCATGTATTGGTTTTTCAACACTTTTGTAGTATCCTTACTACAATCATTCTTCTACTGCACTGAATCACTTGAATCCAAAAATGCGACTTGTTATTTTAGAAAAGATGTGTGGACTTCTTTATCTACACCTTTCCTAAAAAGCGTGAAAGACAGCACTTACGTGCCGATCGAAAGGGTAACTATATCTACATGATGGAATATTTATACTAACTTAGGTAAAGCATGAATTATTTAGGGATCTAGTCTTTCCTCCAGCAACTATTCGTTTAATTCCCAAAAGAGATTCATTTCGGTTAATAACAAATCTCCGTCGTAAACATCTAATGAAGGTAAGTACAGATTCTACTTTTACAAGTTGATATTAATTAATTTTAGAAACCTTTTGATAACCATGGAATTGAACATTTTATTAGTACAAACCAGCTGCTACAGCCTTTAGCTTCTGTGCTTAAATTATCAATGGTAAGGATCATATGAAAGTTGCATATTAATTCAATAGTCAAACTACGAGTCCAGAGCAAATGAACCATTTTCTTACCGAAATGTATTTTCGAAAATACTTTGCTATAAGGAGGAACTTCAAAGACATTCTTGGTATAAGTAAGCAAGCAACGTTTGTTGAATCAACATTCTAACAACAGTCGGAAAAAATATTTTGTTCGTATTGATATAAAGGGATGCTATGACAATATTAAACAAGATTTGATGAGCCGTATAACGAAGATTCATTTGAAAGATCCTGAGTATGTCATTCGAAAATACTGTTTGATTCATAAGTCTCAAGGTCAGTTGGTCAAACAGTATGTAAACGAAGCACAAAGTTACTGTAAGTTTTCAGATTTTTTTTTAAAAAAATCACTAATATCTCCCAGTTGATCTTACTCCCTTTGAAAGGCTAGTGTCTTCCTTAGCGAATAGAATGAAAGATACACTTTTCATTGATAACGTTGAGTACTGGACAAAAACTTTCGATGAACTTTATGATATCCTTGAGAAGCACATATCGCAAAATATTGTCAAGGTATGGATATTCACATCTGGTATTTTACTCACAGGAAGATTGGTCGAAAATATTATCGTCAAACACAGGGGATCCCTCAGGGGTCCGTTATATCATCATATTTATGCTATTTTTATATGCAAGAGTTGATTGAAGATTACCTTCTATTTACGAAAAGGAAAGGATCGACACTTATACGTGTCGTTGATGATTTTTTGTTTATTACAGTTCATAAGAAAGCAGCGAACCGGTTTCTGAGCATATCTTCAAAAGGTAAAGATCTTTGCATTTCTGAAGCTAACGCTTATAGGTTTTACTAAGTACAACTTCAATACCAGCAATGGGAAGACACTTATCAACTTCAAGCCTCCGAGTTCATTTAAAGAACGTTATATAAGGGCAAGCAATTTGATTCCGTTTTACGGGTTTTACTTGCATACAAGGTCTTTGCATACGGTGTATTGCTGTTCTACGAATTTTCAAACTCTTTACGATGCGTCTACTGTTGAGCTCTGCAGAGGTTTAGGAAATTCCTTGATCAATAAAATACTTAGGTATAACTATTTTTACCGAAGAATGTCTAATTAATATCTAGATCTGGATTTGCTTCGTTCCCAAGTGTTTTTGTTAACGCTCAACATAATTCTTGTTTTGTGATTTTCTCTAATATTTATAATTTAGCATTTGGAGTCTCTTTGAGGCTACAAGTTCATTTGAAGCGTGTAGTTTCTGTGTTTAATCTCCGACCATTACTTTTAACTCGTATGCGTAATGTCTGGGGTTTCTTATGCTAATAACATATAGGGATGTTGAATATGATGATTAAAAGGTTATTCAGGAGAGTCTGCTCATTATCGGGTACTCATAATAAACGTCCGTTCTTGCTAAAAGAAGTGAAATGGTAGGTTGTACAAATGGAATTTAACTGACATACTAGGGCTCTATTGCATGGTTTTTTAAATGCTGTTAAACCGAGTTCGAAATCAACAATACTGTATACAAAGCTTATGGCTGACTACGAAGAGTTACGTTCACAAGTGGATTTTTCAAAAAGCTATTTAAAATATCCATTATTTTATGGTCATTTATAGCTTCAAAACAAATAGAATATTAAGCAAATGTCATAAAAGCTCTCAAATTGCAGAGTAGCAAGCTAAGATGAATTACATAAAACAACTATATTTAGTAGAGAAGAATATGCTCAATATATCACATATCATATCAGTAGCAATCGTTAAGTTTGAAAATATAATTAGAACTTTGGTGACTACAACACAGATTCATATTTGTCGTAGTCCGTATACAGATTATACTTCTTTTCATATGACTTAATAGAGGGCTTTTTGTTTTATTTTAATTTATTTTTTGGTTAAAATTATGGGTAATGGGAATAATGTGGCCATGAATGAGAGAAAGCGTACATCAAAAGATGAAAAAAAGATCGACTCAAAAGTTAAAGAACACACGCCAGAAGACGATGGCGCTGAAAGTAAATCAACTAATATGACGAAGTCCTCAATGAAGGAGTACGCCAAAAGGGATTCAATGCCATATCAAAAGGGAGACAGAGTATTGGCAAAAGTATCTAGATATCCGTGGTAAGTCTAGTTAAGGTACCTGAAAGAATAAGAAACTAACTTCAATAATTTAGGTGGCCTGGTCAAATCATTCGTTATAAACCTATGAATCGGGACGGTATAACAATTGAAAAGTCCCAAGAACATCTTTATAAGGTTCAGTTTTTTCCAAATCTTGATTTGTAAGTATACTGATGATCTTTTGCTTGCATGCAAGGATACGTTAGAGCCAATTGAGAAAGCCTTTGTTAATGAAATTAGCGCTTGGGTAAAACAAACGGGGTTAAAGCCTTTAACAAATGAGGATATCAGTAACTTTTTAGCTTCTTTGAAGAAAAAATCAAAGTATTTAAAAGAGGCGTATGAAGCAGCATGTGAGCCGCCCGACATCGAGAGTGAGGAATCTACTGAAGAGGAAAAAGAACCATGCGAAAGTGAAGACTCAGCAGGAGACAGCAATTATTTAATGAATAAGAAAAAAAGGAAAAACTTTGAAGAATCTACCACTGAAACCAATACGGATCTTTCTAGTCCATTAAGCACAATGTCGTCAATCTCATCCATATCGGAAATGTATGGTAAATCGGCCACATCGTCCAAAGTTGACTTGATAAATTCTAAGTTAACTAAAAACGTTGATAGGGCCAATGATAAAGGTAAGCTTCCTATTTCGGATTCCAATCACAGAGGACGATTGTCGCCCTTGAATTCTTTAAGTAGCGAAATGAAAACATTGATCCAGAGGCTACTTTACTTTCGATTCAAATTACAAAAACTCTTTCTGTCGTCGAATATTACTTTTGAAGAAGACGACCTGTATCAGGCTAAAGTATATTTGAGGGCAATTGAGGATTTCCCATATCTTAACTATGAAATGATCGTTTCAACGAAGATAGCCAAAGTCTTGAAACGGATCGCATTACTTGATGATTTACCTAAGGATGAAATATTTTGTATTCGAGGACAGTGTAAAGACATTTTATATTATTGGAAACAGAATATGTCAATCTCGATGGAAAGCAGTCCAGCAAATAGCCTCACTGAAGTTGAAAACTAGACTAAAAAATAGAAAATACATCTAGAGTTTCTATAAAAAAGAAACTCGTCCGATTTGAAAATATGACTCAGGTTGTAAAACAATAGATATTATCCAAATGACTTGATGAGTGACGAGGTCTTCATTTTACATGACATGAGAGAACTAGTTAACATGCTTTTCATACATGATCTACTACAACCGACTACTTTCATCAATTAACTAGTTATTTGTTGCTACAGAACTAAGAAAATTCACACAAGGAATAAACTAATTACCTATAATAGTTCACTTGATCATTTTATTTCTTGAGGTGTTTACTCTTCTTCAGCTTCTTCAGCGCCTTCACCACCACCTTCTTGTTGAGCGCGGAGGCTCTTTCTCTTGCAGCGACCAGGGCGGCCACCACCATAAGGAGAGGTAAGGGCAAAGTCAATGTGCTTTTGGGAGTCCAAACGGACGACGAAAGAGGGAACATTGACAATTTGCTTACCAACACGGATGTGACGTTGGTAGATCAAGACACGAGCGTGGTGGATGGACTTGGCCAAACCAAGCTTGAAAACTTGAGTTTGCAAACGACGCTCCAAAAAGTCTTCAAGGCGAAGAGCCAAGACATAATCAAGCTTCATACGGGTTTCATCCAAGATACCCAAACGAACAAGACGGCGAATGATAGCATTACCCTCAAAAAGACGCTTAGGATCCTTCTCGTCAAGGGTCAAAAGCTCACGAGCAGCACGACGGATCTTCGAGAGAGTAAGGGCAACACGCCAGATTTCATGCTTGTTTCTCAAACCATATTCACCAGCAAGCTTGAGTTCAGCGTCAAGACGAGCTGACTCGAAGGGACGACGAGGCACCTTGTAGGTCTTGGATTGCTTACGAGGAGCAGAAGGCATACTTGGTTTGGTGCTTTGCGCAGAGGCGATTTTCTGAGTTTCTGTTTAGGCTCGTGACAGTGACGGCTTTTTTCGTTTTGGTGGTTGCTATAGGGTAGGGTTGGATTTTTCCTTGGGGTAACAATAGAGGTATCAAAGCCATACTTCACCAGAATTTGCAACAAGAAACGAAGCTTTAGGTAAAGAAACTGGCTTATTACCGTCATTGAAGGCTTGTTCTCTTCGAATTACTGTTTTATTAAAACTATGAACCAATTGGTAACGATCGATCGAAACTGAGAAGAATTTATCTGCATGGACTGAGAAGCTTTTCTGCTAGTTGGTATCAAAAATCGACTTTCAATTTAATCTTTTTCTTTTCGTCTAAAACGGCTTGATTGTTTTCGATTTCGTTGGCTTTTGATTCCATAGTTTGAGGTTTTTGAATTGATCTATTGAACGCAAGTTTACTGGATATTTTGAGAAATTCGACAACTTAGAGAACAACAAAGACAAAAGTGTGAGTGATACCGTCAAAACTTGTGTGACAAGATAAAATAAAGGTGGAAAAATACTTTCCCAGAGTCAGAGCCATTTATAATAGATTGACAATTCTGTGGCTTTCTCATACCCCGGATTTTTCAAGTGAGTATTTTTGTTCGACAACGATTACAAGAAATATTAAGAGGAATGAAAACGTCAGAAGATAAACCATCTGCCCAAATTCATTCCTCCAGTACTACGTTTTCATCAGCTGTAATATCATCTGCAGTAAGTAATGTCATTGGATTCCCTTTGGACTCTATAAAGGTTCGCCAACAAACGTATCAATTTCCAACTATACGATCTTGCTTTCAAAATGCTATTCAACACGAAGGTTGGCGTGGTTTGTATAGGGGTTTAACGCTTCCTTTGGTTTCAGCAACGTTCTCACGCTCTATTTCTTTTACTTTATATGATTCTTTCAAGCATTCCTTTGAAAATACAACACCGTCGATTCGTTACTTTTTGTCAGGTTTGTGTACTGGATCTTTAATTTCATTGTTTGCGTGTCCATTTGAATATTCCAAGCTTTATTCTCAAATACATGCTCTTTTACGGAGAAAAGATGTTCAACAATATGCAAATACATTCGTAAAGCCTCCGCAGCCACCTCTTTCTTCGTTTCAAAGTGCTAACGATATTGTACGGAGATACGGGTTCTGTTCTTTGTGGAACGGGTATCGCTATCATTTGGCTCGGGATGCATTTGGTTCTGCTTGCTATTTTGCTATTTATGAGACTTTTAAAGGCTTTTTGATTTCAAATCAAGTTACTCCACATTTCGCTTACGCGTTTTCGGGCGCTTTTTGTGGTGCTCTTTCTTGGATTTTGGTCTTTCCAATTGACACTGCTAAATCTATTGTACAAAAAAATACTCTTCTCGCTGTGAAAACGCCTCTTTCGTCCATTCCTTGGCTCTCATTTTCTATATATCGAGGAATTAGCATTTCTCTTATGCGAAGTGCTTTAATCAATTCTTGCAACTTTACTCTTTTTGAAGTTTTGCGTGATATCTCCTTCTTCCAAAACATTTGATAAGCATTACTTTTCATGTACCAAGTAAGCAAGTCAAAACAAACGAATTGTCAATGCTTTAAAATAAGAACACACTGCATTGGTGGTATGTTCTGTACTTTTTGATCAAAAAAGAGGTAAATTTGATTTTTTGGTTTGCTTTCTGAATGCACAGGAAAAGACTCAATTGAACTGGAAAAGGTTTTTGTATAGTATGGACCTTGAAATCAAAGAGCGTCAAGTTAACCCCCATAACGATATAAAAAAGTTTCGTTTTTAGCGGTTATAGATTAAAAGTAATTCTAGAAATACAGTCACTCATTTTTGTTTAATAATATAGTTGTGATTCTTGGTCATGGTTCTTGCGTATGAAAACCCCATCTCTATGATTTATCAGAAACAAAAAAAATGCTTAACGTATAGATTAAAGATCTTGGGTTTCTACTGAAACAATAATATCTGTCTTGTTTCATTGGAATTGACATTTCAAGGTTGTACAGAAATCAGAGATTGAGATTTTCTAAACTTGTACAAAGTAGGATGAAACATATTATTCTGCTAATTACGAAAAACAAAACTTGTTTTGTTTTTCAGACCCTTCCTCATTACTACCCTTTCTTAGCAGTTAAACCGTAGTGTATGATGGAGCGCAACCTACCAACTACAACATCTTTCGAAAATGACTATGAGCACAATTCTTGTAAGTTTTGAATCTCATTTAGTACAATTTTATTAATGATAAAGAAATGTTTTTCTCGCGGCTATGCTACGACCGCTCCTCGCGCTACGGGTAAGAGAAAGCGTTTCGGATACGTTTTTCATGTCTAACGCAATGTTTGAAACAGATTCTCTTCAAAATATTTACATCTCTGCTTTGAGTAAGACTCCTTGATTTTCTATGGCTTTGTTTCGTTAACTGTAATGCTTTTTCACAGAATCTTACAAACCCAAAGCTACACCTGCTGCTGCTGCTGTTGAAGCCAAGGAATGGGTAATGCCTGCCGCACCTACTGCTCCCAACTACGACCTCGACTTTTCCTCTGCTTTGGATTCCTACAAGTATGATGGTCAAACCATCGAAGCAAAGACATCTCAGCAAGGTGAAAGCTTAGACTTTATGGAAAAGGTATGGCTTCGTATTGCCATTTTTAGAGTATACGCTAACTATTTATCAGTATACAAAAGATGAAGCACCTTCTGCCGCCGAGCATTGAGATGCTTAACTTGCTTGACTTTTTTGTTACAGTTTCTAAGGCGATGATTGATTTTTATTCCTACGAAGTCAAAATTCTAGTCTTTCTCTTGACTTTCTTTCGATATATACATCTTTCCCTTCTCATTCAACTTCTATTTAGGCTTTGTTAATTTTGAGAGATTTCCATGATGCTGATTTTCCATAATTGGCGGATTCATATTTAGCAAACAAATGTGAGATTTTTTCGTACTGGCTCTACTTTCCATCTTTAACCCTTCGACGCTTACGATCCCCGTGATAGTATGAAGGCGAAGACAGCTTAGTTCAGTTTCGTTTCGTTTAGCTTGAAAAAATCCTCCATGAGGTTTGCTAAATTCTAACTTTCTCGAATACAACTTTTAACAAAAATACAACTTTTAACGATAACTTCCCAATTATATTTAGGCAGTATTTGATATATAAAAACCAGAGGCAAAACCAAGTATGACCTTCAGCATGAGTAGAATCTTTTTTTTTCTTTCTGTAAATTTACTCAATTCATCCATTTAAGGTAGAAACAGTATCTTTAAAAATTTTCTCTGAGTACACTTTATAAGCATTAAAGTGCGACTCATACATACGTTGGTGAAACTTCACTACTACCAATATCACAATGGAGCAAGTTATTCAAAAAAGCTGTTCCGATATTGATTCTCATGTGTTAAATTATTGTTCTGGATATGCAAATGATGCATTGAAAGACGTAGACGAAGTCTCTGAGCATGTTATTACCCTGATTCGCGATTTATTGCTTGATGCCGGTGCGAAGCAAGATGCCGTTCAGGCCATCCAGACTGAGCTTTTGAAGCGATTCGAAGAACGTGAACATAATCTTGATAAATTACAAACAAACAAATTGGTTCGATTGAAAGAAACAATTCTTATGGATAAACAATCGGAAATTTCATCCACGATGGGTTTAGTTGGTGAAAAGGTTGACTTGGATTCAGTAAAGGGACGCAAGGTAGAATCTCGTGTTGATAAAAGAAAGTTAGAAAAAGCTGAGAGGAAGATTCGCGCCAAATGGGAAAAGCGTACTATTAAGGCTGAATACGAATCCTCTAGATTGATTCAACCGGAACAAAAATCTTACGAAGAGTTTTACATGGCAGTTAATCCTCTTGACATGTCATCATCTAATCAAGGAAAGACAAAAGATATTAAAGTCGATGGTATTGACCTTGCTTTTGCTGGTCTCCGTATCTTGACGGGCGCCTCGTTAACCTTGGCTCAAGGAAGACGTTATGGTCTTACCGGTCGTAACGGTATTGGTAAGTCTACCTTGCTGCGTGCTCTTTCTCGCCGTGAGGTTGCTATTCCTACTCACATTACAATTCTTCACGTCGAACAGGAAATGGCTGGTGATGATACTCCAGCTTTGCAGTCTGTCCTTGATGCTGATGTTTGGAGAAAGTATTTACTGAAGGATCAAGAAAGCATTACTGGACGCTTGTCGGTCATTGAACGTGAATTGGAAGAATTAGGAAGAGATCAAGAGGCTGATCAAGCAATTCCCCGTCGCTTGGAACGGGAACGTGATGATCTTGACATTCATTTAATGGACATTCAAAATAAGCTTGCAGAAATGGATGCTGATGGTGCAGAAGCCCGTGCTGCTACTATCTTGGCTGGTCTTGGTTTCACACCCGAAATGCAGTCATATGCTACAAAAACGTTTTCAGGTGGTTGGCGTATGCGTCTTTCACTCGCTCGTGCTTTGTTTTGCCAACCTGATCTCTTACTTTTGGACGAACCGTCAAATATGCTTGACGTTCCTTCCATTGCCTTTTTGTCCGAATATCTCCAAAGCTACAAGAATATCGTACTTGTTGTTTCCCATGATCGTTCTTTCTTGAATGAAGTTGCTACCGATATAATTCATCAACACTCGGAGCGCTTAGACTATTACAGAGGTAACTTTAGCCAGTTCTATGCTACTCGCGAAGAACGTTGTAAAAATCAAATGCGTGAGTATGAAAAGCAAATGGAATACCGTAAGCATTTGCAAAGCTTCATTGATAAATTCCGTTACAATGCTGCCAAGTCCTCTGAAGCTCAAAGTCGTATCAAAAAACTTGAAAAGCTTCCTGTCCTTGAAAAACCTCAAACCGATGCCGACGTTGAATTTGAGTTCCCTCTCGTTGAGAAAATTTCTCCTCCTATTTTACAAATGACTGATGTGTTCTTTGAATATGTTCCAGGACGGCCTGTTCTTAAGAATGTTGACATTGATGTGCAGATGGATTCCCGAATCGGCGTTGTAGGACCCAATGGTTCAGGTAAGTCTACTATGTTAAAGTTACTTATTGAACAAATACATCCTACATCTGGTCTTGTTAGTCGTCATCCTCGTCTACGGGTTGCTTATTTTGCCCAACATCATGTTGACACCTTGGAATTGAATTTAAATGCGTTGAGTTTCTTAGCAAAAAATTACCCAGGAAAAGGAGAAGAAGAGTACCGTAGGCACTTGGGTGCTTTCGGCATTACTGGACCTTTGGCATTGCGAAAGATGGTTACTCTTTCCGGTGGTCAAAAATCTCGTGTTGCTTTCGCTTGTTTGGGTCTTCAGAATCCTCATATCTTAATTCTTGATGAACCTACTAACCATTTGGATATGGAATCGATGGATGCATTGACAAGGGCTGTTGAACGATTCCAAGGTGGTGTAATTCTTGTATCTCACGATGTTGATTTCTTGGATAAGACTTGTAAGAGCATTTGGCAATGTGATAATTATATGGTCTCTAAATTTGATGGCACCATTGCTCAATACAAGAAGTACTGCCTATCTCAACAACCCACAATGACAGCAAAGGTACAGTAAATTGACGTTGAAGCAAATAACACAATTATTTGGAAATGAATTAGAAAACTACAAAAACATAAAACTGGTTTTTGCAAAGACAGGGATAGTTATTGAATAATATTACGGGAGTTAATGAACAGCTATATATGAGAAACTTCATCGTTAGCTAAAGAAAATCGTAACCAAGGCATCTAAGAAAACAACTAAAAGAAAATAAATAATAACCGGCATAACAAGAGATATCGCAGCACAATTAAGAACGATAACCTCCCAAAAATTAAGCTATGTATAGTAAAGGTGAATAAAACGGGAACGTAACTGTAATTACACTATAAAATAAAGGGAAAAGAGCGACGAGATTAATGAAAACACCAAAAAGTAGGAAATGAAGAATTAATAAGTTCACCAACCTATAATGCCTAAGAGCGCTTCGGCAAATGATTTTGCACTCTAGAAGATTTAGGGAAAAGGGAAGAAATCGGAATAGAAGACGGAGATTGTAAATTCGATGAACGTTGCCATAGAGATTTATTAGAATTAAAGCTGGGCTTAAGGGAATTAGAAGCGGGAGGAGGTTTAATGGTAGAAGACATTGGATACGGATTCGTACTGGGCTGCTTATCCATGCGGAAAGAGGAGCCTAAAGGGCGTAAAGAAGGGTTTGAAGTTCGGAAATTCGAGTTACTTGTAACTGGTGGTCGTGTAAAAGAAGTTTTCTTTAAGAAATCGTTTCTGGCTTTCGTCATTAATGAGCTTTTTGGGGCACAATTATTCATTGGGCGTAGTCGTTTTGGCGGTCTAGCGGACCGTGGCTCTCTTTCTAGAGGTACAATTCGCTTGGTTTGCTTCGTCTGCTCGAGCTTTGTGTAAGCGTTTCGAAGTTTTTCGGATGCCTCATTGTACTGAGTGTTTCTTCGTTTCTTAAGTCTCTGGTATAATGAACGCCAGTCAGTGATCGAAGGAAGAGGAGCCTTAAATTGTTGCAGTTCAAGCGCAAAATCGCGTAAGACATGTAGTTTCCAAAGGGACTGAGATTCTTGTTTGATATGTGGAGACCGTTCTTCTAGTAAATGTAAACGATCAGGAGGTGCGCGTTCCAAAATGGGCTCCAGCAGAGCGTAAGGGTAGTCTCCTATATCCTCAATGTCGTTTATGTACTTTTGAGCCACCTGTAGACAAATTTCTTTCAGAGAAAGCATGATACATGGAAACAAATTAAGCTGAAAAGGAAAAATTAGGTAGGTAATAAGGAAAACGCAGTAGAAAGGAAGTCAAAAGCACCTCAAAAATTTAAAAACAATGAAATTGGTGAGAACAATAATAGTAAAAGAAAATTGATAAATTCTATTTTGATTTGAAAAATTTAAAGAGCCTTGATATTTGTTGTTAATCCTAGTAATATACCAAGTTGTTGGTTCAGTTAAAGATGGAATTTCCTTGTAAACAAGCGGTTTTGTAGGAGTTTATAAAACGATTTTATTAATTCATATTTTCTTTATTTTGTTAAGGAATCCGTTGCCGTGAGTATCGCTGTTTTACGGTAGAACACTTTTAGATTGTTTACGTTATCTTTCGGTAGTAAATAAATATGGATTAGATGTTTGACTATCGCAAGCTTTGGTAGAAGCATGATGCTTGTTGAAATTATTTTATTCCCGTAGTTTTTTGGGCTTGGCTTACTTTGGTAGCAAAGGTAAAAGTGAGCTACTCGCTATTAATCCTATGAAAAAGAAATCAACACAATTGGTTCTACACCAGATTCTTATGTCAAGTCATTTCCTTTAGAGAAAAGAATTCTCTTTCCATTCATAGTTTTACCAAGGTTTGATGAGCCAGTCTACATTTGAATCGTTATTTTTGTTTTGCACTCGAAAGTTTAGAAAAGAAGACTGATTTTTTGACGAAAATTATATGAGACGATGTTGGTATGGCATATTTAATCCTTATGACTATACAATCAATTTTCTGAAACAAACGAAATGGAACAGGGATGTACAAAAATGAAAAAAAGTGAAATCAAGAGTAATAGAGTCTAAACGAGGAGAAGAATCTCCTGCTATAACTGTTTATGAACATTTTTGTAAAATAGGTAGCATAGAAACAAATGTAAAAGATACTTGTAGGGTAACTAAAAAGTACATCAATTTCAGGTTTCTCAAAATGAAAGTAAAACATCAGCTTCCTTGATACCTTAGCTAGCAACGCGAATGTTATTGTTGAGAACCATATGGTAAAAAATGTAAATAAACAAGAAAAAGGTTTTCGACAGTAGAAGAACTGGTCGAATGGGAAAAATGAAATACCTTAGGGAAAAGAATTCAACTCATTTTATCATGTAAAAATTGGTTTCTGCATCCTTTATAGCAAAGCATCTTTTCAGGTATTTCCAGTCATTCTTGGATCAAGCAAGTCCATCATTCACTCATCAAACGGGACACTAGAAATTCTACTAGGAAATATGATTTTTATACTTAAAACCAAGAGCTTTTTTTTCAGCCTACAGGCATTTTAGAGTATTGTGTTCTGTTGTAATTCGAACAAACATAGTTCATCTCAAGCCAAGAACGACCGATCTTCTTCACAAATCCTTTTAGTTGAGTCCAAAAGATAAAGCAAATGGTCCAATTGGTCCAATTGTTCTGTGGAAAGTCCATAGACAGAATTTGAAAGACATTCCTCCACAGTGAATTTTGCGAATGCCCTTTTCCCTCTAGCTTAGCATTGTAAAACGGAGAAAAAATAAAAAATCTAAGTGTAAAGGAAAGAAAAGAAACTTCCAACAAGCTTCTTTTAAAACATTTTAGGCTGAGGCGCATCATTCTTTTCGCTCTCTTAATAAGTCACGAATAGAAAAGCCCAAATTAAAGTCAAAAGTTGAGCGTCCACTTTTAGACGTGCTTTTGTATCAGATGTTTGCCATTCTTCTCAACCTCTCTTCAGACATTGTCTGACATGAGAGCTTTTCAACAATTCCCATTCTTCTTCATTTCCTTCGATATCGCTTGGACCGGCTTTTTTTAAAAAATTTTCTTCATATTTGCATTCAAAATGTCTCATAGAACAGCTAACTCTGAGGTTAGCTCCATCCTATTTGTGAAAAATTTGTCGTTTAAAATCACATCAGAAGAAATGTACGATTTGTTTGGTAGATATGGACCTATACGTCAAATTCGATTGGGAAATACCGTTGAAACTCGAGGAACCGCTTTCGTAGTATATGAAAACGTCCAAGACGCCCTTCGTGCTTGTAATAAGTTGTCTGGTTACAACTTCATGGACCGATATTTAGTTGGTATGGAAGTTTGAATAATCCAGTTTTTCTTTCACAGTTCACTAATCATAATTCTTTAGTTCATTATTACAATCCTGAAAAGGCAAAGACTGAGGGTGAAAACTTGAATTCTCGATACACTGCCCTTGAAGAAGTTAAGAAACGCTATGGTGTTCAATAAGCCATAGCATTTGTACTTATGATGTATTATAGTTACTCATGTTATAAAATATAGATGACTTTCTTCCCGTTTTATGTTGTATTGAACCACAGTATTCATTCCATTGAATGATAAAATACCTTTATTACTAACTAAATATCCAAAAAAACCCTTAATATTTTCCATGTTACATACAAACTTCTATGTTGCACATTTTCTTTTGCCTTATTCGTAATGGGCAAGTTTCCACAAACCAACTCTTCCAGCTTCATTACCCACGCATAATTCACCACCACGTCCAAAGCCTAAACAGCTTACTCGTCCAAGAGGTGTAGAGTTAGTAGGCCAGTTTCGGAATGCACTGAAACTAGGAACGTGGAACAATCGCAGAGTGTCCTTCTTACCTCTGGAGCTAATAGCTAAAACTTGACTATCCTTTGAAAAGGCCATCGAGTTAATGCTAAAAGTGACATTCTCTAAAGATGTAGTTTGTTTATAGCCATCATCGTCGCTGGGCGTCTTCAGATCGTACACACTGACGATACCACTCTTACTGCCGATTGCAAGGTACTTGTCATTTCCATCCAAGCAAAAACGAGTAGTTGCAACACCATCCTGAATATGCCAGCGCTTTGACACAGACCTACTTTCTAAATTGAAGTGCCAAACCTCTGCGCCGTAGCTCAATACAAGCATTCCCTTTCCATCCGAAGTAAACGTGACATCAGAAATGGTTCCTTCAATTTTGAAACTAGTAACATATTGCCCAGTAATTGAATTTAAAAGATTTATATAACCATTCTTTCCTTCTAAAGCAATATACTTTCCTGTGTTGTCCATATGGAATCTTTCCATACTTGGTTGCAAATCCTCTTGTCCGTACATTCTACTGATTTTTTCGACACGTGTAGATTCTAGATCCCAAATATACATGTATTTTCTTCTACCTCCGGCGACAACATGCTTTCCATCTGGATGGAAAATAGCTGTTTGCAAGGCGGAAGAACGCAAATGCAAGGAGGTTACAAATGGATTTACCTTTCCATCTAACTGATAAATACGGATGGTTCGGTCAAAACCACAGGTCAATAGAAGAGGGAAGAAGGGATGAAATGAAATGCAGCGAATACCACTATGAGAAGGTGCCTGAAAGTTTGCATCTTTAAGTCTCTTAATGTCGATTGTACCAGGCAATAGGACTCGTGAATCCTTATTTACATAAGAGACAGAAGAGTTAAATAATTGACGTAGAGATGTCGGAAGAACGTTGTCTTCAGCAAGAGAGCTTTCCTCCTCATCCTCTCCGGCCAACTTTTCATCAGGTCTAGCCCATTGAGGGACACCATAGATTCTTTCAAATTGCTGTCTCAATCTTTGGGTATATTGTAGACCGTTGAGTTCTGCTTCTCCTTCATATCGTCGGAGCTTCCTCAGTCTAGTATTATCCTGCAAAGAAACTGTTATACGCTCATCGTCACTGTCTTCCCAAACCGCGACAGGTGGCTCATTCACTTCTTGTTCTTCCGGCTCAACTTCCATTTCCATTTCCTTGTCATCTTTGACTTTCTGAAGGGTATTTTCGCCAGTATCGAACACGAAAAGGTCTGCATCCTCGATTTTTTCCAGATCATTTTCGCCAACCTGATGTTCGTGACTTAATCCAGGCGCTTCGTCCATTTCCTGATCGGCTACATCTTTTATGTTTCCTAAATGACTTTCAAAATCATCGGTTTTTCCAAAAATGGCTTCTTCTAGCTGCAATTCCTCTGCGTCTTTTTTATGAGTTTTCGCATCTCCATTTTTCGTCGGTTTCTTCTCTAATGTACTCAAATCCAAAAAATCATCTTTATAAGGTGAAGTTTTAGAACTGTTTTTACTAGGTTTCGGCATGAAGAATGCTACTTATCGAATTCTTCCCCTTGTTGGTTTTTGGCAGTTTTGTTGGCTACTTGATGTACTACCAATGTGAAGTATTGGGTACAACATGAAGGAAACCAAACCACAGGTTTAGCCTTTTTTTCTTTTTGTTTTCTTTTTTTTCATTAGTAATTTGGAATGAACTTTCTCTACATAGCTCAATCGAATTTTTGTTTGGCTTTGTATGCAATGCTTCTTACAGTCTAGCGGCCACACAGTATGGAACAGTAAAAAATAATGCTTTGCAAAAGTAAATCTTATTTAGCGTTATATTATTTCGTTTTCTTCTGTGAAAAACACATTACCAAATCATCAGAAATCATCAAGTCAACTCATGTTTTTTTTTTCCATTAGCAGTATGCCTAATAGAATAAAATCGGCAATATAATATCAGTAGTGTACAATAGTAAGGAAAAAAGGCTTCCTTTCGAGTAATTTTCTCCTGAACTCATTATCGAGACAATGGTCTCTTGAACTGTCGCTACGACAAATAGCTCAGGCGTAAACCTTCATACATCGAGTTTCACTATGGATTGTTTCACAGTTTTTCGAACAGTACCACGTACCGCAATTCTGACAAGCATATAGTCCCCAATATCCACACACATTGCAGAACCTGCGAGCAGGTTTAGAAGATGGCTGGGCTACACATGTCGGGTATCTAGAATTTGGCTATCGTTGTAAGTAACTTGTTTTTCCTTGCATCTACTTACAGTTTCGTCCAGATAATTGGCAAACGTTTTCCTGGAAGAAAGAATGCGACGAATGCTAATGGGCATAAATCTGCGCTGCACTAGAAATGGGAAGTTAGAAAACCGAAAACCCCCAACATGCTTACATAGTTCTCTCGGGACTTCAAATCTAATGTCTGAATAGTTATCTTTATCGAGTTCTACCAAGTTTCGTTTTAACTGTCTTTCGCGAGTCGCATGATCCACAATGGACTACCGCCGTTAGCTTCTTTTTTCATTAGACTTGAATCGTCATACCCTTTGTTTTTGCTTTTTCCTTTTCTGTACTGGATGCTCAACTATAGATACAAACATCGTATTTTGGTGACTTCTATGTACTTCGACCAAAGGTTCAAATATGCCGGACAAAGACGAATATATAAATGAAAAGTTGCTTTCGCTAAAGTTCTCTCACAAAAATTCTGGATTTTAGCTCAATGTCTCTGAATTTCTGTAAGCCAGAGGAGAGATTGAAGAAAGCTCGTTTGACTGGAGGAACCTGTTTACAAAGTTTCAGCTTCGAAGCCTTATCTAAAATGGAAGTTTTCACTCAAATAACATTCAAAAGCAGTAGTAACTGGATTGCGGCGGTTCCTTTTGCAATACCGAAGTTTTACAGTATGAAAATGTTGACTGAGCGAAACATAAACGGCTTTTTCAGAGTATATGATGAATCTGGTAAGAAACTATTATTCAACTTGACTATAATGCAAGATCTTCTATAACAGTACCACAAAAACCGGATGAGATTCAGAATGAAAATTTTTTTACGCATAATCATTCAACGTCTTGAACCAGTTTCGCACTACTCACAACTTCACTTTGGAAGAACAGCCACGTACATCCACTGTCTTACTTCACAATAAATATATGAAATACTACATTACTACACACAACTCAAAGCTACCATTCAGACAATATCCTTATATCTCCCAAAAGAACTCAAAGTTTTGCATTTAGTATCCGTAAGCACGAACTTAAAGACGAACAGTGGCAGCAGCAGCCTTGGCACGCTTAGAAAGCTTAGCTTGGGTCTTGCCACCCAAAATACCACCACCCCACTTACGGCGAAGTTCGTCGTACTTGGCATTGAAGTTGACCTCAACAGCGGAGACAACAGAGGCAAGTTCGTTCTTGTCTTCCTCGCGGACTTCAGTAACAGCCAAGACAGCAGCGGACTTTTGGTGAACGACGGTACCGAGACGAGCCTTGTTCTTGACAACGGCATAGGGGATACCCATCTTCTTGCACAAAGCAGGCAAGAAGACAACAAGCTCAATAGGGTCGACATCGCTGGCGATGAGGACCAACTTAGCCTTCTTGTTTTCAATGAGACCAACAACGTGGTTCAAACCATACTTGACGTTGTAAGGCTTCTTGGAAACATCATGGGCAGACTTTCCGTTAGCGACAGCCTCGGCTTCAGTAAGCAAACGTTGCTTCTTTTCGACAGCGGTCTCAGGGCGGTACTTGTTAAGTAACTTGAAGACCTGGGTAGCAGTGTTCTTGTCCAAGGTCTTTTGGAACTGAGCAAGTGCGGGGGGAACCTTCAAACGCAAGCCCAAAATCTTACGGCGGCGTTGAAGGCGAATGTACTCAGGCCACTTCACAAAACGGCTCAAGTCACGCTTAGGTTGGATGTCTTGTCCAATACCAAAGGAACGAGGACGGCTCACAAACAAAGGGTTCTTGGTGGTCTTTGCAGCCTTAGGCTGAGCAAAAGGTGAGGGTGCGACCTTTTTAGACTTGGGTGCCTAGCAATTGTTAGTTATTCGTTTCTTATTTACGATATTTCATTCGTCGGGCAAACGTTACTTACCATTTTTGGTGGTTGTTCGTGTTAGAAGATTCCTTCCACGAAGGTTTTTTGGGTATGGTGTGACTGCTCTAGCATAACCTACCCTAATATTATGACTTGCCTTTGAAATTTATTTAGCGAATCTTAAAGAGAAATTGCGTATAGAAAAGTTCATACGTAAATAAACAAACATGGCGAAAAAGCAAGATTGTAATTCTTGCTTGACGATAAGTTTTATATCGTAGAGGAAGTTGAAGGAGAGACATTGGTAGTCATGTAGATTAAAAACTCGACAACTGAGTTCCTTGGACTTTTCCAAAGTCCTTCAAAGTCAACATTCGTGTCTTCAGAGAAGCAATGGATGGTAAAACGATGCAAAGTAGAGTGGGTTAGAGTGAGACAAACTATTGAAGTCTTCCGATATCTGACTTCATTCTGTTTAATATCTAAAAGGGGGCATGTCACTTAACACTGGATGATTTTGTCCCATATATACTTTGCTTTGAAAATAATACCTTGCGTCCTAAATCACCATTCTATACCATCTATACCATCCTCATCAGTAAATGCATTTCAAGAAAGCTTTCTTTTTCATTTCTGCTCAAATGCTAACAAAAAAAGCAGAAATTACTTATAATGGGCCCAGACTCGAGGAGGTCAGAAAAGACCTATGTTATGGCATAACCCAGCATTGTATAACAGAGTCGTTTAAATATCCAAAAATATTCTTAGAATTCCTTGCGAAGATAAACTCCAATTGGTCGTTTTCATGCATCAACCTCTCTTGTAACTGCTGTTATAAGCTTCCTGAAAGTCAGCAGACTTTTAATCACACACTAATATATCTTTCCACGACAAAGTCGCTCCTCTTTCCATTGTCAACTTGTGCTCAAGGTGTGAAATGCTTCAGGCATCACAAACTAACTAGCTCCTGCATAGATTAATGGAATTTTTTAAGCTCAAGAAACATATAAAAATTAAAATTAAAATTAAAACAGAAAAGATACTCTTTAATTTCTCGATCGACATATACCGCTGGACTTCTCATCAATGGATGTTTACCAAAAATTATTTCTACCTCCTACTCCTGCAAGAACGAATATTTGGGTAGATTCAGTTCATACAATTAAGTTGGTATCTATTTCATAGATATCTTGCTTAAAACGTCGATATATATCCTTTGTGTTATATTTGGTTATTTTTTTATAGAACATAGTCCTTTTCTTGATAAACCGCTTTTTTTTTCGTCCCTTAGTTAAACAAAGCCATCTCTTTGTTTTTGTGTATGTATTTGATTGATTGGAGGAATTCGCTTTAAAGAAGAAAATAGACAAGGAAATGGATTACTATGACATTGATGGTATTCTGTCTGAAAACCAAAAAGTTCCCTGTACCTGCAATGTCTCTATTCCGGGATTAGGACATGAGGGCCGAGAGGTAAAAATTTCAATATAATTTTGTAATTCTAAGCTAATTAGATAGGTTCCTGCAGGTTCAAAAGTTGAGTTACCTTTCTGGCTTGCTGAAGTCCTTGCTGTTAAGTATGTCCTTGGGAGAAGGGGAAGGTTTTCCAGGCCTTCTCCCTCAAGTTTTAACTATATTTTTTTTAACACTAACACGATTGGTTAAGTTCGTTTGTCAGTATTCATATGCCTGCTCCCTTTTCTTCAGTTGTACGCAATGCTTTAAAAGCAAGTCCTACAAGTGTACTTCTGAGAGACATTTGTACAACTTACTATCATTTTGCCGAAAATATGCTTCACGTGTAAGTCAATCCTATAAGTTTTGTGCCTGAATAGTCCCTGTTTTAAATTTGAAAGGCTTTCATCTTCGTTGCTTTGTTTATTTAGGCTACATTTCAAGATATTAATTTCAATGTTAGAATTTCTGATCAACAGCTTGCTCAGTTAAGTCTTGATACACTACGAAAACGATCTTTAGTTATCGCCGATGGTGCTCTAAATCCTCATGGAGCTTTGCAACAAAACTCGGACTTTATCAATGGACTGGATGACTTTGAAAAATACCGTAAGTTGTTGAATTTTCTTTACGTGGATCGTTATTACTAATACTAAACTTACGATAGTCCTGAGAATCGCACACTCTACTCACCGTAATCTTATACATTGGCAAAACTCTACTGATAATTGATTCCCTTCCCATTAATGACAATAAATCTCTTTAGCTAACCCATTCATGCTCTTTCTACATTTTATGTCATCTATAATTATTACAAGTACTACAAGATACGACTTATACAGTCAGCAGCTTAAAGTTTTGGTCAAAACACTGTATTTTATTTCTTAAATCATTTCCCATACTAAATATACTGGTTAGCTAAAGCTCAAGAGGTTTCAAAGAGACAAAGCAGTAGTTCATTAGGAAAAATCAGTAATAACGCCTTGTCACAGGCTATTATCGTCACTGATGGACTACGCAGACCGTCGTGATTATTAAAGTAAGCATCATGGTATTCCACAAAGCCACGCACTTTGTCTTTTGCGAGCGAAAACAACATACCAATTACGCATGGAAAACAGGCAACATATGTGTTTTTCCATCGAAACATCGAACAAGGTAAATTATCCGACTAGCAAAAGTTAGAGATGAGCTAACAAAAGAAAAAGGAAAGGGACAGAAAAAGCAGTTATTTTTCCATTTTCAGACGTATAGTATGTCTTCAAAGCCAATGGCATCAGACATATGCTTGTCTTTGTCTATAGTATTCATCCTCTATGTAAATAACTACGCATCTCCTTTACGGTAAATTTCTATACCTTTTTCGATGCTAAACAAAATGTTAGAATAAATTAAAAACGAAAGTCGCGTAAAGCAGTGTCCCTCAGTTAGCATGAATGGAATTAAAGAGTCTTTTTCATCAAGGAAATTCAGACTCGTCATCTATAGTTCCTCCTCGGAATTTTTTGTCTGCTTCACAGCGTCTAATATTTACCTTTTGTAACTATCGAAGCTCAACGGATACTTCACTCATGGGAACGAATACTTCACTCATGGGATCCATTTCTGAACACCAACTATAATGTATTAGTGTTTTGCTCTAAGAAGTCAAAAGTCAGAGCTATTCGACAAAAGAAGGATCAGTAAAAAAATGCAGCACAAATTTTTCTTCAGCGAGGTAGGTTGCAAGCTACCCCTAGGCCGGTAATTCCAATGTTTTTTTCCTCATATCCCTCTAGTAATCGAAAGCAGTATAGTCATTACATACATAATCCTGCATTTCTGCAATTGAAAAAAGCATTTATCGCCAAAATTTTACTGATACAGGGTTAGCATAATTGGTTTAATAAAAAAAAAAAGGATCTTGTTCAGCTCACATAGCACAGATACTCAGTTAAAGAATTTTAGATCACGTTAAACAATCAGAAACTCTAGTTTGTAAAAAAATGAGTCATCAAAGCACTGTCATGTTTTGCTGATACAAACGTCTCCAGTAACATACCATTTCTGAAATATAAATAACTTTCATTATAAAAACCCGTGTTTTCCCAAAATGTAGTTGGGAAAAGACACAATTATAATGGTGGCATTCAGCGTATTTATATAAAAAAAACAGTCCCATACTGCACCTTCTATTTGGCAGTCATACCACAGTATACCGCATAAAACTGTTTAACGTATATATTCACTAGTACATTGTTAAATTCAACCAACTTTTAGTTTATTTACAAAACAAAAAATATAAAATAAAATAAAAGCAAAATAAAGGATTCATAAACGTTGAAAACCAAACAAGCTAAGGCTGTAATTTTGTGGATTTGAATATGCTTGTTTGTACACTCAAACACTTATTCCATGGAATCGAGTCAAGGCACTTTTTTACAAAATGATCAATCGGATAACTGGATAACATTTCCTTCAATATACCTAGGACTATATACTTGGCATGCTCAAAATTCCATAAAAACCTTTTTAATCCCGCTTCTATCATTTCCTACCCATGCCCATGTATGTAAATTTGTTTCCATGACGAATGCAGGATGTAAATAAAAACGAATATGTAAAGTAAGCACTTATACTCGCTAAACGATTGTTTCAATTACTTATAGATTCAAACGGAGAAAAACAAAATCAACCGTTGTAATATTTGACACATGTGTGTATCTCTCATTACTTGTAATTATAACATCATTCAAGAAACCTTTCACACCAATTTCAAGCTACTGCTTTTCGAGGTAAATATGGCTTTCTTTTCTGTTTTTCTTTGTACTAGTATATACAATTAGATTGCACTTACGCAGCTTCAATCTACTTATCCATTTACTTTAATGTTTTTAAAACACACTCAAACCTACATATACACTTGCGTACATATATATGTATATATATACATTAAATGCTCAAAATTATCTATTTTATTAATCATGATTATTAGTTTTCTTTAATTAAGTTTCATACTCGCCAAAATAGATTAACTTACATAAATATCATAAGTGAACCGCTGTACAGAAAGAAAAAAAATCATAAAATACAAACACAATCCTCAAGGATTGTGATGCCTTGCCTGCTGAACCAGGAAACTTCGACTTCCAACAGACTCGTAATATCTCCACATAAAAAAAAGAAGAAAAGAAGAAAATAAAAAAAAATTAATGAATCGTTAAATAGCCATTGTTCTAGTAGGTATTTTATAATTTTTCTGTCTTTTATCATAAACACACATATTTTTGCAATTCTGTTTGCAGTAAACCAAGAATGTACAACAATTGCTCTCATAGTTGTTTTCCATTTGCAAAACGATACCACACTTCATCAGTGAACACAGGATTCAAGAAAAAATAAGCTTTTGTAATCTACTCATTCCAGGATTTCAATTTATTTTGCAACATATCAACCAACCAATTAGTAGGATTCGCATTAAAACTTGCCGGATTCGTCTGTTTGAATTCTCCGTCTGTAGCATCAGAAGATTGTACGCGTGCATTTTGTCCTTGGGTACCAGGTGCTTTTGCTGCTCGCGTTACATCAATTACATCTGATTTATTTTCCTCAGACTCCATAGATGAGCGAGCAGAGGAAGGCCCAAGTGAAACCGTTTGAAGATTTTCAGCAGTCGTAGGTGCGGCCGGACTGATTTGTTTAGAAAATGAAGTTAACGAAGAGGAGTTTCTTCTGTTATGAGACTTTATATGAGCCTTGTGTTTATTCGAAACCATGCCGTTTATATCAATGCATGACCCATCAGCAACCCTTTCATCGACAGAACGAGAAAAATTAGATTCATTAGGAGATTGCTGATAGGGAGAATAAATACTTCTGCTTCCCATTGAGCCTGTGTCGGGAGGTGTACGAGAGAAAACGGAATATGGACTTGAAGGTACAGAATCATGGTCGGAAGGACTTTCACTTAAATTATCTTCATCGGAACTATCCTTATCGTTGGCATATTCTAGGAATTGGGATTCATCATTGCTGGAATCATCACATTGTTCACCTCGATATTCATTCACATCTTCAATGGTAAATGTATCTTCATCGGAATTATAATCATCACCATCATAAATAACGTTATGATCATAATCTTGAAAACCACCATAATGACGATCTTCGCGATAGATTTCATCTTCTTCAAAGTCATTTTCCCCGTAATACTCTGGGACTCTGGGAAAACGACTTCTACCATCCTGAGCGAAATAACTACCACCATAATTCTTATTATCCAAGCTATTCATTTGATCTTCGATCGACGCTTTCAAGGTAGAGTCTGGTAAATCGACTATGATCCGTCCTGCATTTGGTTGTGCTGATCGAGAACTGTCTGATAATACTTCACTAGAGCTTTCATCTGATTTTTTGTCAGAAACCTTAGTATCTTCGGATGCCGCGTATTCGTTCGACTCAGTAGCACTGGAATTCTCAGAAGTACTATGGTCAACATCTACTGCGATACATTGTTGAACCCTGTCATTAAAATGAATCCGACGGGAAGGTTGAGAAGAAGGAGACTGACGGAATATAGGAGGTCGGAGGCCAAAAATGTTTGGATTTACTGGTGTATCATTTGGAGGATAACGCAGGTAGTTGTCCAAACGAGATGTCTGGGAACGAGGTGTAATATCGCGACCTGAAAGTAAAACTTCTTGAGGAGAGCGTCGCTTAAGTATTGGCTTTTTGGTTAAGGAATTTTGTGAACTGTATTCACTAGCAGAATCGGGATGATCATTTGCATTCTGGTTGGAGTCATTAGGCACGCTTTTTTGCTTCAACATTTGTGAATTATGGATCGTAGGCATAGAAGCATGGAGCAGCGGACCATAGAGCCAAGTAACATCGCACTCTTTCAACCAGTTTAAAGTTTCGGGGGAGATTGTAGGAAGGTGATATTTATATTTAATCCAAGAACGCCAAGAAGCATTTTCTAAACGCAGACCATTCTCGTAGTTGTTTTTTGATTTTGTAATTTCACGCCAGCTAGCCCATATATCGGTCTCTTTCCAATCATGGGAGAGATAATCAACTTGAGTAAGGGCGTTTTTCTTAATTTCACTATCGTCAGCTCCAAGTAACATGAGCTGGACTTTGGGTAAGGATGACAGGTCAGGGTCGGGTTGGATGTCTTTTAAAGAGTCTCGAGAATGGGAAGGAAATCCGTGCTGAGTGGGACAGCTCGATGATAGGAAAATTTGGTCATTACTGATGTTAGTTGGGTTTTTATGGTCAAATGCAATGGGCAATGAATGTTTCGACTCTTGATGTTGGTCGTTATGCACTGGGGAAGAAGAATGAAGGGACTCATCTGAGCAGGAAGCCTCGTCCAAAACATCTACATATTCTTTTTCATCCGAAAGAAGAGCTAAATGGGATGCATCTGCATCAATATGTGGTTCCGAAGATACAAAAGGATGTGCTGAGCGGGAAGAAGAAGAAGAAGGGACCGTTTTATCATTCCTTCTTGCAACCGCATGAGTAGAGTGCTGAGGAGAAGCGATGAACGAAATCTCACGAACATTTTGAGCTGTTTCTGAGGGAGGAGCCACAGACGATTGATCAATCGCATCGCCTGAAGAATTCAATACCGCCGATAAATCTTGGATTTGTTCCGGGTTATAAATTGGCGGTTTGTCTTTGGAAATGCTTCTTGAAGAGGACACGGGTGATTGGCTCCGCTGTTTTCTATAGGAAGACGACGAAGGCAGAGAACCAGGGCAATGTGTCTCAAGCATGGGAGAGCAATAGGATCCATGCAATGGGAATGGATTGAGACGAGAATGGCTGTTCTTGGGAAAATCCTCGTCTGCCAACAAACCGACATTAGCATCCGGTTTGGTTGTCATACCAAACCAACGACTACCAACAAATTTAGCTGCTTAAAGCAATTTTTCGGTAGGCAAATTGTCAGAATGAGATCGTTGTGTTCAAACAAGCTTCACCTCAATTTCTCGTCCGCAATCGATCGATGTTGGTGGAGAAACGGCATGCAATTTGCAAGTCGATCTTCTGTTTTCGTCGTATTAGTCGAGGAAGGGTGGGGCATGCAGACTCCGAATACCTTACTGTAACTTAAGCTGTTTATATTAAGGATTTACAGATATTACCAAATGAAATTGGTAAATCGTGTATATATATATAAGCAAATTGGTGGGGAGGGGAAGGAGGGGAACGGATGACTCTAACTCTGTCCAGTTTCTTTGTTGATTACAAACGAGACAACAACATTTTGTGGGTTATACTCGCTCCGAAATGAGACAAGCCACACTTGGAGACAAGCGTTTGGTTGGGACAAGAGGATTGCATAGCGATAGCAGCTTGTTATCCATACAAAGCAGTAAGTAGAAAGCACGGCATTGAGATAGTTAGCCTCGTTCGTTGACGGGATTGTCGGTCAACGATTGGAACGTAGAAACCGAAGAAAATCCGCTTGTAACTTTAGAGATGAGCCTCGAAGCGACAGTGATGAAAGAACACTGGTGTAAACATAACGATGGCAAAATTGAGCTAAAAGGATATTTCTCAGATAGCGACATAAAATAGAACTGCAAAGGTGGTAAACTTCATGTTGCGTAAGACCTTATTTGGGGCGTCGTTGATCCTTGCTTTATCAATTTAAGCGGGTTTTTCAAGTCCCCAGGTCTCGTTTGGTTGACTATGATGTGAGCCGAGGAATTACGTTTTCAAATCTTGAGAAAATGCCTTCTTGTTTGAGAAGACTAACTTAGCTGGAGAGTAAGTTGAGGGGATACCATGCAGAAAGCAATTCGTTGGACTGGAGTGTTCCTCAAAACCTGGGAAACCCCGACTGTGAAAAATAAAGGGTGAAACGTTACACAAATGCGAACAATAAGTTGATGATGTATGTACCTGTGCTTTTCATTCATAACAACAAGAGCCAGTAACGAGAAGTTGAGAGAGTTTCATGTTGGGGTTTCAAAAAAAAAAAAAAAAAAAAAAAAGAATTCACATATTAGAAATCATTGTTTAATTTGAATAGACGAGTTTGACGATGAGCTATAAGATGGTTATTTATGGTCCAACGAAGACGGGAAAATCAGTTTCATAGAATCAACTAGAATAGGACATCGTAGCTTACTTGAGATTGTTAGGGACAGGTTTAAGAATGTTAGGGAAGAGATAGGTTAGATTGGAAATGAAGGATATAAAATAAATCTTGGTTGAATTCTTCTTAAACCCATATAGTCCAGGGTTCAGCATTTAGCAAAGTGTTTGAAACGAGGAAAGCGGAAAACATGCAAAAAAAGAATCATAAAATAACTAGGGAATGAAGGAACTATAAATCTACTTGATGTAAAGTAAAATCAGGTTCCAAAAGATTTCGTTGAATAAAGTCAAGATTCACCATGTCATTGGAATCGGTACGTGCAGCGGACTCTGCTTCGGTTTGACAGAGTCCCGCTTGCAAATGTCGTTGAATCACTCTTTTTCTAGCGGTGTTTGGATCGACGGCAAGAAAAGCCTTGATATCGTATAGGTTTGCAGCCAGTGACCATGGATGCTTGTTGAGAAGGAGATAGTTTCCCTCAAAGATGAGAATTCGATGTTCTGGATGGATACGAATATCGTCCTGGACGGGAGCGCCGACCGAATGGTTAAAGGAAGGCGCAAACAGCTCGCAGTCCGTAACTTTTTTTACTAAGGCAACAAGAGACGCATAAAGTCGTGCGTCAAAGGTCCACTCTGCTCCACGTCGTGCTCTCGCTTCTTCCGGATTGTCCATTTTATCTAGTTCTTCCAGGGTGTAATGAAACCCATCCTACGAAACTTGTTAGTATTGATTTCATTCAACGAAAACGTATTCTTCATTACCATGGGAATCATTTTCACCATATCAGATCCGAGCCGCTCGTTCCATTCCCTTACTAGTTTGGAAGTCAGCGTTGTTTTTCCTGATCCTGGTCCGCCAGCCAGGCCGATCAAGACTCGCTGTCGATGTTGAAGAAGCTCAGTAGCACGTTGAAATAGAGCCTCAACTGAATCTTTTCCTTGTGTCAAATCATGCATACTTGCCTGTTTTGTTTAGTAAAAAAATAAGAATCGTAGAATTACAAATCATACAACGAGTTGCTGGAGAAATAATTTTTCGATACAGGTGTATGAAAATTCAACCTTTCTACTCGTCGCAGTAGTTAAAGCAACGTTCTAACTTCCTTTTCTAAGAAAATTGAATTTAATAAAAACAGAAAACAGACACGATTGACAAAGACTTGTTTGTTTTTATGCACAGAGGACTATGAAATGGAATTGCTTCGGACTGACGAAACACAGGTAGCATTGTTGTTCGGTGTGAAAATGGATTGTTTGTTTCTATTGGAAAAAAAAAAGAAATAAGAAAATAAAAAAAGAGAGAGAGAACAATTAGAGATTCATTCCATAATTTAAGGAAAAGAAAATTCAACAAACTGTGTGGACGTAATAAAAAGGTTCAAAATTCCAATAGAAACAAAGGTCATGATTTTAGGGTATGTTAATCTTCCTCTCCATCCCAAAGAATAGCAAAACACGGAAATCGCTTGCTGAGACTGTTTTCAAATCAATGTCATTGTTCTTTCGCTACGAGTATCCTAATTGCAACCTTTTTTACCTGCGTCAAAGATCCATCACCTTTGTGTAATGGAATTTTGCAATTAGAAATTCAGTTTGTATTTCTCTTCCATTTGTTACTTTCCAAGAAATTCTTACATAATTATTTGGTGGAAATCAAGAGGAACAGTTATCAAGAACAACGACGAGAAGGATGTTTATGATAAAAGAAGATGATTTTAGAGAACCATAATTGAGACCTTTCGATGCAGTATAAGTCGATAAGTTTTAATTTAAACTTAAAGAAAAACAACAAATAATAAAAAAAAGGCATACGTTTAGAAGCAAAGAGAAAAGGATAGGATGGTTCATATGAAGGAAAATATATATACTCTTCTCCCATTTTTATCATAGTTCCTCTCTGGTTTAAAGTAAACAATGGCACAAGTCCTATTCTACGTAGCCCATCCCTTCCCAATTGAAACCCTCACAAACCGATGGATGATTTCAATTCCTTTTTTTTTTTTTTTTTTTTTTCAACTGTATGATGTCTAATGGAATCATAAAAACGTACTTGCTTGCAAAAAAACCGTTACCGCATAGTCAGCTTGATTCTTCTTCTTTATTGAAAACTGCAAAAACAAAAGGCATTAGATAATGTAAACGAAAGATTCTAAGAGTAGTAGAGGGTTGAAACATCATGACATGAGCTTTCATTTATTTATACGCAATACTCATTCATTAGGCTCAACACTAAGCGAGATGAAAAGTAAACATGTATAAAAGCAAGCCATCTGACCAGAAGGACGGTTATACCATGAAAAGAGATATTTTAATTGTTTTTAGTTCCTCTAATTTCTTTTGTTTTCTACCAATATTCAACTATACCTCATGAATCCCTTTCCTTCTAATCAGATCAACAGTGTTTTACAAGTCGGAATAGACCCGCTTTGTTATAACTGGCTGGAAAAACCAAAAGTATTTATCTACTAAGAGGCTTCAAGGTTTCTTTCATTGTACTCTACCCTATGTTGAAACATATTCAGGTGAACATGCATTCCCATTACAAAAACTGAAAGACTAATACAAAAGATGCATATAGCTTCAAATGGAGGCATGTTTAGTTCTTTTTTATAGGGCTGAATATGGTTTCATTCGTTCAATTTCTTTCTTTTTATGATTAACTTGAAACATTTGAATAATATATTCTGCGGATTAGTAGACGCGTAAATATGATTCCTTGTTTATGTATTCTTCTTCAATATATAAAACCGGTAGGGGAAAGAAATTCATATTACATACATGATAGCTTCCATAAATTATTATTACTGATTAAAAATAATAAGCAGAAAATTCTCATGAGTTCTCGTAGATTATAGCTATCCCTTCGTTGCAAGGTCAGAGCTTTTACGAATGTCAAGTTTCGGTTCTCAACCTTTGACGATTCATAAAATTTTTATGAAGTGCAGCATTAAGAAACGACACCTATCAATCGCGTGTACATAGTGTAGGACCACTGTTGAACAAAATGAAAAATACTACGAGGGGAACAATATTACGGGAATTCAAGTAGTAGGGATATCGGCATTCTCTTCTACAGAAAATAGATATTCACTCAAGTTCGGAGACTGTTCCATAGCTCATTATTAGGCTGTAGTTAAGAACGATGGTGTCAAGAAAGCCAGCTTCAAATAAAGGACTTTTCAATCAGACCTGAAAGAAGTGAACAAACATGTTATGTATAATTTACGGCAAGTGTTGGAAGACATGAAACTCGATCAAATCATTAGGAAAACAAGGAACGCATACAGTACCGTCTAGCTCGTTCTTCTGTATGCAAAAAGACCAGGTTCTCTAGTATTGTCTGCATGTCCTTTTTTATATAAAATACCTAAATGGAATAATAAAAAGCATATGCTAAGAAAAGAACTCATGCTATACCTTTGGTCATGAGAAGACAAACATTTGCGAGAGTACAAAGACAAATTCGCATATGAAACGGAAAAGAGAGTGTTTAAACTCGATGATCCATGCACTAAGGAGTTATCCGTCATAATTTTTTTCTCTCTCTCTTTACTCTTGTAAATTCCACCTTCCATATATACTAGATTTATTACAAAACCCATTGTCAACTAAAGTATATCAAGGTAATAAGTAGCTGCAAACTGCAGATTTCGTAAATGATTGAGTCTTGTTAAATCATTCATTCTCAAGAGTAGCGAAATCTTTTTCTTATTCTAAACAATGGAAAGCATCATTCGTAAATGTCATCGTTTAATAGGAGCGTCGTTTTTCAGACAGAATTTGCATCATTTTGGAAAAGCAATATTTTAAACAGGGGAGGAATTTTTATAATATCTCAGTAAGAAAAAATTCTTTGATTGGATTAAACTTGAGAAACTGGTAAAGCTACCTTTTCGCTGTATCACCTTTTCTTGACAAATCTTGCATAGGAATCGAATCCGCTTCAAACTCGATAACAATTGGTTGCAAGTAACCAATAATGGAAAATAAGCAGGCAAGACCAAGAATTAAGCAAGGAATAATTGTCAAGTATGCAAAACCCTTATACACGCTCTCGTAGACGTCGCCCGAGTATCTCCATATAAGATAAAGTATGAAAGGGATCCAATTTATTGTTAAAAGAACCAAAAACCCGTTTCTTAAGAGTGACTCCAAATCGTTATATCTCTTTAGTAGGCTTTGCCAAAGACGTCTATTATATTCCTCTTCATACTGAGGAGGGATTTCAGACGTTAGAGGAGCAGTTTCCTCAAAATCCTCTTCAGGTGGACTCATTCTTAAAAATTAAAAAAAAAAGATGGTGGTGACTTTGAATGGGAGTAACTGATTTCAATGTTATCCATCATCTCCCTTCCGACTGACGTCGAATTCATCCTCCTTCCTTCCATTCCGACTTTACAGCGAATCCTCCTCAAAGAACATCTCAATTTTTAAATACAAATCAACATGCTTCAACCACGGGTTATGTGGAGATATCGCCTACCTGAAGATGATTCAGGTGATACATACGAGAAGATCAGTCAAGAATTAACAAAGGTGAATAAAAGACAGGTTTTAGCGGCTTGCTGTATTTTCTTCATATGCTTTACACATATTGTTTTGGCATCAACATTAAAATACCATGGAAAAGCGCACTTAGTCATTTGGCTTTATTTTGCTATCCCTATAATTCTCGTGTTGACCTTTCCTGGGGTTGGATCAGAAAATTGTACACGGTTACCAAAAAAGGAAAAGGAAAGGCGCGATAGGGAACAGCAACTCTCAAATGCAGGAACCAATGGCCCTTCAAACCTGCACCCTCACCCTCACCTGCATCCTCAGGAAAACCAATCTTTACCGCAATACACTGAAACAAACGAAACTAAAGAGTAAAGAAATACAAGGCAGCATTACGAAATCCGTCATAGAATTCATTAAAAAACAATAAATCTACCATCTAATTCTGCAGTGATTAACTTTTTTATTTAGCCCTAAAATTCCATTATTCTACTTGGAATTTGTCACGACAGTGGACAAGGACTATTTACTGGATTTTCTCATGAACCTTATCTTCTACCCTTCTACCCTTCTACCCTTCTACCCTTTCCTCTCACTGCATCTACTTTGTATCTCCTTCTAGGCCAGCTTTAAAAGGCAGTCACAGTTTTCGGTTGCGTTTGTCATCAAATCATATCAGATCGGTGAGCAGATGCAAAATTTATTAGCGAAACCTTCTAAAGGATTACGAAAGCAAAACGCCAAGGTCGCAAAACGGTCCATAACAACTTTGATGGACCTTCATACCTCTCACTCTCACTCTCATTCTTACACTCACTCACTCACTTGTCTACCCTTTCATTTGATAGCGAAAAGTTCAATGACACGCTGTAACTTGTTGGATTGGTTTAAATTTTGTTTATCAGTGGCGATAGAAAAGGAGTGAGTCTTTTGGCTCTGATTTGTCCTTTGTTTTTCTTGGAGCTTCTGGTCCTTCCGGCCACCAGTTCTGATTGAACGACACTTTCGCCCAAATGACGTGGCGCCCTATCAAATAACGAAATGGAACGCCATCGGTAACAGCCATCTGATAAATTTTGGGAGGGAGCGATCTGTTTTTATCCTTTGCCAAACAGACAGATTAATAAGAAATCTATTACTTGATTTTTCTTTGGAAAAGAAATAGTTTGAACAAACTCAAGTTTACAACTTTATATTTTGCACCTATATCATCGTTTGTTCCGAATTCTCTAATTCAAACGATTTTCCTGTTGGATTTCCATCTTACATTCACCATATCTTTTATAAAAATGTTTTCTCGCAGTGTCCAAAGTGTTGGCCGCGTTTCCCCTTTAATAACTCAGCGTTTTGCTGGCCTTGGCGTTGCCAGCTCCTTGTCTGGTCTCCGTCTTGCTAACATGAATGGTGCCTCAAATATCTTTGCCCCTTCCTCCTTCTCTTCTCCTCGTCGCTTGTACCACAAGAACGTCTTGGATCACTACAACAATCCAAGGAATGTTGGTAACCTCCCCAAGAATGATGCTGACGTCGGTGTCGGTCTAGTGGGTGCTCCTGCTTGTGGTGATGTGATGCGTCTTGCAATTCGTGTGAACAAGGACGGTGTCATTGAGGATGTCAAATTCAAGACTTTTGGTTGTGGAAGTGCTATCGCTTCTTCTTCCTATGTTACTACCATGGTCAAGGGATTGACCTTGGAAGAGGCTGCCAAAATCAAAAACACTCAAATCGCCAAGGAATTGAGTTTGCCTCCTGTTAAACTACACTGCTCCATGTTGGCTGAAGACGCCATTAAGAGCGCTGTTAAAAATTATCGCTCCAAGAGCTTGGATGATGCCGCCGCTGCTGCCAAACCTGCTCAAGCTGCCGGTGCTGCTTAAGTTTTTATGTTAGGTGTTGCTGATCGTCAAGTCTAATGGAGTAGACAAATCGTCGCTTCTCGCTGGTCAGTTTTTGGGTTTATTTTCTTCGGTCAAGTTTTTTATGTTATTTTGATAAACCATTTGCTCGATTTTATGATTAAAATGTTGCTGGCTTTGAATCTGTTTCCTCCAAGTGATGGTTAATTGGATACAAAGTAGCATTATGGCAATTACACAATTACCTTGTGCATATTGGTTTGCGTTCACATCCCCCCTCCTGTATTTAATGATTGTTTTTTTTTTCATTATTGGTTTCTTTTTCATTGCTATATGATTTTTGTTGCATTTGTTGCTTCGTTTGCTTAGTTAAGAGAAGATAAAGAAAAATTACAACACTTTACTTTCTTTTGTTATGAATCTCCCTTAAAAAAGAGAAAGTTTTATTCGTTTCAATAAGTTTGTGCGAATATAACCCTATGAATCGGTGTGCTTACAAGGCTAGTCGAATCGAATCATGTTGAAATATGTTGTGAAAACAGCATTTGGTTGGAAGTGCCTTTGTCTTTCTACTTTTGACACCCATTAGGAGAAATTAAATACTAATAATAATTATTCATGAATGCCAAATGATGCTTCTTCGATATTGTCTGTACGCAGATCTGTAAACGTATTGATTGACTTTGTAGTAGGATTGCTGACTTCATAGAGAAAAGTAAGCGGGTTTCATTTATACTATATACATTACAATTCATAACAATGATCTATTCCATTCCATTCCAAAGAAAACAAAAAGAACGCTTAACCTGACAGAAAAGAGTGAATAAACGAACATGTACATACAGTTTTCGGCGACATACTTATGTTTTAGAGATATCTCAAGGGTGCCAAACTTTGATGGTTCGATCAAATCCAGACGACAACAACTTGTCGCCATGACCGTCCACGCTCATGACCTTTTCTTCATGGCCTACTAAATTTTTTATGAGAGCTCCTGTAGTTGAATTCCAAATTTTCACACACCCATCATATCCACTGGATAGCAAAAGCACCGCATTATCCGACTGTACATAACGAACATCAGATACGAGGGAGGAATGGGCCGGAATTGTCTGAGAAAGCGAAACTTTACGAAGGTCCCATATTTTAACAGAATCATCTGCTGAAGCCGTAGCCAGTTGATATCCATTCGGCGACCAATCCATGGAAACAATATGACGGATATGTTCATCTAAAACCATGATTGACTTTCCAGATCGAACATCCCATACACGCCCAATGGCGTCCATTCCACCTGAACTGAGCAAGGATCCATCAGGCTGCCAGGCAACGCAAAATATGCCTTCCGCATGTCCCTCCTGCATGAGTAACTCGGTCTCTGTTGCAACATCCCACAGTCGCCATGTTGTATCAAAAGAACTAGAAGCCAAATAATCACCGCTTGGATGAAAAGCTACTCGAAGCACACGAGCCAAATGCCCATCTAATCGTGAAACTGGTGTAGATTGTTTTCCGTTCCACAAACAAACTGAATTATCGGCCGCTCCTGTGGCCAAGCAAATTTTTTCTGAGGTTTCATCCCATGTTGTACAGTCAGGGTGCCAGTCTAATCCCGAGACCTTGTCAGTATGGCCTCGATATAAACGAACCTGAGAGAGATCTTTGGTATCCCAAACCTTCACTTGTCCACTCCAGCTACCAGTAGCAAACGTGTCACCATCTTGACAGAAACGAATGATAGACATAGGCCTTTCTCCACCCACTTGCGAACCCATGGCATCTACTTTGCGATAATGATCACCGGCAGAGCGAGCGGAAAGAATTACTTCTGACACAGGAACTTCAAAATCTTTTCGTTCTTTATCCAAACGTGACTTAGCCTTCTCAAGAGAGTACAGCGCCATTTTTCGTCTAGCTTCTAATAATTCCTGACTGCCTTCCGAATAGGTTTCATGCTCCTCGTCTTCATCTTCCTCGTCTCCTTGAACGGTAGACATGAGGATATCTCCCTGGCCCTCATAGGAACGCTGTAGCATCCATTGCAACAATCGTTCTCGTCTTGATGCTGCATTTTCCGCAAAGTACGTTACCGGTTCTCCGAATCCACGCAAGAGCTCACGCACACGCGCATCCTCATAGGGAACTTTTAATGCTCGTATACGCTCTTCCTGTTCCTTTTCCGCGTAATAAGCTGCTTGGTCTTTGGAGAATCGTGTAATTCCTTCCGGATTCTGCTGCGTCTCTTCATACATCGTTAGCTATGAAGCAAATTTCAATTTTCATCCTTGCAAACATACCTAAATCCTGCAAATATACGCCTCCACTGTTCGTGCTCATGCTACCTTTCTTCCTTCTGTTATTTCTTGGGACAAAGTAAAGATAATGGTACGTTGGATTGCGGTAGCTTATTGCCTTATAACGGTCAATAAAGAAATATCATTATAATATGCAAGTATTTATTATAATACTCGAACGTATCCTTATACCTCTTGTTTTTACTATGAGATGCTACACCAACGTAGTGAGTTCATAGACGATTAGGTAGGAAAGAGAGGGTCGAAAGAATGAGAAAAGTGGCCTTTTATACGTTTCTTTTAAGCTTTGTGTCCTCTGTTTACTCTTCAATTTTCAATTGGAAGGATGTAAGTTTCTGTAAACATTAAAAAGGCAGCGTTTGCTGACATTGTTCTCCAAAAGGCATTTTCTTATCCTAAATTTTCCTTTGAATGGAGTCCTGATGTTATTACAATAAGCAAAATGGACGAATTGAAAAGTCAGTTGTCTAATGAAAAGCTTTGGACGCGTCTTCGCTCAGGAAACGAAGAGTATTTCTGTATTTATCCCAATATGACAGCTATAGAGCAAAAGTCACCGCTAGAGCAGCCTGCGCATGACATTGATGAATTAAGGAAACAAGGATTGTCAGCATTACAAACACTCAACGAACTCGTCGTAGTAGGGGTAAGAATTATCACAAGGGACAGTTGAATTGAGAGCCAAGATTCATTGTATTCGCATTCTTATTTTCTTGGTAATTAATGCTCACACAAAACTTACAGAATCGCGGTTACTGGACATATGACTATGTACACAATCAATTTGCTCGCCAATATCACTTGGAGCCTTCCCCTGAATCCATAATACCCATTATAGAACCCTTATATTTTCTTGGAAAAGCTTCTTCACAAAATGAAAGTCAACAGCTTTCGGAAGAGCAATTGATGGTTAAATATGATGAAGGAAAAGCCTATTTACAAACTACGTATTACAACGGAACGAACTGCGACGTTACAAATAAGCCACGCACTGTAGTCTTAAATTATGAATGTGAAGACGACGACTCGACTCCAAGGGTGTCTCAGTATCAGGAAGTGTCTAGCTGCTTTTATTCCATGAAGATCCATGTACCTGCTTTATGCAAGCATAAAGCTTTTCAACCCGTAGATGATAGTCCTTCTGAAAACATCGTCTGCTACCGTATTTACACGGGATCAGATAATTACGTTCATGCCGCTAGCATAAAATCGCAAGCGTCTGCAGAGACCAGTGCTCGCAGCCCTACGAAAACGAATACTGATGCGGAAGTATATGTAGGTCGGTCAGTGCAACCAACAAGCAATCCTTCCGATGCACAAGAAGAACTATAATATTACCTTTCAATTGTGTCTTTTGAATTTCGTAATAGAAAACTTGCATAATCATTTCATGTTCTCTTCGCTCTATCACCTCTATATACAATTCTCTGAGTTAAACCGTCAGACGCAGAACTAGATTTCATGCAGTGGTATGAATTTCTTTTATTGTCGAACAACTTGAATTTTGTTGTCTTTTTGAAACTTTGAAAACTCCGCTTCAAGCTCCTTGTATTGTTCGAGCAGGGCATCCATTGCTTTTTGAATCTTTTCATGCGTTAGTATTTGACCAAATATCTAAGCATTTCCTATTCACTTACTCCTTCTTGATTCGTTTGTAACGCAGGCATAACTGTTTCTACAGTCTGCTCGACCAAGACGCCGTGAATCATGCGAAAACAACGGCGATCTTTATTTAAGGGTTTTAAGGTCTCATTTACCAGCCTAGTCGATTTAATTAGCCTTGCTCATCCTCTGGTGAGTGTTCCCTTACTTGTGTTCATCAGCGTCTGTTTCTAAATCGACAATCTTTTGTGCAATCTGTTGCAATTGCGACTTGTACGCGTTATACTGGTTTTGCAAATCTAATCGTTAGATACACAGATTTCACTTCCAACATACACTGTTGTCGACTAATCTGCTCGGTCATTCTTTCAGATGATGGATTTTTGCAAATGCTTGTTGCGTCCACGTACACACACTCACATTCAATTAGCGTGGTAAACCGATCTCGATAAATGTTTAGTGCACCCTTAGAAATATGTTACGAGCTGAATGAACAAAGGATCGTTAGTAAACACTGATTTGAATGCAAATCATATTAGATAAATATTTGGTTGATGGACGAAAGCGTGAAATAAAAAGGATTATAATGAAGTATAATCAAAGTAATGTTTCTATTGGAAAAAGAACCCTCACCATTTACGAACACATAAAAATTATACGTGATATATACCATATTTATATTATATATCTCACCAAAAATCCTCTATAGAAAAGCAATCATTTTTCTTCATGAAAGAATAATCGCTCCTTAGAGATTAAATGTTATTCGTATTTTAATTTCGTATCGCATTACTCCAAATTGAGAATTTTGTACATGTCGCCGAGTAAATAAAGACTTCCACAAACAACACTAAGAGGATTTTGACTTCCTGCAGAACACAATGATTCTTTTTTATTTTTTGGATCAACGAGTATGGTTCGAATCTGTTTCTTGGATAAATATTCTTGAATCACTTTAGAATCCATAGATTGAATCCAAGGCATCCCATGTACGGAAGAAAATTGGGTAACATAGACCGTGTCCCCTGGATGAACTAGTGAATCTAAAATGGACTTTGCATCTTTACTATTCGTGAAAGCTACCATCCAAGAGACTGACTTGGTAGCATTCTTTTCTCGTTGGAGATTCACAAAGTTGGCCAGTTCTATGGCCGCATCTTGATTGTGGGCTCCATCAAACAAAACCTTTCCCACACCCGGAATCTCTCGAAAATCTAATCTTCCAGGCCAAATAGTGTTTTTTATTCCGTTCTGTGCATGAGGAATCATTAATGGGAAGGAAGCCGTTAGCACATCCAAAGCATATACACCGCAAGCAACATTAGCACCTTGATAAGAACCATTCAAAGAAGTCTGGAAATCATTCGTTCCCCAAGAGGGGCTTGTGACACTCCAAGTCTGAGCCTGATTTGTCTCCTTTGCTGAAGCTAAATAAACAGGTCCAGCGTGAACTTCTTGAGCAACTTTTTCAAGCTCTCTTAGCACACTAGATTTATTAGTTATATCAATGACACAAGGGACGTTCTCGCGGAAGATTCCTCCTTTCTCTCGAGCGATCGCTTCCAGTGTATTTCCGAGAAAGGCTTCATGATCTTTACCAATCCGAGAAATCACAGATAACAAAGGTGATTCAAATACATTTGTAGCGTCTAATCTACCTCCTAAACCTGTCTCAATCACAGCCACCCGTACACCAGCTTGACAAAAGCATTCGAAAGCAGTAGCTGTCAAGAGCTCAAATTCGGTCGCATTGGTACCAAAGCGTTTATCGATCTCCATGACCCGCTTATAACAGGTTTCAAACATTTCTTTACTTGCGGCTCGGCCATTCATATGAATGGTATCCCTAGGCTCAAAAAAGTGCGGACTAGTATATCGACCAGTCTTTATGGCTGCTTGTAACAAGGTTGTATATATATAGCTGCAAATACTTCCTTTTCCATTTGTTCCGGCAACTTGAATAGCACAAAAAGTCTCATGAGGATTTCCCAAATGCTTTAGGAGTTGAACCATACGCTGCAATCCAAGCTGAATTGGCATGTTTCGATAAGAAGAAGACGAATTGAGTAAATCAACCAGTGAAAAATTCAGTAACGAAGGAAATTAGCCTCCACGAATGTTCTAACTTGATGAAATGCCAGATTCTTGAAACACAAGATCCCGATCAAAAGGATATTTTAACAGTTCTTAATTTAAAATTAAATAGATATTCAATAGACTGAATGAATCGAATTCTAAACGTTCCTTTCTCTTCTATATGAAGTCCTTTCTTGAAGCTGGGGGATCTACAAAGAGGAACCGTAGTAAAATTACACGTAAATAAGAGAAAAAGAGAAATTTTTCCAGATGGAATAGAATGAGAACTACCCTTCGAATGTTTGCATGAATTCTCGTTAAAAGAACTGGTTTCCAAGTCTAAGGTCAGTAGGAAAGTAGTAAAAAAGGGAAACTCAATCTGCGGTATTTTATTCCATTATAATAGAGATGGCTCGTCTAAAATTTATTCATAATGAAACTTCTAATAGTCTCTAGAAGTCAATTCATCTTCAGGAAACCAAATGCTCCCAGCAGCAAGTCTTAAAGTGCAGGGAGAGAAACCGAAATATTGACTAATTTCTCATATATTCTCTGCATTTCTTTTATTTTTTCCTGGTTTTTAACAGAAAGCTGTTCAATGTCATGGTATAGACTGTAGGAGGAGAACACGAATTGATGAAGACCTAGAGGTAGGAAGGGAGCGAGCTCCTTTCTACAACTATAAACATGCGTTTCATAAAATATCTTTGAGATTTTCAACGGAATGTCATTTTCCTCGTGAGGACCTGTGAGCGAAGGTAGACATGAGAGACCTGACCTGTCGTTAGCGATTTCCCCAGTCAGCCAAAATGACGGATTATATTAAGGAAAAAGCGATTGCAGCTGATTTTTCCTCAGTAACATTTCGATTTGATGATTATTTAGCCCGAAATTTCGAGTTTGGCGAAGCGGGAAAGCTTCATTCACTGCATGGCCGCGAATCGGGCTCCAAGATGGGCAGCGTGGTTTGCAAGCATTGGTAGTTTTTTTTTCACTAAAGGTTTTGGATATTAATGAAATCATAGGCTTCGCGGTCTCTGTAAGAAGGGAGAGCAATGTGACTTTCTGCATGAGTATAATTTAAAGAAAATGCCACCGTGCCATTTTTACGCAGAGAGGGGATGGTGCTCTAATGGAGAAGAATGTCTGTATCTTCATTTAGATCCTAGTAAGCAAGTTGGTGTATGTGCTTGGTACAACATGGGTTTTTGCCCATTAGGTCCCGTCTGCCGTGGAAAACATGTACGAAAACCAAAAATATGTGAACGATACTTATCAGGATTCTGCCCCTCAGGTCCCAATTGTCCTGATCCTCAGTAAGTGATTTGGGAATCCGAGAATCTTATGAATACAATACTAACGCAATTCAGTCCGAAGCATGTGGATCCACCTCATCCTCCTCAGAGACGAAAAGATTATTAATGAGAAAGATTGGAATGAAGAGCTTTTTCGTGTGTATATTAGCCCTGTTGATGATAATACAATTTGATTCCCATTTGTCCAAAAGGGCTGAAATATTAAATCCTCAAGGCTTCAAATTCAAGTCATGTAAAAACCCACAAACGTCTAGAAAACTATCGTAAAACAAAAAATTTTATAAAAAAAAGCTTGAATCTCTTCTCTTGGTTCGTAAAGAACTTGTATAGCAAGCGTTCCTATTGAAAAGAAGCTCGGTAGCCCTTATGAAACCTAAACAAAGAAGAAAGTAAAAAATTCTCGTGTCGCATCCTCTGCAAAATTCCCTTTCCCTTTGGCAGCTTTCCTTTGTGAAACTGGCTTTGTTTACCTTCGTAGTGAAAAAACAACATTAGCAACAATACCTCTGGAACCATCCAGATATAGGGCAAATGACCCTTCAATCGATTCCTTAAAAAAATTTAAACCAAATAGAATAGAAACATTTTTCAAATCTGCCACAAGACATACTTACCCTTTCAGGCTTCCCGTGAGGGGGGAGTGAGATTTTTACTTTAGTACGTACCACCAAGGAATTTCGAACCAAGGTGAAGAATTGCCATTGAAAGTTAAGAATCTTTAATAAACATCTTGATTAAAAACAAGAAAGACGGTATAGAGATACCCTTTGAAATTTGAGATTATAATTCTCGAGAACGACGAAAATTGGTGAAGGAACAGGTCAGAACGAAAAAGTAAAGGAAAGCCAGGCTGTGAAGACGATGGACGAATCAGAAGATTTATCGGATCAATGGAGATTTGCCCAGTATGTAAAAATTGGAAGCAGATGATGGATTACTAACTTGGTTAGATGTTTTGGCGACAAGGGTGATGTTGAGGACATCACAGAAGGTATGAATTGGATAAGCGCAAAAAGGCATGAGTTTTCAACATAGCTAACTCATTTGTGAAGCTGATATTATTTCAGCGGTAGAATTTGATCATACAGGAGATTACCTTGCAACGGGTGATAAAGGGGGACGAGTAGTATTATTTGAACGAAATCATTCCAAAAAAGGTTGCGAATACAAGTTTTTTACGGAATTTCAAAGTCATGAACCAGAATTCGACTACTTAAAGTCGCTAGAAATTGAAGAAAAAATCAACAAGATTCGTTGGTGTCGTCGAACGAATCGAGCACACTTTTTGCTTTCAACGAACGACAAAACGATTAAGTTATGGAAGCTTTATGAAAAAAACCTGAAGGTTGTTGCAGAAAACAACCTTTCTGACGAGTTTCGTCACCCTCGCCCTTTGCTGAAGCCCTTTACCGTACCAATGCAGCTAAAACTTCCTCGCCTCAGCCATCATGATACGATTGTTGCTGCATATCCTCGTAGAGTGTATTCCAATGCCCATGCCTATCACATCAACTCCATCAGCGTGAACTCTGATGCTGAGACCTACATTTCAGCAGATGACCTTCGCATCAATCTATGGAACTTGGGCATATCAGACCATTCTTTCAATATTGTGGACATTAAGCCTGATAACATGGAAGAGCTGACAGAAGTCATTACCAGTGCCGAGTTTCACCCAATCAATTGTAACCATCTAATGTACAGTAGTAGCAAAGGTAATATTAAACTTTTAGATCTTCGTCAGTCCGCTCTTTGTGATAATCATACAAAGCTTTTCGAAGATCAAGGAGATCAGGACTCGAAGAGCTTTTTTTCTGAAATCATTTCTAGCATTTCAGACATCAAGTTCTCGCAAGATGGCCGTTATATTTTATCTAGAGACTATTTATCATTAAAGATTTGGGATATAAATATGGAAAAGATGCCAGTGAAAACGATTCCTCTTCACGATGTCTTGAGATCAAAACTTTGTGATCTTTATGAAAATGACTGTATTTTTGACAAATTTGAATGCACGTTCTCTGGAGATGGAAAGCATGCTTTGTCAGGAAGTTACAGTAACAATTTTGGTATTTATCCTACAGATAGCTCTAAACTTGGCGATGAAGATCAAGTTGTTTTACAGGCAGACAAGGCTGCTTTTCGAGCTAGGAAATCAGCCGCAAGCTCTACCGTTAAACTAAATTCTATCAAAAATAACGATTGGGATTCCAGGGCACCTGCTCCCATGGGCTCCGCATCAATTGGACTTGACCCCGATCAACTTGATTACAATAAGAAGATTTTGCACGCCAGCTGGCATCCTTTTGAAGACTCCGTTGCTATTGCTGCAACGAATAATGTACGTTTGACTTCCTCTGTAAATTATTTCGCTAACAATTATTTTAGTTGTTTGTATTTAGCAAGCTCTAAGATGTCAATGTGTAACTCTGTCTTATTTCTTTTGATATTTGCAATCTCATGGGCACGTTTGTTATTAGACGGAGATAGAAAGTCAAGTTTGTCTTTTATTTGCTCATTTGTCTAATAACCAATTTTAACGGATTTGTATTTTGTTACATGTGTTTGATCAACGATTAATGATGGGAAGTAAAACTTTTAGGACTAATGATAATATCTTCGTTTGTATTTTCCCTTTTGCTCTCCCTTTTTTCCCTTTTTAAGAATATTGCTCTGCGCAATATCTTTAACTTATTTTTTTTCTTCTAAGAGATCAATATAATGATGATGGCAGGTGCAACTGCTTTTGTTGCTACAAATTCAAACGAAAGATGTTTGTTCAATGAAGAATAATCCTCAAAGTTTTATATAAAAGGATGTTATTATTTCTGGAGTTCTTGATAGATAAAAGAACGAGGAGTTGAATGTTCCAGTAGTTATTGGAAAAGTACCCATGAAGGGAAAAACAAAAGGGGGGTGTTCAATGAATGAGTATGATACAAGCTATCATTTTTTAATTCATACTCGTAATGAAAATTCTCCTAGGAGTGATTGTTGAAGCAGGTTGTTGATGCGTGCTCAGAGAATGATGTACACATCTTGAAAGCTAAGTTTTATGGATAAATAAAATTCAGTGCAACAAACAAACTATTTTTGACGCAGAGCTATGTTATAATTTTCATCAACATTAACATTAAAGTAAGGTTTAGATAAAGAGAAAGACAAGAATTCGTCCAGTTATTTAAAAAAAATAAGTTGCAGAGTTATTGCAAGTAAAATATGAAGGACGATAATTCCAGCTATGGAAAGCTTACAGAAATACGTTCCCGCCTGTTGACAAACAGGATACAAGTTTCGGACAAGAAAGAGAAGTGAGATACCCAGACCGACAGATGTCAATATCCATTTTACGATGTGAGATACGAAAGAAGACAATAGTCCAAAAGGAGGAGTCATCAAAGAAACAGGAAGCCAGCTGATATTGGCGTAACCATATATGCATACACAATCGAGTAATTTTGGATTGCACTTGTTCCAAACCAAGAACCCCCAAAGTATGGCTGCAGCAATGGCAGTATATCCGTAAATGATTGAAGCTGCAGAGACCAGCTTACCAATGGAATAAGGGGCGTCTATCAAGCCCGTGAGATGGCGCACATAGTCAGTGATGGAATTGGAAAAAAACAATGCTTGGACAACAGTTGTTGTTATCCAAAAAGGACCATATAAATCAGGTCTATCATCGATAACGTCAAAGAAATTCGTCGTAGGAATTAAAGTATGTATACATCGTTGTACGACATCTTTTGTAGTTACGTGGAAAGAGTCTTTAATTGTCCAAGTTGTCTCTTGCATAGAAGCACGACGAGCATGCAGTCTGGGGCTCATAGGTTTTGATATAGGTGTATTTTGCTTAAGAAGATTGTCATCCTCAAATGTAGTTCGTCCTAATTCGGCATCTGCTTCAATGTTGTAGTCCTCGTTCATTTTGGTAGTTGAAGGACCAGGTCCAGCAAAGGAAGGAGGTAGACAGAAAGCTGATTTTTAGTGAAAGTTTTTGGAATTGATTTGAAAATATAATAAAATTAAATCAGTTTTTTTTTTGTCGTGAAGATTGCAGAAAGCTTCTCTCACTTGCAATAATTCCACCAACGAAATTTAGTCAAGATTAATCTGGTCATGGAACTTTGCGTAGAGAACGCTTTTCAGCTCTTGAATACGTGAATGATCCAATTCCATATGAGACTCTAGTTCTTCAGTTTGCTTTTCCAACTTGGATTCTGACTGTTCAAGCTCTTCATTCAAGGTATCCAAAGAGACTTGAAAAAAAGCATCACCAATCTTGATTAATGGAATCTGATCCACATCATCTTCATCTAAAAGCTCACATTCATTTTTGGCGTCGACAACGTCCTCTATTTGAGTCCTAATATCTTTGAGCTCGAGTTCCTGAACAGCTCTTCTAGAATGCAAAACAGAAAACTCATTCAAGTTATGTTGATCTTGAGCTAAAACTGGAATTTGTTCCATTTTATTTTACTAGATTTGTGTCAGTTTTCTATCGCAAATCGTGAATAAGATGAAACGGTCGTTTGGATGAGGACAGAATGAATGGTGAAAAAAGTCGTCCATTCTAACAAGAGTAATCAGGGAAAAAAGACGACCTAAGTAGACTCGATTAATTAATAAGAAACATCTAGAATGATTCTTCTTATAATTACTTTTTACTGTGCAAAAAAATGAACTTACTCGAGTTGTTGCTCATCCATGTAGCATAATTAACTTGCAAAGTCTGGGCGTCGGTGAGTTTTTAGTAAAGTAAGAATCATTTTTAAGAAATCCATTCATTTTGAACGGAACGGTAATTGGGAATCATCTTTGATATGCAGTCATGTCCAGCAATCCTGTATGTATCATCAGCAACCTATCGAAAGGACAAAATGGTTTCAATGGAAACAAAAAAAATGGTTCACAAGAAGAGAAGAAAGCCAATTAAGAAGACTTGTCATCAAGCGCTTCTATCATCGGAGTGGTAATTGGAGAGAGCAATCGGTGGATATAAAGGATCCACATTGGCAAGTAAGAAGTATCTTGTTTGGAAACTTGGGCAGTTTGGAAAAAGGTTTGTGTGCAGCATGGATGAACGTACCAAGCAATGCCATTTGAAGCAGGACAATCTCCAATCGCCAAAGCGTCCATAGCCAACTCTCTATTTTCTGGACGGAGGAGAGCAGTAACATTTTCAAGCTTTGTGAGAGGAAAACAGCCATTGGAATACAGCTGAAAGAAAAATTGAGGGACCTGGAAGGATGGCGAAAAGCGAATCCAAGCTTGCACAGACACGTCTGGCAGTACATAAATCATTTCGCTTTCATCTTCTTCAAAGGATGTTTTCTCGTCGCTATATGGCTTCGCTTGCCATTGAAGTTGTAATATTGGTTCAAAAACTTCCACCAATTCACATAAGATACCTCGATTCGTGAATGTAGGAATCAATTGGAGAAGATGTTGTTGAAAACTAATTGCGGACACTGTCATTTTGCCAGATTTATGCATCACGAAGTGTTTCAAAAGTAATTTCTGCGTTTTCAGACAGAAAAGCAAAAAATCGAATATCAAAGAGCAGGGAAGAGAAAGTCCATAGACGCAAGACGCAAGAATCCTGTTTTTCTAAAAGTCGGTTTTCTAAAGCCTTTTTTTTGTTTTTGTTTTTTTTTTTTTCACCAAAGCACGCATAAATGGAATGGATGGATGTGATATAACAATGGGTGAAGGTAAAGAAAAACCATGTACATGAAGTATGATCCTGAAATCGATTTTTTATGTATACAAAAGTACAATAATTATCAAAGCTCGAGGGAACTACTTTCTTGCAACAAACCATTTAAGCTTGATAACACTCTGGTTTGACAACATGAAAAAGGGGAATCCAAGAACATGGGACATATACGATATTGTGAACTTTCGTATATGTCCATGGATTTTCATTTGGACGGTTCCATTCTCTTTCATTCGCTTGCACATCCTTGTCATCGACACGATTTGACTTGGCTTTCTTGTTGATCAAACAAAGTCATCCAATAGACCCAATTTCTTCCATGGAAATGAAATAATCACGCACCATGTTTTAGGATATGATTGAAAAACTCCTGTAGGCTGTTAACAGGGGTTTGCTAGCAGTGATTTCAAAAGTATCTCGCTTTTTGACGAAAACAAGTTGTTTCTCTTACTGAAATACATCAATCGATTCCTAATTACTCGTTTCTTACATTTTTTATCAAACAAACAAACAAAACCATTCATCCGGTATTATTTATTTACTAACAATCCTGACGAATGAAATCGTTAAATGTGAATATCACAAAATCAAATACATCCCATTGGCTCGCTAAACCAAACTCTTATGAAGCAAGTCTAATAATACAAAAACCAGCTTCCTGGTGGATTCTACAGTTTGGGAAGAACCAAGTTTATTTCACTTAGAGAATCCAAAAAAAAAAGATTTCCACAAAGGAATTGAAATTGTGGGATTTTCTCCATATATGAGTGGCTAAGGTCTTGATTCGTCTTTATGCTGGATGATTCTTTGAAGGACGCTATAGCAGGAGGAGCTGCTGGGTTTGCATCGTCGCTCGTTGTTGCACCTTTGGATGTTGTGAAGACTCGTAAGCAAGCTCGAAAGGCTCGAATGTCCGTAAATGGGTCATCAGCTTTGGGAGCAGTAGAAGGGACGTTAGGCTCAATCCAAAAGATCTTCATTAACGAAGGCATTCCCGGCTTGTATCGAGGCGTCGGGCCTATGATGTTAGGATATCTGCCCAGCTGGTCGATCTATTTTGTAGTGTATGAAAAGTCAAAAGAACTTTTGGGTGTGAACAAGCGATCTCCTCTTCAACAAAACCTGGATTCCAAGGCAAAAGCGGTATCGACGATTGAGGATGCAGATCCCGAACTCTACAATTTTTGGTTTCGTCAAACTGCTTCCGCCATCATTGCTGGTGCTGCAAGTGTAACCTTTACAAACCCGATATGGGTCGTAAAAACAAGAATTGTAACTCAACCGCATCCGAAAGCAAACCCTTTAGCAGAAAACGTTGCTGCTGCTACAAATCTCCAATTCCGTAATCTGCAGACTGATGCCCAATCCTGTGTAAGACGTCTTCCCCTGTTTTGGTTAAAAAGACGAATCAACTATAATAATACCTCCGATCCTGTCCATTTCGGACAACCGACTGGCCCAGCTTGCTCTCCTAACTATAAAAATACACTGGATGCATTTCAAAAAATATACAAATATGAAGGTATTAAAGCCTTTTATCGTGGCCTAACACCTTCTTTGTTTGGTACCTTGCATGTTGGTATACAGTTTCCATTGTACGAGTATATTAAAAGCTCCTTTGATGATTTTTTTGAAACCCAGAGAAACATTCACATTATCCTCGCTGCTACCCTATCAAAAATCACTGCCTCCGCCATTACTTATCCCCATGAGGTGTTGCGAACACGACTCCAAAGTTTAGATGCCCCAACCCATAATTCCATGGCTTTGCTCATCCGAGATATATGGAGAATGGAGGGCTGGCGTAAATATTATGCTGGTATGGGCACCAACTTTCTCCGTACTATTCCCGCAAGCTCGGTGACCATTTTGAGTTTTGAAATTGTTCGCGATTACCTTGATTAATAGATGCTCCCCCACTATCCCAATGGCATACTCAAGTCCTATCCTATGACTACACGTTTACCAAGTATGAGCCTGAGAAAACTCGTATGCCCCCTTTGGAAGAATTCTTTAATGATTTTGGATCTCTACTTGTTATTAATAATGAAACCTTCGATATGGTTTTGTCTACATTAATCCACCAAGACAGATTTCATTTTAAAATCCTACCCAAAAGTATATGCTTTTTCTTCCATGCAAACAATCTTTAATAGTAAAATAGCCGCTGTAATTGCTTGTATGAATTCACCTCAACAAAAGAGCCTCCAATTAGAAGGACCATCATAACAACCTTATATACGGATGGAAGCTGGGCAACTATGATTTTAATTTTCAATGAAAAAAACCTACAAAAGTCGCAATAAATTCTGTTCATTCAACGAATTTACTGGAGTAATCCTGTCCCAGCGATGTGCATTTCGGGAGCGAAATTTCCTTAAAATTTACCAACACCACAAAAATGGCAAAAGCAGGCAAAAAGGAAAATAAAAATACAGAGATTGAGTTTGTGCCAGAGACAGAGCAAGAAGAAAAGCAATTTGTCAAAGAGTCTGCCAATAACTCTGACTCTGAAGAAGAATTAGAAGATTTGGAAAGCGAGGATGAATTTGATCAATTAGACGATTCTGATGCTGAAAATGCGGGAAATGGGAAGGCATTAGACCGTGGAGAAGAAAAAGATAAAACTAGTTCTATGGCTGATGATATTGCTAATATTTTGAATGAAGAACCTGCTGCTCCTGAGACGACTGAGACTCCCGTGTTGAGTTTGTCAAGAAAGTCAAAGAAGGCTATTCGCAAGAGCAGTGCAGAGAAGAAGTCTTCGAAGTTACGTACTTCTCATCGTCGTGAACGTTTACAAAAGGAAAACGTTGGCCGTATTACCAATATTGTTGCTACGGACGGCGAGACGGTCAAAACGTACTTTACGCATGAACGAGAGCTTCGTCGTATTGCTCGAAGAGGCGTTGTTCAATTGTTTAATGCCATTCGTACCTCCCAAATGAAAGGAGCTATGATGGGTTCTTCTGTTTCTGGTGGCCGAACGACTCGTGAGCAAAAGGTACAAGAGCTTTCCAAGTCGAGCTTCCTTGACCTCATTAAATCCCAATAGACTCAGATTTTCTTGAAATTCGGAATTGAAGGGTTTTTCTTCATTTTATAAAATTATTGAATGCTTTAAAGACTAAAAAGTATATTGCTACTTGTTTTTCGACGTTGTTTTGCTTTGGTTTATGGGATATCTGGTGATTCATTATTTCTATTGACAGAAGAGACGGATTTATAACTTCTTTTTGTTAGCTCTTTTTATTCTATTCGTTGTAAAAAAAACTTGCATAATTCATTGTTGCTTTGATTTGGTTAAAAGCATTGTAGTTAAAAAAACTCTACTATGGCGGGCCTGAAATTTTGTTCCATGGACTCGACTGTGTTTAATGGATACTTATTATTATTTTGCTCTTGGGGCCTATTTGTCTTTGGTCTAATGAGTGTATTTGGGTTCATTGATATTCCTATACTGGTGGACGGCGATGTAAGTAAACGATACTGGAAAGCAACTTTAGGATACAGAAACGGATCAGCTTTTTTTTTCGCTATTCTGGTTAGGCCTAGTCTGACCAGAACCGATCTGTACGGCCATGGTATTTTAAAGCTTTCTCAATTCTTTCGTGAACCTTCACACTGCGTGGTACTAACAAACTGCTAGAGCTCTCCAATTCACGCATATTATCCTTGCTTAATAATATTAACGGTAACAGTAGTCTTTTTTATATGGCTTTTCTTCAACTGGCTTGGACTGAAATATTTTCGGCATTCACCCAGCGCCATGCGCAGGTAAACAAGAAAATAAACAGAGACGTATTCCTTCATATGGGCTACTTGTTATGACCTTTCCTTATGGCTCTTTTACATGAATTTGAGGCTTCGGAAGGGATTGTTTTGCAGCTTTCTTACGCATAGCTAGAACAGTCTCTCGTACATTGGGCTGTAGCTGAACCATTTTCACTTATACTACTAGAATAGCATTGATTTTATTTTATTTCATATCTTTTCCTTTATCTTTCCTTTTCATCATTTTCCAATCCATTGTATTTGGCATGTCATTTTCAGTCGTATATCTTTTCATATAATAAATCATCTCTAATTTACTTTTTCTAGTCATAAAATGTTCGGTAAGTACGCTGTTTGACTATTCATCTATCTAAGGACTGCGTATAGTAACTTAGCCTTGTCTACATGCCTCCTTAAAACGAGCCAATTCTTTGTGAAAGCTAGCTGAATGCTGCGTTTCACGTCAAATATATAGAAAAACTTGATTTTTATAAAAACCAAAATATATTGGCACAGGTAATTTATGTTTTTTGTACGTTGAGGTCTTTTCAATACTCGTTGCTGTGGTTTCGACTCATATTACTCACTGGGAGAGTTTTCACTTCTTAAGACTTTCACAAATCTTTTTATTTTATCCTTTTTCGTTTTCTCTCGGAGGTCGTTTGCTTTTTTTATTACCGTATAAGAAATCGTCGGTATACGATCGCAATGATTGATTTAAATGAACTCGTCGATTATATGCCCTTGATTTTGAGGCTTTATTTCTTAGTTCTATTTGGATTGTATAGTTACACTTTTGCATTATGGCTTTTATACGAGCATCGTGTTGATGTTTTTGCTTTGCTAAACAATCCTCTACCAGTTAATCGCCTTAATCATTCTCAGGCTCCTCTTTATAGACTTACTTACAAACTCTCCATCATTGGAACACTTCTTTTTGTTATTGCCGAGGCTATTTATCTATTAACCCGGTCATCTGAGCTGTCCTACATTCCTGTCGCTATATTCTGTATCATTGTTTTTATGCCTGTGCGTAAATTGCAATACTTTCAACGAAAGGTGTTTATACGGCAATGCCTGCGAGTCTCTACGGGTAAATATGCTGTAGAATACAAATTTCCGGATGTTATTTTTTCGGATTTGCTCACCTCATACTCTCGAGTAATTGCTGATTTATGGCTTGCAGGAGCCATCCTCATTTACACCATCGATGAGCCTTCTAGATCACGAAGAAAGGAATTAGAAAATGAGGTTATTATGTCTTTGATAGCTGCTTACCCTTATGCTATACGTTTTCGTCAGTGCCTCATAGAACGTGCTCATTCTGAGAATGTCGAAAGCCAATTCTGGAGTACAATGAATGCAATTAAGTATTTGACAGCGTTTCCAGCAATCTTTTTAGGTATTGTTGGAAACGAGCGAATGACTTTTATGTGGCTTCTTTGGAACGCTTCGTCCGCCATTAATTCAACCTATTCTTTTTGGTGGGATGTCTCTCAGGATTGGAACTTGGATTTTTTAAAAAACCCATTATCTGACAAGAGCTGGAAGTTTCAAACTCGTCGCCCTTTCTCTCTCCCTGTATATATCGTCTTTAGTGTTCTTGATTTCGTTTTGCGAATGTCATGGGTTGTCAGAATTCTTTCCCAAAGACACACCAGTTTTTTTGCAACGGATTTTGGGATTTTTTTAATGCAGTTCCTCGAAGTATTTCGAAGATGTATTTGGGTATTCTTTCGGATTGAGGCTGAAGCTTCAAAAACCATGGCTTACTTGAGTGTGCACGACAATAATGATGATTCTCTTTCTCATCCCGATTAATGCTTACGATTTTTTAATCATTTTTCGTTTTTTTAAAAAGTCAAACGTACTTTCAAGTGAATGACACTTACGATTCAAAACTTTTTATCGTTTACTGCTGACACCATTATGGAATTACCTTTTTTTAGTTTTTCTTCTCATTCTTTGTTTTTTATTCATAATAATTTCTTTAGTGGTAGTTCAGCAATTTACGGTTTATAAGCTTAATAGATTTCAGCTTCATAGCTTTCTCTGTAGTTCGTGGATAACTTATTTCCTTTGTATGTATTGAAAAAAAACATATATATGTAAATAAAAAGTAATACATTTAGAACAACAATAGTTTAATATAATTAAGTATTAATAAGAGCAACTACTTATTTCAAAAGATGTGGAAACCGGTTGTTTCCTATATTTCAGATAGACAAATGAACCTAACAAGAAATCCCATTATTTACTTCTGAATGATCTCAGCATTCAATTTTTATTTCCAGTTCCAGTCTATTAATAATCTAAAAAAGCTCGATTATAGTATCAAAAGCGAAAGCAAGCTTTGTCTTATTCCTTTTTTGGTAGCGAGTTGCTCAAGTGTTCCTGAACAGTTTTTAGCGGATTGGACATGAACGAAGGATGCTGTAAAATCGATTGAAATCTGTCAATTTCATTCACCGTATCGTTCCTCATTGATGCTTTCGTCCTCTTAGTAATTGAGGCATCCTTTATAATTGGATTTTGTTTTTTCTCGCTTTCTTCAATTTCAGTCTCAAGCTCCGGTAAAATATTTTCAAATGTAGACATATTCACCTGTAAATTCTCTCTTTGCTTGCGATTGCGTCGCCTACGAGCTGAAGAGGATATTGTCTTCGTATTAAACTTTTGTTGCCAAGCATCATGTCTTTCTTTCCTTTTATCAAGCTTACTTTCTCTAGGTACTTTCAAGTTTTCGTCCTTTACATCTTCACGGGCTTCTTGCCTGACAGAACCTGCTGCTTCAGACTTATGCCCGTCGTCTCCCTTATTTAATTTGTTTGCTGCTTTAGCAGCCAAAGACGTTCTTTTTTTTGCTTTAGGCTTTCCATAGTTAGTTACTATTCTGTTTTTAACAATCTTTATACCATTGTAAACTGCTTGCTTTAAACCGATCCTGCTTAGTAGTCCAGGTTGTTGTAATTTCCTATTTAATAATATAAATTAACGGCTGTTCGAAAGAACCCTTTATTGGTATATATTTTCAAAGGTGCCAAAACAAAGCTGTCTAACCAAGAAAACCATTTAGCGACGTCTTTCGATATCGGTAAATGGATATTTTGGAAGCAAACAAGCAGTAGCAATATTGAATATAAAAGGAGACAATTAAAGAAAATGATTTTTATAAGAAAGCATTAGTTGTTAGTTGATAGGAAGAAGCCATAAAGTAATCCAGTTTACATTACGTAAATTCTGTAGTTGGTGCCAAGGAAGACTTAGATGCAGGATATGAGGCAGAAGAACTTGTTGGAACAGAAAACCGCTGGAGTAATTCTCTATAAATAGATTCTTCAAACCAGTAAAGATCGATTACACTTAAAGAATAACTTTCCTCATATACATCAATTGGTATTGCATTCAAAAATTGTCGTAATTGTCCATCTGTAGGATAAGCAGGGAGAGAAGGAGTCCTTAAAGTCACGGAAGAAGAATGTTCAGAACTTTCAATACTGTTCTTTTCAAAGAGATCTGACGAACTGTCTTTTAAACGCTCCGCTACCAAATGTACCAAAGGTTTTGGAGACGTCCTTGAATTCCAATAAACTGCGTCTAAAGGACTCATCATTAAGATCCACTCATGCAAAGAAAATTCCTCTGGCTTTAACGCCGACAAAAAATCCAAAAGTTTACAGGCATCTACTAAGGTTTCTTTGGAGATAGTAGCATCGGCCATACAGAATTTTTGGAAAACAATTTGAAGTTCACTAATTACGACTGGCCAGAGACTAAGTAGATGAGTTGATGTCGTCCTCAACGCAAGAGCACGAATGATTAAGAAAAGCTCTTTCTTCAAGACTCCTTCGGGATCAGAGCCTAAAAGTCGTTTAATTAAATCTATAATGGGTGGAAGGCTGGGTAAAAAGAAGTCCTTATGGCAAGACAAAATAAATATGGTGATTCGACATAAATTTCCTTGACGAACTCCCAATTGGGCATCTCGCGATGTGAACAGCGCAGTCATACCGAGGTCTGACTTGGTAATTAAATCACTTAAGCGAGTCAAATCTTGATATAATGCAACGTGAATGACCGGAGCTAGCTTTCGAAGTTGGCTTGTATCAAAACGGAATAAATTATTATCGTTGAATATATCCCAAAATTCCTTCTTCCAAGATTTGCAAAGAGAAGAATACCGACTGAATACAACCAACAAATCCAAGTGCATCTCAGCAAATGCTTCAGGAAATGTCCTTGCTTTAACAATTGGTGTAATAAAGGCGTTTATAATCATAGTTGACCATCCAATTAATTTTTCCTCGTCCCTTGCTAAATCTGATATATTCGGAATTAGCTCTACACAAAAGAACTCAAGTAGCGCCGGTTCCAAATATCTTGAAAATAAATACACAGGCTCTATAGATCGCTGCTTTTTGGAATTTGTTGACGCTTCCTGTCGCAGTTCCTTATAAGCAAAAAAATCGGCAATTACTTGGCTTTCAGGTGTTTTTCCCACATGGAACAAAGTAGCCGTTAGACATCGATTCCAAAGATCAAAAAACTCTTTTTGTTGGCGTGAATCTGAATTATTATTGATATGCTTTGATATCAAAAATAAAATCCGAAGTGAAACAAGTAAATAATCCTTAAAAGAGTTAGAAGAGATGATGATTTCTCGTAAAAATTTAGATATTTCAGGAAAGACCCCGGGTATTTGGTTTTCTTTAAGCTGACCAACATATGAACAAATACAGTCTAAAGTATTCATTTGCGTAACTTTGATGGTTAGACTAGAAGGGCCGTTGTACGTGGCAACTGTCTCTCTGGCAAAGAAAGACGAAGTCAAGTGCTTAATTATACGCTCTGGACATTCCTCGCTTAAAAACGAAAACAACTCCCATACACATTGAGAATACTGGGAATCATAGTTGATATATATGTAAGCAAGCATCTCAACACACTCCATAGGTTCATGCTCATAAAGCCGTAAAATACCTTTAGCGGCAGCTTCTTTAAGTGAGGCCGTGTCATTTACAAATACCTTAGAACCCTTATCAAAAAACCCACATTTTAAATCCCAAGAATAACAAGAAAATAAAGTGCGGACAGCATCCTGTAAAACAAGCAGCATAGAAAGGCGCTTGCTAATATCAACGGACGAAGCTGAAGTATCATTAGAAAATACGCCAGAAATTACATTCCCAATAAGACCGCTAGTTTCCATTGACCTTTTGGAGCTTGGCGTGTATGGAAAGTGCTGAATGACACGTGCAATCATAGTACTTAATGTTTCTAGTTTAAATATGAATACATCCATGTATGTGCGGTCACGTAAAGATTTGGGAAAATCTCTATACACAGCTTCGTGTTGTTTTAGAAAGTCATCTATAAGTGAAGACAAAAACTGAATGGACGGTATAACCAATATTGGGAGGTCCTGTAACATATTCGGTAGAAATCCATTTATTACTTTAAGCCATCTCGAGCAAATTATGGGATCGTTGTTAGATAAACCAGCCATAATGAAATTTCTTATATTGTCGCGATTTTCTGCTGAATGATAATTGGAGGATTTAAGTCTCGGTTGAAGAAATCCCAATAAACTAAGTAAGTTCAAAAGGAAGTCTTGATAGCTGGAATCGGAATCTGGTTCAACATTTTTTACGAGGGCAAGAAGGCTATCAACTACTTGCAGTTCACAGTCCAATGGTTCGCTCCAAACCTGGATGATTTGACGAAATAATTTGAATGCCCAAGAATACAATTTATACACATCCTCTTTCTCCTTTATTACATGTCTCTCGTTGAAAATATCCAGCAACGACTTCATAAGAATTGCAAGGAAAGACGTATAATTAAGAGACTGTTCTTTCACTAACAACGTGTCAGCCCAACTTATAAGGCACAATTTCTCAATTTCTTTTGAACTCGCCAACAAGTCTTCTTGACTGATGAATAATTCAGAATGTAGAATTAGCTGATAACTTATTCGGAAGAAGTAAAAGCATTGTGAAGCTTGACTATTCCTCTGCGTTTCAATGATATTATATTTTGTTGTATCATTTCCGAGAGTATGAACGGTGGACAGATTCGGAGATTGGAGCAATAAATTTCCAGTTATAAGCTCTAAAACCCGTAATTGAAGCGCCGTAGATGAGCTTAACCAATTTATCAGAGCACTTAAATCTTTTTCGGGCCTGTCACCTAACAAAGAGCTCAGTAATAGTAACAACGGCCTATCAAAAACAGCATGGAATAAGGAATGTTGGGCTACCTTGTTAGTAAAGTTGATACAATAATGTCCACTTACCACTCTTCCTAAGTGTATCGTAGAAAGAAATTTGATAAATTGCAGAAGTTTTGTTAGCCATTTGTTGCTTAACAACGCAGGTGGAGAAGAAAGACTCGATCTTTTTATTCTGCAATTTTTCTTGAAGGATCCATATAATATCTAAGGATTTCTCTTCTCGCAGATAAGAATTTACGCATATCTCATCCCAGACCTATATAGGTTAGTTATATTATGAGTTAAAGCAAATCATACAGTTTCAAGTACAAGATGTACCAAATGATTTGAGCTTAAAAGCATTCTGGAAGGTAAAAATGACACAAGACTTTCTAGCTCTTGAAAGTTCCAGGACTTTTGACTTAGTCCTTCAATGGTAATTCCTAGAAAATCATATTCTACTTTTGGATCAATGGCCTCTTTCAAAAGCTGTAAAAGAAATGAGAGAACACTATGATGAAACTTCTCTATATAGGTATATTCGCTCAAAAAATAAAGCAAGCTCGACACGGATTCTGAGTATAAAGATCTTCCTTCAGGAAAGTCGCTCATTTCGCGTATGCGACGTTCAAGGAAATATATAGCTTTAGAGTGGCATTCCTCTGATGAAGATGCCATACTGTAATCTTTAAAAGAACTCCATTTAAAGTTATTCACCAAAAGTGAGCAAGTAGAAATGAACAAATCTAAAGAGGAGTCCTGCGTAATCAAGGATAGGTTGTTTTTTAAGTAAAAAATCATGTAGAAAAAAAATAAGAAGAAATACTCTTCATCGATTCCATTAAAAAAATGTTGCTGATTTCGCAAGCTAAAGTGGAACATTTCCAGGGAAGCTAAATGCTTTTCTTTATTAGTAACGTAATCTCTTATACACTTAAACAAGAATTCATAAATAGTTAGGTCATTAAATCGCATAATGAGACGGCGGCCATAGTCAATTGAGGAATCATGCAAATGCTTGGAATCCTTTTTATATGTAGAAATACTGATAGTGTGATAGGCTTGGAAAACAAAGGGTAAAATTTGACTCTCTATAACTGAGAAAATAGATTTTCGGTCAGAAAGCGTATAAAGTATTCGAAAAGCCTTGTATATAGAAATTATGCTGGTTTTAGAAGAAAGTAAGTCTCGAATGCCTTCAATGAAAACAGCCATGTTCTCCAAAATGATGGATGGATCCATTTCATCGGCTGGATCAGGACCCGATAACTCTGAATCTTTGGGCAAACCCATCAGCCACGCATAAAATCTTCTATTTAACGAAAGATCATTTCGTAAAATTATAGATGCAACAGACATGTGTAAAAGCTTTAAATCAAAAGATTTCACTCGTTGTAAGAAAGGAGATCGAATGGAAAAGTAGTGTAACAATGCGTCCATATAACCTCTTTGAACAAGGACATCATTATCACTAATTGCAGCTGCTAGGGCGCGAGTGACAAGGCTCGGATCTGGTTGAATTACTTTGGAGTGGACCTCTTCTTTAGAATGAGAATTACAAGTTCGAAGTAAGTATAATAATGCACCCGGCCTTTGGCTAGGAAAGCTTAATATAGCTGACCAAATGCTACCCCATGCAAATTTATCATCATCCAAACCTTTTATAAGATCATCTATTAGGACAAGGGTCTCTTGTGAATGTTCGTCGCTTTCTTCTTCCAATCCTGATAGGAGCGATATAAATACAGCTTGAAAACAAGGACGAATTGACCGTCCCAGGGTGACATAGTGTTTTCGCATAATATTTATATAGTCATTTTTTGTTTTTATAGATGAAATAGAAAAGAATGGTGTAAGACCATACGTCCATACAGTCAGTTCCTCCGCAAGCACATCCTTTTCCAAAATAGTAAATACATAATCATAGACTTCCAAAGCCTTCTTATGTACACCAGATGGAAGCCCTGGAGATAAACATTCAGCCAAAGATCTGGAGACGAGCAGGTTACAGGGAATGGTTTTGAATGACGAGTACAGTTGTAAAACCTAATCCAAAAGTTAACAGAATCTTCAATGTCAAAAATAGTACCTTATGAAGCTTCGTCAAGTATGATATATAGTCAGGCCATTGTTCCACGGTTTGAAAAAGCGCGATACATTTGCGAATCGCGTCTTGATACTTTCTAAATTTCGCATCATTTGTGGTGTCTGCAAAGGTTATTATTGCAGTTCAGTAGGAAGAAGCAACCTTACCAATCATACTATTCATAACTTTAAGAAATCATCAATAGAAGTTCATCTACAGCCAACTAATGTACCAGTCTCACGGTGGTTATTGATAGCTCTGTTGTATATTTACACTGCTTATACCACTCCCAATAGTGAGATCTAACGCATATATTATATTATACATAGTAATAAAGAAAACAAATAGGCTCAGTTTTTTGAATGTGAACATGACATTAAAAAAGGTTAATCATCGTCATAATGTAGATCAAAGGACCTTTAAACGTAGATTTAGCTAAGTTATAATTATGATAATACACGATCTGCAATGCATCAGAGTAACTCGACTGTAAAACTGCAGTTGATAAAAGAAAGAAAAAAGTCGAAATGCTCCCCCATAGAATACAGAAATCAACGGCTAAATCGGGGTACATATGTTTGTATAAAAAATTACCTGTAATAATTAAATGAGTTTAGCAAGGTAGATCGAGTCCGTTCTCTTCTTCGTTTTTACGAATTTCAATCATCATTTGTGAGGCTGAAAAGAACATAAGGATTGCTACGATGCTAAAATAAATCCCTAAAAGGCATTAGATTATGAATAAACAAAACGAGATTATCGTACCTTGGAATGTACCAAACAATCTAAACAACATGTCCTTAATTCCATGTATGTCCATAACGAATCCTATCAAATTACAGATAACCATGAAGTAAAGATTCAGGGCACCACCAATGCCAGCAAGCAACCTGTATTGAGGATGCCTTGTCCAGCCAAATTTGAAAGAGGCATACGAACATAGCCGTTCGGGTAAAATAAACAGTACGATAAGCCATCCCCAAAAAAACAGCTCCCAACTAACATCGTGCCATAAAGCAACAAAGGTAAAAATAAGAAAAGAATTCAGAATTGGATATTTTTTTCCTCCGATAGGGATATAGAGATAACGAATCAGCCATCTGTTATAACTACGATGCCAGGCTCTCCAAAATCCAATAGCAGAGTAGTTATTGCACATACACCGAATAATGTTTTCCGGGGGTTCAATATCATCCATCAAAGACCACCAACGAAACAATCTCCAGGGAATGAGGAGCTTTAACCAAGTCAAAAATAGTACAACAAAGCTTGCCATTGAGGACTCTAAAGTGGTATAAGCATGTAAACTTTTTTCTTTAGTAATCGCGGTAACATAACAAAAATGAAGTAGAAATTCCATTAGCATAACGCAGACAAGAAAGCGAAGTCCGTAGTAAAAGTTTCTATATTTTAATGGTGACTCTATTTGGTATTTGGTCTACAAAATTTGACGTTAGTAAATGCTTAAAACATCGCTAAAGTAGCAAAATGTACCTGTGAAACAAAGTTATTATATGTTATAATTGGGCCTGCCAGATATAGCGGAGCATAAAACACATAGCCTAGGAAGTTTTTAATATTGTAATCTTCCGGATTGCAATTGAGACGGATGCGATCAGAATAGGACAAATCATTAGGATTTCGCTCTTTCTCGACTAGAACTGCCTGGTTGATATCTGTTAGTGGATGGAAGCAGAATATTTGAAATCATACGGAAAGGTTTTGAGAAGGATATTTAATAGACCAGTAATAATCAAGATTATATGAGATTAAACGAAGGATGCTAATGTTGAACAGTACATACCACCTTTCTAAAATGCCAGTGTGATCATCCTATAGAAATTTTGTTAGTGGGAACGCATGAAGGTACGTACCAAGAAAGATAAAAAAGGGTGGAGGTTAGCAAACTTGTACAGGCCGAAGTGCTCTTTATAAAGAAGTAAGAAAATACTGAACCCCCACGACAGAAGAGGATTCAAGATGTGGTCTCGAAATACTTTAGAAATTAGGTAGTAAATGAAGACGATGGAAAAAACATATATCATTCCAGAGCCATAGACGATCAATGAAAATACCATTGAAAACCAGAAACGATACATATTTTTCAATGCCAACTTATCCTGGACTTTATGAGAAAAAATCAATCGAATGGCATTCCACAGAAGGAAATAGCCAGCAATTACTCCAAGTAAAATAGGCATATTTTCTCGAAAGCTAGCATATTGATGATCGGAGACGTCAACCTTTCTTCCAAACATCCATCCTGGTTTCAAGTGTTTTTCAAGATTAATGAAATTTGGGTGCTTAGCTATACATTCATCAACTGTTAGATATTCGCCAACCACGACCTCAACTTAAAAAACTCACCATTGCTAACCCCAAACAGTCGAAAACAGGCCAAGATAATAATCGATCCAAGAACAGAATAGTAAAAAAAAAACTCAAACGAAAGCCAAGCAGTTTTTGGCTTTTCTAAGTCTTGCGCGACAGATCCTGCGATGAACGAAGAAGATCGACTTTTCGAGCTGGATTGTAATTTATTAGTCGAAGATGAAGACGGCCTCCAATCTCTAGTTGAAGTCTCTAATACATTGTATTGGAAGATTCGAGACATGTCTCAAACATCAGAGAAACGAGGGAATTGGAGAAAAGTGGAAGCATAGGGTGCGTAACATAAACAAAGCATTTAACGCAGCACACTTTATTACGGTCATATAAACAACTTTAACGTCCTCTTATTCCAATTAAACTTTTAAGCTCATATTTACCGAGCTTACACGTAAACAACTACTTTTTGGAGAAATGATAAAAAAAAAAGAAAAGAAAAAAAATTAGAATCATTGCTCACTAGTTGACTTATATTAGACTTTTAAAGGTTTACTTTTATTCTAGTACAGCTTGTCTGAGACATTTCATAAATGTTTTCTTATGACTTGTATGTTCCAAAAATAAAGTCGCTAGTATATTTTTCGTTATCCATATGTATCCTCAATACCACACTAAAAAGAAGTAAAAAATAATCAGTTGCTTGAATCAGAGGAAGATTTATCAGTGGAAGGCTCCTTCAGATTGGTCTTAAGTTTCAAATTGTCTGGTTCAATCTCAACCACATTTCCGTCAACAATTTGGCCATATCCCTTCTTCAAAATCTCTCCTTTATTTGAGATAATATCTTCAATGGTTACTCGTTTATCACTAAAGATTTTTAGATGGTCTGCCATAAGGTGTCGGTTCTTGCATTGGGGACATTCCACAAAAACAGTACCATTGTGATATGCTTGTTTCGATAACTTATGACCAGAACGATGATTGCAACTGTCGTATTAGCTTCATCCGAACATGGGCGCTTTATAAACTTACACAGTGCAGGTAAAAGTGATATGATATGCAGGCTTTGGTTGTTCTAATTCCCCAGTAGACTTTGAAATTGGCACTTTGGCATCGTTGCGACAAATACTACTGTTATGAAACAGGCTTTTGTGCGAAAAATCTGTTTGCCTTTTAAAAAAGGGTATTCTGCCTACAGGCGCCGCTAAGTATCGATGCGGTAAGTAATTTATTGAATATTTATTAGAAATTCTTTGGAGGATCCTTAAATTTTTCAACATCCTATAGTTGGTGTTTAGATTTGGTTGCCAGTACGTATGGGATTGAACGTATCAAATTACCAACATTTTAACACTACCCACTGTGCTCAGGAGTTGTATTGTGTTTCGCTCCTTCCTTCAAATTAGATAAACAGAAATTTTAGTTTTAAAAAAATTAGGACGTCAATGCAGCGCTCATCAAAAGTAAAAATTCGAGCGCCACGAAAAGTAAGGGTTAATGATATATCATAAGGACGATGAAGAAACATGAGTTTTCTAACTGTTTAGTTCACTTCGAATCAGGTAGATTACAACGCTCATTGGGATGTTTTACATAATGCTGTGCAAGATATCTTCCACAAGAGTACATCCCAACTCTCTTTTGAGGAGCTTTATAGAAATGCGTACAAGCTTGTCCTTCACAAGCATGGAGAACGACTCTATAGCGATGTTAAGGAAGTATTGAGGGCGAGACTGGAAAATGAAGTAGCATTATCCATAGCTGGGAACTTTGGATCTTTATTAGAAGCTGAGAATTGGAGCTATGTTCGAAGCAAAGATGATTTTTCATTGTCAATGAGAAAGCGTGAAGCAGCAATTTTGTTTTTATCTAATCTCGTGAATGCATGGAAAGAGCACTTAGTATCTATGCAAATGATTTCCAGTGTACTGAAGTATCTAGACAAAGTTTATTCAAAAATTTCAGGTGTTATGCCCATCTACGATGCCGGTCTAATTATCTTTCGAGATTCCGTACTTCTGAGTTCCCTCGAAATCGGGCAAAAAAGCGTGATCTGTATTCTTACTTTAGTTTACTTGGAGCGAATTGGTGATTCAATAAATCGTCCATTAATTAATTCTTGTTTGGATATGCTAAACTCTCTCCCATCTGAGTCTAAGAATGAATCATTGTATGATGTTTTATTCACTTCAAAATTCTTGGACATGACTCGCGTATTCTATCGAGAAGAAGCTCATCAAAACTTTCGGATGTATGGTGTTCTCGAATATCTTGAAAAAACCAATTCAAGATTGGAAGAAGAAAAAGAGAGAGCTCAAAAGTATCTATTCACCAAAGTTTCTTTTGCATTACTTTCCGTGGTGGAGAATGAACTTTTGACACAACATTTAGATAATCTGTTGGGAAGTCCTGTTACGGGCTTTTTCGCCATGCTTGACTCGTATAATCTAGAAGGGCTATCTTCTCTTTACAATATGTTTTCCATAGTAGAGTTGGGTATCCCTTCGATAAAAAGATTTTTTGCCTCTTATATTTCTGAAAAAGGAAAGCTTATTAATAGTTCTTTGACTGTGAGCAAAGAAGAAGTACAAGGAAACTCGCAGGTTATCACAAAAGTTTCAACTGCTTCCTCATGGGTAACGAAAGTATTGGATTTGTGGGATAAGCTTCGTGAAGTAGTGGTTAGAAGCATGAAGGAAGACCGATATGTACTAAATTCTCTTTCAGACTCTTTTGCTAATTTCATAAACGCATATCCAAGAGCTCCCGAATTCACTTCTTTGTTCATTGATGATAACCTGAAAAAAGATTTGAAAGGACGATCCGAAGAATCTGTGGAAAAGACATTGCAAAATTCTGTTGTTCTTTTCCGTTTTCTATCTGAAAAAGATGTTTTTGAAAAATACTATAAAACACATTTGGCGAAAAGGTATAGTCTTTATTTTTTCTGTGCAGTCTTTCTGACATTTACAGGCTTTTAAATAATAGATCCATATCAGATGATGCTGAATTAAGCATGATAGGTCGTTTAAAGCAAGAAGCAGGAAATGTTTTTACACAAAAATTGGAGGGAATGTTTACGGGTAAGTTCGTAAAAAACTTGATTTACGCTAACTTTGCAGATATGCGATTATCTAAAGAGTTACTACATGAATATAAAGGACAATATGATCAAGAATCTGAAAGGGTAAGAAGCTTCAACTGCTGTCGTTCTAACAGAATTAGCCTCCATTCGAGCTGAATGTATCTGTATTGGCTTCGTCCTTCTGGCCTATTGACCTTGTTCCTGAAAAAGTTAAGTGTGAATTTCCCGAGAGTTTGAAGCCTTCTATTGAACATTTTTCCAATTTTTACTTTTCCAAACATACGGGAAGAAAACTAATTTGGTATCCCTCAATGGTACGTTAACAGCTTGTATGAAATTGCACTTCGCTAATATTTATTAGGGAAGCGCCGATGTTCGAGTGCAATTCAGGAAACGAAAGCACGACCTTAATGTGTCTACTATAGCTCTCATCATCCTTTTACAATTTCAAAATTTATCAGAATCCGAAAGTTTATCTTACGAAGAGTTACTTCAAAGAACAAAGATTGAACCTGGGGATTTGAAACGTAACCTTCAAAGTCTTTCTTGCGCTAAATATAAAATCTTACTGAAAGAGCCAAAAAGTCGAGATATTAACGCTGGTGATCAGTTTACGTTTAATGATAATTTTACGTCAAATATGGCAAGATTAAAAATATCCACCGTTGCGCAGGTTCGTGTAGAAGACGATGGGGAACGAAAACGAACAATGGAGAAGGTTGATGAATCTAGAAAGCATCAGGCAGATGCTTGTATAGTCAGAGTAATGAAGTAAGTTTCATTTATTTAATGAATGACTATCAACTAACAAACACAGGGATCGGAAAACGCTTGAACACAATCAATTAGTGGCCGAAGTTACTCGTCAACTGAGTTCTCGATTCCAGCCAAATCCTATAATGATCAAACGGCGAATTGAGGCTTTGATTGAACGTGAATATTTGCAACGTTCAGCAGAAAACGGTCGCATATATGAATACCTAGCTTAACAGCTTTATATTTATTTAAAGAAACGAGAAAAAAATTAAAGCTTGAATGCAATACTCCTAAATAATCAGTTTGCTGTAAGTTGATGATGATTTTTTGGATTAAGTCGGCCGGATTATTGCCAATGTCGTTTGCTTTTGTTGATTCCGAACGAAGGAATATTTATTCTTTTCAGCCTGATGATTACTTACCACTCTGGTAGAAATTTTCGGTAACTCCATGAGAGGATATTCCATTTGTAGGAACAAGGAAGCTTCCGAATATTTATTATGATTTGTGATAAAGTCCATATTAGTGAGAGTTTATCTAGGGATTATACATTATACAACCTACGTTTTACACATTTTAACTTCTAATAGCAGCAGGTATCAATAAACATTGGAGTAACTACCGAAAGCTAAGTCATTTTCAGTGATGAATCTTTTATTCAAATTTCCTAAAGATTAAAAATTTTCTATGATATACATGATAGTCAACCAAAGCCTGATTGATATTGTAGCTGTATTGGTGTCATACCCTTCCTTTCGGAATGTGCTTAAACAGTCGGTTGATTCTTCCCTCAACCAATCCTTCAACTTAGATCTTTGTAGAGTAAACGCGACAAGGTAATTTTGTCGGGTTTTGCGAAAGTTCTTTTATCCCTTTGTTTAGTTATTAGTTTCATTGAATTTTTGGATTCTCTGGCATCCTTCACTGCTTGACTTCATCTTTCTTTTTTCTCATTTTGTTTTCGTTCCTTAGAGATTTTAGAGCTTTATTAAAATAATGTCTTTGCGCGATGCTTACCATTGGCCTTCCCGTACTCCTTCTCGTAAGGGGTCAGCGATCAAGTTGAACAAAACATTGCGGGACCACCTAGATGATTTAGAATATAAATTCACTGTTTCTACGGATCTCTTGAAGCGCGTCACTGAACGTTTTGTGTCCGAGTTGAAGAAGGGCTTGACTACTGAACCAGGTGACATTCCTATGGTGCCTACCTGGGTTACTAGCTGTCCTGATGGCTCAGAGACTGGTTCCTATTTGGCCCTTGACATGGGTGGTACTAATTTGCGTATCTGTGAGGTTGATGTTCAAGGTAACGGCAAATTCGACATCATGCAAAACAAATATCGCATGCCTCAAGCCTTGAAGACTGGTACTCGTGATGAACTTTTTGACTACATTGCTACCTGTGTTAAGAAGTTTGTTGACGAAAATCACCCTGAAGGCGACAAGCAATTGGAGATTGGCTTTACCTTTTCCTACCCTTGCAAACAACCCTCAATTGATGAAGCAATCTTGATTGCTTGGACCAAGGGATTTGATATTGCTGGTGTTGAGGGTGAAAGCATTGTTCCTATGTTCAACGATGCTTTGAAGCGTGTTGGTTGCAACAATGTGACTTTGAATGCTGTATTGAACGATACCACTGGTACTTTGGTTGCCTCAAACTACACTAAACCAGGTACTGAGGCTGGTGTCATTTTCGGTACCGGTTGCAATGCTTGCTACATCGAGCGCTTTGATGAGATCCCCAAGCTTCACGGTTATAATTTCCCCGCAGACATGCCCATGATTATTAATTGTGAATGGTGCGACTTTGACAATCAGCATGTTGTTCTGCCTCGTACCAAGTATGATTTGGCTATTGATGCTGACCACCCTCGTCCTGGTTTGCAAACATACGAAAAGATGATTGCTGGCTGTTATATGGGAGACATTTTGCGCCGCATTCTTTTGGATTTGCATGAGCAGGGTATCTTGTTTGCAGGCCAAAATGTCACCAAGCTTCGTGATCCATTGGCTATGGATACCTCTGTGCTGAGTATGATCGAGGTGGATCCTTTTGAAAATTTGGATGAGACTCAACAGTTGCTTGAGAACACCTATGGGTTAACCACTACTGAGGAAGAGCGTCATTTGATCCGCCGTGTCTGCGAATTGATTGGTACCCGTGCTGCCCGTTTATCTGCCTGTGGTGTTTGCGCCATTGTCCTCAAGACTAAGAAGCAATCCCTGATGGTTGGTACTGATGGCAGTGTTTACAACAAGTACCCTCACTTTAAGGAACGTTTAGAAGCTGCCTTTAGAGAAATTCTTGGTGAGGAGATTGGCAGTAAGGTTATCACTACTCCTGCCGAAGATGGTAGTGGTGTTGGTGCAGCTTTGGTGAGTGCTCTCCAAGCCAAGGGTAAGGCTTTAACTAAGGATATTTTGAGATCCAGAGTCAAGAACTAAGGAAACTAAGAACGGTACCTCCCAATATAGAATTAGATGTCTTGAATCTCTTTTTGATGCATCAAAGTGTATGTAGGCTGAAAATGTAACATTTGAAAGGTCTCGCTCTTAAAGATTAATGAAGGAGCGTATGAATAGAGAGTATCTTTTATTTGTTCCATTCTAGGGATCTTTACTCATATAGTGTCGACTATATTTTGTGGTGATGACAGGGCATGAAAGCCTATTAAAATAGTAGGTGTCTTACGCTGAAACACATACGAACGAACTCACTTTTATATTTCTAAGGTTGATATGTTGGATAATAACCTACACTAATTGTCTTTCATATCCTTACGAGTGATTTTGTGAATGATAAGACTTTCATTTGGGATTATACCTTGGGCGAATGAGGTTTTATTAGAAGGATAGTAACAAGAAAACTTTTTTTCGGTACAGGAAAAGGTATTGACATTTGGAATGAAGTAAAAAATGAAAACTAGTGGCAGTGAAGTGTAGTAGCATAGGCATCAAATGAAGCTAAGAATTGTTTAATTTCAAAAATAAAACATGTCAGCATATAGAGGAACATGGGAAAACAACGACAGGAGTTTCGAAAATTGGAATTGGAAAGTTTGAGAACTTTTTGTTTTACGAATTTTCTTTTCAAAAATACATCTATTTCTTCATTAACTATGCGGAAATCAAGCAAAACCGGGAAGTATATCGGATATAAGAGAGAGGTTTATTTACCTATTATAGCTGATGGTTACCACAGCAACTGATGGTAAACAAAGTTGCGGAACAAGAATCAGATCGTTCATTCAATATAAACAAGCTATTTGATTGTCAACTAACTGATTGATTCTTGTTTGTTTGGATGCATTAAATTCTTTTTCGTTTGTTGCTGTTTTGGCATAGCAAGGACGATGTTACTTGTACGCACATGACGTTATCCATGCAAAATATAGCAATTTCAAGTGAATGATAGAATTCAAATGACGATCAAAAAGCTTTTTTACAGAAAAAAATTCTAGCTTCTTGTGCATTTCATTTTGTAATGAAAGCGATATATTTTTGACAATTGACGAAGGGTTCTGTTACTTGTTATTTACGAGGACGTAATGTGAAAGTACCATGTTACTCAGATTTGTTTTTGTTCCCTCTGGGAAGTCTCCACCTAGAAGTGGGGAAAGATAGCAACTTTCCTTCTACAACTACTTCAAACGGCCAAATTTCCATTCCTTTTAGACCAATTTTTTTTTATTTGCTTACTATTTGAGGAGAGTCGTTCTGCTCGATAGCTGCTTCTCATTACCCGTTGTTCTATTGGGCGTTTGAAGCTGTTTGTAGGTTGCTTTTCATAGTTCCATTTTGAGCTATATATTGGTGTTTGCAAAGCATTAGTACTGTGTTTCTTACCGTTGGTGTTTGTTTTCGTTGATTCAGCCCCTTATATCGTCCTCTTGTCCCCACTACCGTGGAACAAGTAGATTTTTCTCGAGTGATTGACAGACGTTTCCCGTTGCTTCTGTGTTTATTAAAAAAGGCGGTGTCACTTTGTGCTAGCAGTTTGCTAGATCCGGGTTAGCTTTTTGTGTTTCTCGTGAAGACGATTGAGGTTTCTTCCAATAATAAACCATCCAAAGACTATTTTAAACCTGCTTTTTTTCTAATTCATTTTCTAATCGAATTTTTTTTTTGTCGATTTCATCTGGTTACTTGGTAAATAAAGTCTCGTTAGCAGTTTTGTTGTCTCTTTTTTTTTTCACCTCCTTGTGCCTTTACCCTTTTCCCCTTTGCCGGTTCTCTCTGCACGGATCAACCACTCTTTTAAATCTTTTTTTATTGCTAAGCAGAGTAATTTACTTTTAGTTTTTATTTTTCTTCTCTCTTTTGTCTGTCTCCTTTCTTTTTCTCACTTAGCATTTGGCCCTTTTTCCTTCATCCTTAGCAAGGATACATTAGAATTTGGTTTCTTTTATCTTTCTTTTGATTAAACTCCTCCTCTTTTGTTCTGTTCCTTCGTTTGCCTTTTTCTTTGTTGCCTACCAACGTTCGTTCTTTTTCGGTCTTTTCTTTTTACAGCTATTCCTTTTAACCTATTTTCCTTAATATTTCGTATTATTAACCAAAATATCGGCGCTTGTGGTTTTTTCTCTACAAAACTATGGACTCCCCTCTGTCTTCCCTCTCTCTGTCCCAATCTCTTTCTAATAGGCAACGCATTATCCGTCCTGCAGCTCGAAGCTTGCGTCTTGAACCAGAAAATATTAATCCCACTGCCGATTTGGATTCATTCTTCCAAAAGTCTAAGCCGCATGCCTCGTTGATGGACCCTTTTTGTAAAAATCGCTCCTCTGCCTCCCCTGCGTCTTCCCTTGCCGCAGACTTTTCTATGAATATGCACATTGACAGGAGCCCTGCCCTTCCAACTCCTCGACGTACACTATTTCGCTCTTTTTCTTGTACTGTTGACACTCCTCCGGCGGATGCTTCTGCTACCTCTCCTTTAGATGAGAGTCCCTCTGACGCTGCTTTGTCACCTTCTTACCTTCTTCAACATCCTCCTAAAAAGTTTACGGACATAGTCTCCCCCAACCTAGATTCTCCTAGACCTGTTTCCATTGCTTCCAAGTTTAAACCAAAATCTTCTATGTCCTTTTCTTCTAAATTAAATGATTCTTCTCGCAGTTCAAGCAGAAATAATTCCGTTGACTTGTACCTTCGTCCAACCGCCACTCGTTCTCGTTCTTCAACTAATGCACCTCCGTTCCTTCAATCACGCTCCAGTTCGTCGTACTCCGTTAACAAACGTAAGCCTACCACTGCCCAAGTAAATAAACAATTATCTTATGCTGTATCGCGTACTTGCAGTCAATCTAGCAACTCTACTGGTATTTTTTCAAGTTGCTTGAGCGACGATATGGATGAGGTTGACACTGTGTCGGACCATGAGCAAAGTTACATGGATGATAAGTTGGACGATGTTATGGTAAATCAAATTGACACAGAGGATGAAAAGGGTATCTTTGACGTTGCTATACAAGAGACGAATCATGATGATGACCATTCGTTGGATGATTTGTTCCAAGCGTCTCCTGTCAAAGGATCCCCCAGCAACATTTCGTTGCCTTTTAACAAATTTCAGGACATTCCTCCTACTCCTTTAGCCATGGCTGCTAATGAAGAAAACGACTTTGATGAACAAGATACACCGGTGCTTCGTCGCACCCGAAGTATGTTTTTAAAGTCGACTAAACTAGGTTTATGGGGATATCAAGACACCATTTGTGCTACGCCTAAGCAACCGCTTAAGGACTCTGATGAATATATGTCTTCTCATATGGAAACCCTTTCTTTGCCTTGTTTTGGCGTCAAGGAGGATTCTTTAAAGCGAATCAGTCAGGATACTTTATTAAAACTTTTGGATGGGTATTATAAAGATATTTATGACGAATGTATAATTGTGGATTGTCGATTTGAGTATGAGTATTTGGGAGGCCATATTACCAATGCTATAAATCTAAACTCAAAACAAGCAGTTGTTGATACATTTTTCAATAAGCCTCGTGTGCATCGGATAGCTCTTATCTTTCATTGTGAGCATAGTGCACACAGAGCTCCCCATCTAGCATTACACTTTCGAAATATGGATCGACAAATGAATAGTCATCGTTATCCCTTTCTTTACTATCCAGAAGTTTACATTTTACACGGGGGATATAAAGCGTTCTATGAAAACCATAGAAGTCGATGCGATCCTGTTAATTATGTTCCAATGAATGATGCATCTCATGTTATGACTTGTAGCAAAGCTATGAATAACTTTAAGCGCAATACTACTTTTGCTCGTACTAAAAGTTACACTTTTGGCCAAAGCCTATTGGCTTCTCCTGATATTAATGACTCTCCCACTGCAACGCATTCTTTGTCAAATTTGAGGAGGTTTTGATGTTTTACTTTTTTGTTCAAATTTTATTGGTATGACTTTCTTATTTCACTTTTGATATATTGAAGGAACGGTCATTTGTCAGGAAATCCCGCAATCCAAACAGACTTACAGGGCCTTTTCCCAACTCCATGTTCGTGCGTCCTGACAAACCTTTTTGTGTATGACTATGGTTTTTAACGATGTTTTCTTTACAAAAGCGGTTGGTGACAGTTTAACTATTTGGCGTTTTTATATATCTTAGATGCCATGGCAAAGTAACGTATGAACAAGTCCCTTTAATATACTCTAATCCTAATTTGACAGAGCAGTACGAAAATAAATTTCATACTGCAAAACACAAGTTTTTAATAAACTGTTTAAGGAATATAGACCTATAAATTATTCTTCTTTTTTTGTGAAATCCAATTTTTTTAATTTCTTTTGTCATTTTTACTCGTTCTGTTTCCTATACTGATTTTGTAAGCGTCGATAATAATAGCAAAGTAAATATAACATTTCACATGTATATATATTCAATGGACCAATGCATCCATCTTTTTGTTAGAGTACAACCAAATTGATGATATAGCTATGCCGGAAATAATACGTGAATGGAAACTAGAGGTAATTCAAATTTTTATTTATATACCTCTTCTTGGATTGATAGTATAAGACAGCCTTTGTACTTATACAATGCAGAAGTCCTTCTTGTCACGGCTGAAAAATTACACGTTATTAGAATGTAATTCAAGCATAAGAAACAAAATAACTACTTTTATGGGCACTAATAATGTCCGGAGACCTGGTTAACTCTGGAATGTAAGAGAAAACGATCTCATTTAACCAGATCAGTTGAAGTCTTTTAGACTGGAACTTTTAACTGTAGAGCCATGGGTATATATAGTCTCTCTAATGTAGTAATTGTAATCTGATCCTTTTCTTATAGTTTCCGCTTCGACGTTATACTTATGATTTTGTATCACACCCTTAATCGTTTGTTTACTTTACATAACAGAGCGATTCTTTTGGCTTATGATTATTTGCTGATATTCAATAATGTTTCATTCCAATAACAAACCATTATATTTATAATGTTAACTAAACACCTATTGTGGGCAATGACGTAATGTCACCAAAATTCCACAACAAAACGCTTTAAGAGAAATTTAGAAACTGTAATTGTTATCTAGAATTTGTAAAGAATTTTCTTTTAATTTTACTTGTCATTTTACAGTCAAGATTCATCTAATTTTGTTTTGCTACAACCGGCCGAATATACTTTTGAAAGCAAACGGACCAGCTAACACATTTACTGCTATTACTGAACCTTAGATTACACTAAAGGTTCAAGCACCGATTACATATACACCAATAAACACGATACGATGGATGGTAAAGCTCTTTAATATAAATAAGTACTTAAATCTGTAGATGTAAGCAGAGCTCCATGAAATGTCGAACAGTTGCACACCACACTTCTAAACAGGGAAAGACATATTAAACAATAGTATCCCATAAACGTATAATTTTATATGATTCCCCCCTGAGCGATTCGGTTCGTAATAATCATGCTTGTACTCCCTCTTGTAAGAAGATGTTCGGTTATCTGATCTATTTCGCAGCTTTAATACCAGAACCCCTTGATTTGCCGAGCTTGAGCATTGGCAACAAATTGGTTACGCAAACACTGTTAGATTGACTGCTCCAATCGCTAAGTACAATCCATGAAAAAATCAGAGCGACAGTTTGTGTAGTACTTGGAATTGCTATAAGCACTTGACTTTTTGGAGTTTCCTAGCGAATTCGCTATTCATAATTCCTCTTCAGGAGAATGACAATCATAAACAAAGGTGAGGTTGGTGTTTTTATGATAGATCAATAGTTTTGATAAAGAATCAACTTTCTTTACCAAAATGTTGTTTTTTAACATGCTTTTTCGATGGATTATGATTTCATTATCAGAATTGTGTAAAATGTCTAGTTACTCACATTTCAAACTGCTACTATTTACTTTCATATGAGGTTAAAAACTATGACACTGAAAATACAGAAAAAAAAATTGAATGTTAAGGTCGGTAATCAAACTTCTGATATACAATCCTAGGTATGAGAAGCATGATCTTTCTCTCGGTCTGCAAAAAAGTCTAGTTTAGCAGGATTACTTGCCAAACACAATAAATGGTAGACTGATGGTCTATATTCGAGTTAGTCGTGATCTGCCCATGCACAGTTTTTAGCTGTTTTATGGATGATGATGACATGTAAATAAATAGGGTGTCACACAGTCGATCCGGTCCCCCTTTGTTGAGGATAACAAAATTCGCTAATATAATAACCTCATAGAATCATTGCGTTAACAGAAATTTAAAAAATTTGATAGAGATGATGAGTCATACAGTTGATATTACTTATTATTAGTGACAATATCTTCTAGTTAATTTGATTAGAGAGACTATATATACCCATGACTCTATAGTTGAGTCTTCCAGTCTAAAAGACTTCCACTGATCTGGGTAAATGAGATCGTTTTCTCTTACATTCCAGAGTTAACCAGGTCTCCGGACATTATTAGTGCCCATAAAAGTAGTTATTTTGTTTCTTATGCTTGAATTACATTCTAATAACGTGTAATTTTTCAGCCATCAACACCGCTGATTTGGAACCTCTTATTCTTCTATGCCCATAATACTACAGAGTATATTGTTTTGTCAGTCAATTTAAACGAACAAACGATTGGAAATGCAAAATGCAGGTAATCAATGAATATAAATTGCACTTCAAAAGTAAAATCCAAAGAGCAATGGATTTATGAACTAAAATTGAAAAATTATAAGCAAACAGACTATAAACAGAAAAACGCTAAAGAAGATTTTGCAGGGCTAGCTAGTTGACTTGCCTATTCATACATCAAAATTCGTCAACCCTGCCTATCGATAGCATTCCTTCTAATCTATATATATTAGCTATTTAGTAGCTAAAAATACAAAATTCAATTCTCGGCTTGGCAGTCCTCGTACCTAATTCCTTATTTCATTTTCCATTTAATTAATTATACTTGTTAGTATAATTTCCGTGACTTGCAAGACAAATAGTTATATGTCTGTACTATCGTTTGGGTTTGTTATCACCTACTTTCGCATCGGTACCTTATGGTATTGTGGTTTAACGCACATCAGTGTTAGGTAGGAAAGAGCTGAAGATCTGTTAACTGGAAAAAACAAAAATCTTGGATTCAGGTTGAACCTGGAAGATTGAGTCTTATGAATAATAGCCATGCATTTAAAAAGTCATTTTGTATAAGGGTATGTTAGGATGTATCTATATTATGGAAAATGTAGCGAATTAACCATTGTTTACAGGCACCTTCAAACTGGGAAAAGTCGTATATGGAAGTTTGGCCCATTATAACAGTACCAAGACAGTATATTTGCTTAAGATGGTGTATTTCTGCTCATTATCACGAGTTTTCATGCTCTTCATTACAGTTTTTAGTTATTCGGCCAGCTGGCATGAACGTACTCCTTGGACGTGTCAAAACGATATATGGAAGTCAAACAGTAGCCATTGAACATGTTGAAGATAATCGCTATGCTTTAATGCTTCTTTCAGATCAAGTTGAATTTAGGTCGCTGAAGGTGATTGCCAATCATCAATCATCGGAGTCCTCGAGCGCTTCTATAGAGTCTGGCTCATCTGCAAAGCCTTCGAAAAGACTAGTGAGAACAGATTCTCTTTTATCCTCAGACTTTATGGAAAAGACTCTTCATGACATTCAGTCAGGTTCCTCGTTGGCAAATGAAAAAGAGTACAAAGCATTTAGTAACAAGTTTGCTTCACCTTCTCAGCCTACTTTGGAAGACAATCAGGAAAATATCGAACGAAATGAACAAGATGATATTAGAATATTTCATTTGGAGGAGGCTGTGCCAACTCTGGAGAATCTAATTCATTCACTTAGAAACGGATATTTTTATCAATTGCTGATGACCAAAACACCTGTAGTATTTTACGCTAAGCAGTTGGTCGGAAAATACAGAACACATGCTTTGGAATACTTTGCGAAAACCAAAGATGAAAGTTTTATAGACGAGCTTTTAAAATTATTATCAAGTATACGGTCGGTAGAAGCGTGGAAAGAAAATTTACAAAGTTGCTTTCAAAATCATTTGGACGGAAAAGCTTGGCATTTGGAGCTCGATGACGGCGCTTCAGAATGTGAACTTGTGGGATATCGACAGTGGTTACAAAATGCTCTAAATCAAGATAGTTTCGAAAGTGAAAAGCCGGATTTTATTAAAGAATTTTCTTCCTTAAAAGCAAAAGAATATGAGCTGAAGGTCCTAATTTACTTTGAAGTGCTTTATTTACTGCTAAAAATACACCCAGAATATGCAAATCAGAAAGATTCTCGAGATAAAACAAAAAACACGAAATTGAATTCTAAGAATGAAAAAAAGGAAAAAGAACCACCTAATTTATTTGAAAAGGTTCAGCTCCAATTGGAGTTTGTGTTTGATGGATTGTGTATTCGCAGAACAATTGAGGAAAAGCCTCCTAATTCTACCGAAGATTTATTGCTGAGATTTTGTAAAGAGGGAATCATTCCCTTTTATTCCTCTAAGTTCCCTAAGATTACAAGGGTTTTGTTAGAGAAATGTAATGGTTTAACTTTGCTCCCAGATTTTGCGAATCCACGTGCTAAACATATTTCACGCCGTTCTAAATTGCTATCTAGGTCTAATACGGACTCTATCTCCTCTCTTAAAAGATTACATAGTACGAATTCGGTGCCGTCGTCGTCGTCGTCCTCGCCAGTTGATACTAAATCGTCCAATCTTAAGCGTCAAGGAAGCTTTTCTTCAATACAGAATCTTACGCGTTCTGACTCCAGAACATCTTTAGGTGAAAAAGATATGAAAAAGCGCACTAATAACATGTCACGAATTCGAAACAGAGAAGTAGCGCTTCCTTCCTCTGGATCATTAGTTCGACATCGAAGTTCTCTTAGTGAACAACCCCACTCAAATAACACTTCAGAATTATCATTTACGGAAAAACTGTTGTTGGCTAGTACTGATTCAAATAATGGTTTAGCACAAAGACCAGTGGGAGGTATCACGAAACAAGACCTTACTCGCTCAAAGACCCTTAATTCTGTGGATAGTTTATCCGATGAATTAAGCACTTTAAATCAGCAAAAGCAATCTAAATCTGTCTTAGTGCAAGCTACACCTCGAAAAAGAACTTCCTTTATTACTAGTTTTCAGTCACCAACAGCTGCTCACTCGGCAATGCCTGACGATTCACCTACTAAAGTTATATCTGATGATCCGATTATTCAGGAATCCCCTGCACGAAATGCTATGAAATCTAACGTTTTTGTTTGTGTTCCTACTACACCTCGAAAACTGCACACTGGTAACGATGGAGAAAAGAATTAGAACAAAGATGACTACCGTTTCATTGATCAGAACTTACCTTTCAGTTACAAATAATTATTCCTATGACTAATAAATTTGATATTCATTGATGAATTATATCTACTTCAGCTTTAGTATCTGTACGCTAACTTCGAACAACACCCTACACTTTGTATACATGATTATAAGAAAATATAAATATTAAAAATCATACATAAAACGCACATTCAGAGAAAAAAGAGTTTCACTATGTACCTGAATACTTTCTTGAAACCCGTTTTTCCGTAAGCAACCAACGTCTAGTTTATAATGACGAAGCTAATCCAATTAAGCAACTGTTCAAAAGAGCATAATCATACAAATTAATAAGTAATTACAGAAAAAACATAGGTAGATGATAGATATCGAAGGAAGGTTGAATTTTACATTCTAAGTAACCCTACCCTATATGAGACGCAGTCACGGTGCACAACACATCCATGTCTGAAGGTGTGTGTAGTTTTCCTCACCACAAAAATGCCTTCCGCACCTGTAAGTTATCTTTAGAATAGTAAATATGTGAAAAATTACTAACTGAAAAATAGCGCAAGCAATCCAAGACCTACAAGGTGCCTCGTCGTCCCTTCGAGTCAGCTCGTCTTGACGCTGAACTCAAGCTTGCTGGTGAATATGGTTTGAGAAACAAGCATGAAATCTGGCGTGTTGCCCTTACTCTCTCGAAGATCCGTCGTGCTGCTCGTGAGCTTTGACCCTTGACGAGAAGGATCCTAAGCGTCTTTTGAGGGTAATGCTATCATTCGCCGTCTTGTTCGTTTGGGTATCTTGGATGAAACCCGTATGAAGCTTGATTATGTCTTGGCTCTTCGCCTTGAAGACTTTTTGGAGCGTCGTTTGCAAACTCAAGTTTTCAAGCTTGGTTTGGCCAAGTCCATCCACCACGCTCGTGTCTTGATCTACCAACGTCACATCCGTGTTGGTAAGCAAATTGTCAATGTTCCCTCTTTCGTCGTCCGTTTGGACTCCCAAAAGCACATTGACTTTGCCCTTACCTCTCCTTATGGTGGTGGCCGCCCTGGTCGCTGCAAGAGAAAGAGCCTCCGCGCTCAACAAGAAGGTGGTGGTGAAGGCGCTGAAGAAGCTGAAGAAGAGTAAATTAAATGGTTTTAATTATAGCGCTTCTGTGCACATAGAAGAATGTATTCTACCTGGTTTTGCTCCTTTGCCTTATATAGGAAAAATAGTTTGAAGGTCTGTTTGTGATTGCATATGGAAAACATCTCAAGTTGCAGTAAGCTATACTATGTAGAAGAAATCTGGATTGTTTTGAGGAGGAAGTAAGAATCGTAAGTAAGGTAAGTATGCTCTGTAAGGAAGAAGGAAAAGCCGTTTGCAGGACGAATGAGTTGCTTTTTGACGGATTGATTTCGAGAAAACTTGATGGTTTCATCATTCTGGTTGTTTTAAAGTATGGACAGGTTATGAGTTCCAGTAGGTTGGCTTCCATCACGGGTAGAATGCGATACTTTTGTCGTGAATGAAAGGGTGAAAGAACAACCAAGATCATTTGAATTGCTTGAGAATACCAAGTAGTCAAAGGCGAAAGTAATTTTATACGACAGAGTGAGTTATTCAGACCTTTCATAATTCAGATCAGACTATGAATAATAACTAAGACAAAATAGATATTCTTGTTAGAACTACTATGTTTCTCTTAAACGATATGTCCATTTTTTTCATTTTCTATGTACGTTTGTTTATTTACTGTAGGTAACAGTATCTATTGCTACCTGCTGTAAATAAAAGTACGGCGCATAAGGCCACAAACAAACCTGAAAGACAATTCAGTTCAGCTCAGAAATAGAAAGTAACTTGACCGGAACCTTCATCGAAGTTCGTAAATTCAGTTTTTTGGAGCTCTAAGCAAAAAGAATTACTCGAGTGTTAGAAATTTCAAACTGAAGAATTCGTTTTGTCTGAATTTCGTATATCGCTTTTTGCCTTTTTGAAAAGTTTGTTATTAAAGGTTAACAAGCTACAGAATAATGACTTCTCATCAAACTGGAAAAATTACCTCGCATTGGAATGACCCTGCGTCCAATATATTTCTGGAATCACAAACAAACGCTTCGCAAAACCCTAGTCGCTCGTTGAAGAAAACTGCTTCCAGTCGACGATTGGTTTATGAGGAAGCGAATAAGCTATCAGGATCTTTACCTGCATTGTCTGTTGCTTCAATAGAGCAGCAAAGACATCCTTCCTTACATACACCACCCACAATTCCTTCCAAGGTTCTACCTCCTACAGCACAGAAACTTGCTAAGCCCCCTACCCATTTAAGCCCTCAGGATTCCTTGCTTTCAAACGTATTGCATTTAGAAATGGCCAAGGAGAACCAAAACATAGGTCAGACCGGGGTTTCGAATAGCACAGATATTACTACGCAAAAAACAATCGATGTTTCTACCGTTCGAAATGCTATTCAAAACATTCTTGAACAGAATTCTTCTTTGGATCCATCTGTCCATGGTATGTTGAAGAGTCGAGTTGAAAAGAATCTCTTAGCACCAGGCTTCCTTGATACGTTTGATAATATATGGCTTGAAAAGCTTTCGGAGGTTTCGGACTTAGCCCTCCAAAGTAAAAACGCCGATGCAAAGGCTGTCCTTGTAAATATGATGTGTAGCGGCGTCGTTCCCGACTGTATTCGCTGGTGTCCAGTATTGAAAACCGTCATCGAAAATCTATCTCTGTGATTCCAGGTTGGATACTCTCTTCCTGTTTCCTTTATTTCTTTCTTATGTATTTATTAATTACTTCTTTCTTTCTGCAGACGTACATTCTTTTTTACATAGGGTCATTCCTTTGTTCGCTTCTTACGTTGCATAGATTCTCAATTTCATGATGATTACGATTAGTTTTGGTTTCGCTATTCCATTAGTTCGCAATATGTAGTTAATTAATAAACAAAATTAATTCCTAGGGAACTTTCTGAATATAGATTATGTTTATACGAAAACACGTTTAGTTTCGTATTTCAAACTTCGAGAGACAAGTACATACTGAGACTGTTCAGTAGCATTCTTTTGTTGCAAGTTACAAAAATCAACTAATTTCTCTAACTCATTCAAGACAGGAATCCATTATGTCGTGTAGTCAAACCAAGCGGCATTGATTTTTATTTTTGTTGTTTTATATTTGTTTGTTTATTAAGCTATTTTCATAACCCTTCTTATTCATTTTAGCGCATTCTTACAAAATATACCACAACGAAAAGACATCTGGGGACAACAAACGTAAGTTGTACTCCACCATACACGTTACTCTGTTTCTCTTGATGTAAACACGAGGAAATTCATTCTTTCCTGTTATTTATTTTCCATATGTTTTTGTTGTGATAAGAAAAAAATACACTTCTATGTCATCTCCATCTTTTGTAAGTACAGTAGTTCCCGAAATGGTTCATTTTCTCTGACTCTGATATGAAATTGTATAGACGGACACGATGGAAACATTTTCAAATCGAGACTTACCAAGGCCTCCTAATGCTACTAAATTGCAGCGTACGCCTTGTATAAAGCGGAAATCCGTAAATTTGAGTTTTTCTCCTGGACAGAGTTTTCTTCCTCACAATCGACCTTCTATTGACTTGGACTCGGTCAATAAAAGCTTTGATGGCTCTTCTCGTCGAAGTTATTTTGAATTTAAGTCTCCGCGAAGTGAGGGCAGGTTTAAGAGACCGTTTGCTCGCATACTTGGGAAACCGCTTGATGCACCTGTTCCTCTAGTTTCTCAACACCGAAGGTACTTTTCAGAGGGATCCTTTCGGTTACCTCACTCGAAGACACTGTCACTGAATTCTGAAAATCCAAGTGGGAAACAAAACGAAAATATTTCCTCTCCCAAGCAAGCCTCTGTCTATCCTAAAAATCCTCGACGTTTGCCTGTAGATGCAGGTTCCAACAAAGAAAAACGATATTTTAGTCTTGATTCATTATCTTTGGGACGTAGACTCTCTGATACCGATAGTAGTCAAACATTGACAAATTCTTCTTCTCCTTTTCCTCCGCAGAACTCGAGTTCGGGTACCATCGATAAAGAAGATTGCTCTAGTGCGACATTCACGCATATTCCTTCCTCTTATTCCTCTAGCACATCTTTCCTTTCCCCAAGCCACTCTCCTCTTCTCCGTAACAAAGTCGATTCCCCTTCCTTTAAAGCTGATAATCCCATGGATGACTTAAACTCAGATTTTCAGCTAGGCAGCTCGATGCCCCCTACTCCAACTAGTCTTAATGACGGGTTCGACAGCCCTACACATGTCACGCCGCTGCCGCCCGATTACAAGCGAATTAAGAAAAGGGCGAATCTCATTCAAGAATTAGTTACAACCGAAGCCAATTATCTTAATGACCTAATCGCTATTCAACAGTGTTATGGCTTACGCGTTCATGAATGCAGTGTTTTGAATGTTATCGATATTCAAACTGTTTTCGGGGATATTGAGCCCCTCCTTACTTTTTCGGTTGATTTTCATTATCGATTATACAAAGGAGGTGAAGGAGCTTGGCGTGTAAATGAAAGTACGCAGCTTTTTGATCCGTCTCCTTGCAACCTTGGCCTTGTTTTTCTTGAGAGTTTGACCGATATTAGCCAGATTTATTCCGGTTATTGTAACCGGCAAGATGCCGTTTTCCGTATCATCACTAAATGGAGAGAGAAGCCTGCTGTCTCTTCTTGGGTCACAGAGGGGGATCACATGGTTCAGCAATTTACGAATGCTTGGGATTTAGGTAGTTTAATTATTAAACCACTTCAGCGCCTTCTGAAGTATCCTTTATTGCTGCAAAAGATTATTGATGCTACTCCGGAGAGTAGTCCTGAACGTCCTGATCTGATTTTATCTTATCAGCTTTTGCAAGAGCTAATTGCGAATATTAATCAAAAACAGAAGCCGTCTCATAAACGTGGTTCACTCAGTACGTCACACAAACGTGATGCTGGATGGGCACTTTTAAATAAATCTTCACATAGCAAGTCAAAGTCCGCAAGCAGCAATGACTTCCGTAACGATCGACGTTACAATTTTCAGCGTTCTGTGCTTCAAGATTTGAGAAGAAAATTAGCTATAATTAAGGCCTTTCAGTCCAGTGTTGACGTCTGGTATATGAATGTATTAGAGGGATTCTCAGTTTTCGAAAGGATTTTAGCAAATTTGGAAAACGTGAGTATATTGGATTCTGAAGAATCACCTGAAGCTTGGAGGAAATTTCATCTTCTTGCCCATATGATGACTGTGAACACGGCCTCTCACATACAACCTCAGGTAATGTCGGATGTGCAGGAGCCAACTGCTCACATGGCTAAAATGGTGCAAAAGGTCATACAGTTTATCGTATCAGCCGAATCTATTATTTCGTCTGAAAAACTAAAGGGTCTTCAGGAGTGCATTGACAATGGATTCCATTCAATAGTTTATAAGCTTTATATCATACAGTGTTCTGTTTATCAAAACTATGCTGAAAATGTAATTTTTCTTATTCCAGAATCGCTCAAGTCGAACATTATTGAGGAGAGTGAAGATTTTGCAGCACTGGTCCGCGCCTTTGAACCAATGCATTACGAAGACCAGCAGTGTCTTGAAGAATGTATGAAGAAATTGGCTCTTTCTTCAAATCTATAACATTTCAAGTCTGGAAGTTTTTTATGCACCATATATTAATATCGCTCATTTAAGATATTTTACTTAACCGTCATGCGTTCTTTTCGATCGAATCTTTATTACATAATTTAGTTTTGCATAATAAGTTCTCGGAAGCGATTTCGAGAATCAACTTTTTTTTGTTTAACATGTGATTAGCATTAGCATTTTTCAAAATATACATAAGTCTCTTTTGGCTTAGCATTTTTAATAAGGAAAGATAAGTGGTTGATCCGCTCTTCTCATATCGTTTTTCTTTTCATTACTTTCGTTTTCTCTGAGGCAATCATGAGCGACCGGTATTATCTTTTATTTAATGACTTAATGGATTTAGGTATTTTAATTGACTGAAATATTGACACTACTGAATGTGTAGAGTACTTGCGTGTGAACACAGGTTTCAATCTTCATTTTCTAGTGAGTACTTTATACAAAAAAGCTCCTAATTATTTTTTGGATATCCCGAATCCCAAAGCTATATTCATAAAGCTCAAGTTAAACTATCAAAATTATTATACTTCTGTGCCAAGATGTTTAATCAGGTACAATAGCTAACATACTTTTCATAATACAAAAAAATTTTACTTCATCTTAAGCAGATGACAATTTAGTACGACGTTCACGGACAGCAGTAGCCAAATTGTCAAAAACAGCGACGGTTTGTTCCCAACTAATACAGGCATCAGTGACACTAACGCCATACTTTAGGTTAGCAGGGCCATCCTCAGGGATAGACTGCTTGCCCTCATTGAGATGGGATTCAATCATAATACCACTAATGGCGGTTTGACCAGAAGCAACCTGCTCAGCTATGCAAGCGGCAACCTTGGGTTGGTTGTTATGATCCTTGCAAGAGTTGCCGTGAGAGCAATCAATCATAATGCTTGGGTGAAGTTTAGCCTTTTCAAGATCAGCCTTAGCTTGATTAACAGAGGCAGCGTCGAAGTTGGTTCCCTTTTTACCACCTCTTAAGATAATGTGGGTATCAGGGTTGCCATCGGTAGTGACGATGGCCACAACACCTTGCTTGGTAACAGACAAGAAGTGGTGAGGATTGCTAGAGGAATTGATAGCATCAATAGCAATGCCAATATTACCATCAGTAGCGTTTTTGAAACCAATAGGGAATGACAATCCAGAGGCAAGCTCACGGTGTAATTGAGATTCAGTGGTACGAGCACCAATAGCACCCCAGCAAACCAAATCTGCCAAGTATTGGGGGCTAATGGTATCAAGCATCTCAGAAGCGATACCAACACCTTGCTGCAAGAGCTCCAAATATGTACCACGAGAAACGCGGATACCCTTGTTGATGTTATAAGAGCCGTCCAAATCAGGATCATTAATCAAACCCTTCCAACCGACGGTAGTACGTGGCTTTTCAAGGTAAGCACGCATAATTATGTGCAAATCCTTCTTGTGCTTCGCAGCTTCCTTTTGCAACCTGCCAGCATATTCCTTAGCGGCAGCAGGATCATGAATAGAGCAAGGTCCGACAATAACAAGAATACGATTATCACGTCCAGAAATAATATCTGAGGCTTGACGGCGCTGATCAGAAACGAAGTCAAGCAAATCATCAGAAGCTGCTAATTCAGCTTGAATCAAAGCAGGAGAAATAACGGGATCATAACCACGAATACGACTGTCTTCATTCGCCTTTCTGGTAACTACACTGGAGGCAGGGAAAAGGGGGATATGCTTATCCATTTTATTTACAGGGTTTGTGATTTGCAGAGGACAGCTCTCAAAAGCTACTCAACCTGCAATTATCATCGAAAATTTTTACATCTTTACCAAATCAATTTCGTTCATTAATCAAGATAACAAACTGTTACAACATAACGTAAAAGCACATTGTATATCGCAACGCAACTTCAGAAACCAACTTAACTGATGTATGAGAAAGGGTTTCAGGATTTAATACTCACAGCTTAAATATCACTCAATTTTTTAAATTCAAAGAGAATCTTTACTGATTTGCTTGTTTGAAAGAATAATGTTTAATTAGAGGAGTATAATACATAGCAAGTATTGTAGAAGTGCTGATACTTACTCTTGCTGGGAAGTAGCAGCGTTACTTCATGTTATTTTATGTAAACAATGAATGCTTGGGTTAAAAAAACCGTATATAGAAAAATTGCTTAAGTTATTATTACATTTCTACTTCAGTATCCTTTTTTTGACAGCTAATTACTCAATCCTCGAAAAGGTTGATCGTTATGCTTTCACTTTCATTGTTTTAGGTACAACCTATGGGAATGAACGATTACCATTCTGCTAAACTTAAACAGTTTATATTACTTTCTGTAAAAAGATAAAATCAACTTATTTCTTCGAATGGAAGAATCATGTTGCTATTCTTCTTATGTCCGATTATAATCAAGGATATACAAACATATTTACCAACCATAGAGGTTGATTTAGCCCAAAGCATATAAAAAACAATGAGTATTAGTACTTTTCTAGTAAAAATTATGTTGAGAGATTAATATTATACTTTGATAATTCAACGATACAAGTTCAAAGCGAAATTAGTAAATACATTGACTCGTTCACGGGTCATTTTCAATGCAATTCGCAACATTTCATTCGTCACGTCATGTCCATTATCAAAGGAATTAACAAGAGATTCCCATGATTCTCTATCCATATACCAGATAATAGAATCCAACTGGGCCGTCACTGTGGCATTATAGCATGTTTGACTGAAAAACGGTAATTCACCCACAAGACAGAGACAGGTAATGTTTTCAGCCAAAACTTCTCTATCCATTTGATACGTAGCTTTCACCATACCTGTCTCTACGAGGACAAAACGATTAGGAGGATCACCTTTCTTCCAAAGGACATCTCCTTTTTTTAGCAAGCTTTTCTTAAAATATGGGCAAATGGATAACCAGAAATCATCTCTCTTTGAGGTAACTTCACCAAATACTTGCATAAGGAGCGGGAATGGTTGTTGATACTTAGCATATTGTTCGTATCCGTATATCTCTTTCGACTCATCTTTCACGGTAGACGCTGCAACTTCACGTAACAAGTCATGACGCGGTGAGGGAGAGAAAGTTTTAGCCAAGTTCAATTGAACCCCACTTCTAGTAGGAACAGCAAGTGTGCCTTGGATACCCAAAAGTCTATTTCGACATACATCATATTCGTCTAATAACAAGTTTTCACAATATTCCAAGGCCGAATTAATGTCTTCAAAAACTTGACAATCGCAAATATCGTTTTCGGAAAAACAAATCTGACTAAGTTTTTTAAATGATGACCGAGTGTCATCCAATCCGCACACAAACATTGGGACGTTTGCAGTAGCCAGGACACGACGAATCCTCAAAAATGCTTGAACAACACTAAAATCTGCTCCAGAAACCAAGCTAAAATCGATAATTAAAAAACGCAACGGATTGCTTGTAGTCTGTAGCTCCTCGATAAGACCGGAAATTTGCTTTTCTACACCGTTAATTGTACCGAAGAAAAGAAAACCGGATAATTTGCAAATTTGAATTTGCTTGCCAATTTCGTTCAGAAATCTCTGTTGACTTAAAGGACGTCGTACTGTCGAACGCAGCATGTTGCAGGAATAAATCCCCCGCAAAGCGGACCGTCTAGAAGCTTGGAAGACAAAGAACACACATGCAAGGATAATGCCAAGTAAGATGCCAAAAACAAAATCAACCATACCCATGGAAGCTACAATAGCCACGATCGTGAGATACTCTATCTTTGTGGTAGTGCCAACTGGATCCCACAAGGATTCCTTTAACAATTCCATACCCAATAAGAAAATCAGACAGCCAACAGTCCATACTGGAATATACGAAATAATTCCTGGTCCCATTACTAGTAAACCGGCAGTCGCAACAGCAAGCATAACTCCGGATAGACGATTGTTACCACCAGATCGTATGAACATTAAAGAATTTGTATAAGTCATGTAATTTTGAATACTTCCTATACAGCCAGAAAGTGAATTGCTTATACCATGACCGATCAATTCTTTGTCTGTATCTATTCTGTCCATGCCAGTGGAAATAGCCAAAGCTGGAACGTTGATGGGAACGTGAAGGATGCCGAAAAAAGTTAAGGCTAGCATTTCTGGAACGGTTGCCAAAATAGCACCCCAATTTGTATCTCGAAAGCTAAATAACTCATAATAATGGTACCATGGCACGTTGCTTTGAGTACTAGAAAAGACCCAACCTGTTTCCCGCAGGAATTCCAAGCTTAAGCCTGGTATTGCCCACACCAGAAAGTAGAAGAGGATAGGAGCAAAAATAAAAAAAGAAGGAATTAGAAACGGATGGCTCCAGCGAGATTGGGCAATTTCAAGCATAAAAGCCATGAAAAGGGGCGTCATCCAACGGGCGAAAGGTAAAGGTTCAAATAATGTAAGAAGGCACTCCCAACTGGAAAGATTGTTATCTTCAATTCTAGAGGAAACGATTACGGCAGTGTTAACAAGAAAGTAGCCAACACCACCTATGCAGCCCAAAAGAATATGGCGAGGAAAAAATTCAATGAGTTTGCCGAGACGCAAGAATCCGAGCAATACGAATACAATGCCTGTAACGATACTGGAAAGGCAATAAGCAAGGAGGGTTGTGGCAACGACTGATTTTGGATTATCCTCGCCAACATGATTAAGAACAGTAAAGGCAATTTGGTGGAAGAAAGGGATAACCTCAATCATTTCGGAGCCCACGGAGCCACTGAAAGCGGAACCACCGAACGAAAAGACTAACTGGGAGACGATACAACTAACGTAGAAGATGGCAAGGCCATCAACACCTAAATTTTTAAAAATGGGATTAGAGATGGGAAAGAGAATTAAACCATATGATAATGCGTCTAATATGTTAAGGAGTAAACCAATAGTGACAGAAGGGATGTTGTATAAGATTAAGGAAGGGCCCTTACCATCAAAAAAATAATCATATGCTCTATGGAACGAAGGACGAAAGCTAGTTTTCTTGTGATGAACGGGAGATGGTCCATTGGGCAGAGGAGGGCTTTCCAAGCCATATGCTGAAGAAAGTCGGTTCTCGGAGGAAAGAAGTAAAGGATGGCTTTCATCTTGTTCCCAAGGAATTAAGAGGTCAGTGTTGGAAGGGCGCGTAAGCACGGAGCGAGGATGTGAATATGAAGAAACAGAGTACTGATCTTGCCAATAAGTAGACGGATCATCCGTCATATCTGGAGAGGGTGAAGGGGGAACATGCGCGCCATCAACATCGACGGAGGCGAGTCTAGCGGACAAGAGATGAATATCATTAGAATCTCGGAAACTTTGGCTGATGAGATTGGGATCCGTACTGGTTTCGAAATTCGGAAAGACACTGCTACGTTTCTGATTAAGGCTATTAATTGGCGTAGCACGAGACCTTTCTGATTTGGATGGAGGCATGATGACGGGAACTCAAAGGAGAATATTTGGAAAAATTAGGAAGCAAAAGAATTAAAAAAATTGTCCAATGAAGATTGTAACAAATATATATATATATGTTTTTTAATAGTCATACAAGCAGTGACAAAAAAAAAAGAAGAAAGACATAAAAAACGAAAATTTAAATGAGCTAACAAATAGTAAGAACTTTTTTTTTGGGTCGTTCTTTTAGACACTGTTCAAGTCAATAAGGCAAATCCACAAATGAAGAAACCGATAATTCAAACAGTATATATAAAAGCACAAGGAAATGTGAAACGTGAAACACTTATTAATGACAGGAGAAGGAAAACTAAGCTGTCAATTGCTAAATCGACAAGTGGAATAATATGGATTATAAAACTAGTCCTGAAAATCCATTAAAATAAGAGAAAGATATGCTAAGTACAGGCAAATTGAGAGATCAAGTGTTTAAAGTGTAGAGAACAAAGAAATCTATAGCGTAACAAAGAAATGGCAAAATCCGAAACTGAAGCTTGTCTACAAGTAAAAAGAAAATGGTTGGTTTTGGTAAGGAAAAAGAAGTTAAAAGATAAAGATGAAAGACCCGAGATGAAAACCTCTTTTCATATCGACTATCTGATAGGATCTAGGAGATATCGAAATGAAAGATGCTTTGACCAGCTTTTGGTAATACGTATACAATAAAGTAACTGAACGTAGTTTTGTATCTTGTAAATAAATAAACAGAACAAAATATGAATTCAATTAAAATAAAGAAGATTCTAAGAAATTGTTTGAAAGAAAGAAAATTCAGAAAATGCAGAAAATGGGATTTATTCAAGTTTCTATATTTCACAAAAGCTCAGAGGCTTGCTATTCTAAACGGAAATCATGGTTTCACGAGTAGTTGAATTGAAAAGCAAAAAAAAAAAAATAATAACAATAAAAATAAAAATTTAATACAATAAGTATAATCTATAAATTAACAAAAAAGACGAATTTAATCAAATATGAAGAACTCATTGCTCAGTGAAACAAAAGCCATAGTCATAAAAGTAAAGTGAAAGAGGGAGGCAAAGTAATAGGAAAGAAAAAGGAATCAGGGCTCATCGGAGTCCTGTAAAGAAACGTATAGACTTGTTGTCAAGGCCTTATCCGTAAAAACTAACTGCTGGCTTGGAGATATCAAATCAACAATGGGTTTGGATAGATTGTTTGAGGTTGCCTGTTGTAAGGGAATTGGTGAAGAGAAATATAGGGGGAACCCACTAGTGGACGAGACAGAGGGGCTAGTAAGTTGATACGTTGTCTTATAGTGATTGATGAGGGTAGACAAGAGAGGAGGACGGGCTTTCGAGTACGTATAGCTTTCCGTGAGAACACCGCAGACAGAACAATCGCTGCGTTTTTCCAAGTTAAAGGTAAATGTATAAGTACCATCTTCACCAACAAACATCATATAATTGTCAAGCGAAGGATTGCAATCAGTAAGAATTTTGAGCACTTCGTTGCAGCAAGCAGCGGCAATGATAGCGTTTGTAGAAGCGACAGCGGGAATGATACGTTTGACGATACCCAAAACAAAAAAGCGATCAATTTCACTAGCGTTAATATTAAAAGCAGCAGCACGAGCTCGTGCATGGTCTACGATCCAGTCAACATGCCAAGGGATATCAGGGTCAAAAGCGGGTGCTAGACTGACAGACGCTTCTTCTCTCAAGGAGCCTTCATCCTGAATTGATATTTCTTCAGATGATTTGGTGTTTTCCGACTTGCTCACAGCAGCACGCGGCCATTCGAGAAGAAAGGCCCATTCGACGCAGTGTTCGGGTAAACGAGGAGTATTGGCAATTGTACAAATTGGATAGGAAGTCTTAGGAGTCAACATATCGAGAGAGCATTCGTAACAGCTAGTGATTGAAGGCAGAATGACACGAGCTTGACCCTTGAGACCTTCGGAGCCTCCATCGATCAAGGGCAAAAAATCACCGCCCTTTGAAATAGATACAAGGGTAGAATTAATCCACCGGCGGGCTTCAACAGAGTCGAGTCCACAGACAACCAATTGGAATTGCTTGTAATACTCAAGGGGCTTGTCTTGGATTCTGCAGTGGAATGCTGTCACAGTGGTTGAAGGGATACGTCGCATAATAGCCTTGGCAGCTACAGAAGCCTTTGGGTTCCCAACGTCATTTTCCGTAAAGAGGAATTGGCGATTCAGGTTGGTCACGTCGATGGTGTCCATGTCGATGACATGCAAATCTCTAAACCCACTGAGCGCTAGGTTTTTGAGGATTTCGCAGCCGAGTCCACCAGCCCCGACAACGAGGATTTTAGAAGAAAATACGCCGTTCAAGTCGAGGTGAGGATCCACGTCGGGCGCAAAGGGGCCACGTCGACGAAGCATTTGCGACCATTGACTATGTCGGAGCTCGTCGATTTGAGAAGCAGAAGTAGAAGTAGCAAGAGAGACCATGATTGGCAATCTTTTGAGAACAAAGTTCTTTTCGTGATGAATGAATCGGCTGGTACTGTTCGTTACGCACAGAGGTTCTAGTCCAGAATAAATATGGAGAAATAATGTCAGATTCAGCAAACGATGAGCTTGTAGCAAGAACAGACAAGCATCTGAGAAACAAGTTACCTATTAATTAAAAAATTTAAATGAAATCAGGATTCAAAGCTGGATTCTCATTTGGGGTTTCGAAGCACGAAAAAATTCCATGGAGGGAATTACGTCCAACATGAAGGAAAGCATCATGGTTCTTTTGATTTTATGTTTGACACTCATAATCTAATCTTCTTGATGTATCTTATAAACATAAAAAGGAAGGGTGTCCGAGTGGTTATGGAGCTAGTTTAAGGCACTAGTGCGAAAGCTCGTGGGTTCGAGTCCCACCCCTTTCATCAAGATATATTTTTTCCATTCAAAACGGTTTTATTCATTTTTTTCGTTTTGATTCTTCTTTATTTGTATGTTGATTTATCCACCAAGCTGAGCATACGAAACAAACCGACAATAGCAAGAGATTGCTGTACAAGTTACGAAAGTCGACAAATTCAATATATTTCAAAAAGAGAAAGAAATTCAGTAGCAATGAAATCACTTTGAATTCAACTAGAACCAAAAAAAAAAAAAGTGCCCGGAATGTCGTTTTGCAAGATTGGTGGTTTTTTTTTTGTTTTCTTTTTTTTAACAAACGAATGACTTCACTTCAACAAGTTCTCGCTAATAAGGTTGGCTACGTACTTAAATGATGTAACAATTCTTCCTAATATCTTCTTTGTTAAGGAAATGTTGATTTTGGCTGTTGATTTATTTTCTCGTCCTTTTATTGTCTCCATTTATTTTTCAAATTTCTTTTTGTTTTTGTGTTTTTTTTTGTTGAATTTATTTACTTGTTCCTTTGTTTATTCTTGCTTTTTATTTGCAAATTTTTATCTTCGCTTTTTCTCTTAATTTTAAACTCAGATGATGTCGTCTATTTCATCGAGGAAAAATCTTGACGATGAAATCATCAGCTCAAGTGATAAAATGTATTTATTGGCCTAACAGTAGTCACAAAAATTTGATCAGGCAAACACTTTCGATGGTTTGTTTATTTCAATATATTTGTCCCCATTGGCATATCCCTTATTCGTTCCCAATAAATTGAGCATGTGGCTGGAGTCCTCTATATATAAATATACTCACGTAGCCTGACATGTTTTACTATTGTCTTTCCCAGCCTTCACCTTCTTGCAAATAATAGATTTGCATACTTTATTCTTTAGTTTTCTGAATAGTGTGTGTATTTATTTATTTATTTTATTATTTATTTTTTCATTCTTCTTTAGGTAAATCTTGCTTTTCCTTTTCCCTTCTTTTCTCCTCTCTCTGTCTCTGTCTCTCTCTTCTTTTTCCTTACAAGAGGAACAAAATCGTTTGTCCCTTGCTACAGTGATAATTCCTTTTTCTATCCTGAATCTTCTCATCACTCAATAGTCAAAGTAAGGAGACTGAATTTCATGAGTTTTGTTCTTTGAAAGTATCACTGGAATATTTCTTTTTTTATTTGATTTACGACATTCATTTCGTATAGTTGTGTTGCTTTTCTTTTTCCAATAAAAGGGGGGTTTTTTCCAAATAATTAAATTACCTTTTTGCTTGTTTCATCGATTCTTTTTTGAAAATGGCAAATTCGTCGTCGTCATCGTCGTCGTCGTCGACTTCGGCGTTCGTCTCCAGTTTGATTTTCAATTTGGTAATATTCGCTATTATGATGAGTATCTTCATTCTCTTGCGTCCTCGTGAAAAACGTGTTTACCAAGCTCGATGCGAAGTCAAAACTCAGCCTGAAGAAGAAATCCCAGAACCTGCTGGTGGTGGTCCTTTTTCCTGGGTTCTCGCTTGCTTCAAATATTCTGAAACTTCGTTGATTCGATACGCTGGTATTGATGCTTACTTCTTTTTACGTTATCTATTCACCTTTACTTTCCTTTGCTTCTTGGGTTGCATCCTCGTGCTACCCATCTTGCTCCCCGTCAATGCTACAAATGGAAACGGTAAAAGCGGATTCGATATTATCTCCTTTTCCAATGTGAAAAATCACAACCGCTTTTATGCACATGTATTTCTCAGTTGGATCTTCTTTGGTTCCGTACTCTTTGTCATCTACCGTGAACTACATTACTATGTTGTCTTTCGTCATGCTGTCCAGGCTTCTCCCCTCTATGACCAAAGCAAGTCTTCTCACCACATGGTCATCAGCGAGCTTCCCAAATATGCTCTTGAAAACAAAGATGTCGTGCGTAAACATTTCCCAAACGCCTCTCGTATTGAGTACGTGCATAATATCAAGAAGCTTCAGAAAAGAGTTGAAAAACGTAGCAATTTGGGCGATACATACGAAGCCACTCTGAATGGACTCATCAACAAGTCCGTCAAAAAGAGAAATAAATTAATCAAGAAACAAAAGGAACTACCCACAGAACTTGAACTCACTTCTTACGTGAAAAAACGTCCTACACACCGCCTCACTTTTCTTATCGGAAAAAAGGTTGATTCTATTGATTACTGCCGTGATGAAATTGCAAAGTTGAACGAGCAAATCGACGAACTTCAAACCAAGGTGGAAGAACAGAAGAAGGTGGGCTCCGTTATCCTTGAATTCCCATCTCAAGCTCAACTTCAAATGGCTTACCAAGCCTTTCTATACTCTTCCCAATTCCGTCGTTGGCGCATGGGTCGTGTTCTTTTGAACGTTAATCCTGATGAGATCATCTGGTCGAATTTGACTATGTCTACACCGGAGCGATATGCCCGTAGATTCGCCGCCAATTCCGTCCTAACAGCCATGATTATATTCTGGTCCATTCCTGTAGCTGTCGTTGGTTGTATTTCTAACATCAACTTCTTAACTAGTAAGGTGCACTTCTTGCGGTTTATCGACAATATGCCCTCCAAATTGATGGGTATTATCACTGGTATTTTGCCTACTGTTGCATATGCTGTTCTGATGTCTCTTGTGCCTCCGTTCATTAAATATATGGGCAAAGTTGGTGGTGGACTTACCATCCATGAAATTGAAAGATACTGCCAAACTTGGTTCTATGGTTTCCATGTAGTTCAAGGTTTCTTAGTTCTTACCGTGACGTCTGCAGCAAGTTCTGCTGTGGTATCTGTAATCGAGAAACCTCAAAATGCCATGTCTCTTTTGGCCTCTAATTTACCAAGAGCATCCAACTATTATATCTCACAATTTTTATTACAAGGATTAGCATTCCCTGGTGGTGCACTTGCTCAAATTGTGGTTTTGGCTTTATCAAAGGTACTGGGACGCATTTTGGATAATACACCGCGCAAAAAGTGGACCCGCTGGATTAGTCTATCACAACCTAGCTGGGGCGTATTGTATCCCACCTATTCCTTGTTGGTAGTAATCATGTTGTGTTATTCCATCATCGCACCGATCATTATGGGATTTGCCTTGGTTGGATTGTCTTTAATTTACGTTGCTTACTTGTACAACTTGATTTATGTATTTGGACACAGCGCTAATGCCAAAGGCAGAAATTATCCAATGGCTTTGTATCAAATGTTTGTGGGTCTTTACCTTGCTGAAATTTGTTTAGTTGGATTGTACGTCTTAGGTAAGAACTGGGGCTGCACAGTTTTGCAAGCTCTGTTTTTGGGAGCTACAGTGGCATGTCACTTGTACTTCAAGCACAAATTTTTGCCATTGATAGATATAGTACCCGTGAGTGCGATTGAGTCCGCCAATGAGCATCCCGAAGTAAAATATCCCAACGATTTGGGTGCCTCTGAGGCAAAGGCGATGGCAAGAATGTATCCATCGAATGTCGAAGATGCGGTTCCCTTGAGCGAAGGTAATGAAAGCGAAGCTTGGCAGGTATCGTCAGCGATGGATGAACCCGAGAAGAAGGAGAACGACAAGTCAGCGGAAGTTATGGGTGAGCAAACTGATCAAATTCAAACGAAGGAGTCAACAACAAAGACATCTGGATTCAATGAGGTAGCTTCGATACATCAAGAATCCAACTTTGCTGGAAGTTATCTTTCTTCTGCGTTCCGTAAAAATACCATTATGCCTGCATTTGATCGCGTCTTGCAAATATTGCCCAGGTTCTATGGCATCGGACCTACTAATCAGCAACCTTTGCAGTTTATTGATCCAGCATTACAATCGACTCCTCCATCGATATGGATTCCACGCGACCCTATGGGTTTGTCTAAGCTAGCCATTGAAGATGCGAAAGGCAAGGTGGATGTGTTTGATGACAATACCGGGTATAATGAAAAGGGCCAATTGGAAAACACGGGACCTCCTCCCAAATATGAAGATGCTGTTTCTGCATAATCGCAATTCTAATAACCATTGCTATAATTTTAAGGATGATTATAATAATAGCTATAATAATAAAGCAACTAATATGATGGATAAGTAATACATCCACCGGTTAGATAGGTAGGGATATCTAGGTTTTATCAATATGGAAGGTGAACAAAGTTGTCTGTTTGCTTTTAAAAAGCATCTTGTTGTCGTATTAATCTCAAGAAAAAAAAAAAAAAAAAAAAATCTTGAGAAGAGATAGACTCAGTAGCAAAACCTTTGGATAAGGTTTGTTATCCCTCTACACAGTAGCAAGACAATCTACTTTCCGTCATTAGACGTCTAGTGTATGTAGTGCAAAAAAACAGAAGCAAGATTCATGATGGTTAAGAACGTACAGATAAGATTTTGACGATTCAGAACGAATACACTAGAAAAACATGTGCTGCTTTATATGAACAAAGTCGAACGACAAAATATCAAGCGGTGGTGTGCACCCGAAACAATATCCCTTTCCCCTGTACGGAAAGGAATCAATGGCAAGGGGAAATAAAAGGAAAGAAAGAAAGAAAAAAGAACAAAGAGAGTAGACGAAAAGGTTTCATTTTTCTACTAATAACACTTTCTTCTATAAGAATAAGTGATCAAACTCTGTAACCTATACTTTCTACATACATATGCAATTCAACACTATATAATGTACTGTTTCTTTGCTCTTTGTATAATTATGCATATATTTGTTTCTAATGTGAATAATAATAATCACAAATAAGAATAATCTTGACAAAAAGGACCGAATACAAGGAGTTGGTTTATCACAATGCTTATTTGCCTCCTTTTATCAAATATCAAAGCCTCCTTCCCCTTCTTTTACCCCTCCGTCTCCTCCAACTCTCCTCTCTGTTCCTCATCTTGTTAATAACTGCGTCATCATTTACGCTCTTTTTCTTAATATGAACTTAAATGTTCTTTCGCGTAAATGATAAAGCAGGAAATAACCTACCGACAAGGTATCAAAATTGGCTGGTGAACTAAGGGATCTCGATTTTCATCAAAAAGCGACTATCTTTACAAACGATCCCTCATTACTACAAGGGCCGGATCTACATCCGATGTTCCCCTCAATAGCTGAGATCATTCATTTGATTTCTTTGTTCCCCTAATTCCAATGAAATGCTCGGGTTCCTGTTCCCTATGGAGAAGTGCAATTTCTTTGTTCCATCGAGCAATAATAAAAAGAGACGATGTATCTTACCCTCGGTTTGCGCCTGTTGGATTAATTTTTGCTTTTGCATTTGTTTCTTATTATTTTTTTTTTAATATCCCCTTGTTTCGTTAGTTGACAAAAAAGTATTGGAAATTAAATTCACTTTGTCATTGTTGCTTTCATTTGATTTTCTATTTTTGTTGTTTTATACTGTTTTTAAAAAGTCAAAGTAAAGAATAGAAATTGGTTTTTAACAAGATTGACTCATTGTTTCATCTTTTCCATTCCATTTGGACGTTTTCTGCGCTTACATATTTACTAGGACAAAGGATAATATTGTTTTTATCAAATTTTTGTCTTTTCCTGCTTTCTGTTTGGATTTTTCCTTCTTTTGTCTTGTGTGCTTGACTTGACAATCGTCAACTTTTGTTCCTTTTTGTTCTCTTTTTGTTAGAAGCACGTATCCTTTCGCATACTACTTTTCTCAGGTCTCTGCTCATCAATTCTTTCTTTTTGGGGATCTTTATCTACAATATTTGGATTTTGTCTTTTGTACCTACTCGTTGCAAGTAGTTAGGTATTACTTTCTTGTCGTCTTTTTTTTTTTCTTGGCTGTTTTTTGCAAGCGTTTCTATATCTATAAGCTCTCATTTCTTTTCTTTATTTTGTATTTCCCTTCCTTTAAATGTTTTTGGAAATAGTTCTAAATCACCCTTCTTTTACTTTTCAAGAGCCCATCACCGGTAAAATTTGTTTTGAAACGAATACGGCATCCTCCCCTCGTTCCTTTCAAATAACTCTCCGTGTTAAGGGTTATGCTGTCTATCATCACGGTTTTCTCTCCTCTCCTTCGTCTCACAAACACCCTACAGTTGCTAGTTCTCCGTCTGATAACGACGAAACTACGGAGATCTTCTCCCATTCCGTTCCCGTCTCCATCCCTGCTGGTCCTTCAGCCAAGTCTCATGCCGTCGACTTTCAATTTCTCTTTCCTTCAAAGTCCGCGGGCTCCCTTCCATGCTCAAAATCTAATGACTCGATGGTGAATATCCGCTACATGCTAAAAGCTACTATCCAAAAACGATATGCTTTTCTTAGTTCCTCTCAAAGTTGTAAGGCTGAAGTCGTTATGGCCCCTGCCAATTCTGCCCCCTCCACTGCACCTAACTTGGATAACTCATCTTTCTCCTTCCGGCCTACTCCTTTGACTCCTGCATCTCCTTCTTCTCCTTCTTCTCTTCCCACCCTAGGTAATGGCTCTTCCACCTTTCGTCGACCTTCTTATAACCCTCAGCTCCCTTTTGCTCATCTCGCAGCAAACCATGCCTCCCAGTATTCTACTTCCTCTACTTCTTCTTCTTCTTCTACCTCTACTCCTCTTCCACTCTCAACTACCGCTCCTCCTTCGTCCACTGCTGCCCAGCCGCCTTTCCTTTCTATCGCCCCTACAGCTCCCATGACATCTTTTTTCAACGAGCGATATGCTACTTCTGTGCCCTCTCCAAGTAGTCCTCCTGCTCACTATCCTCCCTATTACTACCATCCCCAAAATCCTTCTTCCCTCGTTTCGAATCCTTCTATTTCTCCTACTCTAGACCTTGCTGCCCACTCTACCTACTCCTCATCTCGTCCTTCTGCGTTTCCTCCTGCTACTCCTCCTCCTCATGTCGGCGCCTCTGTTCCTTATCCCTACGAGTCTCCTCCTTCTGCGACACCAACCGCTTCTTCTTTTTATTCATATTCTAATACCCCTCCTATGTTGAACAAAACTGCTCAACGTTCTTACACTTGTCCCAACACCAGCTATCCTGTTAGACATCTTGCTTATCCTAACGCTCCTCCAACCTTTTTTTCTAACTCCATGTCTTCTTCTTCTAAAGACCTTCCGCCTGTATCTCCCTCCTTGCCTCAATCTCAAATGTACTCAGCTGTTTCTCCGTCTGATCCCGTCCCTATTGCAGGTCAGCCCAATGCATTTACTACTCTTGCTCCTGGCGAAAAGCTAAGCATCCAATTAGAAGAAGACGAGCTGGTCGGTGATGCTTCGGAACATTCTCTTCTACCGGATCAAGATCCCATGCCCGATAATTCCGAGGCTGTATTCCCTCCTCGAAAGAACTCTACTATTTTCGAGATGGATGAGCATTTTGTACAGGACCATACTTCTTCTCCATCTTCTGCGGGCTCTCAAAGAACGTCTGTTCATTCTTTGTCCCCAGAAGTCTGTCTTGCTTCTGATTGTACTGTTAGTCCTTCTCCTACTTTATCCAAAAAGGGAGGAATTGACTTCTCTTCCGCTGAGGATACACGGGAGCTAAACATGGATTACGCCAAAGAATTTGATGTTCTTATAAACCAGGTTTTGCAATCACTGTAGTTATGGTCGGGCGAGCTAAGTTATTATCTCTATAAGAATAATCCTGATATCTTTAATATTTCCTGCATCTTTTATTTTTTTTGCGTGGACGGAGAATCTACTTCTTTCAAATTGTTCAATGATTTAGAAGGCCACATTTCACTACTGTCTATTACATATACAAACTTATAACTCTTACTATTGTCTATCGAAAGGAATTCTTTAATTATTCATAATCTTTAATCCTTAATTTTGATGCTCAGCATATAAATACTTTAATAATAACATGAAATGTCGTTTCTACTTATGGTTTATGCAATTAGTAATTTCTGCAACATGTTCGTACAGTCTTTTCCGACTGCCAGCTAGTACCGTAACATATTTCTTTTTTGAGATGCAAGACAGAAACACTTTACTTAACGATGTACTTTGTTGATTTCAGCTAGCGTAATGGTAAATAAGCTGGTAAATAAAAGAACTTGCTCATTTTTTCTCAGGCAGTGTACAGTTTCTTACTCGACATAATTAACAAAAATTTCATTTTTTTAAATAAAAATAAGCGTTTAAATAGTAAAACGTACTATTAATGAGGGACACTAGGGGAATATATAGATATTGTATAATGGTTATGAATTCTATTTCCTTTAAACAATCCAGACTATCAAGTCTCAAGTTTAGATCGCTATTCTCAACATGCTAAATGGTAAAAAGCTTCTGCACCCTTTTTAAGAGTGTTCTTTTAGGGATTAGAATACCTTTGCATTTGATGGAGAACCCTTTGTAAATAAACAAACACTATCAGTTGTTTATAAAAATATTATATAAACATCATACTAAATCTACAAGTTCAGGGTTGAATAAAAATCCAACTGTTACAACTCGTTATATTGGATAAACGAAAAGTCTTTTCATCACCTAAACCAATGTAAACACCAAAAGACTGACTTCTCCAAGACACGACCTTCGCCATCTCCTTCGTTTTCCCCTTTTTTATTAAGTGATCAACTCATGAACGGCAATGAGAACAATCAGAATAACCGCTATGACTATCATCAGATGACAGAAGGGGAACATGGTGCAGCCTCCAGTTTTGGCTCGTCAAACAATGCCAATTCTTCCCAGTCACAACTTGCAAGCAGTGAACAAGCTTTACTTGCTATATTAGGAGGGGGTTTGCAACAGATGAACACAAATAATGCAAATCCAAATGGGTTGCAGCGAAATGTTTACCGACCGGATGGCAGCTTGAATGTTCCTTCCGCGAACATGTTGAATACTTCATGGTCTGGCTATAACCCAAACTTTGTTCAAGGAAGGTATGATACCCCATTTCAACCTTACTTGATGTCCCAGCATCCATCCCATTCTTTTGCTCAACCGATGATGGGGTCCACTCCATCTACGCCTTCCCAACATTCAAACCTTTCTTCTATGGGGCTACCTCCTCAAATATCATCAACTCTTCCTTCTCACAAACAAAATCACTTAACTCAGTTGCTGGAACAACACCCTGCTGCTTCTACCCAATTCTCCAATGCATTCTCCCAACGCTCTGCAGTTCCAGAAGATAGCGCTTCAATTCCTTTGCACCCAAACCAATCGTTTGCTAGTACCTCTACTTCGTTTCCTAATCTTCCGTACTCCTTAGACCCTTCACAAGTATCTACTCAGCAGCTTTTATCAACTTATAGAGAACAAGTTCCATCTACCGTCCGCCCTTACTCCTTTCGAACTGCTGATTCATTTCTTCCTTCACAGATCCTTTCTACCGCCGATTTGTCTAAACACGTTGACATGGATTCTGCCACGATGCCATCCGTATCTGTTAATAGCAATATTTCGCCAGCTGCTTCCTCTTTTCCAGTCATCCCATCAGCTCCTACTACTTCGCCAATGGCTTCCGCTACCTTTTTTGAACCTGCCGAATTTACGACTCCTCATGATCAAACGTCTACAGTAGAACACCCCAGGTCTCTGCTAGAGTGGTCTAGTCAAATGTCGTCTCACACGACCCCAATAGCTGGTGCTAGCGTCCCTGTCAGCTCTCTAAAATCTTTCTATAGATTGGCTCATGAAGCTGCAAAATTATGTAACTTAGATCCAGCTGCCTTGGAACCATTTGAAAAACAAATGCTATCTGACAGACTACAGGATTCCCTAGTCTTGTTCCATTACTTACAGATTCGAAATTCAATATGTTGGTTATGGCGCAGAAATCCCACCCTTCCTATTTCTAAGGTTGAGGCCCAAGGTGTTTGTGCTGATAGATGTTTATTTCCCTTGGCTATATTAGCTTATGAATTTCTTGTAAGATATGGATACATTAATTACGGGTGTTTGTCTTTTGAGTCCATTGTTACTCCGAACATTCAAAACACGTCTCCCTCACCCCAGGAAAAACAAAAAACTATTATTGTTGTAGGTGCGGGACTTACGGGTCTTGCTTGCGCTAGGCATTTAACATCGCTCTTTACTCAATTTTCTTCTTCATTTTCTTCCAAAGGGGAAGCTATCCCAAAAATAATTTTGCTGGAAAGCAAGCAAAGAACTGGTGGCCGAATTTATAGCCGCGTCATTCCTTCTATGAATGCGTCCTTTACAGACCAAGATGTTATGCAAGATTTACCTAATGTTTCAGAAGCAATAGACTTTGGCTTTCAGTTTTTAACTTCTGGAGCAGATAACGTGCTCTTTACCCTTATAGAACAGCAACTTGGTTTACAAACGCTTCCTCTGGAAGGGGTTGATCTTTTACGAAATGATCAAGACAATAAAATGTTTGATATTAGTGATTCAAGGCGGCTTGGGACTTTGTGGACAAGACTTTTGCAACTTGCTTCGTTACTGACAAACGAATCTAACGATACGCCCGTCAATAACCCATTTTTCCAAAACTTTCAATCCTTCCTTGACGAGATTTGCCCGAACCATGAACATGGTCCATTTGTTACTGAAAATACGCCACACTTACCTTTCAAGCAAATCCTCGTTTTTTTGATCCAGAAAATAAATTCTTATTTAAAGTTGTCATCAGAAGAAAAAAGGTTTTTGACATGGTGTATGATCTCAAATGATGCAGATGACATATTGCATGCTTCCAAAAGTTCTCCTGATTGGAACTTTGATTTAGGAAACTTGACACCTAGGGTGGTGAAAAATGGACTTTCTCAGCTAAGCTGGGCCTTGCAGTCCTATCCGTATCCATTAAATATACAGTACGGTAAAAGTGTCTGTGAGATTAAGAATGATATCTCTAAATGCTATGTACACTGTACCGACTCAAGTGTTTATGAGGCTGATCATGTGGTTATGACCTGTTCTCCGTATCATCTTACTTCAGATATCAAAATTCAGCCGACTCTTCCATCTCAAATACTTGATAATCTGAAAAGTACTCAATATGCTCCTGGAAGAAAGGTATGTCGAATTCAAAGTCTTATAATGAATTGCTTACTAATATTTATAGTTAATTTTGAGGTATACTAAAGTTTTTTGGAAAAAAGATATAAGGTCATTTGGAGTGTTACCTTTAATCGATAACATTGAAGATAGTTTGAGCTTTCCTGCTACTGAAAGCTCCATCCCCGTCTCAAGGATATGGAATATGTTTCCCGTAACAGAACAACCTATCCTTGTAGCTGATGTACTGGAAACTGCCGTTGGCCATAGTAATGAAGGTTCAACACTAATACAAACTTTAAACTCGTGGTTGATGAACCACTTTGCTGATCAAACTAACGATTCTGCGGAACTTCTCGATTGCTGGGAAGTAAACTGGTCTAATGATAATTCTATGGATGGATTGTTTGTTCAAAAAAGCAATTTTTCTGACTCCAGTATATTACAGAAAGGTGGTTCCTTTAGTTTGGGATGCCTTCATTTTGTTGGAGATTATACGCAGCCTGCTACATCCGGTTCTTCGCTGTCGAAATCGTATCTGGCTGGCATTTCTGTATGTACAGGAATAATTAATGATTTGGCACAGCTTGGATTAGCACTACCTGTAATGGGAGAAACTGCTCGTAATGAGCTTGAAGAATATATGCTACGAACAACTACAAAGCAGTATGATACAGATACGGAAGTTCAGCGACATCTTTCCTACCGCGCGAGATACCGCCTTAAACGACAAGAACGATTGGATGAGCATAAGGAAGAAAGCGAGCTTCTGATTACCGAGTTATTAGGTTATTTACCCGAACCTCCAATTAAACCAAGTGCGAATCCATTTCTGTTATATCAAAAGATGCAATGGCATGTGTGCAGAGCACTTGCTGACGATGAAAAGAAAAAGCTTACAGGGGATAGTGAAGCTAGAGCTACCATAAACGAAATCCGTGCGAAATTAGGGAAATCGTGGCGGCAACTGGATGATTTGGGTAAAAAGCCTTGGGTTGAGGAGATTGCAGCTCGTCGAGAAGCTTATGCAGGAAAAAATATCCGTTATCAACAGTTAGCCAAGGAGTATGAGTTGCGTGCTGAGCAAATTCGAAACGATCATTCTGCGAAAGCTCGTGATGAGCCTATTCCAGAAGATGAAACTCGGCTTTACATATTGGCTCAAAGAGAAGAAGCCGAACAGAAAAATATCGTTGATGAAGGTGATGGCTCTCAAAGTGCCGAGGGTAGCGATGAAGAATACCGTGATGACGGTGGTTCTTCAGATTCTGGTGGTAATGCTCATGATTAATGTTTACTTTCTTACATGAGTTTCATTGATACCCTTCAATCGCATTCTGCCTATTTTTGGGTTTCTAAAAAAATAGAAGGAATTATATATATGTCGCATATATGTATTGAATATTTAATTTAGTTTAATGATATGTACTTTAGATAATGAATTAGAATTGCTTGACCGATTTGACAGGAGGCTACTAGTCGAATGTGAACTACAGTTGTATTTAGCTAATAGTAGTAAACAAAACAGCTATTTGGTAAACGCGATTGATGTCGAATAGATAATGGAATAAGTGAACTTGTATACTCTTATTTATAGCATGTAAGAAAAAATAGTCCCGCCGGGGATCGAACCCGGGACCTTCTGCGTGTGAAGCAGAAATCATACCACTAGAACACGGAACTCTTGTTACAATTCCGAGTTTTTCGGAACAATTTATATGGTTTAATGCTTGGGCTATAATTTGATCATCTTCCAAGCATTTCATTTAGTTACTTAGATCCCTGGACAGTACTAACGTCTATGAACAATTATAACAGCATTCAACTTAGCATACAAAGATAGTTATTTGTTGTTTTCTTTAACTCGAAATACGTAACTCCGCATTGCGAAGTTTCTGTCCTGACAGTGCAAAAAAACTTATTTTTATTTTGATGTTTAGGAGACATAGACGTAATACTAAGTATTTTGAGAAACAAACGAATTGACACACATCTTAGCAACTGGAAACCTTTAAAGCTTTTCATCAGCAGGCGAGCCCATTTCAGGATCGTCTTTGTACAATGGCAAAGGCTTCTGCAAATTTTCTGAATTTTCTGCTTTGTCATCTTTCAACGCTCTGCCATATCTGTTCAAACTGAAGGCGAGAAGACAAAAGTACATAACACCAAAAAGAGTTTTCGCGATTTCTTCTGTTGTATAAAAAAAGGGTACACTGCGTAAGTAAAATTTGACGTTCACAAGGATTGATAGTAAAAGAAGAGGAATGAAGATCTTGATTTTCATGTATTTAGAATCAAAAGCACGTCCTGTTTTTAGGTACTTTTGGTAAGCCAAAAATTTCCCGATTATTAGAAGTGTGGGAAGATAGCCATAACTAAAAAGCAACCATACCAATTGCAAAGGCTTTGCTTTAGGAGACTTGGTTAAAAATAGAAAAGGGAAAATCAAAGGTACTACAACAATGAAGAGCGATTGAACCCAACCTAGTAATACGACCAAGAAAACCAACTTTTTTGAACTACGTCGAAGATAACCCAACCCGAGTGAAAGAGCCAAAATTAATGAATTAAACAGAGAACGTTCGATTCCGTCACCAAACAAGTAAGAGAACATCGAAAATATTTCGCCAAGGTATTGACCTATAAGATCACAATATGTGAACAACATTTGTTTCATAGGATGGTTAACTAGAAATGCGGAATACCAAACCAACAAAAGGAATTGAGTAAAGGTAAAATTTCTAGTGTCACGAAGCCAGCGAACGAGCCAATACACACCTACGAAACTAGAAAACAATGACAAATAGAGGAATTTACGATGTACTGGTTTACACTGTTTGTAATCAACAGTTTTGTAACGGGCATTCATTATAGGTTGAGGTGCTTCTCCATTTCCAGTTGGTTCAATCTCTTGGTATCCAAAAAAGCAATATGTGCCCGCTTCGTTTGCCGTCATCGCCATCGCAGTCGAATTGAGGTCTCTATCTGAAGAAAGGGAGGAATAACAAAAATCTTCATTAGCCTTTGGAACGAGATCTTTTAAAAATTTATAATCCATAACACCATCTATAGCATGCTTATAAGTTTGAAATAAGTCTTGGCGAAAAATAGGACGGAAGTGAACCGTTCCGTTTGCGTTTCCCTTCAAAAACAATTCTACATAAGCTGGATCAGATTCATCATATGAAGGATTTAGGAGACCACAAAAAGCGAACCATTTAGGAGGAATAAAAGCCACGCCTCCTTCCCCTTCTGTTTTGACGGGTTTCTTTTTGTTGACATCATCTTTTCCATTTCCATAACTAGCACCTGTGGAATTATATGGCATAGAAGCAAGAGCCGTCCCTGCAAGCAGCAGAGCACTTAAACCAAAATGAAGCAACATGATGAACGATTAAATCGAGATAAACAGAAGAAATCTGTTCCAGTGGGATAAAATCACAAAAAAGACAAAACAAAAACCGAGAAATGAAGTGCTAAGTAGAAAAAGAATGTAATAATTGAAATAATGGAATAAAACAAATTAATTATTAATCATAAAAGAAAGGAGAAAAAAACCATGTGAATCCTTAGTTTTTTACGCGCTTGCCCTTTCCATTTTTTAAAAGCCCATGTAAAGGGTACCAGTGCTCATATATATATATCTCTCTATGGCCGCATAGTGATGATAACAAGGTGAGGGGAAGCGAACCTAACGAGAGTGAGTAACAGTGATAAGGAGAATGGCATAATAAACGATTTATTGATATGGTGAAACAAAAAAAGAAACAAACGGAAAACAAGAGGATGCTACAAAATGCCTTTACGTTCTCTAATTCTAATACATCAATAGACACTACGATGAATATGAACACGGGTCACAGTCGGACACTTCAGCAACAACATTGATTTTACGAGTCGTTAAAGATTATGGTACATGAACAAGCATTAGTTTATGGACATAATCTTAAAGAATCATCCCGTTGTATCATGTAAACAAACGATTGGAGATACAAAACAAAAACTGTGAGTTTGGAAGGGGAATATGAAACAGACTATGTTGATTGTATCAGAAAAGCTATACAGTCCGTGGGTCCACAGCCGACATGCTCAGATGGAAGATTCAACTGGTCAAGCTAAATATAATTGAGTTTTTTTCTTTTTTCTTTAGTTAACAAGATCCTTGGACGCTATTACTATTCTTCTACGTAGTACCAAGTCGTCCAATTGAAACATATAATCGTACAGTTGTACTTATTACTTCCACTCAATAAAGATTCTCATAACGTGTGAGATTTCTACCGTGACAAACCCGTTAAACACTTAATATTAAAATTATTAACTTAATATTATAAAACCATAGCCAAAAGTACAACATTCTGTAACCTTAAACCTGAACCTATTTCAAGGAACAAAAAAGCCATTCAAAACACAAGTCCGTTGTTTTAATATACATATTAGGATTCCGAAGTGAGTATTCCCTCCTACCGATATACTTTTAAGTCTGCAATACACCAGAGTTAACGGAAGGATTTGCAGCCGGTGTACGATTCGTAACCAATTCATTCACATTAAATGAGCGTAACCACGTGTCAATTTTTATCATATTATAATTTATATTAGACAGTTCTTGCACCATGCTATCATGTTTGGAACGAAGCTCAGAAAGTACATTCAGTGCGTATTGCCGTTGATCGACAGGGGAACCTTGTAATTCCGGGGGAAATTGTAACGGTGAGGGAGGTGCATTCGATAGCAAAGAACCGGAGACTTCATCGGTTTGTGAAGGAAATTCCTTCACCTTATCATTGATAACTTCAGTGTCCCTAGAATTAGAAAAGCCGGGCGGCTCTTCAGGATTCAACAGTGAAGCAATGCCTTCCGTAATTTTTGGTTTTGCTTGTTCACGACTGGGTAAATTAACCGACTCACCTACGGGGAGAATTGGGGGAAGATGCCATTTTTTATTCAAAAAACTGCTTTCCTGCTTCGTTGATTCTCTTCCGTTCAATTCGCCAGCAGGTAAAGGTAAGCCTGAAGGCTTATTTGAAGGATCAACATTAAGGGGAGGAAGTGGGGCAGAATAAACTGTTCGTGCATTTTGAGCAACTTCACCAGGTGTTCTACTGACAATATTATCGGCTGGGTCGACTGCACCATCAGCTTGAGTATCAGAAGGAACTCCCAAGGATTGAGCAGTTTCCTGTACTTTATTATAAGGATAATAATAATGGCTATTATCAGGCTCACCTGCAGCAAGTCTTGATAACGTCAATAAAGGAGAAGGATTAACGACGGGAGGTAGTATTCCACTGTACCCGTTAGGTGGATAAGCAGGATGGTTATAGGAGCCAGCAGGATTAAGTAGACCATTTGCAGGGGAACCGTAGTCAATGGGTCTATCAGATACTTTATGGATATTTTGGGATTTATCACCACTGGTAGGCTTGGACAATAAATTTTCTTTTGGCGGCGAGCTTTTGAGGTGCTTATGTTCATCGGATGTCTGTGGGGCAGCTTGTTTAGAAGACTGTGAAGTCACACCATGATTATTGTGCATGACAATACGTTTCCTCCGCTTAATAATAGCTTTCTTCATGGTTACAGGACGGTGTATGCCATGAATCTTGTAATAAAGGCCACATGCATTGCAAATCGGATTTCCCAGTTCATCTCTCCGCCAAAGGGGAGTATTGGTAGTACCGCAATTTTGACAACATGTAGCGCCTAACTCGCTAGCGGAAACCAGGGTTGGCCCTTCGGATTGTTCGCTTGCGCGGCGTTTGTTGCCTTCGAATTTTGAAGACGTTCCAGCGTCAGGAGATTTAAGTTTCTGTTCATCCTCACTATTAGAGGCTTCGGACTCCTTACTATTTATAGAGGAGTCAGGTTTAGGTGACATGCTAGAACGATCATGCTTATGGGTTTTTGAATTTATGCTTTTTAAGCGATTATTTAAGGAAGGACAGCCGGTGCAAGATGCACTTCCACCTGTTCCATCACAATAGCCGTCTCCGGAACAAGTTCCCTTTGTGCAAATTTGTTTAGCAATAGGAGATAAATCCTTTTGATGTTCTTCCGACTTTATAGGACGGGCCTGATTTCGGTGCTTTTGGTAAAGACCACAAGCATTGCAAAGCAAAGAATTATTGGGACCACGCCTCCATAGAGAGGTTGTGGTACTCTGGCAATTTGAACACATTTGCCCAAAAGAAGACTTCGCGGTCATTTTCTTTAGACCAAAAAAAAAAAATATTACGCAAACGTCAATAAATAGTTAAAAATTTTAATAAACAAAAACTGAAACGGGAAAGTAAGTCAAGAATCCCGATGTACACGATACAGTTTGACGAATAAATAGACTGTCAGAGAACAAACAAATGACAACCTAAGAGACAAAAATGAGATGAATGTAGAAAAAAAAAAAGTTAAGGAAAAGAGAACAGAATTTCTAGAGATAAGAACTGTGTTAATCGGAGAATTAAAAAACTTTGAATTGTTGTAAGCGATGATTCCTTTCAGTGAGAAAAATCACAACAACCATAAGACAAAAAACGCGACACGAGAGTGTTTGGTTTTATCTACTCAGCAAGGTAAAACAAGGAGAAGCAAGAAAATGAATCGGAAAGACAAAAGTAGTTCTTGCAATAGAAACAATGAAAACCAGATTAAGCACCTTTATTATTATTAGAAAAGGAAACCAACCAACCAAATCTACTCAAGGGTCGAAGATAAATAAAAAGAAACGGCTGAAAAAAAAAAATCAAATCAACAGGTTTTTATAGGAAAATAACACGAAAAGAAAGAATCTAATAAATAGGGAGTGTTCCTCTACTTGTGTTTCAAGCGTGAATTTATAGAAAAAAAATTGCCGCTATATGACAATGTCTTTCAAGACGCCGTTCCAATCAGCTACTGGAACCAAAAGTGCCGTAGCTTTTATAATCAACAGGAAAAGAGCACAAGGCCTTGACGTTCACTGATATCTTGGAATCCTGTTCGTTGCAACAACTAGACAGACTCGCCAAGGAAAATTCGCACGTCAATATCCTAGCTTCAACGGGAAACAGATGTTTCCAGAATAAAGAAAATTGTTCTTAAGTTAGCTTTTTTGAGGAAACTTGGTAAAAGAAGAGTTTTCAATGTTGCTGTTTGCAAATGGTAAAGCTTAGATAGAGAAAGGATGAAACTGATTAGGATGGCCAAGGAATACCGCGTAGATTCGTCCAATCAGCTAATCGATAATCTTAAGTAACACCCAGGTAACACTGACAAAATCTAAAGGAACAGAATGCTCGCTTGCTTCTTAAAAGATCATGAAGGGAACAAAAGGGCAAGATGTGAATGGTGGTGGTGATCCTCAATTAGAGGAATGAAGGGCAGGAATACAAAATTAAGTGTGCAATGAGAAAGCAATTTTTGTAGACAAGAAAAAAAGTTCCTAAAAGTGATAAATTTGGCGTCAAAATTCCAAAGAAAGACAAATTAGACAACAGTAGTAACGGCCGCAACAACGATAAACGGAGTGGGATGACTCTCGCTTCGTCTACAAAATATACTTGTCATAGGACAATGAAAGAGCAACGGGCGCGCTAGTTAAAAAAATGAAAAGCATTCAAAGGATTTGAAACGAAGCAAAGGGACGGTATAATACAGCACAGCACGTGAAAGAAAAACTTTGAAACGGTCAATGAAAGACTCATATGAAAAAAGAAATACTCCTTGGAAAGACACAAGGCTATATTCGGCAATGCTGATGCCTGATCGCTCGGTTATTTAGCCTCCCTTTGATTATCACGAGTCAAACCTTCCTGATTAAGCTTCTTTATGCGTTACTTATCAATCACTAAATCACCTAATCTTAACCAGTAGCAATACTGGCCGCACGATCACGAATTGAATCGATATCTTTGCAGAGCGACTGATTCTAGATCCCCTGGGGCATGACGAAGAAGGTTTCATTGTCTGGATAGAGGTTTTATCGCACGACTTTTATCAGATGTTGCCAAAATTCGCTTAACGATGCCAATAATAACAAGTACTGTCCTCCACTATTGGTAAGAGCAAAGAAAACGTAGACAAGGTAGAATAACAGCAAAAAAACTAAAGTCTGTAACCTACCGAATTGGATGACTGCCACTTGGATAACGTCGTTATGGTTCATCATCAATGATGGATGAATGTGCCTTTCAAATTTGTTGTTTTATGTTTATGTATTTCACCTGGGAGTATCTTTAAGCGGTTTCCCATATTGCTAATTTCTGCTAAAGTTTCTAATGTGGGTTCTTCATCCAAATGTTCATCATACGACATGCTTGACATTGTGTTTCGGTTTTGATTTTACACGACCAGATATTTGATTTTAGTGGTCTTTGTTTCAAAACTTTTTAAGGAAGCACAGCCTTGTTGCCAGAAATCATGGACTTTCGACAAGTTTGAGCATATTTAAGCATATTAAAAATTGTAATATTTTTGAGATTTTACTTTTTGGAAACATTTTTAAAAAACTGAAAATAAATTGAATTTAATTTTGCATACGCAATCATCTTTTATCTTAAAAAAATACAAAATCCTAAAGCCAAAAGGTTAGTATATCTATTTCATGTGAATCACAATATATATTCGTAGAAACCAACTCAACTCAGTAGGAACAATTGGATTTATGAATTTGATTTCATAAACACTCGCTGTTGCGGAGCAAGGTTTCATATACCTTAGTCTCATCCTTGATGATTTGGTTCCTTTTCGTCTCTAACAAACCTCACTTACCTATATACATTTTCTATTGATGATCCTCTTTTTTAATTGATACCAGTTAATCTGGTAGAAATCAAAAATTCATCGTCCTTTTGATCCTATCGAGTAAAGCAGTCACGCGGTCAGTTCGCCAATATTTGAAACTTTGACGACTGACTCAATCGTCGTGGTAAATGAGGAGAGAATATGCAAAAAGATATAGATTTAATGAAAGTCATAACAAGTTACTTTATGAAAACATAGTCCATATGCTTCGTTCATTCACTTTTTCATCTCGTAGGTTGTAAAGTTGTCTTTAAATGAGTAATAAAACAATTAAGTAATTCAATCATCCAGAATTTCATCATCGTCATCCAAGTATTGACTGCCTGGTTTTTGTGAAGAGTTAAACGATTGTGTCATCATCAATTGTGTACTTTTTTCAGCAGGCTTGTTTACGCGCTTTCCCTGTGTGCGTCCTGATGTCTTTTTTGGCGTATTGGTTTTTGCAGGCGTCCTTTTGGTGCTTGCTGACTTTTGAAACATACTGCCGGGAAGATTACGTGTTTTGGTTGTTTTAGGTGGTTGACTTGATGGCTCGGCATGATTCAATTCTTGAAAATCGTCTTTTTCTTCGTTTTCTTCTAATCGTACCGGGGAGCCACTTGTCTTATCTTCATCCATGTCTGGGGAAGTAACTCGAAAACTAGTAGAAGCAGGTGTAGCCATTGATTCGTATTCTTTTCGTTTCGAGGTTGAGAGCTGGGGAATATTTTTCACCAAAGTCTTAATTTCCTCTTCTAAATTCTCTTCCGTAACACGCTTTTTCACCAGCAAATTGATTTGTTTACTCAAATGATCTTCCACGCATCTGATAGATAGTGATTAGTATAATTCTGCAACGAAAATTCCCATAGTCTTACTCTTTAATAGCATCTTTGTCGTCTTTTTCCACAAAATTAATCACCGCTTGACCAAGGACATTTCCGGGTAGACACTCTAGCTGATTCTTTTTCAAATATTCATTCACCAATGACTCAACTCTCAGTGCATTTATTTTTCCGTCTTCACCAACATTATCCACAACTTCGTTATTCTTCTTGGTTCCTACAATTATGTTAGTTCACAAACATCCGTTTGTATAAACATACTCGTATATTTTCGTTTTAGGTGAAATAGAACCACATCAGTGGCATTGGCAACTCGTCCGACAAACCGATTGGAAAATCTCTGAGGATTTTCGGTTTGATAGCCACCGGTGTAATCAACCCTCAATCGAATTAAAGGTAACGGATGCTTCTCATTCAAAACGGCAGGGTCATCTCCCTGAGCTTCAAGCCACTGTTGGTTTGCTTCTTCGATTGCCTCCTCTACTTGACTGATGAGATACGTGAGTACTTCTCGCTTATTGTCGACCATGGGAGGAATGCTTTGGACTTCAGATAATACAATATCTTTCATAACGAAAGGACGAACCGTACGAAGACGAATCTTCTCCATAAAGAAATCTCTCCCGGTAATATGCAAAATACCGCAATGTTTTGGAACAGTTTCACCAGGACTGAGAGATGTGGCTACCGAAGATCCAGGTTGGACGACTGTGAATTTCTGCATTGGGTTGTATGTTCCATCAATGATACATTCGTGTTCATGTCCCCATAACACGAAATCGTAAAAGTCTTGAATAAAACTTTCAGGTAAATAACTTGTTTCTGTATGTGCAGCACTTCATTCGGGTTAGCAAACCAACAAAACAACAACAAAAAGTATAACTTACTGGTTTTGGTGGACTACTAGCAAGTTGAACCATTCCTCTTGATACAGATCTGGTCGTAAGAATTTTACTTTATTTTCGCGGAACGAATGATATAAGCGTTGGTCCCGAACATTAGAAAGTCCATATAAGGCAAGTTTTGTAGATCCCTTTTGTAAAAGGATCGGGCTAATCGTGATGTTGTCATTTTCGGGAACACGTCCGAAGTAATTGACGAGTCCTGTAACTTGTAAAATGTCTAGCGCACTATATCTGCCATCTCCGGAAGGATCATCGTGATTTCCGTGAATTGAAAATACAGGTATGGCAACATTTATATTTGGATCTTGATAATTTACACTGCATATCGCTGTATCACCAGTTGTTACAGAAGTGTCGCTCAACAATTCAAGTTCACAAGGCTTATCTCCTAAACAATTCAATCTCAAAGAACGTAAGGCCTGGTAAAAAGCTTTCCTTGAAGGTCTGTTGTCGTGAAAAATGTCTCCTCCCAAAAGTACCATGTCAACCTGCACACATTAGATACAAAGTGTACCAGAAAATAATTTTAGAAACTTACCTCCTTTTCACGAGCAATTGTAAGAATTTCATCGAATGATACGAATGAATCATTCCCACGGACTGGATCCTTTTCTGCATACCCTACATGATTGTCTGAGGCGATTAATATACGAATTGTGTTACTTTCTTGATCATTGAAAGGCGCATTTTGTCTCTCATTTGTCATAATTGCGGTCGAAATTGACACAGAGTTCCATACGTTTAGCTTATTTATTAAAAAATATTTATTGACGCGTATGGTTCGCGTCTTGTTAATGGAACATGGAATATCTAAAACTCAATGTACAGCTTATAGCGTAATAAAGCGTTAATCGGTTATAGTATTTAACGATACACTGGATTGTTTACTTATTTTATTGTTAATAAACAGAAAGTAAATAGACGAGAAAAAAGTGAAGTTTTTGTCGTATAACAAACCAGTAATTGGTAAGAATCATTGTAAAGATCCTTAATTAAGATATTCGAACAGTGAAAATTTAAGTATATGATTCAAATTTCTTCTTGCTAATTTACTATTCATAATTGCAGTTAGGTAGTTTAGGCTGAACTGAATTTACATCAATTTCTTTTTATATTTATACTTTGAAAGATTTGGTCTAAAAAGTAGTACAGAGGACCAAGTCAAGCTAAGATATGTTAGATGCTGAAAAATGTAGATATTGCTAAGTTTGATCCATAGTCGCTCTTACAATAACTCTTTGTTTTTATTACGAAAAGAGTCAATAACAGAGTTTATACTGGTCCAAAGGAAGGTCCTGTTAAGACTCTATTTATTAGCATCCTTTAGCGAACCAACCTGTTTAGCATCGCAGCGACTACTGGAAAACAAGAGAAAATGAAGTATATATATGGAACAGCAGGATTTCGCGCTGAGTATGTTCATTTTAAAAATGAATCTGACAATATACTAGTGCTTCCTTGCTTTATGCTGCAATTATTGGTTCAACAGCTGCAGCCGCACTTCGAAGCATGGAATTAGAAGGAAAAACAGTGGGAGGTACATAATGATTTTGGGAAAGGTTTTTTTATTAACTACATTCAGTCATTATTACGGCCTCTCACAATCCCGTCAGCGATAATGGTGTTAAAATTATAGACGCTGATGGAGGAATGCTATCCATGGCTTGGGAAGAGAAATGTACAAACTTAGCCAATGTTTCCTCTAAAAGTGAGTTAGATATTTTGATTAAAGAATACCTTGTTCCTTCTACTTGTCAAGCAAGTGTAGTGATTGGCATGGATACCAGACCTTCTTCTCCGCGTCTGTCGGAACTCTCAAAAGTCATTCTCGATGAACTTTCTGCTTCTTATAAAGACTATGGGTTTGTTACTACTCCTCAGCTTCATTGGATTGTTAGGTTGATTAACCAGAATTCAACATATTCGATTCCTTCCAACCCTCCTCCTCTTGTTTTATATTATGATTCACTCTGCAACGCTTATATAAATATATTTTCCAGCTTCACCGTTCATCACCGTCCGACACTTACTGTGGATTGTGCGAATGGTGTTGGTTCTTTACCGCTCAAGGAGCTGTCCAAGCGATTAAGGGATTGTATCGATCTTCGTCTAACTAATAATGATCATTTAGCGTCAAAATATCTAAACAAAGACTGTGGAGCTGACTATGTGAAAACAACCCAATCACCGCCGGTGAATTTGTTGGATAAAATGGTTCCTAATCAATTGTACGCTTCTATTGATGGCGACGCTGACCGCATCATCTTTTACTTTGTAGACAAAAACAAGAAGTTTCACTTGCTTGACGGTGACAGAATAAGTATTCTCCTGGTTTCTTTCCTGAAAATTCTCGTACAAAAATCCAGACTACCCCTTAGCATCGGAGTAATCCAAACCGCATATGCAAATGGTTCTTCCACCGCTTATCTTAAAAAATTAGGAATCCCAATTATTTGTACAAGTACTGGTGTCAAACACCTCCATCATGCAGCCAAAAATTTCGACATTGGCGTCTACTTTGAAGCGAATGGACATGGAACTGTACTCTTTAGTCAAGGTTGTTTACACAAGCTACATAATCCTTCCACCGAGCAATCAAATACTGAAACAGCTGCAATTGATGCACTCTTGCAACTATCTCAATTAATCAACCAAGCAATTGGAGACGCACTTAGTGACATGTTGGCTGTGCTCAGCGTTTTAGGAAGTCTACTTTGGGACGCTACAGGTTGGTTGAGTATGTATGACGACCTACCGAATAAACTTGTAAAAGTAAAGGTTGCGGATCGCTCCGTCTTTGTTACTACCGTAAGTATTTCATGGATTCTACAAATTAACCTCAATAACAGGATGCAGAGCGCCGTTTAGTTAAGCCTGTCGGTTTACAAGAAAAGATTGATAATCTCGTTGCTAGCTATGAAGACAGCAGATCTTTTGTTCGAGCATCCGGTACTGAAGATGCCGTACGGTAAGTGATGACCTATTCTCTCTCACCTCTGAATAATGTTGCTAACTAACATCCAGTGTATATGCAGAGGCAAAAACTCCAAAGTCTGCAGCGGAGCTTAGTGCTAAGGTTTGCGGTTTGCTTCAATAAAGCATTTCTAATGGAGAACCGTTTCAATCTTTTTATTTTCATTACTCTGTAAAGCATTCTAAACTTTTTATCCGGCGACTTTGCTCTATTCAGCATGCACGTCATTCCTGAAATTACTAGCTTAATCCTATTCATTATTACTTTATTTTTCTGCTTTAGAAATACATAAATTAATTTATTTGGCTTATACGGCCTACTAGTATAGTATGGAAATACCAACCTAATAACCCCTATTACTAACAACTAGCTAAATTTTAAATAATAAAAGGACATATGTATGAATTACATTTGTTTTCTGTAAAAGTTAGTAAGCATGTAAAAAAAAGGTATATAGGGTTTTTGGGAATTCATGACAAATCAGCATTAAAGGGTCTGTTGTTCAGCACAGACAAAAGCCTAAGCGTGGTGCATGTATTAGACAAAATATCATCATTTGTATGAATTCTTATATAAACCTTGCCTGGTTTATCTTACCTATACATTTCCATGAAGGAGTACTGGTGTTAAAGGATTAAAGAAATTTGGCCCTATAAGAACTAAACTGTGACTGTTTATTTCATAAACACGAGGAAAAAATAGAGTTTGTTTACCTTTCAGAGGAATATAACAGAATATTTATTCTATACTTAATAGTTTTACGGATACAGCTCTGGTTTTATAGCTTGAGTTCATTTCATAACATTACTTCAAATAAGGGAACAACTAGTGCATAGCAACAATAAAAGACTAAAGCTTAACATTTGCAGCCACTTCTAAATAGCATACTGTATTCTAGTATACACAACGCTTGCATGAAGCTTCAGTAGATTGCTGTCCGACTAAAGACACTACACAATCAAATTTCCCATTAAGAATTTTATAACTGTCAGCTCAAGGAGCGAGGTATCTGTATTCAGTTTTAAGCGGTTTTCTGCATCACTGAACTCTTCTTCGGTAAACAAGCCGTCCTTAAATCGAGTATTTGTCATTGTACGTACGACATCTTTGCTGAATTCTGGATGTCCCTGAAAGGAAAGAACCTGCCGTCCTTTTAAAAAGGATTGACCTGCACATGTTTTAGTACTACCTAACAACTCAAAGCCATTGGGAACTTCCGAGACAATATCTTTATGCATCTGATTGATAATTAGAGAGTCTTTAGAGAAAACCCTTTTTCCAATTTCCGTTAGCTGAAGTTCGTAAGGTGCAATTTCCCATCCGTTTGGATTGACGACAACGGATGAACCAAAAGCTCTTCCTATAATCTGATGGCCAAAGCAAATTCCTAGCACTTTAATATTTTGGTAATTGTCAATGATGTTTTTCATAAATTCGGTAAGCTTTTTAATCCAAGGAATATCGTCACCAGCGCAAAACTTTGAACCGGTGATAGCTATAGCATCAAGTTCGCGAAGCTCTTCTTCACTAGGATAGATATCTTCTTTATAAACGTTATAGGTAGAAAAGCAAAAATCTATGGAGGAATCATAGCAAGCTGCAGCTCTTGTAAACATGTTTTTGAACATGTCTGCATAATCGCCATAGTTATGTCTGACGGGAGCCATTGGTAAATCAGCATTGAAAATTGCTAATCTGTACTTCATTTTCATTAATTTAGAGATATCACAGCTGTATATAGCAATATCACTGGATAAATTAGGCCTGTATGGTCTAAAAACCTGGTTGATCGTAGATGATGTATATAGGGGAATAGATTTCTTTTAGCCAAGAGTTTTGAGATACTTCAATAAATAAGTGATCGTACATAGTTAATCTCTTAATTTAATTGTTTTGTTGAATATGATGGAATAATGGATATAACTGTACCATCACATTAATTTTTTATTGAGAAAATCCTGTAGTTATTCCCACCAAGCTTTTTGTTGAAAAATATCGTCGCCAAGATTATGGTTTATGCTCGTAGGTTGAGTTTGATCATTTAAAAACCATTGAGATTCAGATATACCAAGAGAATTGGTATCATTCCTGTTCTGAAATCCCGGATTGTCACAATTGTAATGATTTGTCCTTCTAGACTCTGGAAAATTAACAGTCTCCGGTGGAGCCAGTAATAGTAATTTTGAGGCAGGTTCCTGTTTTCTAAATGTTTTAATAAGACGAGAAATTAGCAGGTAAATAGAGTAAATAAAGCATATAAATAACAAGACAATAAGTCCATAGTTTTTGATATTTAAGGTGAGAGAACGCCCAATTTTAATAGTCTGAATAAAGTTTATAGGGTACATGTACTTATAACAGATTACAGATGCAATTATAATCATCAAAACATATTTTGGAGAGAAAGGTCGCAGTTTAAAGGCTGAAAGTATAAGTTTCAAACATTTATAGACCAAAAATATGCCTAACATGAATATACCGCTTGCTGACTTTGCGAGACCTGCTAGCGAGAAGTCTGTAAACTTTTTTATAACTTTAATAAAAGAATCAAACTTGCTAAAAATTTCAAATTGGCTGTTATTGAGGTCAAACATTTCTGTTTTCCATTGCGAGATCTGTTCTTGCTGGGCCAACTAGAAGAAATTAGCAAAATATTATCATTAAATAAGTCTCATCTTCCTTACAGAATGTTTCATAAAAGAATCATGTAAAGAGCCCAATTCTTTATCTAGATATATCATTTTGTTTGTTAAAGTAGAAAATTGATTCAAAAATTGAGTAACCTCTTTTCCCAAGGCTGATTGAAGTGTATTTTCAGTATCCCTCAAAACTAAGGACAACATTTCATGATAGTCAGTATGAAATTCTGAAGTTTCTTCTTTTAATAGTTTTAAGACGTTATCATTTTGTGCTAGTGCTCTTCCTTGAAACTGTTCATTCAAAGCCTCACGGTCTTCATAAGCTTGTGTTAAAAGTTCATGGACTATCATTTTCATGGAACCAAGCCTTTGGGTTAATTCAGAAGACTGTGCCAACGACTCCTTTTGCTTTAAAGCTATTTGGTTCTGGTCGCTTTTCCAATTGACTAGATTTAATTTTTCATTTTCCAGCAACAAATCCATTTGCTCTGTTCTGTCTTGAAACAAAGAAATCATTTTCTGATTTTCAAGTATAGTTTCATACTTAAAATCGCTAGAAATTGTTTGGAAGTATTGGAATTCAGATTTCAGCAGCTCTAATAGATCTTTCTGGATCAACGTTATATTTCTATTAACTTCAATAGATATTCCTACGTTGTTAGTTTTATAAATTAAAAAACCAATACCTTTATCAAATTCCAATCGTGCTAATTTACATAAATGAGATATATCATGGTAATGGCTGGCGAAAGATATCCACCATGAGGATACAGATTCAAGCTGTTTCAAACATGATGATTGTGATTCTCTTTTACATTCGAAGGGAACTGAAATCTGTGCATGCTCAAGATCACATATTGTTAAACGAATTGCGTAGTCAATACGATCGTCCATTGAGAGTTCGGTACTTATAACCTCGCATGCAGACATTAAAGAAAATGCAGTAGCTTGATAACAAGTCGGTTTTCTAGATAAAGTTTGATACACGCTAGCCAAAGAATCGAATTCTGTAAGGCTTTTCGAAAATGCAACATCTGGGAATCTCAGGACGGATTTCGAGTCATGATTAGCCAATGTCTGATGAATTAAAGAGCCAAAGTAAATTAAAATCAGTTTAAAGGACCTCAATCGCATTTGGAAAACTAAGAGGATATTGGTGAAAGCCAAATATAGCGACGCGACGCGTCGGTATAGGAAACAATGGTAAACTATAAGACTAGATGATTTCCAAAGACAAAAAGAAAGGATAATTAAGAAGGAACATTAGAAACTAACCAAGAATGTAATTCTTCAGGAAAAATCACCGCGTATCGTACATCGTTCAAAATCTTGTCGGTATAAGTATCAGGCCTTTTCGGGTTAACATTTCTAGACCTGCAAAGGTTTTGGAAATTATATAGTCTGTCTTCTAAGGAACGATTCCTTAGGATCTGGAATTCCCGAAAGAGCTTTTCTAAATCTCTCTCCGAGTAACGAGGAATACTTAATATTGGTGACTTCCTATATTTTCTTTTGAACTCAGGCCATAAGAGTGTGTTTGGTAAACTCTGCAAGAGTCCCCAAAAACTTGATAAGGATGATACTTTTGGCGCGCCAACTGGTTTCGATGCAATAGCAGACTTACAATAATCTTCAAAAACTTGACGACGTTCTTGTCCGGAACCCAAAACTAGAAAACGTTCATCATCTAGTAGTTTTGGATAAGTAAATTCCCAGGTCCGATAAACGTCCACATCCTTATCCTTCAAAAGTTCCCTGAAAATTTGAACGGCGGTTTCGTGATCAACTACAGGCTCTTCTTTTTCTGATAAAGATGTATTTTCTTGATTTTTTCCTTCTAGTTCCTGAAGTTGAAACAGTAAATCTTCTTCGCCAAACTCAATATTTTCATTTTCGTCATTATCGCTCTGATCGTCTTCTTCAGGTTCAGTTTCGATAACTTCTTCTTCAACAGAATCCGCTTCCTCGTCTTCATCTTCAGAAGGACTCATTGCCAATTGAGGGCTTCCAGGATGCTCATTTAGTCCACCCTCACCATCATTATTTTCGTCACCAGCGGTCAATTCAGTGGCATTCGCTTGAAATTCCTTCTTCAATTTTCGTTTTGGTAACCCTAAAGTTGAAATGATACTCAAGAGTTCCTGTGGGGGCATCCAAGTCGATTCATGAGTCTCTGTATTATGAAAGAAAAATCGATTTCTTTTCGTCGTAACAATCACCCATATATCAGAACCTGGTATTAATTTTCTTTAGGATGTCAGTGAAAGTGTTTTCATATAAAGCATCCTAGTCCGTCCCACTTACTTATACTTTGGTCTATCAAATGATTGTTTTCGATGTTCACGATCAACCTTGCGTTTTTCATCATTATTTTCGGCTACCGGTGTTTCCGTTAAAGTGTTTATATCTTCTTGTTTCAAATGAATAGAACCAGAGGCTTTTCCTTGTTCATCAGGCCAGGCAGGACGTTTGTAAGTACTTTTTTTTAGCTCAGCATTCCAGTAATAAGGAATTCCATTTGGTGCTACTCTCTGTTAACATATATACTCTAAAAATATGAATACATACCTCTATGTTCTGTCCATCCAGGGGGCAATGATCCCTCCATTCTATGTTTAGGTGTTCATTCAGATGTAGGCAGAGGGTGAAAAATGAAACATCATGGTGTTAACCAAACTGACCCATAAAAGCTAGTTGAATCAATAAGAAAATTTCATTCAATATCAATGAAATACTTTAACAGCCTTTCGCTTCAAAGTTAGCAGACGTCCGTATGTACTGATTTTGTCCTTTTCCTATGACTTCCTGGTGTCTTACTTCTTAGATTAGTTACCCATTGAGTACCAGGAAAGCTCAGCATAGGTCTGAGCTTTCCTCATGATCCTCATATAAAAGTAGAATCCATTTTGCATTTTTGTTTACTAGTGTGTTGTACCACACTCAGTATTCTTATAAAAAGTGTATTACCAATCGTTATACTGTTTACTGAGATACACTGCATACTATACGAATTCCTAATGTGGATGAAATGAAGAATCTTTAGAAACTTCACGTTAGCCAAACTCATCATGTCTAGAAGTTACGATTCTCGTACTACCATTTTCTCACCTGAAGGACGTCTGTATCAAGTAGAATACGCCTTAGAAGCCATCAATCATGCTGGTGTTGCTTTAGGAATTGTTGCTAAGGATGGTATCGTTTTAGCAGCTGAAAAGAAGGTTACGAGCAAGTTGCTCGAACAAGAGGAATCGGCAGAAAAGCTGTATCATATTGGAGACAACATGGTTTGCGCTGTAGCTGGTCTTACTGCAGACGCCAATATCTTAATTAACTATGCTAGAAGAGTGGGTCAGCAGTATCTACAAACATTTAACGAAGAAATGCCTTGTGAACAGTTGGTGCGTCGTGTTTGCGACTTAAAGCAGGGATACACTCAATATGGCGGGTTGCGTCCTTTTGGTGTCTCCTTTTTGTATGCTGGATGGGATCATATTCATGGTTATCAGCTATTCCAATCTAATCCGTCTGGTAATTACGGAAACTGGCAAGCAAACAGTATCGGTGGAAACAGCACAAGCATCCAAAGCTTAATGCGTCAGGAATATAAAGAAGATATTAATTTGGAAGAGGCCTGTGCATTGGCTGTAAAGTTCTTAGGCAAGACCCTTGACAATAACTCCCTTACAGATGAAAAAATTGAATTTGCAACCATTTCCATGGATGATGAAAGAAAGCGAATGGTCTGCAATATTCTTAGACCCAAGGAAATCAACGAAGTTCTTACAAAGTATCAGCCCGATGCTCAATCTCAATCTCAGCATGCATGAGTTACTTCCTATTTTAAGCCCTATATTTTGTATTCGCTTATGATTTAGTTTAGAGATAAGTGCATGCCACGCCTGATGTCCTTTCTCGTTTATGCCTTTAGCTAAATTCCCTTTTCATGAAGGTTATTAATAACACTCCACACATCTTTTTCTTCCGTTCTTTTCTACTTTTGGTGACTTATGGATATTCTAGATTTTATTAGTTCTCATTCTCACTGAATTACTCAGAATGGATTTCTCATATCAAAAAGTAATTTTATACAAGGAGTATCCGTTTTGTACTTTATCTACATTACCCTATAACCATACAAGATTGAATTCTCCTGAAAGAGTGGACAATTTCGTTTGTTTGTATTAGAATGATTATCATGAAATCCGACTTTTTAACTAATCATTTCTTCATCGATATTTTACTTGCACGTAGTTTTTCGCGATCTTTAAATACCTCACATCACTGTAGAGTTTTACTAAACTATAAAAAAAACTCCATTTTGTAATCGTTATTAGACATGTTCTGTTTGGCGTCTTCATACTCCTTCAACGTCCACTTAGCAATATCTAATTCACATCGTTTTCGAGCCAGATTTGCTTGGATAGACTGCTTTATTAGCTTCAAATCATGCGTCAATTGATCATATAATATCGGCATTGCCTCTTTGCTTCCATTAATCTGTTTGGTCATTTGTGCTATTTTTGCAAGAGTCATATGGTAATTTTGTCGAAGATACTCATAATCCTTTAGCTCCACTTTCCCGGGAACAATTTCTTTGGGCCTTAAACATTCATCAACCTGTTGAGATGCTCGCTCTTCATACTCTTTCTGCCGATAAAGTTCAGCGTCCTTTGACAATGGGGAATTTTCTGGATCCAAGGTATCCTTTTTGAATAATTGATCATAATAATATGTCATAAAGCGTATGACTTCGATGGCACTGTTACGATATAAAGGCGGAGAAAGCACGCTCGCCATCTGCTCAATGAGCGTTTCACACTGGTCTCTAAGAGGTAATCTAAGTAGTAACCTTTTTATAATTAGTTTTTCGATTCATCATATTAAATATGTATGCTTACTCTGAAACGATGTTAAGGACTACATCCAAAATTCGCAAATTTTGCTGCGGTAGCTCTTGTAAACAACTTTGAATCTGTTGCAACGATACCTTCAAATCATATGAAAAACCTATTATGTTAACAAGTCGAATTGCAAAACTGTTCGCACCTATGTATCCATTATTACTCAAACGTTGAATGAACATTGAGGGTAATAAAGAACCATACTTTCTGACAACGAAAAGCTTCAAATACTTCCAAAATAATAAGTATATTTGTGCTTCCGGAAGCTTTTGTATACGCTTAAATTCCGGTGATTCTTTAAGGATGTCCTCTAGCAAAATATCAAGTTGCTGACCTTCGAAAGGTGAAATTCCTTTCAAAATTGTGCCATAATCTATTATATAGTCAGTCTTTGCAACATTTTCGTTCAAATATATGTGACACATATAGCAGCTAATCTTACCTGTCATCCCCAAAAATATTGATTTAAAGCTTTTCAAAGTTTCAAGAATTGTTTTAAATGAACCATTAGTAGGAAACCTTACGGTGTAATTGCTCAACGACTTTCTGGGATTGAAGTTTGTGTCAGTATTGCCATGCTTTTGTGACGGAAGTGTTGAACAAGATTTGGAATATCCCTTCGTTCCGTATGTTCCTTTTAAAGCTGATGCCCATTTAATGGGACTAGATGGACGTCCTCCCAAAGATAGCCTTCCTTTCTTGGGACTGCGTTTGGAGAGCAGTAGATATTGAAGAATGTTTTCATAAAGATCGTATTGTGAAAAACAACGATTAGAAAAAGGACTTGAAAGCATACGCTTAATTGAAATTAAATATTCGGAAATATTTTCCTCAATACTCTCTTCAGATACGAATAATTTTGAAGGCAAGTCAAAACTCAACCATGTCAAGGCTTCCACTATAAATCCTTCGTTCTGCCTGTGGATATTCAAAACAACATTACCCTCACAGAGAAGGTGCTCAGCATTACAGGAATTTTGTTCATCATTACAAACGCATATAATTGAAGTCCGATATTTTTCTTTTTCGTAGGATGCCGGTGTAAAGCAACTGTAAAAAATAGTAAAATCATTAAAACAGCGACTAGTCACACGCATTTCCTGACTTTTTCGAAATGCTAAAGCTTGCTGAAAAGAACGTAAAAAAATTTCAAGGGAATGTTTACCATTCGTTAAAACAAATTTAATAAGAGGAAATTCCCTAAAAAATGGGAATGTGGATGCAGATTTGGATATAAGCCATATTGTACAGTCTTCATCAATGCCTCTCGTCAACTCAATGTTATCATTAAAATTCCAAGCGACGTATTGTGCACTCTTCTCTCTCGAAAATGACTTTGGTAATACGAATGTTTGTTTCAGTTCCACAATTACATCAGCCAAGGAAGCTTTTGAATGTCTTTTAAGCAGACATATGCAATCTGTGAAAAGCAAAATGGTATACGGAACGAGCGAAAGCTGTCCACTCTTCCAAATTTCTCGATTAACATCAATACAGTCGAGTAAATCTCGGGAGTTTGATATCAAGTTCGGGGCAAGATTTGGAATTATATATTGAAGGCCGGCAAAAATTTTAGATCGCTCTTCGGCATCAACGACAGGCATCTCAGCAATGTTATGAACAGTCTCCATTGCTCGTACGTAAGTTTGCTGGGGAGGACCATCAAGAGTAAGCGTGATAATTTGTTCCAAAAAAAGGAAATAACGTGGGATCCTTTGGACAGGCTCCATAATTAGCTGGCTGAGGCTTACATTGCGATTTTCTTTTATTTTGATTCTGTCAATGAAGTCCAGAAACTTTGGGTTTTTTGAAGCGGTATTTAATACTTCACCAAAGTCATTACTTTGTTCAAGATAACGAGGATAATGCTGTGCGAACACCTGGAAATGGTTCCACAGACACGTTGCCATCCTTAAATCAAAATCATCAGTTATATCGTCTGCAGAATCAGTGTCTTCGTCTAATTCAGCCATGATTGCTTCAATTTCATCCAAAAAGGTTGAATTTATCTGTATCAGCTTTGCTAAATTTGGAGGAAACAGTGTATTTATTTCATACAATCCTATTAGCTTCTTTGACGACTTTGCTGAAGTTCGCAACGGTAAAACATAATCGTTTAATAAATGTCTCAGACGTGTAACATAAGTACTCTCTGTACGCATCAATTCAAATAGAAGATTTTTCTTTTTCCAAACTGATGACATATTACCAGCCGCAGAACCAGAGGCGATACTCGGAGTAGGACTGTTAACTTTCCTGTGATCCTTCTCACTTACATAGTGATTTCCTAAGAAAGAGCGCCATGGCTTTGTAGAAGGATCTGCCCACCAACAATCATTCGTGATACCTTCCATTAGGACGTCAACAGTAAATTCATAAAATCCAGTGGTGGGCCCAATTGATAATAACTCATGAACTAACGCATCAGATTGAAACACATCAATAGTGGAAAAAATATACTCTGCATATTCTGGATCAATGGAAGCCTCCAACCAATTTTCTTCTATGTATATTGAGACTGAGTCAGTACATAGGAATTCATATGCACAAAGGGTTGCTTCTCTATACCAGTCCTGGAAATCTAAATGAAGTCCAAGTACTTCTAAAAATTCATCTAGTTTTGAAGGAAAGGAGTATGGAATTATATATGTATCCGGACCTAACTTTGATAACGCAAAAACCGCTAGCGTGCTGTCTTCAAATTTAGCAAAAGCTAAGAGGATAATCCCAATATGCGGATGCACAAAAGTACAAAACGAAAGCTGCTCCTGAAAAGATGGATTTTGTGATGCTAGGTTTCTGAAAATCCAAAGTCCACCATACTGGATAGAATCAATTGTATCACGAACTGCAGGAGACATCATGCGCGTATAGATTAGGTGAAGATGATTAATTATAGTTATAGTATTTGTACAGTAAAACCAAAAGACCCAATCTGAACAAAAAAGAAACGAACGGACTTGTAATTGAATAGAAAACCAAAATCAAAAGTGAAATGATATAACCAAAAGGGATTTCACACCAAAATGAGAGAAGAACGCACTGGTTATCTTATGCTCATGTAGCTGTATCCAAAAATAATTAGAACAATAAATAGATTACAACGAAAGACGGTCTTGTCTTCGACTTTTCTATCTGTGGGCCAAGCTTATGATGTTATTGCAAGGATTGAATTTCTAAAAAAGAGGGAATTAGAAGTATTATGGAATTAATAAAGCACTTCAATCTTTACACGTCCAAAATGGTAGTATATTTTAAAGATTTGAACGATTACACAGAGGACTCATTCAAACAACAAGCAAAATTCTAAGAAATTTCTGTAACAAATAAGGAAATAAACCTCTGTAAACAAAGACTTTAGGAAAACCGGTGCCAACCTGGTGTCTCCTCTAATTCTGAGGTGTTGAGGACAAAGGTACACAACAGACACAAATACCTATTTGCTAGACAGATCTAAATATTGACGACGGTATTCTTGTATTCTTGTATTTTATTTGTAAAGCAATATTTATATTGGATAGAAAGCGGTAGGCGGAATTTCTACTGAAGGATTACCGTCCATCGTATCTGCAAAACACAGTTCACTGATTTCAATTATAAAAGACTAATCATCATATATTAGGTGTCGTTTAATGTTACAATATTTGGTATGGAAGAAGATTCAACAAGCAAGAAAATATCTCTAAAGTTTTCTGAACATGAAGAAGAGCCAGAATTTTCCCTTCTTGAATTAGACAAGGAGTTGCAGAATTTATTAGAACAAAATTCGGATGAACAGTATGGAACATTTGACATAGTACGACTTTTTATTTTTGTCTTACTGACAATCATTATAGAATTGTTTTGAAAGCAGGGTTGGACTCGAAATCTTCAGTTCTATGCACGAGTAATAATACATATTCTGTTCGTCAATTAATACAGTCAAACTCCTTGATGCTATTTCGGTCCTCTCATTCCTCAGAATGGACTTTGCAAGACACGAAATATAGTTACTTGGAAATAGAACACATCTATGGATCCATTACAATTGAAGACAAGATTTCCTATTGGGACGAAGATGCTCTCGAGGAGGTAAGCACAGATTTAGCAGGCTTTCAAGCTAATAGTCGAAAGCAGATTCCTTCGTCGATATCCTTCCAAGACTTTATTTGTCAAGTACCAGCTAGTGAAAATGAAATTAAAGCCTTTTTGGGATCAAATTTCATTATAATTAAAGATAATACTCTTTACAGACTTTCCCCCTCTTATATAATGACACTTATTGATTGGGTATTTGCAATAATGCACCAACTTCGTGCCGACTTTTCCGCTATTAGTATACAAGAGTTTAAAAAAACAGCTATTGCAGATCAATTTGACACCGATGCTGTAGTCGCGATTTTGTGGAGTATCTCAAGAACTCCTTTTTTGAGTCAGGTTGACACAGTCGTCATTGACAAAAGTCTGGTTTGCTTTTGGATAGGCCGGTTTATACTAGAAGATGTTATTACTACGGAAGTTTCTCACTTTCTGTCAAAATGGACAGAGAAACTTCCCGAGAGTTGTAAAGATTTTGTATCACTAGATCTCCTCAAGGTATTAACACTTTGCTTTCCTACAGCTAACAATCTAGGGATTTTATTTCTATGCAGCGCCCGACACGATACAGTATTTTTCTTCCTTACAGTTACCTCGAGACCCTACTCGCTGTTTTCAAGTTTTATTTCAAGCCAAATCTAAATGGTTATATGACGAAATATGGCCGTTTGTTGAGAATTTAGCGGTAGACAAGAGCAAAGTAGAAGCTTTGCTTTTAAAATATGGAAGAAAACAGGTTACAAAAAACGGTGTATATATAAATAGTAGAAGTACTTGGTAGTTCTGATTAGCATTTCTTTGCTTCACCAATACTTTTTGGCATAATAAAAATAAATGAATTCAAAACATTATAACATAAAAAAAAAGGTTTAAGCAAGAATAAATCATCGTGATGTAAAATTTAACCTTTTATATCCAGCTTTTGGGTTCCTTGAACAACTTCAGCAACCGCATCTGGATTTAAATTGTACTGGAAAATAACATCATCTCCCGAACGCCAGAGTCTCGTTTTCACCGTAGCTAGTGTCATTTTGGGCGTAACAACCACGTCTTTACATCGAATTTCTAGTTGACCATTCATATTCGGAACAAGCTGACTTAATTTACTTTGTGTGTAATCCATAATCTTTTGAACTCGAAGCATCGCATTCGCACTTAAACGAGTTGTTTCGCTTACTATAGATGGTAATTTTGAGTTCGGGCTTGGCTGAATCGAAAATCCAACCGTCGGGCTGTTCTTTGAAGGAACATCATCCACTAAAAGCAGTTTTCCTAACCAATAAGGCATTATTTTTTCCAACGCATCAGCATCATTCTCCATATTTCCTATGGTACAGCGAAAAATATCTTTTGAACTTCCTGCATCGCGAGATTCTTCACTGATAATAACAGTTACTTGATCCGACAAATCTAGTTGCGGTGTAAGTTCAGTAAATGGTTGCTTTAAAAATGTTGTTGCCTTCTCTTCTGGCTTCCTATTAACGTACTGCTCATGCAAGCGCTCGATTAAGTCGCTTACTGTTCTCATAGGTTTTTGCATTTGGGCAGCAGTAGGTACGGGGTTTGTGTTAAAACTAGAAGGGCTTGAATTAAGTTCGTTATCCACATTGTTCGCTTCAGATTTTAATGGGGGTGAGGCCGCATTAAGAATTGGATTCAGATTGATGGACTTGTTAAGCGGTAAATGCTCAGTTGGAGACCTGGGAGAGCCTAAAGATAGATTCCTTGAAGATTTGGATCTTCCAAATTTCTTCAACCGCCCTAAGAAAGACCCTTCACGTTTGGGCGAGTCTAATTCTTTCGTTTTTACAATCGTAGAGCCTTCATTTTGTGGTTTACTCGTAGGTATGGAAAAATAATCAGGAGCGTTCATCAAACTCTCTGTCTCAGCAGACGTATATATCGGATTATAAGAAGAAGGTTGAAAAGGAGACTGAGGCTGGGTATCGCTTAACTGATCCATAGCAAAGGAAGTCGGAGAAAACTCAAGACTAGCAGGAGTTAACGGTTCATTAGGAAACAACGCTGCAGATGGTCTAGGTCGCAGTTTTAAGGGTGAAAGAGCAACAGGCATTGTGACGGAGCTTCTGTTTTTCGATTTTTCTACTGTTTCTGATTGCTTTCGTACATTCGCTCTTATCATTTCAACATTTTTTCTGAATTCCGCATCTCGTTGAAGCTCAAAATAAATAAAGGGAGAAAACAGGTTCTTCAGAAGCCAAACACCTAAGTTGATACGTTTATCAATAAACTCGTCTGACTTAATCTGCAAACACTCATCTGCGTAAACTTCTGTATCCATATAATGATTTTCGTCAAGAGTCACCGCAAGAATTCCCAAGAAGCAATTTACCGAAGCCCATCTGGGTAACGTCTCTAACGTGTCAAGAGACTGAGCAACTTTATCAAAATTATCATTAGCAACAACATCCTCAATCTTTTTACAGCTTATTATATCCCATAAACACATTTTTCCAACCGTATCTTCTGTAAGTACCCGCCGCCGGTCGCTTAATAATCGACATCTCTCCAATCCAAGTCCACCCGTGATTGTATATTCAGGCTTTCTATTAACATCTAAATAATTCAGGCTTTCTGCAAATTGCAAATCATAATATATGTCCTCTGCGTCGTCGTGATAAAGAGTTGGGCATTCGCCGCTCCTTGTTTCGACAGAATGTCGTGAAGTACTTTGTGTCAGAGGAGGAAGGAGAGAAGGCGAAGCTATCGTTGAAGAAGCTGAATTATCAGATGAAAAAGATTTATCTTTCCACTGATGAATGGAACTGTCCGAAGCTGTACTCCAGATGAAAGACTGGCGGGCAATTAAATCAGAAACAGGAGAATCCTGTTTACATATAGCAGAACAGCTTTGATTGTTGCGTGTGTCTCGAATATCTGTACGAGTAATCAGTCCTGAGCGGTCACCGGCGTAAAACACTTTAAGGTCAGGATGCTCAGAAAACAAAGACCAAACACTATCAGAATGAGCCAAAAAAGAAAATAAGCATTTCTGAGCTCTTAAAGACCAAAGTTTAATAGTAGCATCCGAAGAGGCCGTAAGGATTGTTCTTCCATCTTCACTTATTAAAATATCTCGAACAGTATCAGTATGACCAACTAAATCAGTGATTCGCTTTTTAGAAACACAATCCCAAAGCTGTATATCTTTTTGAATACCTCCATTAGCGATAATGTTGTTGTTTGTAGCTAGTGAATACACACCACTCCGAGGACCGACAGTGATAGCACAATTGGGAGGTTGCTCAAAACGCACTACTTCTTGACCGACATTATAATCCCAGACAATTACGCGACTGTCGAGACCACCGGAAACTACCCATGGACTTTTACAATCCTTGGAAAGACTAAGACGTTTGACATAATCGTTGTGTTCACCAATCGTGGTCAAAGATGAAGGGCCAGAAACATGAGGCTTCCATAGCTTTACTGTCAAGTCGGACGAACAAGATATGACTAACACTAAATTAACGTCCACTCTGAGATCTTTGATAAATACTTACCACCTTGAGAATCAGAAGTAACAGCAATGTCATTTATCCACGAAGAATGAGCCTGTATTGAGGATAAAGGTACTGGCTTCTTAGCATAGTCTAAACCGACGTCCCAACGAAACAATTGTCCATCCCGGCCTCCGCTGTAAAGGGCACTGCTGACAGGTGCGGACCCCTTAGCTGAAAAGCAGCGCCCAAGTGCAAGGCAATTCACATTTAAGCGGTGACCTAATTTGTCTTCGTTCGAATCTAAAACATAACTGACTTTATAACGCTTTCGAGTAGTCATGTGTTAAATAGTGGACATAAATGTCGAAGCTTTAGAGATTTACCAGCGTTATTTTTATAATAATTGTATACCAAAGGAAAAATAGAAAAAATAATTCCTGGACTCTAAAAGGCTATAGCGACAATTCTCTAAAGAACGTATTTAAATACGGCTGCTTGGATCCAAAAGATGTAAAAATTACCTTGTGGATGCCACAGATTATAAAAAATTTGAAGTTTGCTGTATAATTATTGAAAACAGACTTCTTTGAATCTCGATGCGAGTAGACTTTCCTGTTTGATTAAAACTGTTTCGGATTCAATTCAAATTCAATATCGTGCACGCTATTCGAATGAAGCAATCCAAATTTCTTTCTTACAATGGGTTTTTAATCATACAATCCCTTTAGAAAAGCATTCATTAGACTTTACAGTAACGCTGAGATTAGCATTCGAGAAATAAATAATTCACGTAGTTTCCTACTCATTGCGTGCGTCTATAGACTTTTCAGAATACAGAGTCGCTTTGCACGACACTAAATTATTACCGATTGCTAACAGTTCGTTAAATGCATATCGATGCGTAATATTTCCTTAGACATTTACCGAATCCTAGTAATGTCCCTATTTGTTTTCCACCATGAATTCCATCAACGCATTTCGCTTTGTTTTTATTATTGAAACTTGGGAGCTATTTCAACATGAATGACCCAAATGAACGGAGATTAGAAACCCTCTCTGGGCAAATTACATCGCTAAAAAATATCACATACGATATTTATACGCGGGCTAGCGATTATAGCCATATAGACCGTGCGGTATGCAAAGGCGTTTTTCTCTTTGTTATGGAACTAACAATGGATTATTCAGAATGAAGGATTTTCTGGCTTATCGGATTCTGTAAAACGAACTACCAATGGATTTTTTCGAGTTGTTCGAAATGCTGGTAGAAGAAGCATTTTTACTACCGTTTTAGCTATCGTCGGAAGTGTTTTAATCTTTTACTATTTATGCAAATATTTTCTTTGAAAGGGAAGAGCTGTTTTTACGAGAAATTGGTATTTTGTTTGCTCTTGTTACTGCATGCTTGACTGTATTATATGAATGGACCTTGTTCTTCCCGAAATGAATTCCCTAAGAGAAAAATCAAAAGGGGTAACATCGATCTAGCTACTACTTCGAACTGCCTTTTACTTTTCATGATATGTTGTTATGTTAACGTTTGTCACTTTCCATATCTCTTGTTCTTTTTACTTTTTACTTTTGGCAAAACCATAAAGGCTGTCCAGTCAAGTTTAATGGTTTGCTTGATTCTCTTTCTTCCATACTCATAGTATCTTTCAGTATAATGAAATTTATTGAATGTCTTGCATCATCAGAAGGACCATGTATTAATTTTTTTCAAAACTTTTGTAGCATATTAGTTTTGTACTATTCATATAAAACAATTCACTTCACCAGGGACAGACTAAAATGAGATCAAAATCTTTTCGAGTTTTAACTTTCTCGAAAGGAAAGCCATAATAGTAATAATAATTACCATAACAACATCATAGTTAACATAACATCACAAATAAATAAAACATTCTTCAAAATGAACGATGAAATTGCTGGGAACACAAATATAGACAAAATTCCTTTTTCTTTGAAACAAAAAATAAATAATGTTCTCCAACGAATAAAGTCAAGAGTCGTACTACCTCATGGAAGTGCTTATTCAGTTTCTTCTCGTGAAACTTGACGGAAGCATACGAGCACGTCGCAACGCTTCAAGAGCATTTCTATGAGTGCCAACGCGAGCATTAGGTGGTCTATGGGGAGCAGCGTTTGGGGTATTTGAAGACTGTCCCATATGCGCAAGTGATCCGCTGCTGTGTGAAGTTGGGAGAGACGCGGGATTTTGGTCCGACGGGCGACGATTATCAAAGGAGCGACGTTGAGTACCAGCATCCGGTGAAGTAAAAAACATGGACGATTGACGTTGAGGAGGCGTTAAGGTACCGGGTGAAGTTGGACGGGAAAGATGCTCTGTTCGAGTAACATCCTCATACCCAGGTAAAGATGGTTGTAATGGAGACTCCAATGCATTAATAGATGAGCGCGTAGCCTCAGTGTAAGAAGGAACACGACTTAATTCAGCTAAACTTGTTTCAGATGGATTCCTAGTGATAGCACCAGAAGTGGCGCCACTAGATGGATTTGATCCAAAACTAAAAGTGGGATAATCTTCATCAAGACGGGAAGGTGAATGCTCGCTTGGACGTCGATCACCAGGCTGTTGCTGTTGAGCCAATGCCGTAAGACCAGCAATCAGTTGTCTACGATGGTTTTCGGCGGAAACATTAGGTTCCGTGGAGTCGCGCCGTCTTGGTGTATTAGTACCACTGGGAAGAGGTGTTTCAACGTTTGAATAATTCAATCCATCGTATAGCCGATCATACATACTACTTTCGTAGCTGGGTAACGGCTGATTAAACGAATCAAAGTTTTCACGAAGAGATTCCAAATCGGCAGCATCGCCAAATAATTGAGGGGGAATCATCAATACAACAGGTAAGGCAGCTCTTAGTTCTGAAACATGACCATCTGGATTTCGTAAAGAAACCGAAAATTTTAGTTTATGGCGAACTTTAATGCCTTCAAGGTCACAATCCTGTAAGCAATCGACGAGAGATGCGGGAAGCTCTAAATGCTTCGAAAGTTCGTAATGATCTGAAAATTCCTCAATTTCCTCCGTTTGCAATGAACGTACAGTACGAACCTCATCTTTTGAAGCAGGAAGGCCGTTATGACCATGAGCAATGTGCAACGTAATGTATTCCTTCAAAGTAATGGTGATTTTACCAATGGAGAGGCGCTTTAGTAACGGTACTAGAACAAAATGAATGGGAATATAAGATCCAATAGCATATGCTTTCGTGGGAATACTGATCGTATACTCAATTTTGTTAGGCCATGTGTTATCGACACTCACAGTTTGTGTAAATTCGACAGCGTCAGGCGGCAAAGTACGAATGAGGCGGATATGTTTCTTTTTGATCATCCTGCTATTGAGACCTGTTCTATCAATAGTCGCTTTTAAACGATAAATAACGTAACAGCTTTGCAAGCCTTCAACGGATTCAGGAATATTACCCGGAAGCATAACGCGAAAAGGATACTCGTAGTTACCTGCAGGAAGAGTCTTTGATCCACCAGAATATGGAAGGAAGTTCCAATTTTTTTCGTAGACCACTGCATCGTGCTTGTTATGCCGCAATCCAGTCCGACTACTGTACGAGGGCTCTGACCAAGAGATACGACATCTGCCCGTCAGTTTCAAAGAGATTGCTCGAACAGAGATGCTTTCCGTAAGGCAAAGAACTACCGTTCCTGATAGTGGAGTAAGTTCAGCAGATTCCGGTGATCCCTGAATAACTATAATGTCCCGATCCGCTGCTACACGAATGTCAAAGTAAGAAGCAACATTGTATTTAGGCAAAATATTCATTTCTAAGAAGTTTAAGTATGCTTTTTGACCTTCACAAACTGGTAACCTTGAACAAGCTGTAATTTTACGGAATCTCGTGAGACGCTTCTATATCTACGTTTTGCGGCAATTCACCGTCCTCGAAGCCAAAAAAAGTTTGTGAATAATTTCAACACAAAGTAATCGGTGTAAAACCCAACAAAGCGAGCCGATTTTGAGCGATTTTCTACGCAGTCTGTTTCGAATTAAATAATCGTTGTCTACGGGAAATTAAGTCAGCGTAGTTTGTTTTGATTGCAGAGGTGACGTGAAGGCTGGTAGTGACTTCTTACTGCATAGTGCAGTATTTTACGATACCGATATGTAGCATGTTTTATGTTCGGCCGTTAGTAAACAAATCATGAAAGATGTGCAAATGTTTCTTATTGAAAAGCGAGAAAGCAAATAAAAATTCTTCTTGCCATTGTAAGAAAAAGAGACATAGTTCTGACATATAGTTGCCTTCCGCGGATTACTTTAAAGAAACAGCCTTATGGGCTTACAAACAGGAAACCAATCACTCAAACGTTCTCAGAATTGCCTTGAAGTATTGGATGCCACGAAACGTTTAATATAAAGTTAATTTGTAGTCTACATACGCGTTCTATGTACGTTTGTAAAACAGTGTCGCATGAATTCACATCCCTCACAGATGAAGCTGTGTTCCCGACTCGTGAAAGCTGCAAATGAATTTGATGCCAATTCAAGCTTTATTAGCCTCCAAATTAATCTGCATGCGAAACTGTCTGCTTTAAAGCTTTACACAAAAAAATTTGCTGCTAATGCAAAAAAAAGCAAAGCTAGCAAACCAAAATTCCTTTAGATTTTTCTTATTTCTCTACGTTTAATTCTGTTTCAATGAGTTCATTGAACAAAATCTTTCATGGATTCATCTGTCTCAATTCGTTTCCTTTACAGACGTGTGAGAAGACCTCCAGGTTCCACGTTATACCAGGGCTTCTTGTAAGAATCATAAAAATTCCCATATTATTTGTATTTTATCGTTTTATTTGAAAACAAAAAGCCTTTTGGCTGAAGTTTTGAAAGATTTTTCTTTAAAAGTCAGTTCTTTACATCGATTTTTGTCTTTCACTTTGTCCCAAGCGAAGACCAATTCATCCGATTATATGTCTTTTATCGAATAATATTTTTCAATTCCCATCCCATTTACGTGTTTTGTTATCTTCAAAAGGCTTTATTCGCTTGGATCCGAAATTACATATATTGACAGTATTTTAATAGGAGTTTTTTGACGATTCTTGATCTCCTTCACATTTTCTATGCTTCCTGTCTCCTTCTAGGTCGTTCGTTTTTTCCTCGTTTTTGTTTCTCTGGGAATTGAATCAGGTTATCGTCCATTCTCCTTCCAGCATTTTCAATTTCAGTTTCTACCCTTCATCCTTCAAGGCTATCTCTTTCTTGACAACGTAAACGAGCCGTCAAATTTGGGCTCAAGGTAAAGAGGAAATTTTTTGTCCTCTTTACTCTATTATATCTTTCTCAATGATTTTGGTGAACAATGCGAAAATGGCTTGCATGAAGTGCATACGTGGTCATCGTTCTTCCAGCTGCAAGCACGACGACCGTGAACTTTTCCCTATTCGACCAAGAGGCCGACCTGTTAGTCAGTGTGAAAAGTGTCGCCAAGCTAGAGTTATGCGTCATATTCATGTAAAGTGTACTTGCAGTTCGAATGCAGAAAAGCCCCAATCTCAAATCAAAAAGTCCCGCAACAAACCTTCCGAAAGGGATTCTACTTTGTCCGTTTCTTCAAAACCTGCCCCTTCTTCCTCTTCTTGCTGTAAAGGCCATCATTCCCATACATCTTTACCCTCCCAAACCTCTTTCGACTCTAAAGTTCAAGAACATAATTTTTTCTCCCATCCATCCTCGGAAAGCCCGGACGGTTCTGGTTCTCTATTTGTTCCTAATCACCACCCTTATCACTATCCTTCAGGTGCCGGCTTATATAGTCATCCGGAAAACACACAATGCCTTTGCAAAGATTGTCATCCTTGTAATTATCAAATTTCTTCGCCTCATTGGTATTCTCATTGCCATAATGACCCTATGTATGCAAACGTACCTCCCTTTAGAAATCCCAACATTCATGCAGACGATGCTTCCAGATTGCACCTTGAAATGAACAAATTTCACCCTTTTTCTCTAGGTCAACGAAGAAAGATAATTCCCAATTTCCCAACGCCTTCTGCGCTTAAGGTTCTTTCCAATTCTCAGGATTCCATTGCAGCTGCAGCTGCTAGTCATGATCTATATCCTCAACCAGAATTCCCTTATCCATTTGCTATGTTGGATAATGGCTCTTATGTTCCATTAAGTCCTAATCAACCTTCTCGCTCACCTATATATCCTCCTCCTGATCCTTTAGACGGTGTAAAGTCCGAAAGCAACTCCAATATTCCTTTCCATAATTTTCCTATCCAATTATCAGACTACTTTACTCTACCAAGTAATTGTGCTCAGGGTTCGACTCATTGTCAATGTGATGATGATTGCCAGTGCCTTGGATGCTTGACCCATCCCAATAATCCTACGACACTGGCTGCTCTTAACCACATTTCTGCATTACAAGAAGATCATAGAGAGCCTGTTTTATCGCATCCTTCTACAGAAGAAAAACTTTTACTAGATGGCTTTGATGATGACTTACCTGATAATTCTTCAAATCAATATATTCCTGACAATCAGTATGGCATCCAGTATCCTGTGCATAACTTCCGCTTTACCCCTGAAATTAGCTGATTATCTAAATTTGCTAATTCTTTTGTTTTTGTTTATACCGTCTTCTCTTTTTCAAGTTGTTATTGTGTTTCTTTTACGTTTCGAATCTAAAAATACCATTTTCTCCAGTTTGCTTTGTTTAATGAATTTGAATTGTAGATAACTAATCAATGAAACAATGGGAATAAGGTCATCAATGTTATGGAGATATCCTAGACAATCTATTATTCTGCTTAGAGTTTGTAGATTATCTTTGAGTATTAAAAATTTTAGAATGCTCTATTCCGTTTTTAAAACTAATTACTCCACGCATTAACTAACATATCAGATAATTGTTCATCACTCATCTCAGAACACGACTTTTGATGTACTTCTTGTAAAGCACATAAGCGCAGAATATACTCCAACAGAGAGAGAGAATTCGGGTTAGATAGATAAATTGAAGTTGTAGGATTAATGTTCAAAGAATGCATTGCATTTACGATTTCTTCTTCGCTCGAAGTTGTGTTCCTTGTATCTTTCGTTGTATTGCACTTAACCTTGCTCAATTTCTTGGAATATTCTTCCGAATCACTTGCTGATCTAGATTCCGAATTTAATTCGGTTTCTGAATCTGAAGATGCTTCCTCATAGACATCCATATACCTTTCTAATGCAATCCAATCTGTTGTCTGGGATTTCAAAGAATCTTTATTTGATTTATCCTCAGATCCATTGTCTAGAGAAACATCTCTTTCTGTCGACGATATCGAAGTACTAGAAGGTTCGTCTGTAGGAAACGTCTGCATTAACTGTACCGCAAGAACAGGCGATCTTGATTGAGGTATGTCTAACAATTTTCCGGAAACTGTGTAGCACAATATGGACATACAGTTTATTGGATATTCTATGGTGTTTCCACTTATGGAGCTCGATAAGTCTTTACCAAGTAGTTCTTCATGATATCGCCCATCATTCAAATCTTCTTCAATAATCAATACATACCGAAATCTTTCTTCGGAAACGAATCTTTTTACGTACACCGAACATTTAGGATATTCCTCCTTCCAAGAAACGTCGGAGGGACCATCACTTTGGTTAGAACGGTGAAAGGTATTATATAATGTGAGAACAAATTTTGGACCTATCTGCACATCCTTCTGAGTCTCCTCAAATTGTTTGTCGGATAACTCCAAGAAAGCTTGAGCTTGTAACAGGCGAGAAGGAGATAGCGACTCTTTCAGTGCTGAACTCAAAGTTACACCGGAAGTTGTAAGAGAAAGATTAATTAAGGGGATGGTCTGAATTTTTGGTTATATTCGTTAGAAATGCAAATAAAAATTTGATAAGGATTCCAAAGCATACCTGTTCGATTTCCTTTAGTAAACTTTCACAGCTAGTGTAGATGTCTTTCGATGCTTCTTCTAAATTTTCTTCATCTGGACTGAGTGAATCCTTTTCATTTACATATTCTGAAAATTCATCAATGTGGTCTCGAAGTCGTTGAATGAGAGGTACAAGATTTTGTAAACTCGAGTTTCCGCGAGCAGCACTGGAACATGTAAGTAATCTGACTTGTGAATAGTTTTTTGAATGGAAAGGAAGCTTTCAAAGTATGCTTTATCCGTCCTTGAGCTTCATTCCACGGCACATTACTAAATTATCATGCCACTTACATGAGTTCAATTAAATCGACAGCCGGAGTAATAGCCTAATATGTTAGCTGGAGTCCATTACGAACGTAAATGAGAATAAGAATAAGTTGTGTTTCGATTTACAAAGCAAGCGACAGTATGTACGCTCAACAAGATAAAAAAAATTAGAGTTTCAAACCTACCAAAATCTTTTGCTCAAGCCTTGATTTCACAAGGTCTAAATTATATTGGGAAGATTCAGGAGCCGACTGCTAATACAATAGTTAACAAAAGAAATCGAACTAGTCATTTACTACAAGCAGAAAAATAAGAAGTACCAAACTTACTTGAATAAACTTTGTGAGACGCTTTGCTGCTAACGATCCTGCCCAATTCACTCCTGTCCTAATTGCGTACGCAGTTGCATAAGTGGCAGCACTGGCCGTAACTTTTGTAAATATTTGATCCATCACAAAAGCACTATTTTGAAGTTTTAGATTTCCATGTACTATGTAGTTAAGCCGATCGCCCTAATTTTCTTTTTATATTTCTTTAACAGTGCTTTAGTTGCAATGAGGTTACAAATGATCTGCTACTTGGATCTAGTAATATTGCCAAATTCTCCGTTGAATAGTAACGTAAGCATAATACTAGGAAGTATTAATATAGATGTGAATGGAGTAAGGAAATGGTTGTTTGTACTGCAAAAGTTGTGATTGAATTCGAATTATTCTGAGTTCTATTCCAGCAAATAAATAAAAATTTCTGTCTCACAAATCACTGAATTTGTAAAAATTCTGGATTTGTATTACCAGTGTTTACTTTGTCTTGATTCAAGTAACGCCGTTAAACGATATAGTTTTTTATTACTATAAAGCATAGAAATAGTATGAGGGTTGTCACTTGTCACGGCAGAAATCTTACACCGTGTAACAATGTATTTTGAGCGGAAAATTGTTTTGTACGTGAATTGGACTTTGTTGTACTACGTGTATAGACGCTAGTAATGTTTATGGATACGAAACTAAGTGAAATGCTTGGAAGGCAATCTTATTTAACCAGACCAGTTGGATCTTCCAGTCTGAAGATTTCGACTGTGGACATATATAATTTTGCTCATTTAATAAGCAGAGAAAATTAACTAATACTCTTGGTAAATTCATTTAGGTTAAAACAATCTGGAATAATCATATACTCTCTTGTCATCAGAAATTTTATGTAAACAAACGAAAGTAACATACGAAGTAACGATAAGCAAAAGAAAACAAGAGTACAAAGAAATCATTCCCATTCAATTGGATGAAAGCCAAAGAGCTGCATTCAAAGAGCATATCCTGCATTCGCACCAAGGAAAACCTTTATGTATTAAAGTAACTAGGCGATTTTGATAATCCAATTGATATACCATTCGAAACGGTCGCAAGTCAAGCAGAAGCAAGCAAATTGTAGGAAGAGGTTGCAATAAAAATTCCTTTATATTCATACATACATGAATCTAATAAAAGCCATCTTTTGTAGCAAGATGTATGTTTTCATATTTATGAATAAAAAAAATCAACAAGTAGATTTCATGTACCTTAAAACACATACTGATCTCTCGTTAGTATGCACAATCCATAAATAATAGTGTTCAACACTACTTCACTATTGCGAAACCTGAGTATTGAGACCAAGTTGTAATGGTCTTCGTTTAAACGAAACTGAGGTTACACAGTTCGTACGTAAACAAACAAACGCGTCGTGTTTTTCTTTAGTTCATAAACATATATGGCATGGACGTGAACTTGCTTTCTACTCTTAAGCCAGCACATTCATTTCGCGATAACTCCATTGGATCCGTGTTAAGCAGTATAGATTTTGATGACAGAGGAGAGTATTTAGCAGCAGCATGTTCTGCAGACGGAGCAGTTCAGATTTATGATGCTCTGAATCCAAAGTTGATCAAAACAGTCTTTTGCCCAGAGATGGGACTGGAAATTGCACGGTTTACTCATCATTCCAAAAACTTGCTTTTGTCTACGAAAAAAACAAACAACAATCTTTATTATTATTCGACATTTGATGACAAGCTTATCTCAACTTTTCCAGGCCACTCCGACCGTGTTACGAACTTGGAAGTGTCTCCAATAGAAGATCAATTTGTGAGTACAAGTTATGATAATACTCTAAAACTATGGGACATCCATCGTACGCCTCGTTGTTTGGGATCGTTGGACTTGCCTTCGGCTGGCTTGCCTGCATACGATCCTACAGGACTTGTTTTTGCCGTAGCTTGCCATTCCTTATCTCGTATTTTTCTATATGATGCTCGAAAATATGACACAGAACCCTTTTCTACGTTTTCTATTAATGACTCTAGGTACCTATCTCGATTTTCTTTCCCTCCTTTGATGCCCGAATGGAGGCATATGGAGTTTTCCAATGATGGCAAGTTCATTCTTTTGTCCACCCGAGCAAATGTACATTATGTGTTGGATGCATTTTCTGGAGAAATTGTTTCGAGACTCGATGGTTTTCAAGATGTTCCTTCTTCCGACGCTTCTTTGGGTAGTTCCGTAACCTTTGCGCCTCAAGCGCCCTTTATCATCGGGGCTGCTAACGATAAAACTCTTAACATTTGGAATCTCAAACATCCTTCTCACCATAAGGGTAAGTCCAATCCACCAGAACGTCAAATCGTCGCCCAATCCCTCATCAAACCTTTCCTTGCCAAACATAATCCCCGTTATCATCAATTCATTACTGGCGGTTCACAATTAGTTTTCTGGCTTCCTGAAGATTTTGATTAAGTCTTTTACAATAATTGGTCAATCAACAATTCCTTTTTTTTTTTTTTTTTTTTTTTCAACCTACCTATCCTACATTCATGAACCGAAAAAGTCGTTTAGGGGTTGTTTCATTGAGGGTTGGTTTTCCAATTTACGTGGTTCACGACTCTTTCTCTTTCATGTTCTTTGCATATATGGTGCTCAATCATGCTAATATTCAAAATTTATCTATAATTACTTTGACAATAGACAAAGCATCTGGATTGATTGTGATACCTTCAAACTTCAGCTTGTGATAACTCCCTGGTTTTACTCTTTTTTATCGTTTTGGTCTATAGAAACTGGCTATATCTTTCAGTAGCTTGTCCATTATAGAATCTGTATAGACGCGTCTGTAATTTCCAAGTCTTCATCCTTTTCATAAACCTATTTTTGTAGACTTTAAATATTTTTATTATAATTTTTATTTAATAAACTCCATAGAAACACTACTTCATTGCTATTATGAAAACCTTGTAATTGCGAATGCACCTCTCCTTGTTACTATACGTCCACCTGCGATTCGTACATGAAAAAGTCAAAAACTCATGAGTTTTTCAGTAAGAAATGGAGAATATTTTAAAATATCCTGCATATGGTATGAAAAACATTCCAAAAACTTAATGCTAATGACAGAATGGGAACTTCTACAAAATACTCACTACCAGAGGGTATACAAAATTTTAATGTTTTTGAGCTAATTATGGAAAGATTAATCTGGGAAACACAATATGGGATCCTATTGACCCAGTTGCCTTTTCGACAGCAATTGCTCCTTGCGGAGGTGCAATAGGTATGCATGAGTATTCGTATAGAATATCTATCGCTTCTGACTATTCGTACGTATGAATACTAATGATTAGCTTTGACGAGATCCGATTCAAATATACAAAAGAACTTTAAATTTGAGGAAATACCCTTGTACTCCATATGTGTCTTTAGTTTGACAGGGAGTCATTTACAAACATTTACGGTAAGGGGCACTAATTCAATGCATTATTTTCCTGTTTTTATTAACTTTTTTTAAAGTGGGATAAAGTGTCTATTGCTGGCATGGGATGGAATGATAATGAGGAACTGATTGTTCTATCCAAACAGGGTCAAGTTCGCGTGTACAATATACTCGGTGAGTTCCATCAGTATTCCATTGGAAAAGGTATAGAAAAAATTGGTGTGAAAGAATGTCGGTTTTCTTCAGGTGCTGTGTTTGCACGTTTACAGGACGATTCTTTTATTTCTCTATCAGGTCTCGACGAACCAAGAAGAAAAAATTTCGCTAAAATCCCTTCTGAATTGATGGAGAATGGCAATTTAAGTTCATGGAATTTAATTCCAAATCAGTTCTCTCTTGATTTAGGTTATGATGTACTGGTCAGCATTGGTAATCAAATCCTTCAAATTGATGAACAAGATGTTCAAGTTCACAATATCCCCTCTTCAGGAACGATTCATCAATTTTCCGTGTCTCCTAATTCCAGATACATAGCTCTTTACGAAGATAAAGGGAAGATTCGCGTCATTTCTTCTGATTTTACAAAGGTTCTGTTGGATTTCCAACTCCCCGATACCATTTCAGAAGCAATTTTAAAGCAAATGACTTGGTGCAGTAATGATGCAGTTGTGCTCGTCCACGATAATCTCGTAACTCTCGTTGGACCTTTTGGGGGTTCCGTACCATTCCTGTACAATCAGACTCCCATCGTCTATTCTGAAATTGATGGTGTAAGGGTATTGAATAAAGAGAAATGTGAGTTTTTACGAAGAGTCCCTTCGTCTTTGGAACAAGTATTTGAGCTTCAATCCAGAAGTCCTGCTACGAGACTGGTCGAAGCTTCACAAAAGATGAAATCCAAATCAGTTTTTGCGGAAAAATTACTGTTGGAAATGAAAAACGACATGCACATAGCAGTTGATACTTGCACGCAGGCCGCTCTACATGAATTCTCTATTGAATGGCAAAAAGAATTATTAGAAGCTGCCTCTTTAGGAAAGAATACGTTGACAGCTTATAATCACCAAGAGTTTGTTGATATCAGCAGAGAAATGCGTGTTTTAAATTCTGCTCGTTCTCCAAGTATAGGTATTTATATTACACATGATCAACTTGAACATCTTGGTTTTGAACGACTTATTCAAAGAATTTCCAGGAGAAAGCAGTACGGAACCGCAGTTCAAGCAGCTCAATACTTAAATTTACCCTGCGACTGGGTCTATATTGAGTGGGCTCAAACGTATCTCAAGCAGTCCAACGAACCGGAAGATGTTGTACTGAATAATATAGTAGACAAGTTATCGAAAAGAAAGTTTATATCGTATGAAAAGGTTGCACGGACTGCTTATGAAGAAGGAAGAATTATGTTGTCTACCAAACTCCTTGACTTTGAACCGCTTGCCAATCATCAAGTCATGCTGCTGCTGAACATGGAGAGTTATGAACAAGCCATGAGTAGGGTCATTGAAACCTCTGATTATGACTTGATTCTGTACGTTATACTTCAAATAAAGCAACAGATGTCCATTGCCTCGTTCTTTCAAATATTAAATACTCATCCAAATGCTGCTCAAGTCTATGTAGAGTTTGCAAAGCAGAACGATCGGAAAACGCTTCATGATTTTTTTTATCAGGATGACGATCGTAAAGGCTTGGCGATTCTTGCTATTGAAGACACTTTGACAGTTAATACGTTTAATGAACGTATTGCCTCTCTGCAGACAGCCTCAAAGGTATGCGGCGAATCAAAAGAATTCGCATTGGAAAGTAAATTATTAGATGAACAGGTCAAGCTTTTACAATTAGAAGAAGCTTATGAAAGTCAGCTTGCGAGTAATTTCGTGGGACTTACAATTAATGAATTAATTGTTAAGCTGATAGAGCTGAACCAAAACCAGAAAGCCTCTAAAATACGATCAGAATTTGGTGTTCCCGAAAAAAGATTTTCATGGTTAAAGCTGCGTGCTCTTGTGGCTATAAGAGACTGGCTTCAAATTGAACAATGGGCTGCATCAATGCGCAGATCTCCTATTGGATTTGAACCTTTTGTAAATGAGATTTTGAGTGCTGGAAACAAAAGGGAAGCAGCAAAGTATATTCCACGTTGCACACAAATATCTACACAAGAGAAAGTAGATCTTTGGATACAGGTGGGTGATGTTAAAAGTGCTAGTGAAGAAGCCGCAGAAGCAAAAAGTGGTAATCTTCTTGGTGAGCTTTTAGAACGAGTTCAAAATATGCCGGAAAGCCGACTTGTGCAAAATGCACTTGGTCAATTACGACGCTGATGAAACAAAAAAATAACACTAAACACATACATATTATGCAATGTGATGATCCAAGTCTAGATTTCTAGCAGAAGGTTGCTAGGAAGGAGTCTATTTATTTGAGTAAATGAAATGAATATTAGCATTAATATTAGTTGTAAATTACTTCTGCATACATCGAGACTACATGAATTAATGATTCGCAGGAATCCGATTATCCTTATTTTAAACCAAGAATTTTATTTAGAAGCTATGTATTACTTTAATAATTCTTCTATTTCTTATTATAGGAAATATAAATTCGTGCGTGTCAATTGCTATGGTTTTAACCCAGCAATGATATTGACTCTTCTCCACTACATCTCACTTCGACATATTTCGGTGGCTTTAAAAAACCTGTTTTTTTATATACTTATTAGTTTTATTTAATATTCTAAAAGTTTCCTTATAAAAATGGTAGGCGTTTTGAAGATATAAAGGAGAAACTGACAAAGCAATTTAGGCATCTGCAATTCTTTTAGGAATCGGGATTGCTGCTTCTGCTGCAGTGGTATGTTATAGAAGCTGAAAAGGAAGCACAGAAAGGAAGATTAACCATGGAATTAGGGTAAAATTGGTATCGATGCATTTCGGAAATACCGTAATTTGAATGGTTCAGTAAAAAACTTTGTCAAAGGAGGTTTTGAACCAAAGATGTCAAGAACAGAAGCCATTCAGATTTTATCTCTCAATAATCGCGGTTTGACGCGTCAAAAAATAAAAAATGCCCATCGTCGTTTGATGCTGGCAAATCATCCAGACCGTGGTGGCAGTGCCTATGTAGCCAGCAAAGTAAATGAAGCAAAAGGAATATTGGATGCGGATCGCTCAATTCGCAATTTTAGTTCTTGGATTGTTCCTCCCTCTAGATCCGCACAAAAGATTCCAAGTGTTTCGGAAGCAGTCGAATGGATGCAACAACATTCCTTACATTCTCCAAGACAATAATTTTTTCACCTTATTATGACGCTGATAACTACCTTATCATTGAATCTTGGTAAATTAATCTGATGGTTAGCGTCTTACTTTAGTGAAAGGTATAAATTTTTAATATGTCACACTTTTTCTAGGGTTTTTGGTACCATTTATATCTTTGCATCGGTATGTTCCGTAAATTACTTTCAGCTTCATTATGCCTTTCAGGAGACATGATTTTGGTTTTTTACTGTTAAGTATGGGATCTTTTTCATTTTCTATATTTTATTAATCAATGATGAGGTTTTCTTGAACGTTATAAATGGTGAAATTATGTGAAATAAATTTAAACTGGAATAATCCTTGAAATTACTTACTATTAAACAGGTGGACATGGGTTTTGTATATCTATTTTAAGTCAAATGTTTAAATTGAACGCTAGTGTTGGATATTCCCTTTCTTATGTAGTAAAGATGCTGGTTTATGAACGTCTGATGCCAAGTCTAAACGTGTGAAGCAATGTTGCTCTCATCAATATACCTTCACGGGTCAACGCTTTCATTCGATAAACACTTCCTTGTAAATAATCTGTTATTTCCTCTTATATATTACTAAGCTTGTTTTCCTTTAATACCTTTTCGTTTTTTTTTTTTGTTTATTCTTTGAACAAAAGGCTGGTATTATTGACCAATCTAATTCTTCAGGACTAACTCGAAACTATTTAACGTTCGGTTAAAACAAAAGGAACATTTGCCAGCGTTACCATATTGCTGAATGAATTGAGTGAACCCGATATCATACTGACGTTCTTAGAACATTCAAAAATTTCCTATTCTAACGCTAACGATAAGGTATATATAACTAAAAGCTTCACCTCTACAAAGACAAACCTTTTCTACAAGAACGGTTACTATTATTTTTACAAAGTGTTTCAGTCTCTCAAACGTTTAGCAATGTCTTTTCAAGTTACTCCTATTTGGATGTGGAAGGGGTCTGGCAATAATTATGCTTACCTTTTAACCTGTGAGAAAACACGCGTGAGTGCTATTGTTGATCCTGCTGAACCATCCGCGTAAGTCAATATAGAAGTCACCCAAGAAAGACGGATTATTTGCCTTGGGTAGTTATTTAAAGAAATGGTTTAATAGATGCCGTATCGATAGTTATCAAATACAGACGAAGTCCGTCTTTCCAAGGTGTTTTATAAGACCTGTAATTAACTAGTTTTATTTTATACTAACGATGCTTATAGTGTACTTCCTATTTTGAAAAAAAAAGTCTCTTCGAAAGAGATAGACCTTCAATACGTTTTAACCACGCATCATCATTATGACCATGCAGGCGGCAACGGTGCTATTTTAACAGCTTTTCCCTCTCTCCAAGTCTTTGGCGGCAAAATGGCACAAGCGGTAACCCACACCCCCAAAGACAGGGAAACATTCAAGGTTGGTGAAGTCGAGGTGCAAGCTCTTCATACTCCCTGTCACACCCAAGATAGCATTTGCTATTACGTATCGTCTCCTTCCAAGCGTGCTGTTTTTACAGGAGACACTTTGTTTACCGCTGGTTGCGGTCGCTTTTTTGAAGGTGATGCTCGTGAAATGCATCATGCATTAAACACTGTTTTGGCTTCACTTCCTAATGACACTATCACGTATCCTGGTCATGAATACACCAAGTCTAATGCAAAGTTTGCTTCCTCTGTACTCTCTAACCCCGAACTCACGAAACTCGTTGATTTCTGTTCCAAGAACGAATCCACTACTGGTAAGTTTACCATCGGTGACGAAAAGCAATTTAACCCTTTCATGCACTTGGATGCTCCTGACGTTCAAAAAGCTGTCAAATCCAATGATCCTATCTCCATTATGAAGACTTTGAGATCTATGAAAAACAATTCTTAAACTGCTCCTTTGTATATAACTTAGTGAATCAGTTGTTTTTCAATGTAAAGTTTTTTTCTATTCTTTTTCTCGTTTTATCTCTAGCTATTATACGTCGTCGTACATATATGTATTTCAGTGTTAATTTTTTTTTTGCCTTTTTCATTAAGCAAAAAGACTGTCTTGAAATACGATCCTTATTTACTAATGCAGCTTTCCGCACTTTGTTAAAGGACCTTGGAAGTCCTAAAAACGGTCAATGTAGTGTAGAGTACCAATGTTAAATAGAAGATATTGTGTGTGTTTTTATTCGTAACGAAAACAAAAACTCTTCTTTTTTGTTTTCCGTTTATTTATTTATTTTAGCTCGTTCTTTTATTTTCGATACTCTCCTGTGGTTCGAATGAACGTTTAGAGCTTGGTGAATTCAGTTCACGTTCGTTTTCATTTTGTTCATCATGTCTTTCAGCTTCAAGTTAAGCAACCGTAGACGTCTAGCTTTCGTTAGTGTTTCTCTTTTCCTTGTTTTATACATTGTTTGGCATACATTTTCTCTGAGCACTTCGAATGATATTCAAGAGAGCCCATCTTTATTCGGTCAGGAAACGAAAAGCTCAATCGATATCTACGAGTCGAACAATCCTCATCATCAAATAGAGCAGAACGAACACATTCCCTCTACAACTACTCCTTCTTTTTCTACTACTACGTCGAACTCAATTGCAGTACCTGCTGATGTGACATCGACGACAAACCATGTTCAAGAGTGCACCGTTTCCTTTGATGGACAAAAGCCTGTCACCCAGTACGTGTTAATGATTGATGCTGGTTCCACCGGCTCTAGAGTACATGTATATCAATTTAACAACTGTAATCCTTCACCAAAATTAGAGGAGGAGTACTTCAAGATGATAGAGCCTGGTTTATCTTCCTTTGCAGGCAACCCTGATGGAGCCGCCGCTTCCTTAAATCCTCTATTGGAATTTGCATTAGAGCACGTTCCAGATGAACATAAGAAGTGTTCACCTATCGCCGTAAAAGCAACCGCTGGTCTTCGTCTTACCGGGGAGTCTGAAGCTCGAGCCATTTTGAATGCCGTAAAGTCACATCTCCTTGAAGATTATCCTTTTCCTTTGGCTGGGAAAGATAGTGTTTCCATTTTGGATGGAGCCATGGAAGGCGTTTACGCTTGGGTTACGATCAATTATCTTTTGGGGTCATTAAACGTTGGCTCTTCTGAATCGACTGTAGCTGTAATGGATCTTGGAGGGGCATCTACCCAACTTGTCTTTGAACCTCATTTCCCTAATCCTCAGCAGAAGCTATCTGAAGGTGATCACAAGTACGTTTTAGAGTACAACAACAGACAGTACGAGCTTTACCAATTCTCTCATCTTGGATATGGACTTAAGGAAGCTCGAAAGTTGATTCATAAGATTGTTGTCAACACTGCAGATATATTAAGAAATTCATTAGATACTGATGATGTACCTTATGAAATTACTCACCCATGCCTCCATTTGAATGCTTCCATGCAACACTCTTCCTCAACGAAAGACGGAGGGTCTGTAAACTTTGCTTTCAAGGGCCCTTCTTTAGCTCATTCTTCTTTACAATGCCGTGCCTTTGCTGAAAAAGTTTTGTATAAAGAAAAAGAATGCCAATTGGCACCCTGTTCTTTTAACGGCGTTCATCAGCCAAAGTTCACGGAAACGTTTAATGATGCTCCAATCTACTTAATTAGTTACTTTTATGATAGGCTGATTGATTTGGGTATGCCTAGTACATTTACTATTGAGGATATGAAGTATGTAGCGGATCGTGTCTGCAGTGGTCCTGACTCTTGGTTAGACGCTTTCTCTCTAACAAATTCTCTTGGTGCTTTAAAACAGGAACCTGAGTGGTGTTTGGATCTGAACTATATGATTTCCCTTTTGTCCGTTGGATATGAAATTCCTAACAATCGCCAACTGTATACGGCAAAGAAAATCAACAACAAAGAACTTGGTTGGTGTTTAGGTGCTAGTCTTTCTATTTTATCAGAGTCTAATGGTGAATTTAAGTGTACAATAACAGAAGAGGCATTGTAAAATGGCTTAATTTCTGTATAATACAATCTGGAAAATCGAATTTGTGGTTTTATTTTTTCTTTTATTTTCTACATCGTTTCAGCGATATTCGAGTTCTAGTTTCTTTTAATGGACTTTTCTCTATGCTTGTCTTATATCAAGACATCTCGAACTTGGGTATTAATTATCTTGCTTTCTTTGAAGAAGCCGATGTGTATATTGTTTTATAGTCCTCCTTAGTTAATTTTGGTTTGTTTCTTTAAATTTGGCTCCTTAACTTGGCAAATTGAATCTTGGATTCATTTCTAATCTGAGAAATGTGTTATAATTAATTCTTTAAATTGTATGAATAGATTTTTAATTCTCTTCACACTTTACGAATTATAGGTTTTGGTACATAGAATGTTGAATCTTTCTGACCGCAAAGTAAGAAACCTGAAATTGAGTTGTTTCCTAAAAGAGGTCAGAAACTGCAAAGTAAGTTTATTTCAAAATCATCTGAACAAAATATAAGCAAAGACGAGTTATATAGAGTCATTACCTACTAAGACAATAATCCGCTTGCCACCTGTCAAACATTCTCCAAGACCCGTCCTTATCCAAAAATAGTACAATTGGGGATGAGTAGTCAATTGGGACTTTAATAACTTTTATTTTGTATATTAAATGTTCTATTGGACTATTTGGAGTTGTACACCCGGTTGCTTTACAAATTGGTATTCAACATTATTCTGTTTTACTTTCGTTTAGTCTTATCCTTGCTAATAGCACAACTATCTGTTCTATTACTTACATTTATGAATTCAAACTAATTTTTATTTGGTTCTTATTTTTATGACAAAAGTTTGATTCATGAACACTGGAAAATCGAAACTTCAAGCGTGGAATTTAGCAAGAAGACTCTCGATTGTCAATTTACGATGTCGAATGCTTTATTCTGATCATAGCTCTCTACGATCGTATTTGCAGTATCTCAAGTGGAAAGAATGTTCATTGAAGACAACACTAGTTCAGGGAACTTTATTCGAATATCTTGTGAAAGACATACTAGAGAAACACTGCTTTGCTTTGAAACGATGTGGAGGCAAAGATGACAGGGGTATAGATCTTTTAGGTAAATTTCCCTTGGATGGCATTACAAAAGCTAAAGTAGCTGTTTCATGCAAGTCAAATAAAGGGGCCATAGGCCCAAGATATGTACGAGAACTGGAAGGTTCTCTTTCCTGGTGCCCGTCTGACACTTTAGGAATTTTGGCTTGTTTAAGCAACTTTACTTCAGCTTCCTTGAAGGCTGTTCAAGTTAGCGAACGCCCTTTAGCTGTTTGTCGAATATTTGTTAATCATCGAAGCAGTTATATGTTTCAATTTGCATGGAATTCAGCTGCCTCTATTATATTTAATGATATATCAGTTCGTCAATTGCATAACTCCAATATGTTCCTCGACACATCTGAGAAAGCTTCCTTGTTTTCTGATAAAATTATATCTACGGTACTTTGTAGCTCAGCTCCTTTCGAACATTGTCCAACACCAGTTGGACTTTTCTACAAAAACAAGCAAATTTCTCAATTTGCTTGATATATATATGAATTAATACTAATAGTCACCCGGTCTTATTTACTATTTGCATCTCTAATAAGCTTCAAGTAAAATTAATATACTTGTTCCTAGACAAAATGCCGATCTCCAGAAATATAGGATTACAAAGTAAAATTAATATGGTCTTCAGACAATTATTAAAAAGGTAATAAGTAAGAAAAAAGAAAAGGAAAGAGTAGAACATGTGTAGCATAGTAAGTTAAAAAAAAACTTTACAAATGCAACGCCATCGAAATCCAATGAGTATTCATGATCGGTTTGATTGCTTGACAAACTGATTTTTGGCATATAAGAAAATGAGCCAAAAGAAATATGCTCCCACCACGTTATGAATTAAGTATGGCTTTTCAGCACCATAAATTAAAGAATAAAACGCAAGAAAGAAGAGGAGAAGGTTATTTGAATAAAACTCTGCATCGCTCAAGCGAGGAGGTAGTTTACCTTTTCGAAGGATTTCTGTCATTATCATAAAAGGTATAATAGAGAAAAAATTGTGATGCGTAGGGAACGGAATATACCAATGCGTGGAAATGTTTCGTGCCCATACTAAAAGCACGGGAAAATCTATAGGAGCTAAAAGCAACATCAAAAAAGTTACCATTAGCGAAAAGTTGAAGAAACTCCAAAGCTTTTCCTGATGATGACTTGACCTTGTACATGCTCTTGCCAAAAACAAGCTTTTAGCAGTAGTCACAGACTGCGTAGCAAGCAGAATAACATATGCAATCTGGAACGGCACAACGGTCATAACTATAAATAATAGAATGGTATTTGAAATGAGCCGTGTCTGAAAATCCTTTCTTCCGTAAGTATATGCTAGGGACGGATTAGCATATATAGCATTCAAGACTGCCTCTGAAGTGTCAAATTTACTAAGATCAGCACTTTTCAACACAGAATTATCTCTCTTTTTCAGAAAGACATATATTAGTTTCATGTACATAAAAAAAGCTTGTGCTATTCCTTTTATGGAAGACTTTCGAAGTTTTAAATAAAAGCCGTAGAAGTAAGAAAGAATATGGATAAAAACCGAAAAAATGAATGTACAGGTAACGACTAACCCAACGAACATAAACGTTAGAATAGGTGCTAAAACCCAAAATTGAGGTGATTGCAAACCAAATAACAAGTGATTTTGTTTCCAAAATGAATTCAATACCATTGCAGCGGAATCCCGCCATGAGCTATCCGGGTCAGCACCATCTGGTAAAGCCGTAGATACACGACTCGTTGAGTAGGAGGTGACTATGGAGAGAATGGAAACAAAAACGAGTAGCTTTACCAAACCTCTACGAACAATGATTTCTAGTGCCGTGTTCATGTTCAGAAATGTTGAGCCGTAGTGGAAATAGCGGAACTGGCAGTATGCAGCAAAAGCAACAATTACAACCGGAAACGAGCCCAGCAAAGTACGATAACGCATCAATAAACGACCTGCACTACCATAATAGTCCGGAAGTAGAGTTACATGAAGTTTTTTGTAGACAAAAGGATTTGCAATGAATTCCATAACAAGCGACTTTTCAGATTCCTTGCCAAAGTATTCCATAAATGGAGAAATTCCATGTAGAGAAATGTCCGTTTCTGTTACATTCACGTAGAATTTCGTTTCATAAGGAGATTCTAAACTTTGTTTCAACATAGGGGTGAAAGTTGTCTGTAATTCTTTCCCATCATGAAGCTCATAACTAAGCTTAATTTTGTAAGCTAATAAAGAACTTTGTATACCCAGAAACTGAAATTTATTGGACAATGAGTTAGATGTATCAAACGAAAAGTCGATTCCACGCTTAAACAGTTGACTTTGAGACTTCTTTATCACTAAAGGATCGGAGGATTTATTGGCAAATCCACCAACTAAAAAGTGATCATTTGGCTCCATCAAATCATCAGTGACCAAAATTAAGTGATATTCATTAAGTTGCTCCTTTGAAAGTTTAAAAGTATAAAATACCTTACCGCTGTAAGGAGTATCGGTGTCAATTCTGGATGCAGGAATAAGTGTAATCGCATCTCTTAATAATTCGCAAACAATGGGCAAGGGTTCTCCAGATTCTGACTTGTTCAATTCCGGCAATGATGTACCAGTTTTCGGATCAAGACGACAAGCCAAGACTTTAACTTTAGAGTTTACAGTATCTATAGGATAACTAGTTAAAAGCTCAAAATACTCGATATTATCTGGGACAGTTGGAATAGGATATACATGCTGACGTATTGTGCTTGTCCCAAATTGATCTAACATAAATGGTTTACCGGGCTCATTATTGTACACAACGGTATTACCACATTCAAGTTTGTTATGCGAGCTTACAGGATCAGATATTTGAGTCAAATCGTTGTCCAAAGAAGAACCTTGAATATAGGTATGTGACAACAGCTCTTTCCTTTCAGCAAGTGATACTGTTCCTGTAGGTTGTCTAGCATCCACAATCGCAAACAAACCACGAATTAAGACCCTTCGAAAACTTTCACACCAAGCCATAGCCTGGTGATCAATTTCAGCCCAAACGAATGGAATGCCCGAAGTAAAAACACTGAGGGTATTCGACGGAGGAGCAAATGCAGTTACTGCTGAATATTCAGGAACAATATTCGTGTCTAAACCTCCTCCAGCAACGGATACTAGAAGAGTGTCGCGCAAAGAATTTTCTTCAGCAGGAAGTAAAAACGAATTTAACCAGTATGCTTTAATGGCCTCATAGAATTCGACCATTTGGCGATCAAAAGGAAGAGGCGCCATAGCATGAGGTGCAGCTAAGGTAATTAAAGTATTTATCGAGCCCTCCGCATAGTTTTTTAGAGAAAATGCAGCTTGACCAATGATTCCTCCCATGGAGTGACCCAAAATCATTACAGAAGTAGGAAGCGGTAAGGATTCGTCGTTTGGATAATCGGAAGTTTTTCGAGTACTCTGATACAAGGAAAGGATGTATGTTATGGCATCATTGACATACTCTGCTTGATTCAGAAGAGTTTGTCCGTGAAATGCAGAGAAGTCTTCGTTAAAATCAACAGCAAAGAAATCAAGCTCCCTTTTTCCGGAGTTTAGCGTGCCCTCGGGATCTTCTGCGACTGCATCAGCAAATACATTCGCTGCTTGAGCGGCAAAGGCGCGTACCTGTTTGTAACTTCCGGCATTTCCTGGAATGAAAAGAACGGGTACACCGGTCGGTTTATCGTTTCCATAAACGCTTCTTTCACGGTAAAGGTAAAGAGTATACCTGTCTGCAAAACGAGTATATCGATTGTCAAAGTCTAGAAACCTTGCATAGGAAGGCCATACAGTAGCAGTTTCACAACTCTTGTCTTGAGGACGACTAATGAATGAATGTAAGATCAAACATAAAAGCGCAACTGAGATTAACGCTACATAAAAAGAGAATCCACGTAATATCCTAGCAAAAATGTTACCATTTGGTATTGGAATATCTTTCTCAAGAGGTTTCGGAGTGCTCCGTCCTGAAGACGACGAAGAGGAAGGAGGCATATCTCGCTTGGAATATGTAACTTCTTTTTCAATATTCATATAGTATGAGTCATCGCGTTTAAAAAGGAATTTCTGAAAGTCTGCTGGATTCATTTCATACGTACTTATAGGCCGATCCGTATCGTCCGTCATAGTCTCGCTTGTTTGAAGCTAACGGCTGCCCCAAGCAATTCGTAATTAAATTAGTTGTGAATTTCTGAGTTTGTAATAAAATAAGGAAAGTAAGAAATCCCTTTGGAAAGTATTAATTTTTATTTGTAGAGACTTAATGTTAGTTCGTCTTAGCTGTGTAAATAAACAAGGGAAAACGAAAAGCCAATAAACGAATTTCAAAACTTTTGTAAATAAATCAAGTTGTTTTTTTTTTCCTTCCTGTTAGCAGAAGCCAGTAAAATCACGGTTTTAAGGACCTATTAAATGATACTCTAAAAGCTGTCAATTCACACTGTTTCCAGTAGCGATGTTTATTGATGAGAAAAATAAAGAGAACAAAGAATAGTAATCCAAGTGTCGCCTTGCAATTCTTGTTCACGAATGAATAATTCAGTAAAACGCCTTAACTGTCGATTAATCTTCCGGTGCAGAAAGAGAAATATCAAGGTATAAATTAAGATCAAGAAAAAAAAAGCAACCGTATTATTTCAGAAGCAGTTCATATATGATAGGTTCACGGATTGAACACTATTTATGAAATATTAATGTATAGAAGAGAGATTTAAACCGTTTTTGAAGGTTGAAACTTGATTAAAGGAATTTCATAAAGAGAAGGTGTTCAAATCTGTGTGGCTCATTCCAAATCCTTTATGAAAGCAACACACTTTTCACATTTAAGTATAGATATACAAATTACAGTTAAAATGGAAACAGGTAAAGGAAATAATATATTTAGTAACGTAACTATTATTAAAATAAACCCATTGAGCAACACAAGTTCATGCAACTTGGTACTTCCTATATTAGTTAAGACATTATAGAAGAAAGATAAAAAGGTTCTATGGTATTAAGTTAAACATGCGTTGACATTGCACATCTGATTCTACATTGCCGGTAACACTTGAATTATTTATAACCGGTCCATAATCGAATGAGAAAACAACAAAAGAAATAACTAGAACATTAACCAGAGTTCCCCTTGTCTATCTCAACAAATGGTCAATTGGACCAGATACTGCATCGGAAAACCGCAACATCTAGAGAGAAATAATAAGATTCAGCAACGCTCTAAAAGTGAAATCAGCCAATTAGACTTTTAGAAGTCCTTATTAATGGTAGAAATGAAAAGAAGAGACTTTATGAAGCACGATTTTAGCAACTTGTGAAAAATGCATTTGACGATGCAAATAGCAAACGTTCAAATATAACCGGTGTTATATCTTCCTTTACAGAGGAAGATGTATGCGGAGAGTTGGCATTTAGGGGAGTTAATTCAGTAAATTTATGACCAGGAGAGGGAAATGAAGATAGTCGATGTAGAGTCATCTTCGATTGCGGATATATACTGGAAGCGGGTTGCACAGTCCCATAACTTTGAAAGCCATTGTCCATGACATTAGTATTATTCAAATTTTGATCGTCTTTCAAGGACTCATCAACTTTTATTTGAACAATATCATCAACAACATATAAATTAGGTCGATCAAGTAAGTCTATAATATTTGTAAGAGGATCCTTGAGGGTTTCGACAATATTATAAGCTTGCCCTTTAACTAAATAAAGCTGATTTTTGTACATTTTTTCGTCAAAATCTTCATCTTTGGAAAATGTATTACGGAGTTCCTCCGATACGCTTTCCCACCATTCTCTGCTTGTAATTTTGTGTAAAAAGAGTTGTCTAGTAAATTCAGTAAAGGGTTGAGTTAATATGGAACGCGGTAATGATAACCAGCCATAGGGAAATGATCTCCAAGAATCGGGGTGCTTATAAGGAAATGCAAGAGAATTATCTATAGCACCAATATGAAAGTGAGCACCCTTCCAGAAATCATGTGTAGAATTAGAAAAGTTCATAGGAGAGGAGGATATAGCAGGTGTTAAATTATTTGAAAGGATATGAACGGATTTGAAGTATTCGGGATCGTTGCAAGGGTCATAACAAACTTTAATCATCCAATTGTCTAAATTACGATCTGTGTTACGCATCAGGTAGTCTAATAGCACAAGTTTTTCGAATTCAAACCGAAACTTGAGGCGCATGTCTTCTGTCCAAAAGTCAGTTTCAACTTCATTTTCAGCCAAAAATGGATCAAAGATGTCAAAGTCCTGGCTTGAGCCAACAGACTCTGCATAATCGCGATGTTCTCGATGTCTGGTGCCTGGCCATGGATGGGACTCTAGGAACTGAGAAGCTAAAGTATAGCCATCAAGGAATTGTTGAAAAGATCCAAGCTTTAACGGAAGACTTTTGTTTTTAGAAAGAAAGGCTTTTCGAGCGAAATAGTCATAATTGAATGTAGGTGAAGCTAAAGAAACTACTCCGGTGTAAGGCACGATGTAAAGACCAAGGCTACGATCCAAAAGACAAGCAGCCGCTTCTGAAAGATAACATAGATTTGGTATTAGACAACTTCTACCAAAAAAGCAGGGAAACAGATTTCTGTGAAACCATTTTGTCCATTTTGGATTCAATTTGCCATAGGGTTCTTCATCTTTAGGCTTGAAAACTGCTATAATTCTCCCTTGATCGTTATTTACAAAGTAAGACCCAGAAGAGCCTTTTGAAATCAGGCATGGAAAGATGTGTTTATCAATAGCCTGCTTTGCTTCTGACAGAGACTTTTCAAAGTCACGAAGGTCATGCCCGGAATGATGAGGATAAGCCTTCCATTGCTTTTCTGCATGCAATATGGAGGGCGGACAGGCAAATACCGAGTAAAAAACCTTCGGTGCTTTGGGTTTCTCGGGTACCTTTTTCCTAGTCTGAAGTGTTTTTGTCAATTGATTCGCCCATTGTCCGAGCTTCGATTGAGAAATCAAGAATTTCAGGATTTTAAATACTTCATCTTCCTCATCTTCCTGCGGTAAAAGAACGCTAGTACTCGTGGAAGACAAGGAAGAGGTCTCATCATCATCATCATCATCACTGTAGCTTGCCTGGAAACTGAAATTGTTGTCGTGAAATCTAGGAAAAGAAGCAAGTGTATTCCTAGTGGATCCGGGTTCCATCCCCGTCCAATAAATTCGCTGTATATCCTTTCGCTTTCCTGTATTTTTGTCTAAACTACGCTACGCTAGTCCAGATGTCAATTGTTTTCGTCAAGAGATGACAGTTCCAAAAATTTACGAGAGAGCGAACCACTTTTTTGAAACCAATATCGCAAAATTGTTATAAAAAAGTACACAAATTGAATTTTATAAAACCAAACTAAAGCATGTTCGTTTCGTAGAGTTTTGTAGCATCTTGCAAGTGAGATTCCAAAGGTGAATAACAGGTAACACTGTTACTGAATATGCAACATGAATTTGACATACTCCCATACTAGGTTTTCCAGTTTTTCGTGAATTAATTTTCTTTTATTTTCCTTTATTCTGTTTTTTTTTTATATCATTCAAAGAAAAATAGAAGAATAGTTAGGGATTCAATGATCATTAATGAGCTTGTTTAATTGAAAGTGCCTGTCTATTATAATAGTTTAGATACAGACATTTAGAAACCGAGGAATAACATCTTATTGGAGATAATTCAAGGAGAAGAAGACTTACACTCTATACAATAACCGTTTGCTTTTTATTTGCCATATTAAAAATGGGTTTGTTGACATGACGCTTATCATCGAAATAAGTACCTTTAAAGTTCGCTTAAGCAAACCATTCGATCTACTCTGGTTATTTCAATCAATTTAAAAAAACATTAACTGAAACGTACTGTTTTATTCTCACAATTATTTTATTATCAATTTTCCTTTACGCTTCATCGTTGTCCTTGTTATCGAAAGTTCGCATAACCAAAGTGCATTCAATCCAGTTCGATGACTGAGAAGACTTACCATATTAGTATACCTGTTCATAAAGTACAGCTACATAAACTTATTATGATCCACTAAAATCAAGGATTGTATGTGTATCTCTCGCCAAAGACCGAATATGAGAATATTTTTAAGTTGACAGAGATTCTGGATTGCTATAGAAACAGTTCTCTTTAGGTAGTCTTATAATAATCTGGGACTTCGGTTCGTTGCATGTAATTTTAGTTCAAAATTTCAAAAGCAAGTAATATTCTGCCTATTACTTGCTGTGTTTACTTCGAGTAAACATGTAATTTTCCATCATTTTTCAAACCCATATGATTTCATCTTTTATTTCCGTTTGTACATAGTATTTTTTCTGTACAATATTGGCTCTTTAATCCTTTCTTACCGTAAACACTTTTACAAAACAAGGACTCTATAGTTGAATCCTGTTTTCATGGCATGGAGTATATAAAAAAATACCAAAAGGTGATAAAATCTGTAGAAGAGCTTAAATATATAGAGGAAAGAGAGACCTTCTTGTCAAGCGTTTTCCACAATGAGTCACTGGACATGGTTGAGTTTTCTTTCGAAGACCTTTCGTACATGACGAACAGAACACATGCCCACACTTTGAAGCAAATATTGAAGTTGTTCCGTTATTGACTAGTTCCGTCTTACATTGAATACATACCAAATGCATATCTGGTTTTACATCGTAAGTGAAGCCAGAGGCTGGTACTGGTTTTGCTGACTGCGGTTGGGTTTTCGCAGAAGAATGATTTATTAATCTCTGTAATGAACCTCTTCTTCTTTGTCTCGTCCAAAAAATGCCACCGCCTACAGATATTGGAGGCCGGCTTACTGGGTCCGGAATAGAACGCATAGACGGGGTCTCTTCATTCGCAACATCACTTTCAAATCTACGTCTTCTTCTAGGCCTATGTTCTGATATCCTAGTTAAATCCAAGAAAGGCACTTCTGAAACTTCTTCATCTGCAATTGGATCATGGATCTCTTCAGTTAAATCAATCACTTCTGGTGACAACGCATGTTCTCTTCCTGGTACTAATCATTTCATTAGTTAGTGATCTCTGCATCTTCTTGCAAAAAGAGAAGGGTCCTTACGCTGCAGGCCTTGCAAATTCATAAAGTGAGAACCATGAATAAGGCTTTTTTAATAATGATTTTTATTTTGGGTGTTTTTTTTTATTAGAAAACCAAAAAACAAGCATAAAAAGAAAGTTGCTATTGGATAAAATTTAGTGTTTTTACGAGGATAGGACTATTCAACCGCTTTTCGCAGGCAACTTTGCAGGCAACTAACAAAAAGGAAATGACATGCTATATTTCTCTCAAGAATGCCAACGATAATTTACGAGTCAACCACTATAAAAGTATTTAGTAGGATATAACAGTTTCAAAAAAAGTGGTTGTTTTCTTGAAATTCTCAATTGTCTTGGAAGTCCTCACCACCAAATCTGAAAAAGAGCACTTGCAAGCAACAGTAAGTTTCATTTAGGGGATTTAATCGAATAGAAATTTTCATGTCAAGTCTTTCTAGCTCTCCAATTGCTGAAGAACCTGTAGAAGCTGTTCCTTTTACTTTTGGAAAACAGACTCAATCTCATAACGCGGCTGCCCTAGTAGAGCGCTTTGCTCGACCAGAAGATTGTAATAGACTTTTAAGGACTAAAAAATCCAAAGAGAGAGAAAGTTTCCTTGGTGATAATGGTGCCGATACTTCAAAATCTGATTCTGACTCTGACTCTGACTCTGAGGGATGGGATAGTGAAGATGAGACTGTAGGTTCTGAGCTAGGTATTCCCTGTTCTCATCAGGTTGTTTTTCCTAGTCATTCGAAGGTATGTAGAAGTTCTCATATGATAACCTTCAGTGAGTGTTCTAACTCTTTACATAGATTGTATCCACAACAACATTTGATAACAGTGGAACTAGGTTCTACACTGGATCTACAGATAATACGATTTGTTGTTGGGATTTTGGCGGATTAGACGCCTCTCATCCTCGTCCTTTCCATATCATTGATCCAACAGACACAAATGCTGATAATGTAGGTCGCTACCCTGTAAAGAAACTCGATTGCTCCAAAAAAAACCAAATTTTGGCCTTATTTAATCATTCTCGGCCCATCCTTTATGATCGGAATGGAACATATATAGCTCAATTTGCAAAAGGTGACCAGTACATACGAGATATGTACCATACGAAGGGTCACATTTCAGAAATAGAAGACGGTAGTTGGCAACCAAATAGTGCTCAATTCTTTCTGACCTGCGGTGCTGACAATACCGCTAGGATATGGGATGTAAACCGAACAAAGTCGCAAATTGAGGTATTTTCTCATATATCTGAAAATGTCAGGGCCGGAATGGCGAGAACGCCGTTAAATCGTTGTGCTTGGAATCCAGTTGATACTAACCAGTTTGTAACTGCTGCATATGATGGAAATTTGGAAATTTGGCAAAGAGGTTCCCGAACTCGTCACCCATCTCTGAAAATTCCTCAAGCTCACACATCACAAGTCCGCGCTACTTCGTTAAATTATTCAGAAGATGGGATTTACCTTCTTGGTCGTTTTGAAGATGATGTTCTATCCCTATGGGACATAAGAAATACGAAAAATCCACTACATCAGCTATCGAATGTACCCACTCCAAGAGCTGGTGGGAACGCTATATTTTCTCCAAACCGAAAACACATTCTATTAGGAACAGCGGCTACTGAAGATATCAATGGAAGTTTACTTGTCTTGGATGCACTTACCTTTGAGCAGGATGCTATATTAACTTTCAATGCTCAAAACAGCGTTCGTCATTCAATTACTGCTGTATCTTGGAACGAAAAAATAAACCAGATTGGTATTGGGATGTCTATGGGAGACTCTATTATTTTATTTTCTGCATCTGAGTCTGTTCGGGGTATTAAAGATTCTGCTTCTAAACCACCAAAAGTAAAGCATGTCGATGATGATTTACAAAATACGGTACATATTAATGCTTTAAGCGGCTCTGTCGGAGGAGTCAATGACTTTGGGTTGGTTGAGGAAACAAACGATTCAGTAACAAACTATTACTTTAATGCTCGTCGCCAACGTAATGCAGCCCGGAAAGATCCCAAGCGCTCTCGACAGCCTGAGCTTGGCCGCCTGGTCGAAGAAAATAATACCAGCGACGTTCCCCTAGCGGCTATGAAAGACGAGGATCCTCGAGAGGCTTTATTCAAGTATGCCGATGTTGCCGAATCTGAACCAATGTTTACCAGAATGTATACGCAAACACAACCAAAACCTCTATATCAAAGTTTTTCTGAAGACGAATCTGGGCAAGATAAGACTTTTTCAAAAAAACAAAAAACTAAATAAATATGTACGAACAAAGATGAGATCCTTGATATACATTAGCAAGAATGGTTTGCAAATGAAAAGTTGATGATATTTCTGGAATAATTTTGCGAACTCTTATGTACATAAAGAAAGAATGCTATACCATTCATTATTTATTAACAGAAAGCCTGATATCCAAAACCAAAAGCAACATTTCAGATATGAAAGAATGTGTACCATCTATAGAAAGTTAAGTCTAAGAAACGAAACAAGAAAACAAAATGACCATTATTAGAATTATGAGGATTCAGATATTTCATGTTTAACCCAGCCTTCAAGACCTCCACGAACGAAAAGACTTTGTACAGAGTTACCAAGCTCGCCAATTCGCCAGGATAGTTTCTTTCCATCAGCAGTACTGATTTCAACAAGGCTTTTACGAACATCCCAATTCAGATGCCAACCTGTACGGCGAGTAAGTTCTTTGGGACTCTTTGCGAAAGCTGTACGAAGTTTCTGAATAAGCTCCGGCAATTGAACAGCCAATAAGGCATTATTAATAGAGTTACGTTTAAAAATATCACTAAAAGATCCACCGACGACGAGAGGAATTCCTCGAGATAATATAGCAGTGGCTGCTTGTTCACGACTAGAACCACAACCAAAGTTGAAACCACTTACTAAGATATCATTAGGCATTGTTTTCTTTCCAAAATCGACATCGTAATTTTCCATGCAAACTTTAGCCATCTCTTCTTTGGATATGTCATCTCTATAGGTATAACGACCAGGATAAATGCCATCAGTATTCAAGTTGTCAGCATCACAAAATACGATTTCACCGGATACAGAAGCAGGGAAACCTTCAATAATGGCAGTCTCAGAATCAGATACACCAGCCTCATTCATTGAATTACTGCCGGTGTTCATTTTCTCAGTGATATCAATAGCAGAAACTTGATGAACAGAATCCTTAAATCCTTCGGGAGCAACAATCTTTCCAGAAATAGCAGAAGCAGCCACAACAGCAGGAGAAGCTAAATAAGCTAAAGCCTCACGGCTACCCATACGACCCTTAAAGTTACGATTTGTGGCACTGATTCCAACTTCACCTTCCTTTAATAATCCGGTACCTAGACCGATACAAGGACCGCAACCAGCAGGGAGAGCACGAGCGCCACTATCGATAAGAACTTGCCAATCGCCATTGTTCTTGGCTGCCTCCTCCACTTCACTTGATGCGGCACCGACATAGAATTCTACACCATCAGCAACCTTCTTGCCGCGAACTACTTCAGCAGCATCATGTATATCGGAAAGTCGGCCATTCGTACAGGAAACTAAATAAGCCTTTTTTATTGGAATATTTTCCCCTTCAAGTTTGGCAGCGGAATTGTAAACTTTTACAGAATTTGGTCCAGAGACGACAGGAGAAAGAGTGCCAAGGTCCAAAGTAAGATACTTAGCATAATAAGCGCCTTCATCAGGGATAATTGGATTGGATTTCATATCATCAAGTGCTTTGCGGTTGACTCTTGGATGATTAAGGCCTAAAAATGCGAGACGATTTTCGTACCATTCAAAGACCTTATTGTCAGTAGGAAACAAACCAGAGAGTGCCCCCCACTCCGTAGTCATATTGGCAATGGTAAGACGAGAGTCAATGTCCAAACTGCTTAGGCCCTCACCAGAAAACTCAATGGCATGGTTTAAGACTTCGTCATGATTGAAAGCACCACAAAGAGAGACAATGATATCTTTCCCTGATAAACCCTTGGGTAATTGGCCAACAAGATTAACACGAGCAATGGGTGGAATCTGCCACCAAGTTTGGCCTGTAGCCCAAATAGCAGCTGCATCTGTACGAACAATAGGGGTGCCTAAACAACCAACGCCACCGTAGGTATTGGAATGTGAATCACTAGCGACAGCTAAGCTACCAGGCATTGCGTATCCTTGTTCAACCATAATCTGATGACCAATGCCTCGACCAGCAGGATAGAAATCAATACCCTGCCCTTTCGCAAAAGCCTCAATGTTTCTGTACTTACGCTGATTCGCTTCACTCATATTTTGGACATCGTGATCCAAAGTACAAACTACTTGACGATTATCAAATACTCTTTCAGCACCAATACCCATAAACTTCAATGCGACCGGCCAAGAATTATCGTGTGACATACAATGCTTTGGTTTGATTGTCACATAATCACCGGAACGAACAAACTTTCCCTCAGGAAGGTTCTGCGCAAACCTTTGGACGATCTTTTCAGTAATCGTTTGAGAAGGTTTCTTTACCGTGGCATAGCCACGAAAAGAGTAAGAGAACCCCTTTAAATGGACTTTTGTCTGACCAATGCGCAACATTTGCATTGGATCCCTATATGCTCGCAAAGGTTAGAATTGCAGATGGCGATATCAATTTACAAAATAGGGAAGGGAGAGACATATTTTGTCCAGTAAAATGAGATTCATTTGGATAAGGATCAGTGCTATTTTCGCTTATATTGAAAATACTGTTGCGAAGCGTTTCGTTAAAAAGTAAACAAAAGAGGTTAATGAGGTAGAAAGCAAATTGGAAGAATTGAGCAAAAATGAAATTTGATAGTTTGAGAGTAAATTCTTTTTGGAATCAGAGGAAATATATTCCTAAATAAACGCGGTAACTCATGTCGTTAACGAATAGAAAAATTATAAGTAATTTGAGACATGTTCCTTATACCCTTTATTACCAAATGAAGATTTAATCAAACCAAACAAAACAGAAAAGACTAAGCAGTCTCCTTTCTTCTTTCCATGGCTGCTTTCTTTGCAGCTTCAATCCGCTCTTGTCGAGTGGCTCGCTCTTTCATTCGACGAACTGTCATTTTATGTTTTCGACTTTGAAGATGAGTTTGCCATGCATCTTCACCAATAGCAACAAAAGGATGTCCAGTCTTGTCTAAACAAACATCACAGGTGAATTTTGTGCTGAAAGTATCTTTATCCTGTGTTAGGAGGGTTTTTTTAACTTTTTCCAAAACTCCTTGTTCTTCTTCTGTCATAGGAGGAAGCTTTTGATTATTGAAAAAACAAGAGAACACATTGCAAGAACGTTCTACTTGTTCGTGCCATTTTTGTAAGTTAGTAGTATTTGCGACTGAAAATAGAATAGACGACGGTCGTAACTTTTGTTCGGAGACACAAAGAGGTAAAAGTCGATTCAAAATCCATTTCTTTTGATATTTGGCATATTGCTTGGTGGATATCTTCATCTTATCTAAACATGCTTGGAATGTTTCTTGAGAAGAATTCTGAAACCAGGGTTCAAACTCTTTAAAACCTATACATTGCCAAATTCCTCTGGTAAGATCTGGTGTAAATCCGTTTTCATTAATGACAGATTTCATGCTCTGTATCTCATTCATGAGTCCTTGATGTAGCATTTTATCTACTCGAGTATCCAAACGAGGCATCAAGACATCATTTTCCGCATTCGCCCAAAATAATAGCGTTTTATACTTCAACTTTGACTTCTTTATGCTAGACTGTTCTTTGTATATATCGGACGGCCGCTTTCCCGTGTGGAAATAAATCTCTAAGCTTCTGCGGATCTTGCGTACATCCCGAGGATGCCAACGTTCCGCCATTAGTGGGTCAACTTTTTGCAAATAAGGAAACATCAGATCCGCATTTTCATCATTTAATATCCCTTCATCGGGATGTTTGACTTTATGCGATAAAGGAGGATCAATTGATGAAAGGGTAGAATCTTCAAACAATAAAGACTGCAAATAGTAGTTAGTCCCGCCTACTAGGATTGGAACTTTCCCTTGCGCGTGCAAGCCATCGATGATTCTCCTTGCGTCCTTTTCAAAATTGGGAACACTATATTCTTGATCATAGTTTAGGAAGGACATGAGATGATGAGTGACATTTTCTTGTTCCTCATGTGATATTTTGTTTGTTATCGTATCAAACCCTCGATACACTTGCATAGAATCCGCATTGATAACTTCTGTTCCAAACTTTTTGGCTAGCTGGACAGCCAAATCGGATTTTCCAGCACCCGTGGTTCCACAGACAATACAAATAGGTTTCAACATCAAGCTTTTCAACCGTAATAAATTTACATTAAATAGTAAGACATTCTGCAGCTTTTTACTGGTACTATCTAACAGACGTTGAGAATGTACTATGACTATAGGATAAGATTATTTTTTATACTCCTGATTTAAAGGTGATAATACTAAAGAGGTTCTATTTTTATTTGTTACCTCTTAACTAACGGTTCATTGAAAAGGAATATATAATTGGAATGAAATATTAGCCTGCTTATTTTTATACCCAAGTGAATCGCTAATTCTCATCGTCAGCTTTTCCTTAAGTTATCTCCTTAAATGTGTTGCTTGAGGAATATCAAGGTGTGTTTAACTACATCATTAGTTATAAAAATGAAGAATCGTTCCAAGTCTGTGTCATTCAAGCGAAGGGTTCAAAGATCACTTCAAGTAATAATAGTAAGGACGTACCATGCTCTGTGTTGAAAGTATTTCTAGTTCACTTGAAGTAATGGAGCTTGATAAAAGCAACCATAACCTTACTTGAGCTCCTATAAGAGTAACTTTTACTACTTAAATCACAAAATTAATGATGATTTGTCAATCCATTTCATATTTCTCTACACACTCAAGAAAATTCAACTATTTCCTTCCATATATACAAAATTTAACACGGTGTATATATTGCCAAAATCCTGATTTTGTATAACGCTATAGAGTATATTGGTTCACAACGCTCCCTTGTGCTCGATTAGAATAAAACGAAGGAAAATACACATTTAAAGAACATTCAATCTACAACTAGTTTGTCAGCTATAAAATTCGTTGAAACAATGATGTTATATGCTTCTTTCTTGGTCCATGGTGACGAGAACATGATCAATTAAGGCGTGAAAAACAAAAAGATAAACAGAAAAAAGAATGAGTAGAAAGAAGAGCTAATTTAAATCGTTAAATAGATTTTTAAACACTCTACGATGATGCAGGAAAACTCATATTCTATGGATTAATGTAAAATATGATCACAATATAAACTAAACCGTCAGATAATTCACAATAAACTGTTTGTAAAGACAAAGTAGTTGTCTACGGCCACACCTAGGCGAAAACACCAGTTCCCGTCCGATCACTGCAGTTAAGCGTCTGAGGGCCTCGTTAGTACTATGGTTGGAGACAACATGGGAATCCGGGGTGCTGTAGGCTTTTCCTTTTTTATAACTTTTATTTGGTACCGTTTTATAAAAAATTTCTTTTAAGTAAATTTCCAGTTACAAAGGTTTCGCTAGTCGAGCTGGCCAAAATTCCCTTACAGTTTAATAGGTCAACTAGTCAACTACTTGTTTTGGAAATTCTACATATAGTGAATATGCCATCCAACCTCAATTGACTTTTAAAAAAGTGTGCAACTACTCATTCTTTACCATACTCAATTACACAACACCTATGAAGAATTATCCCCATCACAAATATACTATAAAAGCACTCACAATTGTTATTCCATTCAACTAAATAATGTTACCACAGGATGAATACTCCCGTGACAAAAAAATCTTCCAAACTGATGAGAATCGTTGGATCTTAAATAAAGAAAAAAGTGAGTTAATTGAACATCGGACTCCGAGACCATAAAGCTGACGCACCATATGTAGTTAAGAAAATATTATGAAATATAAATGATGAATCGTGAACCAACGATTACTTGAGGACTAAATATGCATACCATAAAGAACTTCAAGGTATTCATGAGGGAACATACTCTTTTCCCTAATTTTCAATAACAAATGGACAAATCATAAACAATCTAGGACAGGAACGCCAAAACTGCCCAGTACAATTCATATGTTAGTTTATCATGACCATCCAAATTCAGGAGGTCTTCGTGGAAATTTATCCACGACTAGGTTCAATGATACTATTGGAAAGGCATGACCATAGACATCCGACAACTATATCTGAAAAGTTATACAAACACAAAGTCTTAAACCATAAATTGAGAGAGATTGGAAGATTCGACTGGTCAGACTTAATATGATTGCTTTTCGAGATTCCATTTAGTTAACCAGATTCCTGGACTTCAACAACGTCTACACACGTAGTATAACCAAGTCCAATCACGTAGAGGATGATACAACTTTAGTTGTTTTCAATTCATTTATAGACACAGGCACCAACGTGTCAATATTAAGAGGAAATTTTGCAAAGTAAATTTAAGACTACCGGGAGAAATCAACAATCAAAAATTATATGAAATTTCAACCTCCAAGAAAATCGTTTGGAACACAAATATATAAGATGTGAGATTTCTGTCACAAGAAAAACTCTGATATATGCCGAAGATGTAAACAGAGAAAAACCATCAGCGACATAGATATACCAGTAACGATAAACCTGATAATCATCAGATACAAGGAATTAGAAGCTGACCATCTAAGCCACCCGTTCATTATTACTTTCTACGGGATACTTCTTCCAAATATGGCTTTTCGTCTTATAATATGGATTCCTCGTGATATGTCCAAAGTAACGCCTAAGCGGAACTTTTTATGTATAACAAAACACTTCAACTCAAGAACCAAACACAATTGACAAAATGGTATAATTTTAGCGAAGATTCCTTCTTCATGGGAAGACTATCTGCAATTTATTATATAGCCGAATAGACAAACAACTGTAATTGCTTTATAAGTTGGTTGATATTGAGTTAGGAGAGTAATTACTATGTGTCAACATATTAATAGTAATCTCCATTGCCTGGTTGACTAACGAAGCTCTTTACAAGGATCAAGCTTATTAGTTCAATCGGCAAAATCTTCCAAACTGAAGGCTAGGATGAGGATTGCTAGCTGTTTATATAGTTTTAATCATGCGATTTCTTATCACACAATTTAGGTTCCATGAAAATTTATGAGCCAATCATATTTCTTGATTATTTAATCTATTTCCCCGTTCATGTTGTTTTATCTCAAATTTCGATACACGAATATATTATACTCGTTGAACCAAATCTGGTAATATTAAAGAGTTCCTTGGACAGACACCATCAAACATTTAAATTGTGATGTCTTTTTCTTTTACGCAATGTGGTATACTTCGTTAACTATGAGTAACATTGCTCACTAAAGTGTGGAAAAAGACTACTGTGGACTATTGAAAATGATTTCGAAAATCGAGCGAATGAATAAAATATTACGGTCCCTGTCGTTATCCATGTAAACACTTTGTCTTTTACCAATTTCATGAAAATGACTGCAAAAGATATAGAACATACGTATCCGGCGGTCAGCAATTTAATTGCAAGATTGAAGTCGAGGAAGGTCCATAAACCTTTTCCAGTCGCTGTTGAGACGGCTCTTGTAATGCGACAAGTCATTTCTCAAACGCGATGGTCTACAGTAGATCAGCTTTTGGATACAATTCGAGCAGTAGGATCTTCTCTTGTGAAAGCTCAGCCTAGTGGTATGTGCTCAATATTGTTGAAATTCAAAAACTAACTCGTGGCCTCAGAATTTTCTTGCGGAAACATCATTCGTAGAATCTTACGAATGATCCGTGAAGAATACCAAGACTTGCTAAATTCAGTGGAAGAAGAAACTGTTAATAAAGGAAAAGGCAAAGATTCCTCTACTACTTCATCGGTCTCTTCTCCAAGTAGTGGTTTGTCGTCGAATGACCACCTGGCAGAACGAAACGAGCCCATTTCTTTTCAAATGTACTCTTCAATGCTAAACTTATTGGGAAGACCAGTTCCTGAAGCTTCTTCTCAACATAAAAATCTCGGTGACAGCAGAGTTACTGGCGGGATGGATATGCGTGCTGTGCTGATAGCAGGAATTCAAGAAATAATTGATGAATTAGATAAAATTAACACGGATATTGAGGTTCAATCCATGGATCATTTGCATTCCAAGTATGTTGTGATATAGCTTACTTTGTCTAACTGTGTTTAGTGAAATTATCTTAACTCAGGGATGCTCCAAAACTGTTGAAGCATTCTTGCGCTTTGCCGCAAAGAAGAGAAAGTTTTCTGTTGTCGTGGCAGAAGGATTTCCTAACATGCAGGATGGAGCCCATGCTATGGCGAAGCGTCTTGCAAATGCTGGAATTGATACAACTGTCATTTCAGATGCTGCCATATTCGCCATCATGTCACGGGTGAATAAAGTAATTCTTGGCACACACGCAATTCTCGGTAATGGTGGGTTAGTAACTTATAGCGGTGCTCATCTCGTCGCCCAAGCTGCTAGGCATCATGCCACCCCTGTCGTTGTTTGCTCCGGTATATACAAATTGAGTCCTGTTTATCCTTATGATCTTGAGTCTATTATCCAACTTACTTCTCCAGGAAATATTATATCATTCAAAAATGGTGATTTAATAAACGAAGCTGAACTACTGAACCCTTATTATGACTATATCCCACCAGATCTTGTCGATCTTTTTATCACCAATTTGTAAGTGCTTGGATTAACAAGGCGAACAAATTTGCTAACAATTTTAGGGGAGGATATCCTCCTTCGTATTTGTACCGTATCATGAACGATACTTACGACGCAAACGACACTATTCTTTAAAAAATAATTTTTTGTTTTGTTTATTTAGGTCGAGTGTATTATAAAAGGGAATCTATGAAAATTTATTTCTGTTCAGTAGACATTGACACTCAGTCACTAAGTAATTTTCTTCATTCTTATACAGTTAACACATCCAAAAAAGCTCTATTTAAACCAAGTCATCATCGAAAATTTAAAAAGTAATCGGTAAAAATGGACTATGTAGTTACTTTTTCAAGGTGTCGCCCAAACGCTGCTTCAGCAATTTCTCAATTTCAACCGGATCACCTCGACCTCGAACTTGCCGCATTACTTGTCCTATAAAATATTTAAGCAGAGATTGCTTTCCATTCAGGAATTCCCGAACTTGCTTGGGAGATGCTTCTAAAATTTTCCCAACCTGAACATCTAATGTGTTGGAATCTTGAATAAAATCCAGCTTAAGCTCTTTAATAATGTCTGCAACCGACATTTTTGAAGGCGTTACAATCAAATGGTTGATAAGCGCTTTTGCTGTCAGACGAGAAATTTTTCGAGCAGAACAATAGCAAACAATATCGGCTAACTGATTTGGAGGGACATAAAAGAGGTCTTCTTCTTTTTCATGCTCATGAAGCTTTCCTACAAGGTCAGTAATAATCCAGGTTGGTAAGGCGTGTAAGGAATCATCAATAATTTCTTTAGAGAACCCGGCTTGTTTGCCGATGATTTTTCTAACAGTATAATAGTAATCATATCCATAAGGGAGATTTAAAAGAATACGTGCATCTCGTATGGACATAGAGTAAGGTTTTGACGTGAGCATAATAAAAAGATCGTCAGGAAGTGGTCCCATTGAATTGGCTATTTCTCTCACGTAGTCCTAAAACAGTATTAGCACAGCATACGTTAAATTATTACCTTGGATATTGTAACAGGAGGGACATCTGTTTCGGGTAGGTAGAGATAATCCTCTGAAATACTTTTATCGCGTAATAAGAATGTTTGTCCAGTTTTATCATCAAAGCCCCTTGTTTCTGTAGCCCAAATTTCATTTTTTTCTGCAAGGGAAATCTGACGGTGCACTTCATAGCGTATGGCATTCATGACATTTCGAACAGATGATAAATTCTTCAACTCTGTTTTGGGAAGCTCTAAGCCCACTGTAAAATCTTTTGAAGATTCGCTAGGAGTCGAAATAATTGGCGCAATAGATACATTTACGTCGCATCGCATTCCACCCGTTTCCATTTTAGCATCAGAAACACGGGCATAACGCATGATAGATTGAATTTTCCGCAGAAATGATCCAGCGGTATTCTCATCATGTAAACAAGGAGCCGTGACAACCTCAAGTAGTGGAGACCCTGCACGGTTGAAGTCTAGTAATGTTTTTGAAACACTATCTACATGGATAGATTTTGCGGTATCCTATATCAGGGCAAGCTTGTTAGTTTCAAATACACGAAAAAGCACGAAGACATCATACTTGCTCCAATTGTACGTGTTGAATAGGTACTATGGTATTATCAACGTCGTCTAGATGTTTTGAAAGTTGAACGAACCCGTTTCTTCCTAATGGAACATCACGTTGAGTAATCTGATAGCCAGCTGGTAAGTCTGGGTAAAAGTAATGCTTTCGGTCAAACTGGCAAACTGGAGCAACATTGCAATTGAGTGCCAGGGCTCCTCGAACAGCAAGTCTCAAAGCTTCCTGACTTAGGATCTACATATTATCGTTAGTAAGATTATTTATACATTCACAACTCGTAAGTCATTCAATAATGTGTTTTTGTGGTGACATTCACCGTATGGTGTTCATACCGGCATTGACCCAGGAAGCGAGACATCAAAGTGAGCAATAGACGTGTTTGGTGTTTCAGAAACTCCTCTTTTCGCACCACTGAAAAGCTTTTTGGAAGCCGCCAACTGCAAATGGATCTCAAAACCAATCGATGCGAACCATTTCATTTTGCACATGTTGTACAGGTTTGATAGAGGAATGCAAATGGTGTATGCGAAATTCTACGAACAAAGAAATCAATTGTTAATAATAGGAATGTAGAGAATATTCATAATATGAGGGTATTAACAACCGTTCGTTAAAGGGGGAAAACTATAAGTGTGGTGTGTTTAATGCTTTACTTTGATTTAACGCATGGCTATTCAAAAACCAAGAATGAAAATTGAAAGTAGAGCGGACGCCCTTGTTTTTATGAATATTGAATACGTTTTGTGTTACACACACATCCACTCTAAACTGTTACAAAAGGCAAATTAAAAAGCTTGCAAAAAATTCATTATAGTATCCAAAAAAGGCTAATACAAAGGAAATATGAAGAAAGAAAACCATTCAACCTCATCAAAAGCGAGATGATTCGTAAACATTAAAAGACTTTTCGTTCGGTCGCATATACGCTAACGTTCATTATTAAATAATTTATAGGAACGAAACTGGTTTCAGAAAGCAGTTACAGCTTCGTCAAGTAACTAGCTCCTTTGATTTAACCAGAGGAATACACGGCAGGGCCAGCAACAATATGTTCATTGATGGCTGAAAGGTTAAAAGGAGTGAGAGGCAAGGCTACGTCTGTCAAAACAACAAAGCTTGAACCATTGATGACTTGTTGAGTAGAGTCATTGTAGAGGTGGACACTTGGTTGATAAGTAGCGCCGGTGTTGTTGCCGGTCAAATTCAAAGGAGTGTAAGTTACATTCAATTGACTGATCCAAGCAGCAAATTGAGGAGCACCCTTAGCAGAAGTTGCAGTGGTGTATGAACTGTTGGGGCCTATCTTTTTTCCGGGAGCTTCCCAGGCGAATTCAACAATTTGGCCGGGAAGGGACATGGGCAGAGTACGGTTGGTAGACACAGCAGCAGGGTACATGTAAGTGCCATTAGGATATTGAGGGTAAGAACCGTTGGTAAAGTTCGTGGCAACAGGAGGACTAACAACGTGAAGAGCAGGGAAGTTTTGCCAGACCAACTTCTTGTTGGTAGGAGGACAGGTAACAATATAAGGAGACACCAAAGTCCAAGCAAAGGATTGAGGAAGACCAGTTTCAAACCAGACGGGATAAGGGAAGAGACCCTGCAATTGACGAAGACTCATTTCCTGACGAGCTTCAGTAGTGATGGATTGAAGTAAAAGATTAGCAGCAGCACGAGAATCAAGGTGATTAAGAAAACCATAGACTCCGGATTCAGTCCATTGTGTAAGCTTCTGTGAAAAGTCCAAGAAAGCGCCTACGCTTTCAAAGTCATATTTGTATTGACAGGCTTTAGGAGCGTCCCCACCGAGCATATTTGAAATAAGCTCGATATGACCAATCTCTTGTTGAGCCATAAAGCGAATTAAGTGACGGTAGTCAGCAGTTATGCCAGCTTCTTCGAATTCGGCATCTGAGAATTTGGTAAGGCCATAATTAAAGAGGTCATATTCAATGTACTCGTGGTACAGAGCCAAAGATAAAGATTGATAGTCAAAGTCACTCAAAGGATGATATGTTGGATTAGGCTCCATAGGAACGATGCCACCAGCAGGGGTGTAATTTGCCGGCGTTTTAGTTGGATCAAAATCGCCTGTGGCATTGTAGGTAAGATTAGCGGCAACAGCTCCGACGCCGGAGAATTCTGTAGGAGCAGCTTGACAAGAAAGAAGGCTCCGGGCCAAAAAGACACCAGTAAAAAGTGACGCAGTGAACGAGGAAAGCATCTTGTTAGAAGTGGTTGGAACAAAAAATCAAAAGATGTTTTGTATTTGAGACAAAAATTGCAGCTCTAAATGAAATCAATTAAGGGAAACCTGAACAAAAGATCAAAAAGAAAAGAACACCTATTGACGATTAAAATCTCTCTTGAAATTAGGGTACTTTCTTGTTCAACGTTAGGTTATATATTAGTTCAATACTCTCAAACACTTATAAAATTGACCGTGTCTATAGGGTATTTATATAGAAAAAAAGCAGGTAAATGTCATCAAATGCATGATTCTTGGAGAAAGATTTCATCGGCATTTTGACGTCGGCATTTTGACGTCGGCCTTTCGGTCATAGATGCGATTGCTACGTATCTCCTTACCTTAATCCCCAGATTACGATAGATGGGAATTTTATTCTTAGGTAAGGTAAGGAATGTATTGATCGAGGCCCATAACCTGGGCAGTCAGAACGGAAGAACGCTTTGGAATCATAACATCTGAATGACGTGAAACATCATTTATAGCGGTAATTTCCTTCTAAAATTACAAGATGAGTAAGTGCTATTCGTCGTTACTCTTCCTTCATGAAAACGCAAATTCAGTAATCATTTGATAAAAATAGAAAAAAAAACTATGAATGAATGTTTTCATCATGCATCGTCAACGGATCTCATGATCCTTTGGTAAGAATGCATCGGCTATAGTTAATATGATATTAACATTTTTAGGTGACCGGTGTACTTTGTGGAACGAAACCGTGTGATAAACGAAATTTTATGAAGGGGGAAGCTTTAAGGTTGCTCACCCCCTAAAAATCCGAATCAGTAGGTTAAGAGAAAGATAAATATGAACTATTCAATGGTAAACAAATAAAAAAGGGAAAAAGAAAATGTCGTTTATGTAGATATGGAACGAGTTATTACAATTTTTGCTTCTTAGAATAAATATATTTAATGAATTTCATTGCAAGATATTGAGTGAATGGTGAAGGATGCAATGAAACCAATTCAGAGGGTTCTATGTTGGACTTTCCTTTTTCCTTTTTTTTTTTGGGATATGGTGACAGATATAAGTTAAGCAGATGGGATTTTGAAATGTATTTCCAATTTTTTTATTACTTTTCCGAATATATATACAAAGACCACTTTTTTTTTTCTAAACTTCATATAAGATAAAGTATATTTCTCGTTTTCCCTATATCTCGAAACTTACGAAACATCCATTATATCATCAAGGCATACATACCTGCATAAAAAAACAATTCACATCGTTGAACATAAATGAAGGTTGACTCTCCCTTCTTTAGGTTACAGATATTTAAAGAAGAATTTTGTTTATTCAGAGAGAGGTACAGTACAGAATGATTAAAACTTGTACGAATTATGTTGATAAACTGATGATTTCATTAACATATCAAGTGAGGCATCATGATATCAGGAATAAGAAAGCATGAAAGACGAATTGATCATTCCTATGAAGTAAGGAAAAAATAAAAAGATTGGAAATAATCATTCCGTTTCGTAACGCCCCACATTCATATTATATTCATCATATTCAAAGTTATATGGCGTAATGTAATTTCTTAGAGCCATGGACTAAAGAAATTTTTGCAACTCATACTATCTTTTTTAAAATGAATAAATGAATTCGTTTTCCATTGTTTTTATTGTGATGTATCGAAAAACAAACTTACTGATTTAAAAAAAAAAAAAACAAGACCAAGAATTGAAAAATTGCAGCTTTGTAAAGAGCTTTATCCTATAAAGCAACCCAACTCCTGCTTTAAAAGAAGAAAGAAGCAGTTATCCTTTGTTTTCATTATATTTTCAAAAACATCTACTTCACTTTTTTATTTATTTTTCTTGTAAGTAACAACAACAAATATCAAGCTACCTCCTTCTCTCTATAATAAGGCAAGACAAAAATAAAACTTTTCAACTGATTTCTAGTGAACTTTTTATTATTTAAATCCCTAATGTAGTCTATCTTAATGTTTGATTAATTCTTTTAAATATTTCTTTGCCTTTTACTTTTCCAATTTAATAACAATCGGTTCTCTTAACCTTCGCTTAACTTAGTGAGTCTATTTTTCCCACTCTAATTTTCTTGCCTTCCCCCACAAGTAAATTCTTCACCACCACCACGGGGTACGAATCTTTCACTGCAAATTTTTGAGTTACCAAGGATACTGTCGTTTTACGCTGTGTCTCCGACTGGTAACAATGCGAAAAAGTTCTCTGAGCAATTTCGCAACTCAGAATCTTTTTCAATTTCCTTCTGTTGATTTTGAAAACATAAACGAAAGTGCCATCAAAAGCAGCACTTCTTCCATCCATACAAGACCTTACGAGCATGTATCAATAAATCAACAATCAGAAAACAGTCCTGTTTCCGAACCCAAGACGATTTCTCGATCTTCCAATCCTGACTCTTGCAAGAATATACTTACCAATGAAAACCAGCAAATTGGGAACGAGCCCTCAGAGGAGTCCTTTTCCTTGGGTCTTGAATATATAAGTGAGATATATACTTCTATGAAGCATTCGGGTGCTTCAAAAATATTGCCTCCTCTGGGCTGGTCATGCCCTTTAACGTTAGACTCCACGACATTAAAATTTATATGCAAGAATAATAGTCCTTCCGCTCGTTCCATACTGTCTCCTATTTTTCACAAAGAGACATCCTCTACATTTTCATTGTCTGATGAAAAGCGGATTGCTGATCGATCTGATTCGGTAATTCTTTCGTTTATTTTCGTTCTAGGGAAGCAAGTTGATCTTCTGCAACTCAAGCAATGGCTGCACTTCTCGAAAAAGCTCGATATGTCCGAATATGAGTTTTGGTCTCAAGCGGCTCAATTTTATAAGCTGGATGTTAATAGCTTGAAAACTGCCTATTCTACTTATGAGTCTTGTGAATCCCAAAGTACAAATAATGGCGGAGGCTTTTCTAGCTCACCAATTACTCGTCCTGCGAAACGAGCACGTCGTCAGTTGCATGGCCCAAAGTGCAAGGTCTGTGACCAGGAAGGCTCTGCATTCGTCACTTGTTGGATCTGTCAATCAAGCTATCATTACTCGTGTGTAGAAGCTCCTTTTGCCCCTATTACTGATATCCACTATTTCACTTGTAACAGTTGTATTCCCGACAATCTTAAAATTTCCTGGAAAGATGTCGATTATCATTGCATTTCTTCATTCCTTGATTCCAACGCCCAATTGGAATCCTCTCTTTCGTCTGCTATTTCTTCGTTTCATGACGATTTTTCTCCGTCGTACTTTAATAATTTAAACCATTCTTTCCCTTCATCAACATCGCAAAATCCTGAACGCAAAACTCGCTCATCTTCAAAGGTTAACGAAGACTCGTCCGCATCCTTCCCATACGCTTTACTTAATGCTGAATCACATTATACATATCTCTCCCGTTTGTCTCCTCTGGAACAATACTTTTGGTCTTCTTCTTTTTACCTAAAATCTTCAAAGTCTGAAATATCCGAACAGCCCCTTATTGGTTTTAGCCAAAACAAAACTGCTTTTCCAACCAATCGACAGAGTCCTTACTATAATGATCCCTGGAACCTTCCTTTTTTACAATTTGCAAAATTGTCTCCTTTGAAATTCACTCCTCCTGAAATTCTTACTCCTACCTTACATTTTGGACAAATGTTGAGCTGTCCTGGATGGCGAAAAAATACTATGGCTTTATTTGGTTTACATTATCATCATTTAGGATCTCCGAAGACCTGGTATGTTATTCCTGCTGAAGAGACTGCAAAATATGAGAAACTTTTGTCAGAACTTCTACCTCCATCATTAAAGCAACGACCGGAGACAATAAAAAATTCTTCGATTGTTCTTCCTCTTCAAGTTATACTTGCTAATGGGATAAGCGTGAATACATTTTTGCAATATCCTAATGAATTTGTTATCACGTTTCCCGATACTTATTATACATGTTTGGATCATGGGTTTAATATTTCTGAATCTATTCCTTTCGCCGTAAAAGAGTGGATTACTGATAAATATGCTCAACGATCATTTCAAACTTACAACGAATTATGCATACCTACACCATTTTCTTATGACCACATATTATTAGCAAATGCTACGGTGGATAAAACGGTCCATTCAGCTTGTTGGCTTATGACATGCTTGAAGGAACGAATAGACAACGAATTAAAAGTACGGAATGAGTTTCGAAAAAAGAATGCTTCCCTTCCTTGGGTTTCCATCCCTTTAGAATCATCAGTTATGGCCTGCAGTCATTGTAAAACGTTTGCTTACTTGGCCGCTGTCGGGATCAATAAATCGACTCAAGTTTTCTGTTTGCTACACGCTAGTCAAAACTTGAATATGAAAGATAATGATTTAACAGTCAGCGTCCGATACAACGATGAAGCTTTACTTGATGCTTATGATACTGTTTTCAGTCGTGCCAAAAAAGCTGATATATGGTTAGAAAAATACCGCGGTGCTTTCTCTAATTCTCGTCCTACTTTGAAGGTTCTTAAAGCTTTGTACTATGAAGCGGATACTCTGTCTTGTCCTATAAAAGAAGTCGATGAAGTTCGTTCATTCGTCCAAATGGGCCAAAATTGGTTGGAAAAGGCTTCTGTCGTTCTAAAAAGAAAGGCTCCTGTAAAAAAGGACAAGAGAAAGATAAAAAAGAGTGCTAATGAAAGCCCTTCAGATGAAATGATTTTATCTTCAGCTTTAAAACATAATGAATCGGATTTACTGGTCAAGCTAGTTGAAGAAGGAGAAAAATTTCCTTTCGAAATTCAGGAAATGGAACTACTTGTTGAGAAACTAGACCAATTAAAGTCTTATCAGAGTAAAGCAAGATCGTTGATGAATCAGGAACTCACTTATGACATATGCTTAAATATGGTTACTGAAGGTAAAGAGCTTCAGATTGAAACCCCCGAATTAGAGTTTTTTGAGAAGCAATTATCTAGTACAGCTTGGACAAAACAGTTTCAAGAAATTTTTGGTAGAGAAGATTTTACTTTAGAAGAACTAGTTGATTTAATCAATCGAGGAAACGAGATTGGGATACCCCCCGAAAGTGAAGAAATGGCCCAAGCTTTATATATAAAAGAGAAATCCGAACGGTGGAATAAACAGGCCGAAACTTTTTTAAGTCAAGAAACTACGACAACTCAAAAGTTGGTGGGATTAAAAGAAGAAGCAAAGCAGTTATGTGTGGATAAACAGTTATTTGATAATCTTAATGATGTTTTATTAAAATCTGTATCATCTCATGACCGGTTAGTTTCTCTGATAACACGTTCTCAGAATGCCGAGTTCGAGAAACGACCTACTATTGATGAGGCAAGGAATGTCTTGACCGAAGCGGAAGCTCTTTCAAGTAAACCCGAGGAATTTATTACAGCTCAAAAACTCGTAACGAAAACACTTGAATGGGTTCGCCGTGGTAAACGCTTCTTTGGTAAAGCAAACGCTCCACTAGAGATTTTCAGTCAACATCTCGAATTTGTTGAGGAGAAAGACTCAAGCGCAATGATTGATGAAGGTTCAAATGCTCATTTGCATGTTGGTAATGAGTATTACATTATAGCTGGATCTAATCCAGCTGATTTCCATTACTGTTTTTGTAGATTACCCGAGTCCGGTATGATGATTGAATGTGAAGTTTGTCATGAATGGTATCACGCCAAATGCATGAAAATGTCCAAGAAGAAACTTCGAGCAAATGAAAAATTTATCTGTCCTATCTGCGATTATCGTGTCGAAATACCTCGTCATTCCCATCGACCTCCGTTGATTGAGCTTCAACAAATGGTTTCGGACATCCCTAATCTTCCTTTTCAACCTGCAGAAGTGAGTTTACTAAAACAAGTCGTGAATGAGGCCGTAAACTTTCGTGATCATATACAGAACACCATTCAGGATCCCTCGAGACTTTCTTTTGAGGACATTCCTCTAATCCGGTTCTTTTTGCGAAAATTAGAGGGAGTGGAAATTCTGTTTACAGAGGAAATAAATGTTTTCCGACAAAAATTACATGAGTTATTGCCAATTGCACCCCTTCCTCCTCCGTTTATTGGTGAGAGTAGGTCTAACAGAAAACCGCGCCCCACAAAGCGTCAGCGAGAAATTATGGAGCAGGTTGAAAGTGGAAAATTAACCTCTGCCGAGGGTGCTGCCGCGATTGCTGCTACCCAAATACGAAATCAAAACAACTCTGCTACACGACTTCAGAATGTTCATACATTGAGTACCACCTTATCACCATGGGCTATGAAAAGTTTAGCTGAAGCTGTTTTAAGTCCCGCACCTTTACCAACAGCTGATACGCTTGTTCATGCGCCAAAAATGACAAATCCCCCAGATATCGCTGAATTTACTGATTTCAATTTCGTTGATAATCCTCAAATTCCAGTCACATCAACGTCGATTAGTGAGGATCACAACTCTACTGCTGTTTGTCTGTGTAAGCAACCTTTTGCTATTTCGGATGGAATGGTACAATGCCACAGTTGTTCCGAATGGTATCATTACGATTGCGTCGGTCTCTCCTCGGAAATAGTAAGTACTTTATCGACTTATACATGTCCTGACTGCTGCAACAAGCAGGGAAAACTGTATCCATTTAATACGCGTCCTCGTTCTGTACCCTCTTTATATGCATCCCAGACATATCCTCCTAGTGTCCTTCAGGGAACAACTGAGAACGTTGCCATTTTGAACAAAGCATTTACTACTTCTGCAAATCTGTTTGATATGTTAACACCCATGGATACAACATCGTACAACTCAAAGGTTGATTATTTGATTGAGGATAAAAAGCCAGATCTTTTCACGGAAACTTACCTTAGCATGTAGTGTGACCTTCTCATGCTTAATTATAATTTTAGATCAGTTTTGCGTATGACTATGAACGGTATATGATGGAAATATCTTTATTTACTTTAGCTACAACAGACTGAAGCCTAACGACTTTAATACTAATGTGTATATTATTTTCCTACAAAGAGATTCAAAGAAGTAGATGCATATAAGAAGATTGAATAGTTTCCATCTAAAAAGAAAAGAAAAGAGTGGGGAATGGAGTAAGCAAACAGAATGTATAACGATTTAATAAAGTGGTATTACATAACGACTTCAAGAGCCTTCCAAAGACCATCATTATCCATATAATCATGATGAATAATTGATACAAGCCATCTATCATCCGTACAATGTTCCAACAAATTCCTTGTTGCTGTATTTTTAGGATACAAGTAAGCCCATTCCGCCCATACGTCAAAAGCTTCATTCATCCAAGCCTTAAAAGAGACTTCGGCAATAATTGTAGATTGTATAATTTCTCTTCCTGGATAAACACCCCAAGTGACTGCACTGGCCCCGTCATTTGGGGCATTAGTAAGGAAGTCGCCTTTATTATTTCCAGCATAATAAGTGATTTGGTCATTATCATGCCACTTCTTTACAAAATTGTTGAAATCTTTTGAACTTATAAAAAATTCAATGAATGCCTTCTGGTAAACTTTTCCGCCTTTAGGACCCCAACCAAAAACAGGGTCCGTAGAAGGGGCACCATTAACAGTAGGTTGACTACCTACTGTCCACCAAGTACGCCCATTCACTTTGAGAAGATATTGTGAGATCAATTTTGTCTCGTCGTCAACGGGTTCATCAATCCATGGAATAGCATGGATGTCGTTCTTAATGTGTTTTTGGAATAGAGAAGTAATATCAGATTCATCCACAGGATAGCCCCAAAGACGAAGGGCTTCTTGCTGGGGAAAGTGCAGGGTAGGTCCGTAACCATCAATCTCACCATAAGCGGGAGATCTAGGATCACCGAAACGACCGTTGGGGAAATCGTCCCAATTTGCTTGTCTTCCCAAAACACCACTTCCTTCGGAAACGGAGAAGGGAGCATCGGTGGTGAGGCTGTCTCTATGAGTAGCGAGCGAAGCTTCGTTCGTTTGAGTACGAAGGGATGAAGAGATTCCTTTTAGCGAATCATCTGGAGGAATAACGACATGATTATGAAGTTCAGGAGTTTCGTTGAGGCTAAGACGTCTAATGGTGGTTTTTCGAAGATTCTCGTCTTGAAGTTGAGATTCGTATTGTTCCCAACGGCGAGTCAACAAAGAGCTATGCTTGAGAATCCTAGCAACAGATTTCTCAAGGTTAAGGGTGCAGAAATGAAAGCCAAGGATACGGTGGTTTGTATTGCGCATAATTGTTTGTATCATTTCCACAGCGTGCTCAACACCTATGGATTTGACGGCTTCGTCATCGGACTTTACAGCCTCTATACGTTTCATCAATGATTCAGGAATGCTGCAACCACAAAGACGAGTCATTCGCTTGAGAATGGAAAAAGACTGGATCGGCATAACGGCAGGAATAATCATTATATCTTGAAACACGCCGGACTCATGATTTCTCAGGGTCTTCTCAAATTCAATAAATGCATTAGGTTCATAAAAGATTTGGGTCATAATAAAGTCAGCACCAGCCTTTACCTTTTCAATAAGGAAAGGCATATCACGAGCAGGATCACGGGTCAATTCGGGAACATTCGAATCTGCGTGTCCCTCAGGATATGCTGCAACGCCAATGCAGAAGTAATCTCCATACTTTTGACGAATATAACGTACTAAATCAACTGCATGCTCAAACTCACTCAGCTTTCCCTCCCAATGATCGCTATTCAAAGGTGGGTCTCCACGCAAAGCCAAGATATTACGAATCCCTGCATTCTTGGCTGTCTCTAGGGTCTCGTCAATTACTTTCCGGTCCACGTTCGTGCAAGTCAGATGTAAACAAGCCGGCACACGGTGTTGATTTTCCAGCAATTTGGCCAATAGCACTGAAACACTTGCTGTACTTCCAGCCGTTCCCCATGTAACGCTAGAAAACAAAGGAAGCATATTATTCGACATTCTTGTTATTCGGCTCATCAAGTTTTCCAAACCCACTGTTGTCTTTGGAGGAAAATACTCAAAAGAATAAAACGTGCTTCCTTTCGGAAGCCCATGAATTAAGTCCACTATTTTCATAATTGTCCACTCGTTCTGTTCTTTTTGTCTTTGCCAATGTCTCACACAGGTCTTCAAGTCACTTTACCTTTCTTGCAGCTTGCACTTAGGACTAAAGGGAGGAACGAAATGTAATGTCTTCAAAATTGTTTAACGAGTTGGAACACATCAATTGAGATCAATCAATCTATAGAAAGATTTTTTGTTTATCTTTTCCTTGGATCTAGAATGCTTGATTTACTTTACCTTTATTTGGCTTAACTGAGCTTATGATTTCGACATAGTTTGAGTTTGTTTGGCAAGTAATAAATAGACAAAATCAGGAAACAAGAAGCGAAGCAAAGTCTCGCATATAAGAAAATTTCATTTATAGTGCATTTCTAATGAATAAAAAAAGAAATTTCTTAAGCATATTTATGACCTTTTCTAGGGAATCTTGTGTGGGACGTAGGGAGAAGGGAACTGTAAACAAAGCCTTTTTTCCATTCAAGACGAGAACAGAACAAGAATGAAACGAATCGAAGCAACAAATTCAGAGAAAAATAAAAAAGTGTCACGAACCGGGATCGAACCAGTGACCAACAGATCTTCAGTCTGTCATGCTCCCAACTACACCACCGCGACTTGATTGAAATGTAAGGCAGTATAAGCATTATAAAGCGCTTCTTCCATAACGATTCGAGGTGGACTTATTAAGTAGAAACTGACTATTAATTATTTGGCGCGATAGTCTCCCTCTTTCTTTCTTTCTAAGTTTTTTCTATTTTTTTGTTTCGAATTTGTAGCTTATTTTACCTGATGCCAACATGGAACCCCCTTCATCCCAAACCACATTCGACATATGGAAGATAGCTTTTCAAACGTCCAACGATGGATTCGTTGAAAAGGGTTCCATGCACTAATCTTCTGTATGCATGGAAACGCACCTTCATCATAAACCGAAAAAACAAGTCTTGTCTAATTCAAATTTTATTTACTTTTATATATATATATATATAACACGGAATACCTCCTTTCTCCTTGCTTATTGTTGCTTTTGGACAAGAGATGCGTTCTGCAAAGATGCCTGCTCAATGGTGACAGATGGATCATCTTCTAGAGTTTTAGCAGGGAAAGGCACACACAGAATAAATGATCCTGGTGAAGAGACACGAACAGCTTCGTATAAATCATGCACCGTATGAGACAAATTCAGGGTTATTACGGTCCTTGAACCGTTCGTTAAGCGGACTTGAATTCGCGTAGACGGTTGACTTTCGTCTACTTGAACTTTTTTCGCAGGTTCACTGCTTTGAGAGGAAGCTTGATCATGAAATGCGCCAGGAATTTGCGCTTGCTGAGGAGCATATGTACTTCCAAGACGTTGTCCTTTTCCAGAAAAGGGCTTCGTTGGTGCACGATAATCTTCATCAAGACGATGTTGTACCACTACATCAATGGGCTGATTCATAGTAACGCCCAACAGGTGAAGTGGGGCACGGCCATTATTGATTAGACGAAGTGTTTCTTGATTCGCTGGATCATCATAAGAGTAAAGCAGTCCGTCATCCACGCTAAAACCATTTCGCCAGAAATACAAGGTACGACGAACAGGGGTTCCCAGATTTCTCTCTGGTTCATTCCTTGGTTGCGGCACGGTTGCTTGAGTGAAAGGAGTTCCTTCCGATTGTTTGGTGGGCCTAGCAAGTTCATCTTCCGTTCCTAACCGTTGTCCAGACCCACTAAAGGCAGGCACAGGGGCTGGTGGCGATGTTTCGCGTTCGGTACCAGTCGATGCTGTCTGCTGGTGAGCCTTCTCAATGATATCTCGGACAAGCTGTTTTTTGGGATCAGGTCCTTGTACCGACAACCCACTTTTTTCTCCTCCAGTAAATAGATTCGACTTTTCGTCTGGATCCTCTTCATCTTCTTGTAGATCTTTTAAAGTAGCAAACTTCTTTTGAGAAACTTTTTTCCCTTTAGAATTTACAGCGGGATTCGAAGGCGGATTTGGTCGTTCAGAAGCACTTGGCAAAGCAGCATTCGTATCAGGTGTAGTTGCACGATCCGAGCCTTCAAATCCTTCCTCTTGCTCAGGAGGAAAAACTTCCCTTAGCAATGCAGCAGCCAATTCATAGTTCCAATTAGTAGACTCCAAGAAAAATCGTGCCTGCGTGCTTTCAACATAAAACTCATTACAAAACTGAGTTAATAGATCTTCATGATTCATGATTATAAGCTTTATCCTTCAATACTTAATCAAACTTTTATAAACAATCACAAATATTCCTCTTTGCAAGCAAAGTCTTTCTTTACATAAAAAATTAAAGTAATAGAAAATAAATACACTGATAAAATACCCTTTTTCAGCTTAAATACAACAATTACTGAATCGTTTTGTGGTTGGTATTTGTCAGGTTTTTATTAGCATCTAAGTTATGAAAGACAACATTCATCGAAGGTTAGAGTACATTTGAACATAATAAAATACAAACATATTTATATTTTGATTTCTTACTTATATAGTAACTTCTTAGTGAACTTGTTTCACTGATCCTACCATACATTCTGTCTTTCTTTGGTGGTCTACCCTCTTACTACCTTTGGGCTACACCAAATACTGCTCTTAACTGGGACTACCCATTCAAGGCTACTCAAACTAAACATTTGTATAATGGTTCTTTATGAACTTTTTTGTATCACCAGACCTGCTATAAATGCCACTCGCACGTCTGCTCCTGTATGTGAAATCGCAGATCCATGTAAATTTTGAAAGTCGTGGATTGCTGTATACATAGATACATTTCACCAATATACTCTTTTTCTAGAACACTAACAGTTTCTTCTAGACATCGGCAATTAATGTTGCTCGGAATTGTGGAAAAGCAGTCTTGGATAGCAAAGGCGTAGTTGTTGATATCGAGTCCATGGGGCTTAAGGAACTTGCCAAGCCCGTGAAAAAGCTGAACAATAAGCATAATTTTGGATACTGGTGGTCAATGTCTTTTTACTCAAGTCCCACTGTCCAGCAAGAACTCCAGCGGATTCTGCGTTTAGAACCAACAGTCCTTCGTTATACCTTCCTTAAAAAGTCTGATAAGTATGTAAACCGCGCTTTCTTCGACTAACACAACAGGTTAAACCATCTCGGTTAACATTTCATCGAGTATTATTTTACTCTCGGTACAGGGTATTGATGAGCATTTCAATCTCCTTAAATGTTTAATATTTTAGATAATATCTCGAAGGAATAAATAATCATTCATGTCGGTTTATGTTTCCTTTTTTTTATATATATATATAAACAAGTAAATGCTCACTGTTTGTGCTTGTTTTAGTTAACCATATTTGTTAAAGTTGAAAGTGCATTTGATCGTTTGGAACTTCTCTTTGATGGTTTCATCCCGGATTTTACAATATACTCATTTTCATCGGTATGAAACGGTTTTGGTTGCTCCATTTCAGCCATTAAGACCGGTGGTTTTGCCATTGGTGCTGACGGTAGTGTGGGAACGACCATATATTGAGAATACATGTCAAATGGAATGGGTTCAGGAGATAATTGAACAGCAACCGGTGCTGGAGGTGCTGGTGCCAATTCTTGGTTAAATAGAGCATTCAATCTTTTCTTTCTTTCTTCTTTCTTTTCCGCAAAACTAACAAATAGTCTTTTTTTGCCAACATACGTATTGTTTAAAAAAGATATTGCTTGCATCGCTTCGGATGGATGATTAAAAGAAACGAATCCGTATCCTTTAGAAATTCCAGTGTTTGGGTAACTTGCTAAAACACACGATTTCACACGACCAAACTGAGAGAAAAATTCCTCAAATTGTTCTGAGGTTCCTACAACATTATCGTCAATATTTTTAACAAACAAATTACACGGGTCGGAAGCTTGGGGAGTATTCATATCAATCGTGTTAATAGCACTCGGCATTGGAACGCGAGGCGGTACGAAGGAAGGAGGAGGAGGAATCATTGCTACAGGCGGTTCCATCGTTGCTACTGGTTCAAATGGTAGCAAAGGAATTGGGACTATCGGTGGTTGCGTCGAAGACATTGGGGAAGAAGGAGGCGCCTGCATTTGCATTGGCTGCTTCACAAAGAACTGAAGTTGGATACCTTTATATAAGAAATTTTGAAAGGCAGCGATAATCTGAATTGGTTAGCAATTATCAGAAAGAATTCGAGAGACTCTATAACCAACTTTACCTTAGAACAATCTTGATGAGAGTTGACCGCCAACTCAGCATATAACGTTTGATCTGGATTCGGTGTTTGATTGATGGCCGCTCCTAAAATTTTTCCATACTGAGAAAAGTCGTCATAAAGATCTACGGGTGAAGTTTTCATTGGAATGTTAAGAATGCCAATTACCAGAATTGGGTTCTCAGCAGTTTCGGAGTAAAACAGTTTATCTAAAGGTATGCTTGGCAGAAATTGATAATTGTTGAGGAACGTATGTTCTGGATCGGCTTGCTTTGTTTTAATTTCATCCTGCACAGCAGATGAATTTTCTTGTGTAAGAAGGTTCGGAATACTTAGTGGGCTCTTTTTTAGTGAGCGTAAATAATCTTCTTCGCTTGAAGCACGCCCTATTTGCGGCTTACGTACCTCTCTGTCTAGACGGGGATAATTTAAGCCATTTTCGTCCGTTTTTATTATTTCTTGTTCACTGCCTTGATTTTGGTAATTGTCATACTTCATGTGTTTTTCTAATTCCGCGTCTGATTGCTTCATTTGCATTTCCTTGAGACATAATGCTTCTTTATATTTAAAGTCGAGCTTCGCTGAACTGGGTTCATCCTTCTCTTGAGTTTGAGTGAATTTAAATATGGCTGATTTGGCTGGATGACGCTTCTCAACGATCCTATGAAACATTAGCATAATCACCTTTTACTTTCGCTCGATGGAAGAATTACTTACAACCTATTTCCTTCATATTCGAAGCCATGCAATGCCTGAACGATAGCTTCTACGCAAGCCGGTGTTTCCAGGTAAACAAATGCAAACAGTGCTGAACCCTTGATATTGATACTCTTTTTCTTTCTTCTATTTAAGACATGTGCTTCAATTACATTTCCTTTGTTTTATTAGTTTATTGGACTTGATTTCAATGAGAAAGCTTACCATATTGCTGGCAAAGATTGACGACATTCAATACTTGGCAACCATATGGCAAATTGCCAATGTAAACGGATAGATCTCTATTTTTCTGCCTCTTGTTTATGCCTTGCACTCTCTTTTCTTCTTTCATTGCTATAAGACTGGTTGGTTGATAAAAGTAGAATTCAATTGAATGTAAACAAATATACAGGATAATGAAGTGTTGCGTGTCATTATCATAAATACCATTTATTCAAACATTGTCGTTATACTTCTTTACCTGAGTGTAACGTTTATTATAGTTTTTTTTCGTAAATCAGATACCACGCACGAAGATGCTATCGTATATTCAGGGCTTGCTTCCTACCAGAGAATCTTACCTTTAGCAAGCTTCATTCAGGATTACCATTGCAGCCGAATTTTGCTATTTATGTTAAATCTTACATTATCAAATTCTCTATTAAGTCATTCTTTTCTTCGACATTGTATTCCTCCAGCTGCCGCTGGCTTACGATCTCTGAAATGTCGCTTTTATCATAAATCGCCGGCGCTTAGGTATATTGATGCTTCTGCCCAAGTTGTGTCCCGAGGACCCGCTGCTGTTAGTAGCACAGGAGTCATCAATCACAACTCACCTGCGGCTCCTTTGCTATCACAGGACGTACTGATTGTTGAGCGGCAATTGGAGATGATGAACGTATTTCTTGGATATGAACAGGCCAATCGATATGTAATATTAAACCATCAGGGTCAACATCTTGGCTATATAGCTGAAAAGGGACATACTTCTTTTCTTTCTAGTATGTCTCGGCAACTATTCCGTACACATCGTCCGTTCGTAGCGGATGTGATGGATGTGCATGGTAATCCCATATTACAGTTACAAAGACCTTTTTCATGGATCAATTCCCATCTAAACGTGAGTGCATTCAATTATTCTTCAGATCAGCCATCATTAGTTGGCGAAATTATTCAAAAGTGGCACCCATGGCGTCGTAAATATCAATTGTTTTTAGCGCAGTCTGATATGTTAGATCAATTTGCTTCGGTTGATGAGCGAGTTTTGAGCTGGGATTTCTTGTTACGAAATGCCGACAACCAAATCCTTGGAAGCGTTACTCGTAACTTTATGGGGTTGCCGAGAGAATTCTTTACGGATACAGGTAATTATGTCTTGCGGTTTACGTCCAAAGATGCCAATTTAGGTACTGTTGAAAATAATCAATTACTTCAGGCTGCTGAAGGTGATACTAGTCAAGTTTGTCCTCGCGAAATGAGTTTGGAAGAACGAGCTGTTATGCTTGGGTCTGCTGTGACTATTGATTTCGACTATTTCAGCCGTACGAATAGTCCTACGGCTGGCCTTACTTTTCCCATTATGTTCGGTTCGTCTTCTCCAGAAAATGATTACCAATCGGAAGATTTATCTGCTCAGGAGATATTAAAAGATGAACAAAATCCAAGACATTCGTCAATTGAAAATTCCATGCCGGAACAAAAGTCTCCTTTTCTTTCCGATGCTGACTTGGATCATCCCGGTGATTTTTGGGACGTTTTTGATAAGGATGCGGAAGACAGATGGTAAATTGAAGATGGCATTTTGGTATTGAAGAGCCACTTGCTGTTGTATGTTATGATAATTATGAATATAATAATGCCTAAAAGATATGAGTTTATATATATATATATATAGATAAATTTGATTAAGTTTGATTTTTTTGGTAAGACTGTGTGCCTAGTTAGTCAAAATATATAAAAAATTAATTGCATTCATTCATCGGACCTCTATGGAAGTTGTAGGCATATTTTTTAATAAAGGGAAAAAAAAACTTAGATACTTGTAAGATTGATAAAAGTAAAATGGAAGACTAAATTGTAAATTAATTGAGTATCACACTCTAATGTTTAGCTGCAAAAATTAAAGTATTATTCAGCAAGGGCTTGAAATTTGTCGTCAATCTTCTTGTAAAGTTGCTCATAACGCTCAACGAGTTCTTTTTCGCCATCATCAGGATTTTCAAATTTCATAGACGAAAGTTCAAAGAAAATATCTGAGGTGCTTTCACGGACTTTCGACCATTGAACATTGCCTTGTTCGACGGTACCTATCGCTTTCCCGTAGTATGAAATCATGTTTCTCATCATGTGGTAAGTTTTATAAAGAGGGCAGCTGCGATCATAGTTGGAATAACCGTTTTGTTGTAAGAAATCGTTCTTGATAAGACCGGCCATGTCTAAAGTAACCTTGTCACTTTCCGAAAGTGCAGACTTACCAACCAACTGGATAATTTCAAGCATCGAATCCTCTTGTTGAATGATTTGCTTGATTTGATCACGTAATGCGTTGAAACCAGAAACGCGGTCTTCATACCAGGGAGTCAAAGCATTAACATATTTGGAATAAGAAAGAGAGGTGTTAATTGAGGGAAAGTGTTTGCGCTGAGCCAATTTCTTGTCCAGACCCCAAAAGACTTGGACAATACCCAAAGTAGCACTAGTGACTGGATCAGAAAAGTCACCACCAGGTGGGGAAACAGCGCCAACGATGGAAACAGTACCTTCACGTTCAGGACTACCCAAGCAACGGACACTACCAGCTCGTTCATAGAAAGAAGCTAGCTTAGCACCGAGATAAGCAGGATAACCGGAATCGGCAGGCATTTCAGCAAGACGACCAGAAATTTCACGAAGAGCTTCAGCCCAGCGAGAAGTAGAATCAGCCATCATGGAAACATTCTTACCTTGATCACGATAATACTCGGCCAAAGTAATACCAGTATAGATAGAAGCCTCACGAGCAGCAACAGGCATGTTTGAAGTATTTGCAACAAGAGTAGTTCGCTTCATGATAGGCTCGGGGGTTCCGTTGACATCGATGGTTAATGCAGGAAAGTCCATCAAGACTTCGGCCATTTCATTACCACGTTCACCACAACCAATGTAAACGATCATGTCTGAGTTGGAATATTTGGAGAGAGACTGTGAAATTACAGTTTTACCACAACCGAAAGCACCAGGAATAGCAGTGGTACCACCCTGAACACAAGGGAACAAGGAATCGAGGACACGTTGGCCAGTAAGCAATGGTTGGTTGGCGGTAAGGTTATCAGCAACAGGACGCGGAGCACGTACGGGCCAAGTTTGTAACATACCAAAAGATTGTTTTTTGCCGTGAAATTCTACCTCCAAAAGCTTTTCGTCAACCGTGTACGAGCCAGCTTCGGCGAGATAAGTTACGGTACCACGAGCTCTAGGTGGAAGCATAATTTTATGGTCATTAAAGAGAGAGTTTTCGAATACAGAACCAAACACATCGCCGCCAGAAACGTGATCTCCGACGCGTAATTTTTTATTAGGTGTGAAATCCCATTTTCGAGTACGGTCTAAAGCTTCTGTACTAATACCTCTAGGAATGTAAATACTTTGGGCTTTGTCGTGGATTTGTTTCAACGGACGTTGAATACCGTCATAAATGGTTTCAGCCAGACCAGGGCCTAACTCGACAGACAAAGGCTTTCCAGTACGTTGGACGGGATCACCGACGGTAAGGCCCGATGTTTCTTCGTAGACTTGAATTGTACATTTGTCTTGATGAATTCGAATGACTTCACCAACCAATTCATCATGACCTACGCGGACAAGCTCGTACATGGAGCATCCAAGCATGTTGGAGGCAACGACGACTAGTTTTAGTCAATATACTGTTCCAAAAAGGAGTATTCATAGAAATTCAAGATGCCGTACCTGGTCCTGAAACACTAAAAACGGTACCAAAACGGTTTTCATGTTCATCGTAATTTTTTAGGTTTCTAATTGCCTTTTTGGCAATTTCAATCCCTCCAGCCTACTTGTTTAGTTTCATCCTACTAATGTATCGTCGAAGTTCCACTTAGTAACTTACCATTGAGTAATAATTCTATGAAGTATGAATGTAGGTGAAGGTTGAATCTCAAAAGCTACTGCCCTGAAGAGCTTGTTTTGTCTTATCTGAAAACAACGAGCGCTAGTAATATGTACGTTAACGAGAATAAAGCGACCGAAAGAGAATTAAATATTATGATTTCACAGTTTTTACAGAGTAATATATTTGTAAATTTATCAACACAGATGAAGTGTAAACCGCAAACAATGAACCCGTCGTTTTGCTATGGCTTCCCGTAGTATTTTAAAAACTTGTTTCAGCAATGCAGAAACATCTGCATACTAGCTAGCTTCAACGTTTGTTAACTGATTTATTTTGTTATATACATGTCACTGTTGATAAAATAGTTATTCATAGCTATCATTTATAATAAAGGCTTTGGTGGTTTAGTGGTATAATGCTTCGTTGCCATCGAAGCGACCCGGGTTCGATTCCCGGCCGAAGCAAATTATAATCTTCACGTTTTTAAGTGAGCTTATAAACTGAAGCGACTTATTTACCTTTTATAATCTCTTTAAATTTCTAAAACCAATTTGTACAAAGTATATTTATCGATACACTGCTAAATCGTCATGTTTACCAAGCTTCTCGTTGTTTAACGTAATATTCGTGACGCGTAAACAATGAAAAGTATTTACCTTCAGTCTTCTTTTGTTATGACGAGCGCTTTTTTTTCTTTTTAAACGCTTCTCTATTGCTGAATGAGCGATCTAACCATTATGTTTTATGCTTGTCTCTATTTGTTACTTAACCAAGACGATGGATTTGAAGCAGACAAAAACAAGAAAATGTAGTAACGAAAATTCTTTTAAGTGCCTTCGTAGTAATTCAAATAAGCCACTACAAGTTTATCCTTATATTCCATCCATAGAAAATCTATGATTTTATGAATCCATCTACTGAAATCAATACTAAGATATTTTCCCATGCGATTTAGCAGCATCAGAGAATACATACATCAGCATGTTTGCATTTTTTAAAGTTTTAAGTATAAACCAACTGTAAACCGTTTAAATCATGAAAAGTAAATTGAAGTCTGTAAAGAAAAATTCTTGCTTCGGCCGGGAATCGAACCCGGGTCGCTTCGATGGCAACGAAGCATTATACCACTAAACCACCAAAGCTTCTGTTAAGAACTAGATAGATATAATGATACAGATATTGCTTACAACCACTGTATGAAGTTATTTAGATTTTGGACGAGATGGGTCAATTGAAAGTTTATTGGTGCTTTAGGCTTACATGTTTCGTTTGGTTGGCTTTATTTGTGAGTGGAGAATCATTGTTTGTCACAAAATGCAATTCTTTGTTAACAAGTGTAGTCGCTTTTCCTATTATTGTCATGGTAACAAGATTCTTCTGCTGTTCTATAATTTTTCGTACGTATTTCCATTGGTTTTTGTTGGACAGCAAGTTGGTGCTAATATTTTCTACTTGTTAAGGATTTAAAAAAAAGTTATCTATTGCTAGAATTCGTAAGCTCAACTGAACACACCAGTTCTCCTGCGCTTCCCAGATACCAACGAAGGGATGATGCATTCTCTCTCCTGCCGATGACTACGAATGAAGAATTAGAGTTGTAGAGTAATCCTTTTACTCAAAATAAACTCCCTTCATTTAAATTTTTTCTTCTTCATGAATCTTAGTCTTTGCTGGTTAAGGGTGGAATTTGTTTCAGTGGTTTAATTCTCGTCAAAACATTCTACTATAACATGGACTAAAGTGAGCGAAAAGAAGGTTTTTTCTTAAATGAATAATTATTTTTACATACCATCTATTAGCCGATCCTGACTAAGAAATGATCCTTCTAACAATATGGAATGACATTGACGTGCAAAAAGCAGTTATTAAAGCGGACAATAAAAAGGCCTGTGTATGATTCTCTGTCACTTCAATAGTATAAGTTGATGTCGTTATTGTTACAACGTAAGAAGAGCAAATCGGTTTTTGCGAAAATATCAATATTGTTATAGAATTGTATGCGCAGGTCTAATGTACTATAATGAGTTACAATCAATTACTATCGTTTTCTTTCTTGAAATCGTAAATCCATTTGATTCATATTTATTTAGTGATTTTTGTTTACTGTCACTTGTAAAAGAACAACTTGCAAAGAGTTTATCGAGAACGCTTTTATAAAGCATTTACAATCAAAGGAAATCGGCATATATAAATAAAAATTTTTGAACCTACAGCACCCCGGATTCCCATGTTGTCTCCAACCATAGTACTAACGAGGCCCTCAGACGCTTAACTGCAGTGATCGGACGGGAACTGGTGTTTTCGCCTAGGTGTGGCCGTAGATTACCATATACCCTCAATATGGTAATTTACATTGGCTTTAACAGAAATCGTTGTTTCCTCCCAGTATGTGCTCGTCCCAGTCCGCATCATTCAAATTAATATGATATTTAGCTAACTTGCAAGTCTTTCTTCCATCTTCACTGCAGTTGCAGCTCTAAGCAAGTAAAAGGGAAAAACTAATAGCTTAGATCCAGTATTCCCCATATACGACTCAGATGTCCTTTGTCATTGTGTTCGGCAGGTTCCTCGATGGTCTCCAATGTACTTAAAATATAAATTGGGAAGAATACAAAGACACCTCAATTTAGTAAGTAAACATTCAACTTCATAACCGATGCTTAAATGCTGCTTGTGTTACTTTGTTATCTGCAAACGCTTTGTGCTACACCCTACCGTTCTTGACCTTTACCTCATTAACAATTCCTTTGTTTAAAAAATAAGGACTTAAAGGAAATCCGAGTTCATAATAATTCGGTTTTCTAAGATTTTCAGTTAACGTCATTTTCAATTGAAGGCCGTCGTCAATTTTTTTGTTAAAGTGAAGCCGACAACGAAAAACAATCTGAGCTTTCAGACGCAGCCAAATAGGAAACGCTCCTTTGATCAAGAGCCAGAAAATCGCTCAACACGTCGTAAGATGGAGTTGACAAAAACATGGGAGCAAGAAATTGTTCGTCTTATCCTTCAATTCTTAAATGATTACGGTTATGGGTACAGTCACTACATTCAGTCCACCTGCACGGTTTCTTTCAATTTTGGATTGCTAGCTGACCTATTTTTAGAGATACTTTAAAATGCCTGGAAAACGAAAGTGGGCTTGTTTACGAGGCGGAAAACGTTAAATCGTTTCAAAAAGCCGTTGCTTCCGGTGACTGGCAAACTGCTGAGAGTTGCTTTGCTTCTATGAAGCTCAGAGACGAAAGCAAAAGAAACGTAAGTTACTTGATTTGTTTTTCGTGGAGATGCAATACTGACAAAGCAAAAAGGAAGCCCTTTTTCTTTTGCAAAAACAAAAATGCTTAGAACTAGCTGAGAAGGGATCGCTTTGTGAGGCAGTCTTTGTTCTACAAACAACCGATAATACGTATTTTAATCAAAGCAAAGAGGAGTTGATCTCTCAAATCATGTTTTCAAGAAAAAGTATTGCAGAGCCTGCATCTGGCATTAAAGACAATCGTCCTGCTTTATTAAATGAGCTATCTTTCTACATCAGCCCCGACATTATGATGCCAAAGAATCGGCTCTTAGATCTTTTAAATCAAGCAAAAAGTTGTCAGGTTTCTTCTCAATGCTATCATAATGTTTTGAAAAACTTCACCTTTCTGTCAGATTACCATGCTGAACCTAGTGAAATTCCAACAAAGGAAATCCATTGTTTCGATGACCACACGAGTGAAGTTTGGCAGATTTCCTACTCAAATAGCGGCAAATACTTGGCGTCTGCATCGCAAGATAAATCAGCTATAATCTTTGACTTAGTTAATATGAAGATGCTACACAGATTAATTGGACATAGCAAAGAAGTCGCTTATGTGAAATGGTCTCCCGATGACCGTTATTTACTTACTTGCTCTAACGACTACTCGGTAATTCTTTGGGATGCGTTTACTGGTGAAAAGATCCGGCATCTAAAAGAGCATACCTACTTTGTGAGCTGTTGTTGCTGGCTACCTGACGGGTTATCTTTCATTACAGGGTCTCCTGACATGACAATTATTCATTGGTCGCTAACCGGAGAGGTCTTGCACAAATGGAAAGATGTTAATATTTACGATATGGCAATTAGTAACGACGGGTCGAAGTTGTATGCAGTTGGGTACCAAAAGCAACTTGAAAGTGAAGATAAACATATTGCCGTTTATTCCATATCTACAAGAGAATGCCTGAAAAAAATCTATCTCGAATCAAAGGTGACTTCAATCTCGCTATCAAAAGACTCTCGTTATGCACTGACAAATATTGAGCCTCACACAATATTGCTGTGGGATATACAAGAATATCGTATTATTCGGCAATACATGGGTCATAAACTGGGGAACTGGTTGATCGGCTCTTGTTTTGGTGGTCAAGACAATACGTTTGTTTTAAGTGGTAGCCAAGACGAGTTTATTCGAATATGGCATCGTGACTCCGGAAAATTACTTACTACTTTACCCGGGCACTCGAAATGCGTTAACTACATTGCTTACAATCCTGTGGACCCCTATCAATTTGCTTCAGCTAGTGATGATAGCACTATTCGTATATGGTCAAACAAAGACCGTCAATAAGGAAGTGCATTTTTATGAAAAAGAAAAAAAGTTCTTCATTTCGTTATGAACGTGAATGATTATTATCTTTTGAATGTCTCCATTATATATGATTGAATGAATAAAATGTTTTGTCTAATTTGGTAAAAAAAAAAAAAAAAAAGAATTGTCATAAAAGTATGTATAGTCATCATAAACTAGGTTCCGTAACATTCATCATTTAGTAGAGATAATTTTCATAAACAAAGTAAAACCCAGGTTAATAAATATTATAGCCAGCCATGTTGTTGTCAACGAGAGCAACTTTGAAATGAAAGATTTTTAACGATAATCAATAATTTAGGTGCAGGTGTCTAAGGTGTGATACTGGATTCAGCAACAACAAAAGTCTGTCTATCCATTGGGCATTGCCCTTGAGAACCTGTTGTTGACAACCAATTTTCGATGCAATGAGCATGAAAGATGTGTGTACACTTTCCCCATACTAAACTCACACGTTAGTGCCTAAACAGCATGCTAAACATAGAAAGACTCTTTTTTAGTCATTTCTTTTCTTTTCTTTCAAGGATTTTCCTTCAAAAACGAGCCATGATCCCAAGCAATGAAACGTATCAAAAATCATCAAGCCAGATACAATAAGCAAACTTTCATAGACGAATTGGTAGAAGAAACGAAAACGGAAATTTAAAGAACATTGACTAATAAAAGCATTCGGTACTTACCTATGGGACAGTCATCACCGGGCGTTAAGCACTGAGGGCAGCACCCATCAAAAGGGACTCGACAAATTCCACAAACATCATCTTTAGGTGTCTTCCAGGTCCAATTAGCAACTGCATGGTATCCTACGACTTCGTTAGCTCCATTTCCTATTGTTTACTCCTACTTTTGATCTTTACTTTCATTGTTTTCTATGTGGTAGGAGTAGAAAGTCGTTACCTAGAGCAAAGCCTGGGTCGCTTCATTGTTTTTCAGAATGCCAAATAACGGATTCGTAGGTAGGACATAAAACAGTAAATAAAAGTTGGAAAAGACGAATGTCAACAAAAAGCTCTATCGAATGAATTCTTTGGCTTATTCTATCAAGCGTATGAAGGTTACAAGTAGTATGTGTGATTTAAACTAAGAAAAACTACAAATCCCGAGAGTAATTGCTCTCCTAGGAAATTCAATGGAATAGGTTCCGAGCTTTAAGTTTGCGACAGTTTTGCAAAAACAGTGAAAAGTAGAGTAGTAGTTTTCATTTTTATACGTAAAAAACTGTACATCTTCTTTTTCAAGAAGAAAACTCAACAAACTAATGCCAGGTTTTGGGGACTCAAAAAGATTAAAAGCTCATACCAAAGAGTCAAGTCAAGGTATGAATCACATAGTGAAAGGATAGGATAGGTAAAAAAGAAGAGAGATCCAGAAAACGGACAAATATAGAAAGATATACAATTTTTAATGAATAATGAGAATAACCATCGCAAATGAAACCTTTGCTAGCAACAGGAGTACACAAAGTAAAGAAAGAAGAGAAACACTACTTTCGTTTTGCTTCCATATACTTGCGTACAAGCGGCTCGACAGGTGCTAGTCGGAATCGAGGTTGGCGTAAGTAACTTAAATATGCTCTTCTTGGACGCTTTGAAATTCCGTTATCTTTCAGTACAGTTATGCTTTTGATCTGTGGAGAGTATATAGGAAATAAGACTTCCACACCGACACCCATCACATTGTTTCTGAGTAAAAACGAGCTTTTCGGTCCGCGATGGCGTACACGCAATAAGTATCCTGCAAATCTGTTTATACTTTCTTTCAACGGGTATTTAGAATAGCTTTCCACTAATAAGACAGCTCCTGGTCTCACACGATCCTTTTGCGACCGGTGAAACATCTGGAAACGCTCTCCATTAACATCCACGCTATTCTGGTACTTTTTCTCGTATTCTGCAACCACATTTTTACATTTGGGTCCTTTCAATGGCTTAGGAAAGATAAATGGTCTCCGCAAAGTATGCAGAAACCGTCTTTGAAACGATAGAATACCTATGTTCATACTCGGTGTTCCTCTTAAACAATTCATAAATTCTATACGATTTTCTTCCTGTACTTGATCCCTAATATGTTGGTTTTTTTCACAAACAACTCCGTTCTGTTAACAATTCCTTCAACTTGCTCTTATGAGACATATCCCAGACTTGCTTTGACGGACGCTACATTGCCAAATTACGAAATGTTACAGAACACGTTGAATACATTACGAGCTTCAAAATATCTCGTTATATACACGTCTTTAAGCATGCCTATGTGTATCCCACATAGTAGTATTGTGGGATACCGATAGGTTTCCTCTAAGCTAGACGAAAGAAAGGAGTGGGAGAGATTCACCGTCGCTTGAAAATTCGCAGCTTGTATCTATTCTTGTTTTATCAAATGGAAGAGCCAGATTTGGTTGGTTTGGAGTGTCAAATGAAAGGCATGCTCGCAAAAGGGAATGTAAACAAACTCAATGGTGGGTCGTAAATTTTTTGTGATGGTTCCACAAGAGCTTTATCAAAAACAATTTAGTTGACAAGCCAAAAAAGGATTAGTAACGGACGAGAGAGAGCATACTGCTTCTGAAACGAAATTGCATTCCATTTCCATTCTTGTGTCCTTGAATATTTTGTTATATAATCGTAACGAGGTTATCCAAGGAAACCTTTAGTAAGAAACACAAAGGTCTCTTTTGCTCATTATAAAAATTTCATTCTTTTGGTTTTTCTATACTCCATAGATTTCATTATTCTTTTTGTTTTCGTTCATTTATTAGCGTACGTGTCGAATCTGTTTACGTTGACTCGGTTTTCTCATGAATATGTGCGTTTCCAAGTAAAATCTTCGGTGAATCTTTACTAATTCAGTAATCAGTACTTGCTCATCTCCTGGAAAAGTGCTATTAGCGGGTGGATACATTGTCCTTGATCCTCAGTATAGCGGGCTTGTTGTCGGTTTAGACGCCAAAGGTTTTGCTACGACGACTTCACTGAAAAGCCGCCAAGGACTTATTTATGTGAGAAGCCCTCAATTTATCGATGCTGAATGGTCATACAAAGTCGATTGGTCTTGTTCCCCAATCCGAGTCTTACAACAAGACGAGGACGAGAAACAAAGTCCTAACCCATTTGTCCAGCTTGCTCTATTTTATGTCTTGAACTACTTTTTCAATTCCGGAGAGCAACCTGAGGAATGGCAAGACTTGAGCATCATCATTCAAGTAGATAACAGCTATTACCATCAACCAAAGTTACCAGAAGGACTGGATTCATATCCCAAATTTAATTTCCTTAATTGCAAGCTGCATGAAGTTAAAAAAACAGGGCTTGGAAGCTCCGCTGCAATGATTACGAGCTTTATAAGTTCTTTATTTTTGTCACTGAATCAAATTTGTGTTAAAGGTCCGGCATCCGAACCACAACTGACCTCGTTTTCCAAAACAATCATTCACAACTTGAGTCAGATTGCTCATTGTGCTGCTCAAGGTAAAGTTGGTAGCGGGTTTGACGTGGGTGCAGCTGTTTGGGGTAGTTGTATTTACCGCCGATTTGATCCTCAACTCATTCAACATCTCCTTGTGGACCCTACTCATCAGTTGGCGAGTAAAAGCTTCTCAGATGACTTAAGACAAGTCGTCTCAGAACAATGGTCTCCGATTCAGCCTTTTACCCTACCTTCTCAGTATCGTTTGCTAATGGGAGACGTTGCCGGGGGGAGTGGAACACCAGGAATGGTGAAGAAGGTTCAAAAATGGAAAACCGAAGCTAGAGAAGTTTCCGATAAGCTCTTTGACGATCTCTATGGACATGTTTCCGCATTGCAAGAACTTTTCCTTTCTGCGACTGGATCCTCAGTTGAATTGCGATACCATTTTCAATGTATTAGAAAACTCCTTCAATATCTAACAGCAGAAGCAAAAGTAGACATTGAACCTGAAGCTCAATCTAAGGTACTTGATCAATTGGAAACTATTGAAGGGGTAATTGGAGCTGGGGTTCCTGGCGCTGGTGGATTTGACGCCCAATTCTGCATTCTACAAAATAAAAAACATGTAATTGAAAAAGTTACTGACTTATGGAATTCCTCTAACATTGTACCTATGCAAGTGGGTCCTACGGATGTTGGTTTATCCGTTGTGAACAATTTTTAAAACCTTTTTATCCTTAATCCATTCTTATAAATTATAAATTTCAAGGTTGGGAAAGCATTATAGTTCTTTATTCTTGATCAGTCATGTCGTTCTCGTGATCGTTGACATTCATTTCCAACATTTGAATGCTTTGAATGAGTTTACTCCATTGAAGAAAGCGTAAACATTGAATGCATCGACCGACGATTGGTAAGATTTGATTTTCGTTCTCTAGAAAATGAACCGCCAAGCATGTTGTATGGCTGGTCATATCACAATCATCATATAGACAATGAAGCAATGAGTCCCTTTCATGGACTTCACAAAGACATATATCACAAATGGATTTTCGAGTCATGTTATTTTCCGACTGAGGCTTTGTCGATTCCATTTCAGAAGCCTTATGGTAAAAGTCCATTAATTCCTCTTCTTTCATGGTGAACTTTACAGAGGTATTCCCTTTGCTAATTGCCTTCCATTTTTCAAATGCATGCTGAGAGAAAAATGTTATTTCAAGAGGCCATCGATTCCAACCGTTACAAGAAACAATTTGCTGAAGAGCAACTAGAGAGTTGCTTAAACTCGGTGTTTTATTTATTTTTGCTTCCTTGTCTTTAGTATGTCTAGAAATATTGGGATGCTGCCAGATCCACTCGAATTGTAATGCTGAAATTTTATTAGGAAACCCATGAACAAGACAAAGTACGATCCATGGTCGTCCATTTCTCGTTTTCCAGGCTCCTCCTTGTATTTCCCCGTTATGTTGTCGAAGTCGCTAAATTCAAAGTTAATAACTGACTTGAATCGTCATTGAATTTGAAATTTCTCTACATACTCGAATTGGATTTGGGGTTGAACCAATGTAGAGAGATCTACTGGAAGCCTTTTTCTTAGATTGGATCAAATAGCAACAATAAAAAGGATGCTCTTTCCGCGCCATAATTTATTACTCGATAAAGATTCAGCTTTGTTTGCTTTAATACTCAAACTCCCAAATTTCTTTTTTCATCCTTTATTCCAACGTCAATACAAATATTGCAAGTGACGATAAAATCAATTTTCAATAGTAAAGTAATTCAAAATGAAATTCGCTAATTCAGTTTTCTATTGTGTTTTGCTTAAACGATGAATTTGACCAACAACCTCTGTTGTATGAAAGTATTAAAGTCTTTCTTCTGTGTGCAGTTTTGAAGTAAATAGTAAAAAGTTTGCTTTTTCATTATCTTCACTTTGTATACAATATGATTACTCCCTTCAACTATGAAAAGTAAAAAGAATTTTCTATTTAGGCTGTTTGTAAACGAGAGAAAATTTACGGTCAACTTTCCTCCTTCTTTTTGGAATAGTGCATAAACGAATCATCCTATTTGTTTTTTGGATATAGCGAGAATGATTGCTTTATAATTGGAATTTTAAAAGGAATGGATCGGATTAGAAACAAGAGTATAAATTGAAACCCTCCTACGGTCCCTAGGAAGCCTACTGAATTTTTATTTGATTCTTTATGTTGTCTCCTTGCTTCATTTAACAATGCTTGATACTGCTTTCCACCTTGTTTAAAAAATGGCAGTTCTTCTGAAGTGTTAACTTCTTCAATGGCTTGTCAATTTGCCGCAGTGTTCAGAAATGCATAATCTGTACCGAGGGTGACACTTCTAACACTTTTCATGATAAAAGAAACCAGGACTCATCTGACTACAACGCAGGGTTATACAGTAACCGATCCCAAAACTTTGACACGTTGTTGCTTTTGAAGCATAGTCGCTGAAAAGCGCCATTATAGAGACATATGAAGGAAGCAGGCATTTTCGATGGAAAATAGGATTCTGAGATGTTGCTTTCAACCGCGTTAACTGTAAAAGTTACCTAATCGTTGCCTGCTTACATTATAACACCCTCAGAAGAGTCAACTTGACAAACGTAGCATGAAAGGCTTATACCGATTTCTCAATCCTCTATTCGTCATTTTGTTTCTTCTAAGCCGTGTATACCTGGTTTGTATAATTCAGCGATAGTTGAGATACCTTTCTTTCTTTGCTACAATGGTCGAATGGCAAATAAAATTGCAAGCAAGACAATAGCAGAAGGTTTTGAAAACTTGTAAAGTTCCTTGTTTGCATACAAAAGATATTAGTATGCCAATCCTGGTTAGAATTTGATCCAATTTTCCATCTAGAATACGCATCGATTACTGATAGCGAAGTAGCTCTTTACCATTCTTTTCAGTTAACCATTGAGCTTACGAAATTCTTAGACGTTGTGCTCTTTTTCCTATACCAACCAAAGAATCATAATCGTCTACATTGGGCAAGAATCGATAATGCGATGAAACACATATTTTTGGGTTTCTTCATTACTTATAGGAATCCGGGTAATATCCTCTTTATTTTTTTCGGGTTTGAAAAGAAACCAATAAATTAAACAAATATCTGAGAGAAATTTCAGCAACTTTGTGTTGGTTTATTAAATGGTAACAGACCGCAAACAGAGATTAATTTACTTTGCTTTCTAATGTAAACCCTAGGGAAATTTCCTGTCTAAAGAGCTTTCACCTTCAGTTGAGTTTAAGAATAGTGCTTTCAATCATTACTTTTGGACTTTTTTATTTATTTACTAAAGTAGTCGAACATATCCATAGAGGTAGCGATATCATAGTATCGTTTATGACTGCATGAGGAAGTTTATGTATAATATGATATACTTCTACAGAAAGTAACAAAGAATATGGTGTTTAAAGATGTTAAAGAGGAAATTGGAAAAACAGATTCGAAGAACAAGAGAAATATAGTTATTAATGAATATTATTTTTTACTACATAGAACAGCTATGTAATGATGAGACATTTTCCAAACAAAGTATCGGATTAGGAAGGTTTTGCTAACCAACTTGTTTACTATTGCAGCTTACTTCGCCAACCAGACACGCTGGAATCTTTCTTTTAGTTGTATACTAATAAGTAATATAATATTGAAGAGTCAATGGATTCCAGCATGGCAGTATACATTACCCATGACTCATTGCGTTCTCCAATATAATATACCTTTTAGTATCATTTCCATGAAAACACACGTTTCATTTTGTAAACAAGATATAAATTATTTTTTTTTAATAATTAGCATTTAAGCAAAAAAATTGTATTTATTAACACATTAGAAGGAAGATCTTTGTAAATTCGCTGCTTCTAAATAGATCTTGTTTGTTTTTCTTCGAGTATTTTACCATTAGCTCACTACGCTACTTTGTTTTCGAATCATGAATTTTTTTGCACTCTTTAATTTCGTTGGCTTAACTATGTATAACGCATTTGAATGTACGTAATCCTAAAACTAGCAGCGCTGTAATTACAAAGCTACCTACCATTGCCTTATTCTTTTTCGGTAACGCAAGCAAGGTAGTCACCGTCTGTAAAAATTTGAACTTCAATTCACCTTTTACCAGCATCCTTCCACGGAAAAGCAAAAGCCATTGTTCAAAATGCATTTGATGTATTATTTGAACGAAGAGGGAAAGCGTATTTATACGTTAAAAAAAAGGGCTCCAAATGGTAAAGCCACTGTCTCTTCCCATCCTGCAAGATTTTCTCCTGATGACAAGTATTCTCGTCAGCGTTATACTTTGAAAAAGCGCTTCCATGTCCTTCCTTATGAAGTTGGTATGTTAAAGAACACCGCCTAGTTCTTTCCCGGAAGGCTAACACCACTGTAAGCTGCCAGATCTTTCTAAAGCTTTGACAAAGATGATTGTACAATTTGCGGTAAATTAATAGAATTTTTTTTGGTGCTATTGGGTCAGAAGAGATGAATATCCATTAGGATGCATTTGAAACTTAAGGTAGACTTGTTATATAAAGGCAAAGGATGCATTACTGTGCTCTGTAATATTCTCTCGAAAACACTACATTTACCAGTCTAGATAAACATAAACTGTAATACATGAATGAATTATGCAAAGTTTAACAAAGAATAAGTAAATATAATTTTTTGTTTTGTTACATAGTCAATAAAGAATAGTATTATACCATAGAGTAAATTCCCCAAGCGGTAAAACCAGATATGAGAAATAACATTAAGTCACTTTTGTTGCGGTTGATGCCATAGCGTTCACATTCGTCTTCGTCCATATACCTTGCCCTTGTCGTTCCGGGCTATCCAAATCGTATATCAGATTCCACGCAAAGGCTTGAGTAGACTCACATTGTCTTTTCTCCCATATCGTATCGTGATACATGGGAACGATGGGTTTTGTTGTTCGATAAAACTTTTGATTCCTTAATGTAGATAATATTTCAATTGTGGAACAGTCGCGTTGCTTCATTTCAGAGAGTGTTGGACGTAAGGTCTTAACCACATTAAGCAGCGGTTGAAGATTCATCTTTGACGACCAACTATCCCACCATCGTTGCGTAGGCTTAAAGCTATAGTCGACCGCATGAGCCAACACATTCCTTTTCGGCTTCTTATTATCAGATTTTGCTTCTTGGGACTTTAAGGAGTCTAGATCCTCAGCCAATTTTTGATGCAGCTTTGGCCGTAATCTGGCGGGACTATCCATAATATTCACACCCGTAATTCCAGGTTTAATGTTTTTTCGTAGTTGATCTTTTTCGTCTTTCAATTTTGAATCAGATACAGCGGAAGGGAATTTAACACCAGCTACCTTCTCAGCAAAGTCGGGTTTGTAAAGTTCTTTTTGAACTTTGATAACACGAAAAGCTGCAAATAGTATAGCATCAAACGCTCTACTGGAATAGGTTTTACCATTACAACTCCAATACAACGATTCAAGGTTGGGACTTGACTGTCTCACTCTCATTATATCCCCAAATGCGTACAAGTTAAGCGTTTCCACATAGTGAGAATAGATGACAAGGGTATATGTAAGGAACGGATTCACAGAAAAATGAATTTGTAGCATGTTGCTGATAGTACCAACTATATTGCAAAGAATAATGTAATTATTTTCGTTTGCAACGAGAAATCCAGGTTGAGAGGCTCCCTGAAAAACGTTTAAAAGTAACTTGCTAGCGCTATGATTTATCTCTTTTATATAAAGGGAAAGATGACAAAGAGACGCTGATAAAATCTCCATCACATCCCACTGGCAATCTCTCATTGACTGCAGCAATATTGAAAATGCAATAACAGTAAAATCAGCAAATGAACCATCGTGGAAAGGAACTCTCATATTTGTAGGTAAACCTGCATGTTGCTGAAATCTTCTATTCAGCTTATGACAAAAGACGGGCTCACTTAATAACAGTTTAAATAACATCGCACACAATCTCAGATGATTGATTGTACCGGGATTTTCAACGTACTCGAAGCTCAAATAAACTAAGAAAATAAATAAATCAGTGGCACAATCAGTTTCTATCAGAAACAAACAGAAATTTTTGTTATACTGAACTATTAACATACACAGTGATAATACCATTGGGTAATAATCATACATAACCAAAGATTCCTTTTTTGGAATGTCAGATTGCATTGGAGGATATAGTAATCGACTTATTCCGTCTATAATAACTTGGAAATCTGACATGGAGTGCAAGCTTGACAACAACGAAGAAAATTGGTTGAAAGGCTTCACATTATTTCCTCGAAAATAGCTATTAAAGTCAGGTAACGACTGAAATCTACATTCAGAGAGAATCACAAGCAATGTAGATAGAGAGTTTTCAATTAACGACATGTGTAGGGAAAATTGATTGGATGGAACAAACTCGGGTTTCCAACATAATGTGTTGAAACGCATTGTTGTGTTTAGTAAAGAACATATCAAACATAATGTTAACCGTCTGTTTGGATGGGCTGCAATGTAAAAACAGCAAAGACTAGATCTGTCATCATTTACATATAGACTTTCGGAAAAGAGCGCTAACAAAAGACGAAGAACCTCGACAGAATTCGCCATAAAGTTTACTTCTTTATTCAAGGGAGACTGGCATGCAATACCAGTTTCCCAAATACAGTATCTAACTCCTTTTGTGAATTCGTCAATGGGAGGGATTGTAAAATTAGTCAGAAATAGATAGTTTATGATAGTGTCCATAATATTAACACCTCGGGGTATCCCGCTTTCCTGCGGTAACCACATGTACTTGTTAAACCAAGAAGCGCATTCTGGAGACTCAAACAAAAGGGGTATTAATCTGGTCAATACACGCATGCTATTCAGGACATGTTTTGTCGCAAGGTCATTAGAATGTATAGAAAAATCACTATCCGTCTGCAAAGAAACCAGCTTCTTGAATAGTATATCAACCAGCATATGTATGTTTTCCGGTGCTTTACTTAGCGCATTTCGAACATCAACAACAGAAATTTGTTCTAGCACCTCTTCCAAGCTTTCCGGTAAGGACCAAAAGCTTTCCCATATATTATCCGTCCTGGGGATGTTCTTATCCTCAGTTAATCGTAAGGAAGCATTCTTTAATTGGAGTAGTGATTGCTGACTGCCCATGGACTATGGGAATGGTGAAGGACGAAGATATGATCAGTTGAAAAGACAAAGACCAAAAGCTTAAAAAAAAAAAAAAAAAAAAGGTAGTCGTAAAAAGCGTAACGAATGGATTGGGGATAACTGGAATGTCAAAAGTAAGGTATATTATAACAGTGAAACAAGAGAAATTTTAGGAAAGGGATTTGAGTTGGATTCTCTTCAGACCAGAACCTTCTTCTGTCTGGCGAAAATAAGAACAATAATAACAAAATCTCTTTTTTTTTTACCTTCTAACTGGCCATGAGACGAAGGGTTATTGCATAGGAAGTGATTATCAGATTAGAATCCCTATGAGGAAAATCAATCACCCTTAAAGAAAAAGAAAAAAGCAATTGAGCTCCTATTCTTGAGCAGTAGAAGAAAACTCCTAATGGATGATTTTTATAGTCAGAATGAATACGTGACGAAAGGCTCGTTTGTTTTAGAGCCTTTTCTGTTTGCCAAACCTTAAGCTCTAAGTATATTGGTTAGAACGCGATCTCTTTAGCATTTCCATTTATTCATATAAACAATATACCCTTTTAAAATTACTTTGCGAATATCTCAAAGACGAGTCGTCAATTCAGTTAACGGTTGTGGTTAAGATTTTTTTAGTATACTGGGGCTATTTGTTGTAATAAGATGAACGTATTCATTCAATTTCTAATACAATTTCTAATACAAAACGAACGTTTTGTCATAATTGGGTCCCTCGTTAGCATTCATAATATAACAATTCGTTATAAGAATGGAATATTAGCTAATATCAGTTAATATTCATAAGCTTAAAGAATTGTGCTTGATAATAAGTAAACAAAAATTTGAAAATGCAAATTTCTCTTTGATTGCAGAAACTCCGATTAAAATTTACAATTCGTGATTATTGCTATTAATTAGAGAAGCCAGTCACGATGGCAAATATACAGAATAATATATATATGTGTGTCGACAGTCGAAATCTTTAGATCGGAAGATTTGACTGATCAGGCTAAATAAGATTGACACTTAGTCGTTTTCATTTAGTTAATCAGATCCCTGGACATATTACTATTACTCTACGTAGTACTAACACGTCCAATTCCAATAGACAATTTTGTAATTGTACTTATTACTTCCACTCGATTTACATTCTCATAACGTGTGAGATTTCTCCCGTGACAAATTATCTTCCGATCTCGTAGAGTGGAAATTATTGCAAT